ATAATTATTATTAGTTAATCTCTTAAAGGAACCTAGAACTAGCTTATTCTTATAATTAACTAAATACTAAGCGCTATAGTTATTAACTAAGGTACTCTCTAAGAGTATATAAGGAACATTAATAAAGTCCGTAGCGTAGATTCCGAGTGTCTCTTTAAGGTCTAAGAGCTTTAAATTAATAGTAGCTATATTAATATTTCTAGGGTACTTCCTTTTAGCTTATTAAGATAATAGTTCTTAGTCCTTACTAAGCTTCTTCCTAGTAATCTAAGCTATAGAGATAGTAGTCTAGCTTTCCTTAGAGATCTCTTAGTGTAGTTCTATATACTTAAGTACCTAGATAGTCTCATAAATCCTCTTAATTTACTTATTATTTAAACAGAATCTTATACTATTAGCTTAAAAGCTATTATAAGTAAAACAGAGCTTCTAGTACTTAATTAGAGAGTGCCGGTATCTGATTCTATAAGGGTAGTTAGTCTTCTTATCTCCTTAATTTAAACGGGAGCGATTCTAAGAGCTTCCGGAATAGTTTTACAAGCCTCTTATATTAGAATAATTACCTAGTATTAGTATAGCGTAGAAATTATTAGCTCCCTTACCTCTGTTCCGGTAGTGCTCTTCTATATTTGCTATAAACGCTAGACTATACTCCTCTAGTGTTATACTATACTAATATCCTAGAGTATTATCTCTTATAATATTAGTAAGTACTTAAGTAGCTTAAGTCTCTAACTAAACTAATATTATATTTAGGAAAGCTCGTATACTATGTACTCCTTATATATTAGGAATATTATACGCTCTTGTAAGATAGAAGTTCTTTTACTATAGCTTATACTATATATAAGGTTTAATTCGCGACTTCTTATCTTAATATATTAGTAGGCTAAGTATATTAGTATAGTCTGAAATAACAGAGGTTAGTACTACTGCGTCTAAAGGTGCTATATCACACTTAATAGACCTGACTAGTACTTATAGTTCTATAGCGCTCTCAGCTATATTATTATTAATTACGTTAGTTAGAATAAACTAGCTAATAGTATTATTTACCTAGTTAAAGAGGTTCTAAATACGATTATTAAGCGCTATCTATTTAGCTAGCTTATTTAAGTACTCCTTTATTCGAGCTTCCTAGAGTACTTTAATATCTTTAAACTTAGCTTCTAAGAGCTTACTTATAAATACCGGCAGTTCTATTATATTCTCTCTTTCCTTAGTAGTAGTAGTGTTCTATTTTACTAGTAGATCTAAGTCAGCTTATATTAATAACGCTATCTATTTACTAAAGTAACTATTTATCTCCTCTTATATAAAATCGTTAATACTAAAGAGATTTAGTTATTACTTAATAATATTTCTAATTTTATTAGTATTAGGGTTAATAAATCTCTAGATTCCTTTAAGTTTAGTATAATACTAGAAGGTTATTTACTATTAAAGTTATTATTTTCTTTAATTAAGAGTATCGCTCTCTTATTTAATTAACTTATCTTAAAATTATATTAATATATTAAAGAGGCTTTCTATAGAACTAATAGTATTAAGAGTATTTCAGGAAGTTTAAGGAGGTATTTAAAGAAGTTCTTTAAGTAGTAGTATAAGTATCTCTTAATACTACTTATAACTCTACCTATACTACGTAGTATACTTATATAGTAGCTTAAATAAGTGAATATAGCTCTTAATTATCATATACTATAAGGAGAAGCTTTATATAATATAAAAGTCTTAATTTATTAAGGTATTCTAGAGCTCCCCTATAGAGGAAAGCTTCAGGAGTTCTAGTTATATAAGCAGCCTCTAGTTGGCTGAAGCGCCTTAGGGAGTGCCTCAGGTGCGCCAGGTACACGACATATTATTAGGCTTATATCGCCCGATTAGGCAAGGCGGCGGCTTACTTTTATATAGAATTTACCTGAATTAAATTATAAGCTTATTAGCGATTTCTTAGCGTGGATATTTATAGCGTTAAAGGCTTAGCGAGACTAGCTTTAAGGATATATATAGAAAGTGTAAGTCTTTTTAAATTATCAGTTAAAATCCACGCTAGTCTAACTATTTTTAGTTAGTTTAAAATTAAAAAATAAACTTAACTTTTAATTTTTAATTCTAATTAAAAATATTATATCTTTCCTAATTAGGTCTAGCTTATATATAAAAGTAAGTCTTATAAAAGGCGCCTAAGGCGTATAAGACGGCCTTTTATTATTTAAGGCCGACGTATGATAGCCTCTTATATTTTAAGGCGCCTTAAGCGTAAAAAGCGACTATTTAGTGAAAACAGCGAAAATAGCAGGTAGTACGTGCACCCGGCGCCAGAATTTTTTACTAATAAGAGGAATATAAGGGCTATAAATAGATATAGTATTAACTTAAACTAGCTAGAGCATCTTCATATAAGGTATTATTAGATTTCCTACTTAATCTTTATACTAACTTTCTATAGATTTATTTTTATATACTTATAATCTCTTCGACTTATTAAATAATAAGAATTCCGTGATCTTCTTAAATATCTTAACTCTAATTCTATATACTAGATTCTACGCGCTTACTCTACGATTATTATATAAGTATAATAATAGTTCAAAGCTTATAAGGAAATAATTAAGAATAATATTAAAATTACGCGGTTCAGAATATATGTTTCTTATAATATATAGATATTACTAAATAACCTTCTTATACTTACTATTATCTTCTAAAATATTAGTATAAATAGAAAAGTAAAGAGAATTATAGTAAGTCTAAAAGAGGTCTTAGGGAATAAAATAAGAGAGAATCTAGCTTCTCTTATAATAGAAATTATTAAGGATTAAGAGATTTAGTTAAATTTAAGCTATTTTATAATAGATAATATAACTAATAATAATTCTATAATATAGTATATTACTCTTAATATTTCTACTACTTCTTTTATAGTTTTTACTAATAAATAACTATAGATCTTTATTAAAGCTTTAGTATTTAACATAACCTGATTTCCTATTAATTATATTATATTAGTTATATTATTAACCTCTCTATGAAATCTTTCTTATTTATTACTAATAATAAAACGCTTAAATCTATAGAGGAGGAAGAAATAATAAACTAGTAGCTATAATAAATAATAGAATAGATAAGGGAATAGTATTAAAACAGATCTCTTAGGAAGCTTTATAATTTCGTTGTTTTTATATAATATAGTATCTTACGTATATAAAGGTTTCTAGTATTATCTGGAAATCGTTACTTTTATTAAGATAACTCTATATACTAGAATTTATAGTATTTAATACTAGAGGTAGCGCTCTTATTATAAGACGCTATTAAAGAGTATTTTAATACTTATAAAGAGGCTGAAATCGAATAGGATTACTTAAATACTAATAAATAGCGTATTTTATATAAGATTTATAGCTTTTTAATTACTAAGTCTCTTAAAGGCTATAGAGCTTCCCTTAATCGAGTTCTACTTTTAATAGATTTTATACTTAATTACTTTAAGAAAGTAAAGGTTCGATTTTAAGATAATATTAAGCTCTTTACGAAAGTTAATTTAAAGTAGAAAAAGATAGATAAATATTATAGTAAAAGTAACAAATCTCTAGCTTATATTATAGCTCTCTTATTAAATCTTATATATAAATAGTTATATATTAAGTAATTCTAGAGAGTCTCTTAGTAAGAGAAAGTAAAAGTAGCTATTTAGAAGCTTTAAGATAATAAATATAAGCTAGAATCGACTATTCTAACTCCTCTAATATTTCCTATATCTTCTAATAATAAGTTTAAGCTTTAGCTATATTAAATTGCATTAGTAAAAAATTCTGACGCTAGGTGCACGTGCCACCCGCTATTTCGCTGTTTTCGCTAAATAGTCGCTATTAACACTTAAGGCGCCTTAAAATATAAGAGGCTATTATACGTCGGCCTTAAATAATAAAAGGCCGCCTTATACGCCCTAGGCGCCTTTTATAAGACCTACTTTTATATATAAGCTAGACCTAATTAGGAAAGATATAATATTTTTAATTAGAATTAAAAATTAAAAGTTAAGTTTATTTTTAGATTTTAAACTAATTAAAAATAGTTAGACTAGCGTGGATTTTAACTAAGAATTTAAAAAGACCTGCACTTTTTACGTATATCCTTAAAACTAGTCTCGCTAAGCCTTTAATACTATAAATATCCACGCTAAAAAATCGCTAATAAGCTTATAATTCGATTTAGGTAAATTTTATACAGAGGTAAGTCGCCGCCTTACCTAATCGGGCGATATAAGCCTAATAATACCCCCTTATAAGGTATACCTTTATAAGTACCTTTAATATCCTTAGGATTAGTATTATTAAGCTTTCTAAGCTTACTAATATATCTTATATAATAAATAAAAAATCGGACCTACTTTTATTTTATATGCTAGTCCTAATTAGGCTTATAAGCACTTATAGCGCCTTAGTCGCCTTAGGCGCCTACGTTGTTAATTTAAATTAGTATATACTACTTCTGGGGTCGCTAGCTATTAAATTAATCGATATATAACTTAGGCTAGAATAGCGAAAATAGCGCCTTTAGCGGCCAGCCGGCGGCTGCCTGGAGCTAGATTTTTTTGCTGATGTAATATACTAACTTCTATTATAAACGAATATAACTAATATTATAAGACAGAGTATATTTATAGCTATAATAATACTATTAAGTAGTAGCTTAAGCCTACGTAATAAAAGGCCTTTCTAAACCTCTTTAAAATAGCTCTTAATATACTCTTAATTCTAGCTATATCTAGTAATCTAGAACGCGCGTTTTCTATAGTAAAAAATTACTCTTTTAGATCGCCGGAATAAGATAAGTATATATATAATTAAATATCTAGAGTATTTAAAGTCGTAGACTAGTCTACTAGAATAGGAGCTTAAGGTTCGGGATTTAAAGGTTATATAAGATAATACTGTTTTAAAAGGGCTAGGGATTAACGAAGTAATTAGAGACTCTATAGAGGCAAATTTATAGGTTAGTTTATCTCTCCGTTCTTTAGAACAACCTTATTCCGTTCGTTTTAGCTGTACTAGAACTAACTACAGTTTATAATCAGGTAGTAAAACTATAGTTAGTTCAAAAGCCTCAAAACGAGGTCGTTTGAACGGCCGTTTGAACGGCCGTAAACTATCGACTACACTGTACGTCGCCCTGCTTAACCACTGACTTTCATGGATATGCGGCAGGTGAAGAGCATGATTCCGTCTCACTCATCAATCACTTGGTCCCTCCTTCACATCAAACTCCACCACACTCTTGACACCCTCGACCGCACTTCCCATAACCTTTTTCGCATCCGCTCCCCTCTCCATACAAGCATCCATCAAGCCCTTCTCTCCTTCCATCTCACTTCTTGACATTCCGTATACCTCACCCACCTCAACCATCCCCAAAACCTCAATCAAAGCCTCCAAACTACTCTCAAGCACACAACACACTTTGGCGGTATCCAACACCGCACCAGACACATGTACATCTTTTACTGCGAACTCAGGTGCTCTGCTACCGTCTATTCCGCTTGCTGACCTGGTGGTGCTCAATAGATCGGGCTCCCTAGATTTAGTAGGAGATTGACCGACAGACTGAGCTGAAATGTTTCGCTTGATTCCTGTATCGAGGGAAGAAAGGTGGTTCCGGACTACGGAGAGTGCTGATTTGAGAGTTTGAATATCAGCTTTTGGTGAAAGTACTGGTGGGTGTGGTAATGACGGGAGTGATGCTTCGTTCGTTGATCTGTTGCTTTGGTGGCCGGAAGTTCTTGATGGTGTGGACAGTCGTGCTTGATCAAGAGGCGACGGGATTATGGGCTGGACAGGATCTGTTCTGGGCGTGTAGCCGAAGTAATCACTTGGAGGTGTGACTTCCACTGTTGGGATGGTGCTCATAGTTGACCTTGATGGAGACATGTGGGGATCCATCCCCTATGGTTCTGGTTAGTTAATTTCCTACCAATCAGCATTTCACAGGTAATGCATACCTCGAAGTCATGTTTATTAGCAGTAACTACAGAACTATGGCGTTCATCCTCCACTTGCGGATCCTGTGAAGCTGTTAGCAATGAGATCCTCTTCGGTTGCGGGAAGTAAACAAACTCTGACGTCATATTCCGCGTCTTTCAACCTCGACTTGGTTGGTGAGGCATACATTGTGGACCGGCGATGGTGACGCCTGCTAAATGGCGTAGGAGAATCCATCATAGTAAGTCTACTGATGGGTAGTCGATAAAATTAGAGCTAGAAGACGAAAAGGCAGCAATCTGTGGCTCACATTATCTGCACGGCGTTCGCTCGAAAGTTCGACCTTGTGCAAGGCCCTCTAGGTTTGTCGTTATTTGCCTTTTCGCGTCAGCTGGCTGAGGTGGAAAGAGTCATTCGGCCCAGGACGAATGTCCGAGGACTACCGCAAGAGCGGGTTTTTGATATCGTCCCGGTGAATTTCAGCGTGTGGCGTGACGTTGACATGCGACATTGAGTTCGCTTACCGATGACACGAGCGTAAACAGGATCAAATTTTCGGTAACCAGACACGAAGCTATGTCGTTCAAGCACAGCCTCATACGGTTCGTGGCGGAACACTTTCATTCTACTTTTGGCTGTGCTCTTCCTCACTTGTCAGCACCTTAATCCTTTTCGCATCCTGCACTTTCTGTCTAGCCTCTCTGCGCTTCCGCTTCTGAGCCCTCGCATACCCTTGCCAGATGCTCACCGTATCCTCTCCTCTTCGACAAATGCTGGGTATCAATCTTAACTTGTATATAGAGGTTGTAATTGCGCGTACTGGCTACGACTCATGTCCAGACTAGAGAGAATACGAGGAAGAGGAGTCGGCGCGTGAAAGAGCTGAAAGCGAGGACGATTGATGTGAGTATTTTACCGACAAAAGTCGGGTCTGAGAAATTGTTAAATACATGGGAGAGGGGAGGGTAGGGATGGCATATGCATGTAGGTAGCTTCTTGTCTAAATGTCTATTTTCTGTCTTCGAATTCGTGCGAAATCACGCCGAAGACAGTGGCTCCAAATCACAACGGTAGCTGTATCGTCAGCTAAGGTGTATTCTTTTGGGCAGCGTAGACTCCCGAAAAAAGAATGATGATAATGGTAAAGAGCATGATGGACCGTCCCTGCCGAGTCGTTTCCTCGATCTGGTGTACTGATTTGCGCATTTGGACAATACTTGCTTGCTGCTAATTCAGACCTAGAAGGTCATTCAACTAGAAAGTGCTATCTTTGGCACCGTCTGGTAGGATCTGGCAGGGGGGTTTTCCCTGTCCACCAACAGTGGAAGTCTTCTGTGCAGACATCGTTTCAATCTAACAACCAGCACTTTCGTCTTGTTGTCTGCTCCGAAATATGCTTATTGCTCTTTGATCCGAGACTCCTCGGCTGCCATTAGGTCGTTATCCTGTTGCTGGAGAGTTTCGAAACATTCTTCTTGGTCGACATTTCTGAAGCGGCCGAAGTAGTGAAGGAAGAAGATATCTTGTACAGAATCGCCATGCTCATAAGGATAAGCAGGTTCTGGGATTGTCATGATCACCCATTTTCAACTGAACGATGGAACATTGGAAAAATGTGCGCCAATTGAGAAAATGAAGTGTGAGGTGATCCAATAGAAGCAGCCTCCAGGAATTACCCCGTCGCTCCCTTACGCTACAAACGATCACCGTGCAGGAACACAAACAAACCGTCGTCCACTACGCTACCTCCTGCCTACCTACCTACCTACCTACCAACCTCTACTTTGTCGCAAACAAACGCATCCTCCCGAGCAACACACAATAGCCCCAAGTCTCTTGTCGCAACACTATCAACTTATAATACACCATGACTTCCGATCAGAAAACAAACATGCCATACAATACTCGAAGAAAGTCGCTCTCGTTGCCTTCTCTAGGCATACATCTTCCAGTAACTCATGCTTCCAGAGGTAATGATGGGTAACTAATCATATTTCACCGTACTAGGAAGGCTCCAGCAGCCACTTGAGCCGCATCAAAATCACAGGTCTCTCTTTGCACGTTTGGGGGGCTGAGCAACCCAGGAGATGATTGTCCAAGATTACAAGCCTACTATTGGCCCACTTGATAAATCAACAGGTGTTGATAGTCTCAACCAGCTCCCCTTACCGTGCTCATTTGCCGCCACCATGTCACGACCCCTCGCATTCCGGGACCGGGAGGAAACCCCCACCATCAAGCATAGCTTCGATTGATAATTCAATAACGCATTTGATGAAAGCAGCTGATTGAATCTGGCTCGGCGATGGATGTTGGCGCATAGACACGGGACATAGCGATGGTGTCGAAAGATACTTAAGATTAAGTGTCCCGCGTTGAAAAAAAAAAAAAGGAGATGGCTTGTCCCGATGCCGCATCATCTCAAAATGACCTCGAATCCAACGTCTAACGACGAAAAATCTGCCTCAACACCGCCTATTGTATCTACAGACCTCGAAAATGCAGCACCCGCCGATGTACAAGACAAGGATGTTGCAATTGCAATTGTGGGGGAGCACAGACATGCTATCGACCCCGCGGTAGAAACTCGAGTGGTGCGGAAGATTGACTGGTTTTTGGTGCCGGCGATGTTTTGCGGTTATGGATTGGTGTATTATGATAAGGTATGAAACTTTTTTGAACTAGGAGAATGTTTCATTGACTCCATACAGGCAATCCTGGGCAGCGCGGTGCTGTTTGGAATGACCAAAGATCTCCACCTCACGCAAGTTGACACTTCGACCACCCCTCCTACCACCGACACCTCTCGACTATCATGGGCTACCTCGATGTTCTACTTCGGAATGCTGGCTGGACTATACCCTATGACATTTGCTCTGCAGAGATTCAACATGGGAAGAATATTGGGGAGCGTCGTGTGTTTCTGGGCGCTGGTCTGCATGCTTACCGCAGCTGTGACTAGCTGGGAAGGCCTGTACGCCCAACGATTCTTTTTGGGATTCGTGGAAAGCATCATTCCGACTGGCTTCATGTGTATCGTGAGCTCTTTCTATACACAAAGGGAGCAGTCGCTGCGGCAGAGCTGGTGGTTTTCTGCGACGGGGCTTTTCACGATCCTTGGTGGGGCATTGAATTATGGATTCGGTCAGATCACTGGTGGAGCATTGAAGCGCTGGCAGTACATATATCTACTGGCGGGAACTCTCACGTTTCTTTTTGGAATCGTATGCTTTTTTGTGCCGGATTCCCCTGTTTCAGCTTGGTTCCTTACGCAGGGTGAGAGAGTCGTTGCCACCGAGCGGCTCAGGCATGGACAGACAGGAGTTCGATGCACAAAGTTCAAGATCTCCCAGGTCAAAGAATGTTTCCTGGACATCAAGTTCTGGCTAGTGGCTCTTATGATGGCTTCCGCCTATACAGTCAATGGAGCTGTCAGTGGCTTCGGCCCGTTAATCGTCTCCACTTTTGGATACTCAGTTTTGGACTCCATTCTCTTCCAATTTCCCCTCGGCGGGATCTGCCTTATATTCATCCTCCTCACTGGATATCTCTCCTCTCGAATCCCGAACATTCGGATCATCATGCTTGTGCTCTGCTGCTTTCCAGTTATGGCTGGCTGTGCCATGATCTGGAAATGTGATTGGTATCACCGCGCTGCGGCACCAGTCGTGGGTTATTCGATCATTGGATTCTTCGGGCCAGTGGTGTCTTTGATCATCTCGATTGGAATGGCCAACGTTGCAGGGCAGACTAAGAAGTGCTTCATGGCTGCGACAATCTTCGTAGCCTACTGCGTAGGCAATATCGTTGGACCCCAACTCATCAAGTCGCAAACCAAGTCCAGACACTATCCTGAACTTTGGCTGGGACTCATTATTTGCTATTGCATAACGATAGTCTCTGCTGTTGTGTTGTACTTTGTTCTTGCGAGAGAGAATAAACGAAGGGAAGCTCTGGATTTGAATGATGTCGACCGGGACAAGATGGCTTTCCAAGATCTTACCGACAAGGAGAACCCTTATTTTAAATACATGCTCTGATATAGACGCGTAAAACAGACCACATACACGATATATACGAATATAATGTTTGGTATAATTGTTTGTGTGCCCTGAGAAACGACCGTATCTATAGCTTATACGAACTTGCTTTGCACTGCCTAATCTCAACAAACTAAGCGATCTTTTGGGAGAAAAGCTCTTGTCCCTTTGAACAATCTGATAGCCAAGTGTGCTATCGTCATTTCTCCCTTGCTTCGATATTGAGTGTGGTGGGGCTGCAATACCCCGCCATCACGGCCGGGCTCCCCGATGCTTCAGGCTTTATTTCCACGGCGCATTAACTCCAAGGCGAAATCCAGAAGCATTATCACGCCGGCTTCAATCACCCAGCAAAGCAAGACCGGGCCGTCTCGATTACAAAACAATCATCGCAACCGGCCGTAACGCAAAGAATCTTCATGAAGCCTTGCTCGTAGCACCGGACCGATGTCCTAAACAGGATATTCCCCGTAACCGAGGCACGATGTCCGAACCTTCATGGCTGTCCCGCAGTAGCAGAGTTTCAAAACAACACTCCACGACGCCATAATTGTGGCTCATTGGTAAGCTATTCTGCTCTCCTAAAAATCTATTCTCCTTGATCTGATATATAAGAAGTACTGCCCTTCCAGACTCAAAAATGGGTAAAGCGATCCCCCGCAAAAGCAACATCATGTCTCAATCCACATTCACATCCGTCGTCCTGGCTCAGCGCCCAAAGGCTCTCATCGTCCCCGGCGAGACCTTCTCTCTCAAGGAGAACCCTATGATCAGCGAGTCGGATCTCAAAGATGGACAGCTTCTCGTCGAAACACTATACCTGTCCCTCGATCCTGCAATGCGAGGCTGGTTGAACGGTACGACTTCAGACCTCCCTTCCTCCCCTCTTACGTGACTGACATACTGCAGATGCTCGTTCATATGTCCCTCCAGTTCAGATCGGCGAAGTGATGCGCGGAGCCGTCATTGGAAAGGTTCTCGCCAGCAAATCTTCCAAGTTCTCGCCTGGCAATTATGTTACCGCTTCCCCAGGGTGGAGGGAGGTTGCAATCGTGGCAGAGAAGGACGCCTCGCTCCTCGAAGTCCCAGAAAACGGCAAAGTGACCGACGCCCTAGGTGTCCTCGGCTTAACTGGTCTCACAGCCTATTTCGGCATCACAGATATCGGTCAAGTCAAGGCCGGTGACTTTGTTGTCGTTTCTGGTGCTGCTGGAGCGACGGGCAGCGTAGCATGTCAAATTGCGAAGTTGAAGGGAGCGAAGGTTCTGGGTTTGGCAGGTAGCGACGATAAGGTCCAATGGTTGAAGGACCTTGGTTGCGATGACGCGTTGAACTACAAGAATACGGATTTTGCGACTCAGTTCAAAGAGAAGACGAAAGATCTGATTGATGTTTTCTTCGACAACGTTGGAGGCGAGATCTTGGAGTTAGCCTTGAGCAGGGCGAAGGCTCATTCGAGATTTGTGATGTGCGGTGCCATCAGCCAGTATAATTCAGCAAAGCCAGTTGGGCCAAAGGTATGTCGCCATGTTGAAACTCATCATTCTTCTCCTGCTAACAAATGACTTAGAACATCTCTATGGTCATCGCTATGCGAATCAAGTAAATCAACGTGCTTCTCTTATGCCAAATCAACTACTGACTTGATTCCAGGTTGCAAGGATTCATCGTCTTTGACTATCAATCACAATACAAGGCCGCGAGAACAGAGCTCACTCAATGGTTGTCTGAGGGAAAGATTCAACGAAAGGAGACGATCATCAAGGGTGGCTTGAAGGCTGCTGAGCAAGGTCTATTGGATCTTTACAACGGTATCAATACTGGTATATTCTCCCCTGCTGGCGCGTTGCGTCATGTGACAGATGGACCACTGACACAAGTTTTTTCACAGGCAAGCTTTTGGTCGAGGTCAAGGCCGATGATTCTGAGAGCGGTGTTGGCTCAAGGTTGTAGGATATTATGAAATAGAAATTATGTCTTCCATTTGATTCCTCCACTTTGCCTAGTAAGCCTCCCCAAATTGCAGTGATCCTATGTGGACTCGTCCACGCTTCCGGGTCGTCCACAGCGGGAGGTATCTCCTTGAACAACGAGCATATGTTCACAAGCCTTGGTATAGAAGCATATGTATCAACATTCAATTACAACTTTGAAGACCAAAAATCTGCACTACCCTGTCCGAACTGTGGCTGCCCGCCGATCTCGTTTCCGCGGCACACGCCAGCCTGATCGCAAACGCAGCCTCGACAGAGAGCCCGCCGAGCTCACTAAGCTCAAGCAAACACGGCAGGACGCCCTGTTTGTATGTGATCTATCAAGCTACGAAATCATTTATGATGTAAGGCTTTCTTTCCAAAGTCAAGGACAATTCTTAAACACTCCATCCGGACATTTCTTTGTTTCCTCTTTTCATTTCTGCTTGCACATCGGAAACCTCACCATCATATATTGAGACACCACCCCAGAGATGACTGTAGATGATCAAGCCCGCGACAATGGCGATGATTCACAGAACAGTCAATCTCAACCGACAGCCTTATCAGGTGCAGCGACTCGCAGAGTTCCCAATAAGCTAAAGCACGTGGATAGCCACGTGCAAGAGGGCGAGACATCTAGCGAGACGTCAACAAAAGATGCACGTCTGTCCTCACGAGGAACACGACCTCGAAATTCCAGCATGAAAAACAAATCGTCAGACTCAAAACCTGAATCAGCCGACAGTGCTGCAAAGTTACCAGCGATGGATTCAGCCCAGGATTCTAAGAAGATAACTCCAATCAATAACTCCAACCAATTCCGTTTCGCTGCTCCGCCAAATCAATCCAGGAAGGCCATTCAACTACTTGGCAATGTGTTTGGGACTCTCAAAAGACCGATGTACTTGATCATCTACTATGCTGTCGTCTGCGGAATTATTGGTCTTGCGGCCATCTTCATCATCGGGTTCACCCTCTCAATCGCCAAGTCAACCGCATGCGCACCGCCCATTTTGAGACGCACGCTGCCATTCTGCGAGCCTTTGATCAGACCCACCAGTCATGTTGAATTCCAAAAGCTGGGTAATCTGCAAAACATGCTCGAGGAGATCCAAGAGGCTAGCGTGGGAGGAGTGACGCTGCCGTTGTTGATGAAAAGAGGTGAGAATGCTGTTCGAGAAGTGGCTGTGAACGTGGAGTTGAGCAATTTGCCATCCAAGTCAGTGATCACCTACTATTTCTTCTCGGTAATCTGGCTGACCTAATTTGTCCACAGGAATGAAATCAGCAAGACACTCCGCGAGTTTCAAAAGAGAGCACACACAGCTGGCGATGATCTCCGCACGTTCAATTCACATCTCGACCGCACCATGGACTCTATCATCTCGACCAACGAATGGACTGTCCGTACACTCGGAGACATCGCTCGGGAGGAGGATGTCGAGAACAACAATGGCGCTCTGACATCGTTTGTCAATAAAGGTCTCTCAATATTTGAAGGACCAAAACCTTCAACTGAAGAAGCCGTAGCGCTGCAGTATATCCGGCATCTCTCGCAAGTCAAGGACGACATCGACGTCCTCATTACTGAAGCTGGTCTCTCGGTCATGAACCTCGAAGCACTCGAGAACTTACTTTGGAGCGTGACTAGGATGGGGAAAAACGACGGGAACCACATCACGAAGAGCAAGACCAAAGCTTCGAAGAAACTCTCTGCGATCTTCGGACTCAACTGGGATGAGATTGAAGGATTGGAGGAGCAGAGTGTGGTCGTCTTGCAGCTGTTGGAGCAGAAGGATGTCGCTTTGGCAAGAGTCACAGGAATGCTGGAGCACTTGAAAGAGATCAGTGCGGGGCTGGGAGATCTCAGAGAGCGGGTTGCGGTGCCGGGACAACCTCAGGCGCAGAAGGTGCCATTGTTGGTGCAGATTGATACTATTAATCGTGGACTTCAAAGGTTGGAGAAGGGAAGAGAGAGGACGAGACAGAAGAAGGATAGGTATTTGAAGGAGATTAGAGATCAGATTCGTTGAGGGGATGCTGATGCCAGACTGGGGGTTTCGGTTTCATACACTCTACTTTCAGACCACATGATCGAAGGAACTTTCTCAATACTTAGTATCAGAACAATCGTAATTAAAGAATCCTGCTCGTCTGAGAACTCTTGTAGGTCATCGTGAGTGCCCATAACTTTGTGGTGATTCCACTTACTGAAGAATTCGAGACATATCCGTAAAGCTTACTTGGCAGGTACTTGAAAATACACTTCCCGTACTGTTCTACAGCACTTAATACCGGATTTGACCGAAATGTACCATCCCTAACGATGCGATACATACATAACACACAGCTGGTCAACCAAAACACATTCACTCCCCTCGCTTAATCAAGAGGGGTAAATACGCCTATCACGTGGACGGACGAAATCTCCCCAATGTTACACTCTCGGCGCATTTTATATTGGCTTGGCACTCGCGCCTCGTACTATCAACCCCAAAAGAATCACCCCAATTTAACGCCTTATCGCACGACCATTTCCCACATTTCTTTCTTTTCCTCTTCTCCAAGCCTGTCCTTTTTCTTCTGTGCTGAAACATGTCGATCGATTCGATACCCGTCGCCACATAATCAATAATCCTAATACCTAATTCTGGTTTGTTTGCTTGTCGGTAATAGGAGATGCTTCCGTCGTCCGCTAAGGCCATAGCTCTGGCTCTTTGCATCGCAACGATTGTCTTTAGTGTGGAATGCAGCAGTATCGTCGTGCCGGATCAGATTGCTGCAGACACGGAATTCAAGGTGGATATCAGCGGGCAACTTGCGAATACAACTGGCTATGATACGTACCGTGTATTTCTGGCTGTCGACATAGGACCTGCGCTTGAGAAACTCGACTCCGTTGACGAGGACACCCGATACTGGAGGCCGTCGTGCTCCCTTGCTACGTCAATACCAATTACATCAGCAAACCCTACTTTCGCATCCCGTCTTCAGTAAGCGCCGATGGCGCCAAATACGCCATGGTGGTTGAAGCCTACAATGCAGCGGAGATCTTGGTGGAACCAAGCTCGGGATATGAATATAGAGAGGGGTACGGGGTCAAGGCATGGCCAAGTGAGCTATTCGCGGTGACGGGTGGTACTGCAAAATGGATGGAATCAGAACTCGAAACCGTTGTCAAATTGGGCTACATTGACCCTCTCAATGTTCCTTGCACCGCATGGGATTGTGCTCGCAACTGCACTGCTACATATGCTGGAGACAGATCGATGATTCGAATCCTTGGGAACGATTACCCGACATCGTGGAGGGACAGCTGTAATTGTATAAGAGGATGTCCAGCAGTGACATATCCAGCTTTCCATGTATTGTTCGGGGTGGATGAGAATTACAACGAAATCATCACCTCGACTGTCCTTGGACCATTGTCAACCACAGCCACCAAGACTGTGTTCACCACATCGGTTTCGATCGAAGGCCTCTCAACTACTGGTTCTGGGACACTGGCTTCACCAACGCCTTTCTCGAACTCGACGGGAACAGTATCAGGTTTGCCGTCAACGACAAGTAGCCGCATACTTACTCCGACTATTGACCCCTCACCGTCGCCGACAGGAAACGTGGGGAGCAGATTTGGGACAGGTCGAGTGCTGCCGTCGTTTGGAAGTTTCTTGTTCGCTCTTGTTCTTCTAGCTGCTTGACGGAGTCAAGAGCTTGATAAGCTGCGCAGCAAAAATATAATATTTAATAATATATAATGTAATATCTTGTACTCATTGCATGCATCAAAGACACTCGTAGTAAGTGAGAAGGAAAGAAGATATGCGGATTTAGCTAGGGATATGAAGCTCCTGAGTCCTGACGATCATCTCGCAATGATACCCGATGGAACATTCTTCCAGATCTTATAATTACGATCAATCTTTGAAGACTCTTGTGTACTCGCAGATTGCAATCTCGAACCACACAGATCTCATCAAAATACAGGCTTGGCTCCAAGCCTGCCGCGTCTGGGGATTTCTGAAGGGGGGTGGGGGAAGCTGTGGAGGTATAGCTTTCCTTTCGATCTTGGCTTCAAAAATACTACAATACTTGCATCTGAAAAGCTACCAAAATCACCTGGTTTTCTATCCCCATCCACCTCATCAATCAACCCCTCGTTCCCCAAGCCCCCCATCTAAATACTAGCTCCCGCTCCCTCTCCCTCTCCCGTCCCGTTCTCACCCCAAACCGGCAAAATTTCGGCCCTCAACCCCCTTTTCCCAACCACCCTATATGTAACCAAATACTACATTTGGCACCCAAGGCAGAGTACTGAGAGACCTGACCCCAGGAGAATCACTTGAAAGAACTCCGAACCCATGAGCCCCGTACGAGACATGCAGTGTTCTCAGGGAGGGAATGCGGGCGATTGAACGCTGCATGAACCCGTTCTTCATCCAGGATGTAGGTGCAGATGTATCCAGAGCGAGCCTGCAGCCGAACCTTTTGCTGGTTTGGACTTTCTTTTGGCTGATGATATAGACTTGAGAAGAGAGTAATCTTTTGTATTCCGAGACGGTGCCGAAGAGCAATAACCAGGACTCCGACAAAGGGGTTACGTTGTCGCGGGTGTTTCTATTCAGGGAGAAGTCTGAGCGTCGCATAGTAAGCGAGAATTTCAGATGAGGCTTGTCTCAGCTGTTCATGTCTCTTGAATTTTGAAGAGGACTTTTACTGCTAGGCAGCAAAAACTGGAATGGACATTGTGTTTATTTGACAACGTGCAATTCGAGCCCACCGTTGGGAAGAATATTGCAAGCAAACACAGCACTCGCTCAGCGGATTTGAGCGAGCCAGAAACAACAGACTTCTACAATAGGAGGTAAGTCGATGTACTTCTATCTGACAGATGAAAGCATCCCAAGCTTCCAATACATTTCAAAATCCTGTCTTGCAGCAGGACGTTCCACAAGCCCAGCACGTCGGTGACAGTATCATCACATGATTCAGCCTGCCCTCATCACCACCAAATCCACCCCCATGCTCCCAATCTCAAACCCATATCAGAGAAACAGACACGGAAATGGGCTACCAAACTCACGAGATTTTGTTGCAAGTCTCAAATCTGCAGGTCTTATTAAATCACCGTAGAGGCATGCGCAGAACCATACCTATCCCCGCCAAACAGCAATATCACGCGCGGAGTATCCCCCTAAGCAGACATCGTGGCGGGGCAGGCCGGCTGACCCTCGGAATCGCAAACCTATTATACATCTGACTTCGACTGGGAAAGAAACATGTTTTTTGTTGCAAATCGTATTCTTTCAGGCTATTTTGAATAGATTGAGTGACTGAGATCTAGAACTAGAATCTGTTAGTTGTGAGAGGAAAGCTGAGAAGGAGTGTTTGATCCAATTCCGCACGACATCAATCAGCAAAAAGCCAAAGCCACAACTCCACTTTCCGAGGTTACCTACAGCAGCATGGACCATGGACCAGCCGTCTCCCCTAAACCCAGACCACAGATCTCAAAAAGCAACTACAACTCTGCCTTCTTGCATCTAACTGGTCCAAAGCCCTCAAATCTCAGAATCAAAAGTTCTCTGTTGCAAGTCTCAGATCTGCAAGATATATTAACTCTTCCGTGCGCTGACAGGGACTGGCTGGCGTTCAAGCCCATCTACAGGTCCTTTCGGCGCATGCTTGTGATGCTATGATGCTATAGCGAGACATTTAAGACGGTCCGTCACTTCAATAGCATCTTACGTACGTCTTAGTTGGGGATGGTAGGTAGGAGGTATCCCGCCATGATATCCCGTTCAGCTGTCACTGACACTGGCTGCTGGTATCTCCACAAGACAAATTTAGCTAGCTAGCTAGTCCTTGTCCCCCTCATTATTCATGGTCACTGCGATAGATAATTGGATGGAAGGACCTAGAGAGAGGTAGAGAGAGACTCTGTTGCAAGTCGCCATTATGCAGGTCTTATTAAAGAAGCCCTAGAAACCCCAGAAGCTCAGGTAATGATCTTCTTAATTCCGTAAAGTTTGGATCAGATTGCGGAGGTCAACAGTCGGCTTTACTTCTTTTCATGCCTGCCTTGCTTGCCTCCTGCTGATTAGTTTTCAATCTGAATAATTGACTTGAGAAAAGGCTGGTGACCGCGAATATTGGGAAGCGATAGGCTGACTCGCGACTAGAGTAAAGGGGCAGTGGATTTGTATAGCATCACCAATCTCTTACCCGCACTGTTTTTTGATTAAAAGAACGTCAGCGTTACTTCGTGTTTATATTGCATCCATAGTTTCTCCATCAATGAGTTCCCCAGTCGTCGCAATCTCACGATATCACAAAATAACCTCTCCGACATCTGACCTACTTTTCCATACCCCGCAGCTACAACCAACCTGAGCCTCGGATCTTGAGAGTTTATTTTTAGATTTTGCTTCCGAACTGAACATATGATGATGAAATGGCTGCATCCGTATATTAAATTAAAAAGCACACACATTCACTCTATCCTCCCCATCCTCCCCGATTCGCAAATAAACTTGCTCTCCTGACGTCTCGTCGTCGTGTCGGAGCAAACCTCTTCCTTTCCACCCTGCAACCAACCGTCCAACCATCCAGACCCAGCCAGTCGTCCAGCCCGGACCACAAGATCACCAACACCTCCTCCCCATCACCCATGCCCTGCCACGCACGCACACATCCCTAATCCCTCCCCCGAAATTCTCTCTAATCCCCATCCAGCGCCTCCCATGCCCCAAACCGTCCAATGTCAGCCCCGCTCCTTCCAAAACCAGCTGCACCGTAATCTATTTTTTTCATTTAAGATAAATTAAAAAACAGCCGTGCGTGCCCGGCAGCGGCAGGGTTTGGGACAGACACATGGGACTGGACCACCATACATGAAGGTAGGCTTCGGTGGGGTTTGTTTGAAGTTCTGTTTGGCTGCGCTGAGCTGGGAACGGACTTATTTGCTTCCGTTATGCGTTTGCGTTTGTTTGCTTCGATTTGGTTTTGGTTGCCTGTTTGGGGATGAGTCAGGTAGGTGGGATTGAGAGGGTTGCATTGTTGGAATGGATTAGATTGGGGGGAGGTGATGACGAATTGCTTTGAAATGGATAACATGAACCAGATATCAAGATGGGTCGTGTTCATGAACAGTAGTAAGGTCCCAGCTCAAGCTCTATTCCAATGTATACTCCGTACAGGAAAGCATAGGTATCGTAGTAAGTGAGAAGTTTCTTAAGCGAAAAGAAGGAGATCGAGCTTCCACATCGACTCGAATCGCAATTAAATTATTACCGACGAGCGATAAAGAAGGTTTGAAGATAAGGGGGAAACCCGAAAATGATCTCCTCTCCCCTCTCCTCTCCTCCTCCTCCCAGACCACAGAAAGCCCAATGCAACCCCCGAATGCATCTCGCTAAAGTATCCTCCCCATACCATATCTTGGCAAGCCGATCACCAGCCCATCACAACAGCTCGGATGTCCAGCCATCCACTTCATCATTCCGACATCACCACTTAGCTTTGCTACCTCCAGACAAAAGCAAACATGCCCAAGACAAGCAAAAGAAGACAAGGCTATTCAGCCTGTAGAAATGCGATTTGCAACAAAAAAGATTTCCGTCTTATTTGTTGTTCTTGGGCAGGCATTTGTCATGTTTTGATAAGCTGGGGCTGGATCTGAGGTGTCATCGTGTACTTCACCTTTCCAAGGATCCAAAGGGGCGAGGGAGGACACACACTACTGGTACACGATGTTTATTACTCAGCTAAAGTTTTCTGATTTGAGGAAAACAATTCAGCCTGTAAAAATGCGATTTGCAACAAAAGCTCGCTCGCATTTCCTTGAAGCCTTCTCGGCGTTTGAGTAAGAGGGGTGGAGGCCCTGCTGACCATACATATTTCAAGACCACCAACCAAGGTTCCTTGGGCGTCATCGTATACCTTCCACGAGATGCGTACCAGCTCTAGCTCCAGTGGATAGTTGCGAGTAGGATACCGTGAATGAATAAAATCAATAGGAACTTCCAGTCTCCATGATCTCGGCCCCTGTGTGTAGGATGCAGATATTTGTATCGGCTCCGTTTCCCTCTCCTCTCCTCCCCTCCCACCCCGGCTACAAAGGAGATTTATAGTAAGCCTTTGATGTGACCGACAGTGTAATAGATGTCACAATGGTAGCTAATAGGCTGCTATCTACCAGATATTCTTGCACTAACTTGCTGCGCAAGATTCATGATACACATATACCGAAATCAGACATAGAGTCACCAGCACATCGTCATAAATTCCACTACCTACAAGAACATGTCTCAACAGGATAAATTCAAGCATTTAATCCTTTCTGCATATTGTCTCACTGAATAGAGACCAGTTTGAAGAATCAGTCTGCCCACAAGACCTTCTCATGCTGACGCATGCGAGCTGCGCCACTGATTCCCCCTTGATACATACTACCACCTTTCTCTCCAACCTAATCCATCTTCCCCTATCCGTATATGAATACAATCTGGAGGTTTTTATCTTAGAGCGACGTGACTAGCTTAACATGAAGGATCCTTTTTCCTGAACTGTGCCAGACTGTCATGGAAGAGAACGGTCGACCTGGCCATCTTCAGGCGGAGGAAGTTGAAGCTGCTGGATTTTATGAACGACACTTTCATGTGCTGAAAGGGAACGCAAAAGTTAGACACGCATGGGTTAAAAAGATGACTCGTAAGTTTCATTGTTGTCAATTTTGCGAGGGACTTCCCGATTGTGTATGATGCTAGCATGGCGTCAGGCAGGGCACCTTAGAACATCGGGGACTGTTCCAGCAGTTCATTGGTAATTGTGTATAAAAGGGAGCAAAACACGCAAGGAAAATAAATGGAGATCGTTACTGGTGTGGTGATGAGGGTCTATTTTTCCACCCTCGAGATGCTAGAACTGGATTGACTACTGGGAGGTGAAGGGGATGTTGATTAAAGCCAGGTATTGATTGCCACGCAGTATCGCTGTGACGTTGGAGATTAATCTCCAACTTTCCATTCTCTCAGTACTGTAATGCCTTCTTAGTTCGGAAATATATGGTGCAGAAGTGAGAACTAAATCAAAGATATTTCCCAAACACAGAACATGATATCTCCCCTGTGGCCGCTTCGCTGCCAGGGATCACATACTTGCGTCAACCGCCTCACGCATGTGCCTTTTTCTGTAGTGATCAAACTTTGGGCCTAATCTATACTGCATATATCAGATGCGCAAAAAAATCTTGTTGATTAAAAGACAATTCAGTCGATACTTAGATTAAATGGGGCACACGTGAGAAATGGCAGGTGACCCAAGAAACTATCTATGCCTGAGCTACGATCCAGGGAAGGATCCGACATACAGAGACTGCTATCATATAGATTACTGCCCCTCCTATGCATACGTGGAAGTCACTCTATACTGCATATATCAGACTTGCAACAAGACTTGTTGATGAAAGAACGCTGAGCCACTGGGAATCAGGTGGCTGGTCGTGGATTAAGCGAGGACCAGCCGTAAGGACTTCGCAGAATTTTGTGCCCATCATGGATTGCTCCTATGATAGCATTGTCCCTATCTGCCTAATAGATACCCTCTACTGCATATATAAGACTTGCAACAAAAGCGCGTGACTGAGTTAAGAGAAGCTTCATGCGGAAGGGGAAGAGGTGGCTGGCGAGACAATGAGTCGAGATAACTTCTCTATATCTCACGATATCATAACAGAAAATTTCTCGGACTCTTACAGCAATATTCTTATGTACCTAAGATTCAATCTATACTGGATATAATAGACTTGCAAGAAGAATGGCGGTATTGAGGAGTGGAGACCGAGCCAATCCACTTGGGTGGCCGGGAAATGGCTAGCCGAGCAGGATGTAAAATCATAACGATGCAGATATTAAGATCACAATATATTGAAGCATTATTATGAATCGACTTATCTGGTTCTAAGCTATTCTGCATATAATAGATGAGCGACAGACTCCACTGCCAGCAGGCTGTTTTGATCACGAGATCCAAGAACATTTCACGGGTAAGGTCCGAACAAAGCTGTAAGAAGCCCCAAAAAATAGGTTCAAAAGTCTTCGAAGTCTTTCATACTTTGTATCATACAGATTTTAAAGTATGTTGATGATGTTCCATGTTTTGAGTCCATATTTCCGTTCAAAGACAAGAGTTCCACAGGTTGTGAGAAATGGAGTCGATGAATTGCATTCACTTTTCGAATAGTTTTCAAGAGTCCTGTATATGGATATGGTTTGTAGATGATCTCACACTAACATTGTCGGCAACCATATGAGACAAAGAACAAATCTGTTGGAATGAAGGAAAGGGCGTGATAAGGGAAATAAGGAAGGCGTGTCGAAAACGCACAGTTGACAAGGATCTTGGACCTTTGACAACGATAAAGAGTTATTTATCTTTCAATTTCATATGATTTCCCCTGATTATAATCGACGTGCAACAAAACTTCGTGGCAGGAATGGCGAGTGCGTGAAGCAGGATCGTAGGCGACGAGGGTGGGGTACAAAGGGAACAAGGCACACTTGAGGTGTACATCAAAACCATCACTTTCCAAGCTTTGAAAGTGGAGCTTAGAGATTCTAACATTGTCTTCGGGCATTACGTCAGTGCATTCCAAATATGCAGCAAAAACATCGCAGCATTACAATTGTCAAGTGACAATCCAAATATGTGCTCGCGGGACTGGTGGACATGTCCTTTAGAACTTGATAAGGGGGGGAGGACCCAGTAGCTACACTTCAACATTGATTGTATACTATGCTTTATGACATATAATAGATATGCAACAAAGGCTTGTCAGAATGAAGTTTCTCAAATTTTGCCGGGGACGTGAATAGAAGAGGCTGGCACGTCAATATGTCAGACCGCTATTATTTTGCGGAGGTATTGGCAAGGACAGTATCCTATGGGGGTTGGGGAAGCATAAATGATGAAATATGATAATGAAAATTATATATTCAATCACAGCTCTAGGGCTATATTCGATCAATGCTGCGGATTCTTCCATGTCCAGCCCGAAAAATGCAGCCCAAAATGGCGAACTCGCTTATGTCCGGGACAGTAAACAAGAGGCTGGCATCCGCTCCCGCCTCCTTCCCACTTCCGGCCACATAGTCCAGATACGTATATTAGGCTTGATATTATGTGTACCATAGTTACGAGCGGTAAAATAGATAAAGGATATGCTACAATTCCTACATATCTACGATTTGCACAGAAGATACTTCGTAACGGAACTTCAATCTTGGCGACTCGCTTGAATAAAAGAGACAACCCCGCTTTCTGCCACTCCGTCGATGTACCTATGTCAGAACCTTCTACATTTACAACAGGATTTGGAGACAGCTTCAATAAAATTGATGCGGATCTACCATTAGCCAATACCATATCTCCAAGCTGTGCAGCAGACCATGACCAATTGCATCTCCCACCATTAATTACTGCGCAAATTCCACGCCCATCTCACACCCCACCCCACCACAGCTCCACAGGCCCTTACTCCCCCAAAAAGCACGAAACAATTCAAATCCAATACCAGTCCTACCAGCTATCTCAACATATCATCAGGCTTCTCTCACCCTCCTGAGATCGCCATTTTGCTGATGCAGGTAGGTCCCTAAAGCCACCATGCCGCCGCCCAGAACAGCCCAACCCCGCACAACCACATGGCATTCGGACATTTGCTTCCCTCCTCTCCAATCCCCGCAGTTGTCCGATTAATCCCTTTCTAATTCTGTTGCACATCGCATTTTGGGCTCTCAATTTTTTTTTCGCAACCCAATCTAGCCTCATAGTTACCTTCCCCTTCACCGCTCTCTCTCTGGTACCGACGTACCGTACCGTTCCAAGAGACGAGGGGTATCGGTCGAGCGATGCGAGGTACTGGCTGAGTTTGCCAGTGGAAGGCAGGACCTGGGATATGGCAGTGGTCTGTGTTTGGTTATGATTATGGCCATGACCTGAAAGTAAGGGATGTTTGGGGAGGGGGAGATAGATGACTCTGGGTCTCACGAGGCTACGACGAGGCAGTATTTGTTGTGGTGCTTAATTGTTCTGTCAGAAGTGGATGAGTAGGTACCGCGCCAGCTGCACTCTTTCGGATCCACTTACCTTATTTCTCTTATGATATATTCCAATCACTACCTACAGGTCGCAAATATAAACTACAATACAATACAATACACTACCAACCGTACACGACAATCTCTTCGCAGCTTGCATTCAACAATAACGATCCAAACTTGGACTGTACATAACCTTAGATACCTTACAGCCTGGTTAACAGGCCCACCAGAGCCTGTTATTATTTTATCCACAATACAAACTAAACAATCAATCCATCCATCCACCTGTAATTTTAGCGTTCTCATCGCAGACACCACTCACTCACTCACCCACTGGCCGCCGCAGCAGGTATTCGCCGCCACGGCCGCCTTTGCGTCGTGCCGTGCTGCGACAACTACCTACGAAGTTTAACACTAGATTCTGGTAACTGGGTGGCGATCTGTCAGTACTGTAGGGTGCAGTCAAACCAAATCCAAGCCCAAACCCAAATAAATCCAAACCCAAGTCCAAACCCAAACCCAAATAAATCCAAACCCCAACTCAACCCTAAGCCTTAAGCTCACGCCTCAAGCTCACACCATGCAGCCAGCCGACCAGGTAAGGTAAGGGACCGGTAAGGTTAAAATTGGCGTATCGGCAACGGAGCGGGTGCGCGGTTGGTGGTAGGAGGCGGCGGCGTTGGCGACGGCGGCGGCGACGGGCTGGGGGCGGGGGCGCTGATCATCGCGGGGTTGAGATTGTGAGGATGCGGGATGTGAGGTGTGAGGATGTAAGATGCTAGGATGTAAGATGCGAGGATGTGAGATGCGAGGATGTGAGGATGAAGGTGCAGCGAACGAGGTGAGGGGGAGCGGGGCGAGGGGCGAGAATAGGGGGAGTGAGGGATGAGAGATGGGGGGAGGAGGGGTGGAAACATGATTTTCTGGGCCGCAGGTAAATGGATTTAGTGGGAGAGATTTGGAACAGTGTTTGATGAAAGGGGGTTGATAGTGATGATGGAGCATCGGATTAGGAGGATACGGTGGGTCAGGGAGGGAGAGAGGAGTAACACCTCTGTCCTTGCAGAACGAGGTGGGCAAGGAGAGCGTGGCGATGGAGGGATGGGAATTTAGGTTCAGATGGAGTGCGGAAGATCAGACGACTGTAAGTGCACAGACGGGTGGGATGGAGATCGAGAGCCGAAAATGTAAATTCGGTCGATATATTTAAAGCTTGGATATCATATGTAATGAGGAGGAACAAAGAAAAAACTTTTGGTATATAAACACCGTCCAACGCCAGAAACTCCACTGCTCTTATCATCATATCTCTCGCTCCGTATTAACAACGCCGCAAGTCCACCCGACCATCAGCTCAAGCGATACCGTTCCCTCGCGAGCACTTATGATTCTTAACCAAATCCAAGCAAAATTTCCAAAATTTGGACAAAATATCCAAAGGAATGCCGTTACCAAGGTCGTAAAAGAGACAAAGGGCCGACTATTCCTCCGACTCGTGCACGGCGTAAAGCGGTTGTGAAAGCTGGTATGCGATATATTCATGGCGGAGATAGCTGCCTACCCACCCAACAAGCGGGTCTATAGCGACGTCTCCGACTTGTGGAGACGGCGGGGGGATATAGGTAGATTGCGAGCGAACATCGTAATCTTCGAGAGCTTCATAGACCGTATTGCTGACCGCGGTGGAGGTCACTTGCTGGACAGCATCTTGGAAGAGTGCGTCGTCCTCAGACGCAGGAATCTGAGGGCCCGGAGTGTGGTCGTCGAACCCGACACCGCTATCGTTGCTTCCCAAATAGAAGAACTCGGTATGGTGTTGCACGGAGGCGTCTGCATCTGCGAAGAATTTGTCCGTGTCGGGATCGATCTCAGGGAGGTCACCATCGAAGAGCTGGAAGTCCTTGTAATCGGCCGTCGGGCGATATGAATCGTCGTCCTCGAAAATTCCACTGTCGTTGAAGCTCTCCCCGCCAGTAGCGGCAGCTTCGTTGTTGCCTTGGTATATGGCCTCAGGAGAGTTGCCGCCTTCATTTCGCTCATTTGTAGAGGACTCGGTGGCGGCGATGCCTTGGGCAGATTGCCCAACGAAGGAAGACATTGTTGCTGTGGGAGCTAGGCACCGACATCAGTATGGACCGTCGCAGTTTGTGGAGTCCTGCTGCTTACATTTTGGGTTCGTATTGCGAGTGTTGTATGGCTCAAAATGCGGAGGCGCAAACCAATTTGTATGAATGCTGTGACAGCAGTGGAATTGTGGTGCAGGTTTGTTGTGAAGAGGAAGGACTTAATCAGAGAGATATGAGGGGGAGCTTGGACTCGAATGGGTGGTGAGGAGCGAGGCGAGAGGAAAAGGCGAAGGGGGATGAGAGAGGGACGCGAAACGGGAAACGGGATGGACCTACCAGCACTCACCCAAGCACTCGCTAGACCCCACGTCCACGAAGGACTTTCCTATGCCCATGGACTTGCTCATTAAATGATGCCACACGGGACCACTGTCGGTCTGGCATTGACCGACAGTCTATTACATCGTTGTGACAAGACGATGTACTGACCTGTCCATGGACGGAAAGGCGTGAATTGCCAGTTGAGATAATCCGGTCTGGTTTGGAGCATCCAGTGCTTCACTGAAGTTGGCGTGGGGAGCCAGCTGCTGGTGTACTGTGTATGATGTGCTGCGCCTTGCTGGATACTTCCCAAGCAAAAAGACATACAGCACATCCAGTCATGCAATACCGTACAGTCCAGTACGAGGGGCCTCCAGTTCAGCACTCAGCAATACGACCAGCGATAGCATCCAAGGAGCCAACCCGATCCAAGGTGGAATTGTCCATTCAGGATCCCCCAGGCAGCCAAGCAGAGATCTCCATTGACCAGTGGGAGGAGAATGGGCCAGCGAGAGGCGATGATTGAGCATCCAGTCAGAGGACCGAGTAGATCCATCCAATCAGGGAAGTCCAGCCTCGACATGACCAATCAGATCGGAGCGGTCTTCTCCTGCATCGACGTGAGCCAACAGTGCGTCCAGTCCTGTCGCCTTGGCGAGGGGGTGTTGAGTGCGTATATCGAGCCCTTCGGTGAAGGGCGAGCAAGTGGCAGTTTAAAAAGGCCAATGAGGGGTCGTGGATTGCATGTTTTATGGGTCCAGCGTGCTCATTCTGGCTCTGATAGGCAATTGGCTGACCGGCTGTGCATGAAGAGCGCAGGAAACGCAGATGGAGACTGGCGAGGGCGTGAGAACGAGTGCAAAAGGGCGGCCCTGGCATCGGAAGTGAAGAGCGTGGACGCTCATCAGCGATGCCATCTTGTCGGACGGCTCTTCGACTTATACCTTTCCTTCCTCCTCGCCCCTAGACAGTGGAGATTATGCAACTGTAAGAACGTAACAGGGGTACGAAGTGACCCGACCAGGATGGAGGCCATTCGGATACGGGCGACTTCTGACTCTTCCAGCCACCATGGACACTGATTCGTCTCCCATAAAGAATTACAGTCTTGACCGCAGATCGCCTGACAGCGGTGGAAATGGCGCAGCAAGGTAGGATAAAGGAACGGCAGGGTGTGAGACCGGTCTTCAGGCAGAAGCAAAGGATCGCGAGACCGGAGCGCTGTTACCAACTGTGCCAACAGCTTCGTGCGACACTGTGGGAGGGCAGCCATTCGCCAGGGCATCCGGAAATCTTAATGTGCACCAACCACTCCAATCCTGTATGCGGGCTCTTGCACACCTTTTGCCGCCCTCCTGCAGCCGACGCTGCCGTGCACATGCACTCATCTCTACGATAGTCGACTCGTAAAGCCGCATCCAATCGAGTTGCAGGTCCAAAAGAGGGTCCCTATGCGAAGGCTGCGAGAGGATGCAATGCTGGCAGACTTGAGATGCCATGATATTCGACTTGGGAAGGTGGTACGGCGAGGAGTCGTGAGCAAGTCGGCGTTGCGAAGAACAAACCCTGAGGGCTCAATATGTTGAACGCGTCTTGAACGGCTGGTGATTGTTGTCCAGGCTCACCAGCCATTCCAATCCTGCTGTAGGTTACTCAACATCTGTTGGTACTGTACTGAGATCCAGCTGCAGCCTGTTCCGAATACGTACTGTCCGAAACATGCCATGCGGATGCTCTGAGCCGCTCGCACCTGAACGAATCCATCGGTAAGTGTTTGTCGTTCTGCGATTGTTGTGGGCATGTTGTTGTTATCGCAATGAAGGTAGGGTTGGCGCTGGCAAAGATGGGGGCCAAATCCATTTCCATCTTTCTCTCGTTTCTTGGCAATGTCATGTGATCGTCTAGCTTGAAACTTCGTTTTGATTCAAAGATCTTCCGTCCCTTCCGTCCCTTCCGTCCCTTCCGTCCCTTCCCCTCTGATCGTCAATCGTGCAGGGGCCACGGGAAAGAGAGTAGAGTAGTATCGTCTGGTCTCCTCCACGATTGTAAATTTACTTCGTGCCAGGACTTTCCATTAACATCGCAAGATCGGTTTCAAAGAACTGCATAATGCCGCGGACCTCATCATCGGTTGACTACTCTCTTTCCCTTCCCCAGTTCACCAGGTGTTGCTGGAGATTTTTCCTTCTCATCTTCTGATCAAACAAGTGTATTTGATTGCGGCTCAAAGTCTAGTGTCCACCTCCCCCCTTCATTCTGAAGATCCTCCTCGGTCATGCGTCCGACTCGTGGATAAATGCCGTCTCCCATATTAAGCGTATCTCTGAAGTTTGTCAATCTCAAGTTTGGACTTTCTACTCGGCTCTTCCCTGCTGCATGATCACGGAACCTCTCCATGAAGAGGCAACTGATGTTTCGGCGATCAGCTAACGACGAATGCCGCGTTGCGAGTGGCTCCAGCAACCTCAAACCCCACAATCTTTTATCTACATTTTCATACCGGGTGCGCAATGCTCATCAATTAGATTTCCCGAAACGAAATGCAGGCAGCTCAGAAACATGAGACGAATGAGAGCGAAACTCTATCCGACTTCCGCCTGCGAGTTTGGCAAGATGCGCCGAGCCCATATAAAGTGTTTGTATGACCCACGCTATGGCTCGAACCAGTTTTTGCCGTTTGATCATCAGTCTTCCTTCACTTAAGCATCTCCCGCTGTCTTGTTGCCAAGATGCATTCCACTCTTTTGTTTGCCTCGCTGTCTTGCGCTTTCACCGTCCTTGCTGCCGAGTCTTGCATATGCACGCAGTTCTCTCAGATCGCTCGTGCGGTTGAGAACTGCACGGACATTACCCTCCAGGGCATCGTCGCTCCATCAAATAGTACTATCAACCTTTCAAAGCTGCAGAAAAACTCCCGGGTTACCTTTGCAGGTACAACGTCGTTCGAGTTCACAAATTCAAGTGACTTCAACCCAATAAGCATTGGTGGCAAGAATGTCACCATCACGATGGCTCCAGGCGGAGTGATTGAGGGGAACGGATCATTATATTGGGATGGTCTAGGTTCCAACGGTGGTGTACCCAAGTAAGTGAGCTACTCTTCATCAAAGATCATAACCTAACAGAATGGTACCAGACCAAACACATTCATCAAAGTCAAAATGACCGAAGGATCAGTGATCGAAAATCTTCAGATCAAGAATTGGCCGGCCCATGGATTCGCCGTAGACGGATCATCAGACCTCACAATCCGCAACATTTTCATGGACAACCGAGCAGGGGACGCACCAAACAGTCTCAGTGGTGGCAAGAATGCTGCTCACAACACTGACGGCTTCGGCGTCAAGTCGAGCAGCAATGTTCTGATTGAGAACTGTACTGTTTACAACCAAGACGACTGCGTCGCTGTGACGAGTGGGGATAAGATCACTGTGTCCAAGATGTTCTGCTCGGGTACTCATGGACTGAGTATCGGGTCCATCGGAGGGAAATCGAACAACAACGTCACCAACGTTCTCGTAAGTCTCGTCTACTTCATTTTATACTGTCTCATCCTAATACATCCCAGTTCACCGACTCCATCATCACAAACTCCACCAACGGCGCACGCATCAAATCCAACTTCAACACCACCGGCTTCATCTCCGACATCACCTACAGCAACATCTTCATGACCAACGCCTCCGACTACGGCATCGTTGTCCAGCAGGACTACCTCAACGGCGGACCCACCGGCGTCCCGTCCAACGGCGTCCTCATCGAGAACGTGCTGTTCAAGAACGTCACGGGGACGGCCGCGGGCAAGGGTAGCATCAATTATTATGTGCTGTGTGGAGAGGGGAGCTGTAAGAATATAGTGTTTGAAGATGTGAAGATTACGGGTGGTGAGAACGCTAGTTCGTGTAATTTTCCGGCGAGTGGATGTCCGGCGTAGCGTAGGATGCTGGGTGTTGTTGGTGGATTACTTCTGTGTACATTCTTTTAAGGTTGGGATAGGTGAAGATAGAATACAAACCTTTTTACTCGCTTGGGTTTCCCTTGGCGATATCCCCACCCATAGCCGCCTAATATCTCCAGCCCATCCATCCCTTGTTCAACCTTAACAGTACCTACCTAAGCACTCAATCACATGCATGCACTTGAATGCAACCCGTTCTGAGTGAAAAGGTTTACAGGAGAAAGCAGGTTCTGCCCCGTCGTAGGAGGGAGGTGCACTTTCCTGAAATAACGACCTCTCAAGTGTCAAGAGAATATCTCATCCCTATCAATTGACTGTTAATTAACAGTCGCTAAAGTTTGGGAACAGTGATATGATTATTACAGGTATTCTAGGAAAGTGCCCCTCCCACGGTAGGGCGGAACCTGCTTTTTCCTTCAAGGTAATGAAGAATCCGCACGTGGAAGAAAAATATCTCTGGCTATGAAGTCAAGATCCGAGTCTTATCTGATTAACAACATACAGCTGTACGCATGAAGTGGCAAACGAAACGCGAAGTGGAGATATCTAGGAAGGACGGGAGATACAGAACGTAACTTGGGTATGTCGATAGCAAAACCACCAAAACCACCACCGTTCCGCCACCATTACCCTGCTCACTTTCAATTTTAGATTTTGAAACACTGATTTTCGTAAAATCCATTGTTTTGCTTTCAAAATTGTTTGCTTTCAATACTGTTACGAGCAGATATCGCAACCTAAATGCAATATACGCGCTGGGTTATTTCAAGGTGTTCAAGTCAAGGTTCTTTGAGCTGGACAAGGGCTGAGTGGCGCTCGGATGAACCTCCGTTGGCAGAGCATGGCGTGAGAGTCGACGGCAGTCTGGACCGTGAAGAAGAATCCTTCTGGCCTATCGTTGCTGGACGCTGCTACTGTAAGGCGGGTAGAATCTTGAAATCATTTGGAGAATATCAAGATAGTGGGTTGCACTGGACTTCCAGATCAAGAAATGGACGACGTTTCATGGTTTGGGGGGTTATGGCCTATTAGCCACTATGGAGCCACAAGCCAGCCGTTGACAGCCACCACAGCCACCACTCCACTCCACTCCACTCCACTGCCCGCGCGGGTGCCTTTCTCTTCGTGGCCTAGCACTGGCTCGGACCCTGCAAAAGCTCACAGTCTTGGCGTGGACCCTGGATTTTCTGGCTCTCGATTGCTGTCCCAGGGCTCGATCGAAGTTCGCTCGATGGGCAATCCCATGTTTACATCCCCACATATTCAGGGCCACCCCGTATCGAAATAATCTGAGGTGCCGCCCTGCAAATACTTCCAATGATTGCTCGATTTGATTGAATTTTTTCCGTTCCACTCTCCCCCTTCCGTCGGTTTGAATTTAACGCATAACGACGTCAATGGCACCTGCCTGACCGCGTCGCAATTCGGCATCAAGAATGGGTTGGATGCCGTGATTTCCAACATAAACATGAATATGAACAGCTGAAGAGCGTTACATTGACACCGACGACGAGCCACGACCGCGACCACGACCACGACCACGACCACGACAAACACGGTCCACCTTGAGCAAGTGTCAAAATTGCTTAAGGTCGCTCCTCCCGCAAGGCTAAGACCCAGACCTTCGGCCACAGAGGTACCCATCGGCGCCCGGTTGCGTCCATCAGTCCACGTTTTGGCCCTGTATCCCCAGGACAAATGAAGAAGAGTACATCCGAAGTTTACCTCGTCTTTCCACTGGACCCTGAACCTCGCTTCGCTTCGCTTCCTTCCCTGAGTCGCATGATCTTGGCTTCCATCACCTGTTGTCAATCGATCGCGGATTATCTCGACTCTTTCCGCTCCTATTCCTCTTCTCTCCTCAACCCTGCCGCAATCTCTGAAACTTCACTGTGAAAATTCGAGGCGCTGGCATTGATACATACATCGTGAGGCTAAAAGTCAATATACTTACCAGCTCGACATGGCTGTTGGTTGACATCCACTAATACCGCCCACCATGACTACAGGAGAGACCCTCCGGTCCAGGGAAGTCTACAGGTACGGACTGCCTCCCCCCTTCACGAAGGAAACTATACTCATCCAAATAGGTACTACCAACCGAAAAGTATTTCCAAGGCAACAGACACTCCCGAGCCATCTCCAGTCGCTCCAAACTACGCACACGGGCCTCAATTCCTGCCCAAAGTCACCAACTTCAACACCCAGCAGTCCTTCTCCGACACAGCACTTACAGCCTTTGCGCAATTGATTGCGCTCCGGCTAAATGCCCAACGAGCAATTGTCTCGCTGATCGATCACGAAAACGAATACTTCCTCGCAGAATCTACAAGTACACTGAGCATCAACGACGATGATGGAGCGCAAAATGCCTGGCTGTCAATCAGCGGCGCACGAGTTCCGCGCCATGCCTCACTCTGCGAGCAGACTCTCAGTTTGATCCCGAACCAGGATACAACCGCAGAGATGACACCCTGGTTCTTAGTTCCGGATCTACGACTGGATGAGAATATGAAAGATCTGAACTGTGTTAGAGGAGTGCCATATCTGAGGTTCTACTGCGGTGTTCCCCTTACCAATCTCAAAGGCGTGAATATCGGATGTGTCTACGTTGTGGATGATAGGCCTCGTTCGGAAATATCTCTGGAGCAGGCACAGTTTTTGACAAAGATGGCGGCGACGGTTATGGATCATCTCGAAGGTATTCGGGCAAAGGAGGACATCGTTCGGGTTACCATGATGAGTCAAGCCCTACATGCATTCATAGAGGGTGACGGCACAATGGATGGAGATTGGCAGCGGCTGAAAAGATACAACCTACCGTCTGGGGCAGGTGTTGGCTTTCAGTGGGAAACGAGCAAGAATGATGGCACTGGCAGCTACAGGAATGGGCAGAAGCAGCTCGGCTCAGGTCTCCCTCGATCGGCCCTGGCTATGCAATCAACTCCGCTTCATTCTCCTCTGCAGCATTCGGGAGTCAGTGTCGATGCGCGTTTCAACTTCAACAACTCTCCCTGGAGTTCTTCTACCGAGGTTGCTCAAGTCCCTGTGTTGAAGTCCGTCTTTGAGGGAGCAGGGGATACAGTCCAGGAAATCCTGAGTGGTGGCCGAGACGACGAGTTTGCGAATAATGGATTCGCCACACGCCTACATGCTGCCTTCTCTCGAGCATCGAATTTGGTCCGAGAGGGTATGGAGGTAGACGGAGCCGTCTACTTCGATGCGCCATATCGATTCTACCAAGGGAGAAGTACTTTAGAGATGGACCCGCGCCGTTCTAATGAATCAGATACTACAGATTCGGACTCGGGCTCGGACGGTGAAGTTGACGACTCGGAAGTCAGGCCCGGTCCTCGACCCCATGTCCTGCCTCACAGTCATCACTCCTCAGCAACTCATTCCCACACAAGTCACACCCAGAGCGAAGGACTAGCCACAGTGTCATCGATGGGTATCAAGTCAGATATTCTTGGCTTTTCGACTGGCATGTCTTCTTCTTGGAAGAAGAATAATAATAACCCTCCACGAACTTTCACACCTATCGACCAAAGCCTTCTCACTTCCTTGGTCAGGAGATATCCACAAGGAGAATTATTTGTCTTTGACAAGGACGGCCCAGTTTATCCCGAGTCAGATTCCAGTTCGCGAGAGTGCTCCGTGGTCACAGTTGTCGATACAACCACAGAAGAGAAGCGCGCTCGGCGTGCGGCAAGGAAGCGTGCTGATATTCTGCGTCTATTAATTGCTTTCCCCGGTGCTCGACAAATTTTCTTCGTCCCTCTTTACGATTCAACATCTGGATGCTTCATTGGATCTTTTGCGTGGTCTACATCCGCCACTCGAATTTTCACTGCTGAAAATCATCTCTCATATCTAGTTGCTTTTGGACACTCTGTCATGTCGGAAGTCAGCCGACTTAATACCCTGAGCGCCGATAAAGCCAAAGGGGATTTCATCAGTAATGTTTCTCATGAGCTCAGGAGTCCTTTGCATGGAATTCTTGCGAGTGTGGAATTCCTTGCAGACACCGTCCTGGATGGATTCCAGAGGAATCTAGTTGACACCGTCGACATTTGTGGGCGAACTCTACTCGACACGATCGAGCATGTCTTGGACTTCTCGAAGATCAAGAAATTTGGGCAAGCGACTATGCAGCCGTTGGGCATCGTCGCTGATCTCGATGTATCTGCTGTGATTGAAGAAGTTCTCGAAGGAGTCTACGCAGGATTCGAATTCAATGGCTTGTCTTCGGAAGGCCTAGCTGACACTACCAAGAGCCGGAGCAAAGACACTGGTTCAACAGAGCAGCGAGCAAATACCCCGACAGATGAACTTGTTGTATCCCAGGACAAAGTCACAGTGATAATTGATATAGATTTCAAAGATCAGTGGAAGTTTCCTACCGTCCCTGGTACTTGGAGACGCCTCACGATGAACATCTTTGGCAATGCCTTAAAGTATACACCTGCTGGATTCGTCAAGATCAAGCTGGAAGCTCACCCGATAGCACCTGAGGCAGGCTCAAAATCTAGCGCCGCGGATAGAACGATGGTTACGTTGACCGTGACTGATTCTGGAAAGGGAATGTCAAAGGAGTTCATGGAGAAGAAAATGTTCATGCCTTTCTCGCAGGTTTGACTTCTGACTCCAACCTACTTACATAGGCCAGTTGCTATGCGTACTAACACAATCAAGGAGGATGTCACGGCCCCTGGAACTGGTTTAGGTATGAGTATTGTAAAACAGATCGTGGATCTATCTGGCGGCAAGATCGAAATCAAAAGTGACCAGAATATTGGCACTTCGGTCAAATTGAGCCTACCACTGGCCAACTGCCCTCCACCGTCGGAAGATCTTGTACTAAAGTCCACCTCGCCTTCCAAGACTGAAGATTCGGTCGAATCGGTTCGTCGTCGAGCAGGTGGTCGGACCGTCAAGATCCTAGGTTTTGATTCACCTGGAGGATCTAAATTACAGGTCCGAGCTCTCGCCAGTCTGAAAGCAACAATGTCGAAGTACTCGACTGAATGGTTTGGTCTCAAGCTCGTGTCTGAACGAGAAGATGCAGATATCGCCATTGCAGACGAGTCTGCCTATCTTAACGAGGCAGTTTCTGATACAGAATACGGCATCTTACTAATCCTTTGCAGTAGCGGTGCTCGCAGAGATATCTTCCCCTCAAGACTGCATACCGGTCAGATTGTGGAATTCATCAGCAAGCCATGCGGACCACATCGTCTAGCCAAGGCCCTACTAAACTGCCTAGATACCGAAGACGGCACGCCTCATACTCCAAATGATGAAAGGGTAAGTCAGAAAAAGCCCCGTATAGGACTAGTGTCGCCAGGAGAAGCGCTGGTGACTGCAGGTACAAGTAGTAGTTCGAGGCTGATTGGAAATCTGCAGTCATCAATCGGGTTCTCGCCAACAGTGCTGAATCTCATACGGACACCTAGTCTAAGTAAGACCATCACGCTTGCCTTGTCAACCGAACCGGTTAGTCCGACGCCGACACCTTTGCATGAGCGACGAGCTGCCAGTGCGAATGCTGCTACGGCCCTTATCGAGAGTGGAAACATATCGGAGACCATGAGTCTAGCTAGCAAGCCGAGCATGAATAAGGATACACCGCAGACTCCTCCGACTGCGAAATTACCCAAATTTGGCAAGAGTAATTTGGAGGATTTGAAACCCAGATCTCCGGACGCTGTACCAGCAGCGCGTAGAAAGCCTACCATGCTACTTGTCGAGGTATGAATTCACTGTCTCGTGAAAAGCTTGGTCGTTGATGAGAAGTATAGGATAACCCCGTCAACATGATGCTTCTAGCCACATATATGAAGAAGAACAAATGGGAGTTTGAAAAGGCGTCGAATGGTCTCTTAGCTCTTGAAGCTTTCCGAGAGAGACCTGGGGGGTTTGATGTCATCTTCATGGGCAGGTCTTCCCCTCCTTTTCTGTGTCTGCCATTCCTCATCAGACGAGCTCCGCTAATCTTTGCTGTGACAATGAACAGACGTCTCAATGCCAGTAATGACAGGCTACGAATCAACCCGCCACATCCGCATGATCGAAACCGAACGCCGCCTCGCCTACGAACACCAAAACCTCATCCAAACCAGTCCTCCCTTCCTCTCACCCTCCTCCACTACCGCCATCAATATGCAGCAACCCTCATCCTTTCCCTTCAACCTCCCCACTCCAGGCCCTACACCCTCAACCAGCAACTCCTCCCACCTACCATTAAGATCCGACTCCATCTCACCCACCAACACCTCATCCCTTCCTTCAAACCCAACGACTTTCCCATTCCCCGCTTCTTCCTCCTCCACCCCTCCTAATCCTAATTCTAATCACAACAACACCTTCCCCTCCTCCCGCTCCTCCCCCCCCTCCACTTTCTCCCCACCACCCCTCTCGGACCTCAACGCGCGCCTCGTGCTCCCCCGCCTGAAACTCAACTCCCCGGCTCTCATCATTGCGCTCACGGGGTTCTCAAGCCAGAAGGATCAGGAGATGGCGTTTGAGGCTGGGGTGGATATCTTTATGACGAAGCCGGTGAGGTTTAAGGAGGTGGGGAGGATTTTGGAGGGGTGGATGAGGGGGAGGGAGGGGGATGAGATTCGGGGGGAGGAGGAGGAGGGTGCGAGTGGGGTTGGTGTTGGTGTTGGTCAATGATGGAAGGTTGTGTAGAGATTGCTGAGGCTAAGATGGGGGTGGGGTGAGGCTCGGAAGGAAGGTGGTTAGGACGTCACAAAAGACGCTCCCGCTTCGCCATCCCTCGCTCAATCTCTCTGTCTCTCGCTGCTGGACGACGAATACGGGTCGATCTCCTTGTGTCCGTGGGTGATGATGTCCCGACGAGATGGAAATGATTTTGATTTTTTGAGGATCACATGGAGGATCAGATATATCTGGGAGGTTGCCAAATTGTATACCAAGTTCACGGGTGGGTGAGGCGTTTAGGCGTAGGGTGCAGGGTGCAGGGCGTTTAGGCATAGGGTGTAGGGTGTATTGGGTATTGGGTATTGGAGCCTGGCAGGCGAGGGTTGGTGTTGGGTTTGAATTGAGGATTTGGAATTGGAGCTGGGGTTTTGGATTGAGCCTGAGATCGAGATGTGGACTGAGATTTGGAATGGGTTTGGCTGTGTGTGATGTATACATGTATGTATGGTCCATCTCTGTGGGGGTGTCTCTACTCCTGCTTGGTTGTTTGTTTGTCTATGTACATAATGAGAAAGTACCTTAGAGGGATATCCCCTCAACTGCTGAAAAAAAAACTTTTCCAGGGCACGGCGCTGAAGCGAGGCGCTAAGGCTGTCTGGACGACAAGGAATTTCAGCGTTCTTCGCTTAATTATAGGGTCTCGCTACAGGTGTGTTCGATACGGCAGTTGAGGGGATACATAATGAGAATGTAGAGGGATATAGGATGATGTGAATGAATGAATGGATTAATGAATAAATGGATGGGTAGTTGGGTGGATAGATCTGGTTTTTGTTGTGTGTGTACTTTACTTATTTGCTTGGAGTATTGATTGATCTATTGGGTGGGGTGGTGTGTTGGTTGGATGACTGAGTGGTTGTGTGCTTAGGTGGTTGGGTGAATTCGGGGAAGGCGAGGTAAGGTAAGGTAAGGTAAGGTAAGGTAAGGTAAGGTAAGGTAAGGTAAGGTAAGGTGAGGTACGGTCTTGGACATTCTGGCTCTGGCCGTGGTTCTGTGTCTGGTGTCTGGCTGGCTGGCTGGCTGGCTGGCTTTCTCTATGGCTTTCTCTATGGCTGGCTGGCTGGATGGGATGGATGGATGGATGGATGGATGGATGGATGGATGGATGGATGGATGGATGGATGGATTGATGGATTGGTGGATTGATGGATGGATGGATGGATGGATGGATGGATGTTGTATCTACTACATAATAATAAAGAAGCGGGGCGTGGGCGTTGGAACTACGGAATTTTTGGAATTTAGTAGGGAGTGTATTAGGTGGATGCAGGGTCATTTGAGTTTTGAGTTTTGAGTTTTAAGTGAGTGAGTGAGTGAGTGTGTGGGTATATGTTGAGATATGTATTTGGCGGTGGAGGAGAGGTAAGGATTGACATAGGGGATAGGGTTAGGAATCGGATAGATGACACTTAGAATTATGTGGTAGTGGAAAGCTGGGGAAAGCTGGGGGGAGAGCGGGGAAGGGGGGTGGAGTTCTTTGTTGACAAGATAAATGGAATGGAATGTGACATTTGGTGTGACTTATTGGACATGATGGCTCTCCCGAAATAAGGTAAGGTCGACGTTTATATGCAAAATCATCGTCGAACGGGCGAGTCTCTATACTCGCTTCAAACCGAACTTGTCATGATGCACGCTAGCAACTGTTTTTCATAATATATTGATGTAAAATACAGTGCGATGTGCTTTTGATAACGTACTGAGAAAACTGTGCATCTGAACATTCGATTTGGCGTTTCATTCAGCTGACAGCCGTGCGAGCGAGACTTTCCAAGAATCGCGCTCGATCTAAGCAGTTTCAAGGGGGTATTACTCACCAGCCTGCATGGCATTCGATGCATTCGATGCAATTAATGCGTGAGTTGCATGGTATGTGGCTTTGGTTTTTCGCTGCAGTTAACTTATAGCTCATTTTCCACGAGGTCTGAAAGAGGTCTTTCTTTCTTGTAGTGGGTTCGAAATTGGCATCGATGAAAGGAAGTCAGATTGGGTGTAGCGCCTGTTTTCGAAGCGCGGCAGTTGAAGGTCGTACTTGAGAATAAACCAGCTGTAATGTCGAACTGGAATGGCGACTTAAAGATATGAATGAGGGGAATCTTGTCTATCTGTCTCGGTCTTCCTAAGATGCTACGACACTAATTCTGGGTAGGTAGGGGACGACAATTCCAGCCTACTATCAGCTAAATGGTCAGCTTGGCGAATGCCAGTCATGAGTTGCGATACAGTCTACGATGTAATTAAGGGCCGCTTCTTGTTTTCCAGGTCGCGAAGCTCGCTGACATTGATCTGGAGATCCAGCGAGAGCTTGCAAACGCCCTGAGATGCGTGATCCAAGTTCCCTCGAGAGTGGATGCGAGTGAAGTCCTACAGGAGATTGATATCAAAAGATCGAAGGCTAGCGTCGCTTTCTGTAAGGAGGTAACGCGAGAGGTCCTGGAAACTTTGTCACGAGATAAAATGAAAATCTGGCCGACTTCAACTGGATCGAGAGTTCGGCCGTGCCTCAGTGATTATCAGGCTTGCCAAGGGGTGCCTGGATGTATCGGTAGGGGAGAGGGGTTTGGGGGTTTGGGGGGGGGGGGGGGGGGGGGCGGGTGTTGAAGAAGTGCACATCCGATCGTCTCCTACCACAACCTTTCTTAGAACAAAACTGTAGTGTGGCAAAAAAGTAAGACTTTGCCCTAAAATTGCTGCTTTTATTCATGAACATATGAGATTATCCCTTTTTTCTTCTCAACAATGAATTTGTCTGTTTCACGCGTTGTTCGTCTTAGCATACAGAGGAGCGCGGGACTGAACTCACTGTTATGCCCACTGTTGCTGTGCAGGCGACGATTAAATTTCCCGTTTGTGGTTTGTTAATATTTTCGACGTAGATGTTACTAATCAATTTTGATTTTGATTAGATTGGGATAGTGTGCCCAAGACAGCGCCGTTCCTTTATGTGCTCAGTGAATTAGAGGTATCTTGTCCTTCGAATAGCATCCTCGCTTAGCGAGGCGCAGAACAACCACCTATCTTGTCTTGCCATTCTCAAAAAGTTGTAACAATCGCCTTTGATTCTTCTATAAAGAGAGAGTCTCGAACTCCAAAGACATGCTTCGATATCGCAACATGCTTTGAAGTCTCAACATCTTCGACCCCTTTTGACCTTGCCAAACACACATCGTTCATTGTGTCATTCGCCTCAAATCCAATCTTCCGCTTTGTTTGACCTCTAGTTCGTTCTCGAATCCAGATATTAATATCGAAATTGAGGGGAAAGATTGGAAAGGAACCAAAAAACGGGCTTTAGTCAGAAGATCTGCCCAGCACAAATCGAGGAAGATGTCGAGGAACAAAGAAGTTACGAGGACGAAGGGCAAAACGGGTGCTCAGACTGAGGAGATCAGACCTAATGGATCTAAGCATACCAGCTCAAATCCATCATCGAATCTGAACTATGATAGGGTACGACCGCTCACCGAATTCCACCTCTTCCCAAGACTACCCACCGAGCTCCGCCTCAAAGTCTATAAGTATGTAAGTCTAGTTCCACGTATCGTCTCTCTCGCATTCAAACAGGACAAAGAACGTCTGGCCTTGTTTGGTCCAACTTACAAGGATCCTGAGATTGTCCACCGGAGGGTTATAGCCTGCCCTCGATCTCGCGTACCGCCCTTGATGCACGTTCATCATGAGTCACGGCAGGAGTCCATGCAAGTTTATACCAAAGTGATTATTTCAAATTCTGGACCCTGGAGAGGGGACTATATTTTCGTCAATCATCGGGTTGACACGTTACACATGGGTGGGGATAACGTTTGTCTTAGTGCCATCAGAAACCTGCTCGACGTCACCAGTGGACATATCATGCCCCGACTTTCGGTCGATATCAGTGGCTCTGAGCCCTTTTGCTGCACCTTTGGATATGGGTTGGGGAGTAGTCATTCGACTATTCTCCTATATCGGCTTCTTGGAAGCTACTGTACCCGTGAAGGTAGAACATGTGATCAGGTCAACAGCCTGGAGGATCTTTCATTCGTGGTCGGATCACATATCACACATCTAAAGCCGGAAGCAGTGAGCCACAACAGTTCTTTTCATCCTGCGGTCACCAATGGAGTCAGTGATGGCGAAATGAGCTGCAAATTAACATTGGAAGGCTGTATCTCGCAAATCAGAAAGGGGCTTATTTCGCAACATAGTCTCTTCCATGGAGTGACTTTGCCGTCAATCAAGTTTGTCAGCTTCGCGCCAATTACTGAAGACAACGATAGACGAGTCGTTGAGATTGTGACAGCACAAGCGGCCGCGATTCAATGGCTGTATCTCAAGAGACGAACTTTCTTCGATTTGGGTTCGGTTAGCAGACTGGAGCGCCAGCATCGTTGTGAGATTATCATACCCAAAACAACTCCTTGGTATACGGAGAAGGCCGAGATTGCGATAAAGGGCGCACAGGAGGACATCGAGGATTGTCGAGAATCTCTCAGATCTCTCTTGGTAGACTTGCAGGGAACTGAGTGGCAGAACAGGTGTTTTCACCCTCCCTCGATGCTGGAAATATTCTGGATTATCTGTCGCGAAGTGTCTATGGCGCTGTTTTTGACACTACTGTGGCAGCTTGGAATTTTGCACGCCATCCCTCACTACTGCGTAAATGAACCATGATTTGGGCTGGCAGCTTATTCTGGAGGTCCGAGATCGTCGTTTTTTTGTTACCATTGTAAGTAGTTTCGTTGACGGGAGTTTGGGGCAACAGTGGGTGTTTTGGCAGGGTGCTGCATGGGTAAATGGTTATCATGAAATCAGGATTATTGCATAAATAGAGGAGTAACTTTGTCCATCAGACTGGCTGATATGACATATATGGGGATTGTCCAGGGGTTTGCTTGGTTTCCTGATCGGTTCTGTGACTGTGACGTGTTTGAAAATTTATGCTGTAGCTATGAGCAGTCTCGAGACTCTGCAATTGAATTGCCTGAACATAAGAGCTCTCACATCAATTTCATAACAGGCAATTTACCTGTCGAAGCCGTGTACACCTTTTATCATTCACCCACGGAAGTCTGGAACGACCTCTGACAAGTGAATACTGCTCACGTGGAAGATAATATGTCGCTTAATTAATTTGTTTACATTTGACGCTAGAATGCATTCTCCATGTACTTTATCCCCTCCGCTGGTCGTCAAGTTCGTAGAATCTCGACTTGAAAATCGACGACAAAGCTTCCCCCCTAACTCCCCCTCGAGTTTCGGCAGACCTGCGCGTCACTCAGCAAAGCATCACACGTATCTTACTTCTTCCATCGCCATCTCAAACATCTCGCTGTCCTCTTCCACCTTCCCAATGTCGCGTCTCAGTCGCACCAACAATTCTCACGGACTCGCTTATGACCTAAATGATAGAAGCATCGGTATCATACCTGATCTATTTCGATCGACATACAGATCTGGGGTCAAGATATGTTCTGCCATTGCCGAATGTCTCAGCACCGGAGATGTTGCAGAGCCAATACCAAAGCCAAATAAAGAACCCAGAACTGTGAAAACATCTGTTTATCGCCAGCCAGACGATTTTAAGCCTTCGGAGATGCCGGGTACTTGGAAGCAAAGCGTGGAGAGCTTGACCGCCGCACTGGGCGCTCTGGACATGGGTGCTGGTGGAGACAAGGACGCACTGCATGATAGAGGGGATGCGGATGACATGGCTGGGAATAATAGAGGAAAAAAAGCTGTCGAGGTCGCTTTAGGTTCCGGTACAGCTGAGAAGTGTAGATTTGCGGAGGCAACAGCCAAGAATTGGGCGAGCCTGTGTGATGCTGCGAATCAGCCAGCATCTGAGTATCTAGAGGGGTATGTCTCAACTCTCAGCATGCAAGGACAAAGACTAATCAATATCAGATCCAATTTTGAGTTTTACCCATTCAAGCGATTGCCGCCAGAGATCCGACTTAAGATCTGGAGATTTGCTGCCACTCACCAACGCATTATCGCATTTGAACTTTTCGACGATGGATTGGATTTCCACTCAAGATTGGTAATAAAAGGTCGATCTCAAATCCCTCCTTTACTCCACGTTAATCGAGAAGCGTACGGTGAGTGTAGAAAGCTGTATCTGAAAAGAAAAGGCTGCTTCGTCCCTCCTCACCTGTACAATCCAAGCACAGATATCGTATACTTCGGTGGCAGAACTCACTGCTCACAAGCCTTCTCAGCAGCTTTCTGGGGCAAAGAAGATTTTCAGGATGACGATCAAGACAACGGTTTTATTGATTGTTTCAGAACATGTGCCGTTCCGCGGGTGGCAATTGATCTCAGCATCCCACTAGCCGATTGCTGCCGTGGCGAATCTGACGAATCCAGAGTCTCTCAAACAATGAGAGGCCTTCACGGATACATGAATCAGCCGAAGGGTGAGAATCTCAATAAACGTAGTCTGTACTGCAGAGGTTTGAAAGAAGTTCTGCTCGTGATGGAGAGCAGACCATTTACAATGACTCATTCACGTATCAACCCCGCAACCTCTTTCCACCCCGCGAGCACTATTGGCATCAACGAATCCCAAGCTGCTCTGCGAAAGGAATTCGAAGAAGAGATTGCAAAGATCCAGGATGAAAAGCCTTCTCTGTGGGGACCAAACGCTTGGATTGGCGACGACAAGCCGACTTTCACATTTGTCAACTTGGCACGAGATAAAGCCGGCGAAGCCTTCGAGAGCCTGCCTGCATTGAGATCTGAGGTCAACGAGTTGAAGGTACACCATTCTTCTTTTATCAATGAACTTCGACAAAGCACTGGATGCAAGATTATCATCCCGCACCAGGTTGACGATGATGAGGCTCCCATGGAGATTGGTATCAAGGGAACGAAGGAGGGTGTCGAGGTATGCCGTAGGAAGATCCAAGCTATGATCGACCTACATCTTTGAGTGAGCAATCGAGTCTGCGTTCATTTCCTTATGGCGTTCAGAGAATTTATTTTGAGGTCTAAATGTTCTTATCATTATCGCGAGACGACAAGGTGCTGGAGGAGATGGCAGGAAGGCTTGAAGGTTGGATATCAATTGGTTATTTGAAGCACAAGTCGTCTACTTCGCAGCTGTGGTATGCTTTGGCTACACTACGAGGCGGTGGCTGCTACCACATATAGAGTCGAGAGGTATAACACTTGGAACTAATGCCAGTACCAAAAGGTTTATTGAAATACATTGATTTTGTTCTGGCGAGGCCTAACGCGAATAAAACATGTCTTAGATGTGTGCCATCTGTTCGGCGTCTTGTAAGGCATAAGATATTTGATGAGTGTGAGTATCAACCAGGGCGAATTGAATTTACTAAAGGAGAAAATGGCGGAAAAGTGAGAACCAATTTATTCCTCTCTCGGAACAATCTCTTGATGCTAAAATGATCCCCATACTATTGCTGACTCAAGATCAGGTCTTGTTGTCGGGTCTTGAGGCGAAGCGAGGTTTTCAGAATTATCCCCATCAGTACTCTGACAAAGCATTCGCTTTATCAATAATATGAGCAGAGAGAATACAATTAATGTAGATCACATATGCTATCCCAGAACTGAGATGCACGGCTGAATACAGGCAGAGATCGACTATCGTACGATGTTTGCATACCAGCCAAGCAAACTTCGCGAACGTGGGCTCATATTACTACCCCGCGGCGAAGAAGCTGGGTATAAAGCACAAGCTTTCCCCAGAAGTCCCGAGATCTCTGGGCCAATCTCTCATCTCTTCGCATCCTTGATATGATGATCGGATCTTGCGACAATTCGCACGTAAGCGTGTCCAAGCTGAGGGCACAGACTTCTGGCCAAGTCAAACGGGGCAAAACTCGATGAAGTGATGAACGTTTTGAGTCCAAGAAAACACCAAGAATAGTCCCCAGAGTCAAGAGACTCGGTGTATGGGGATTTGTTTGAGCATTTGAGGGGAATTGGGGAAATGGTTTTGGAGATGGGATCAAATAGGTACCTAGGTACTTACCTAGGCTTTGCTAAATTTAGAGTGGAGCAGCCGCGAAGCGAGCCGAGGTTCCGCCGCCACCAGGCGCCGAGCAGCTGAAACAGCTGAAGGCGAGAACAATTGTTCCATCAACACCACACTTCACACAACCAACCTTACACGAACCTTCACCGCTTCTTTATGGCGCGCGACTCAACGCAATTCTCACTTCAACTGCTTCCTTTAGAGCTAGGTAAATCGGTTACTGGACGATGATGATAGCCATGAACTCAGAAAGCCCAGAGAAAAAGCACGGCTGCCAAGGTCGAGCGGAGGGTCCGGATGTTATGAGCCAGGGACGATCACGACGCCATTGAACTGAGCTCAAACCTTCTATCAGCCTCCTGTGACGAAGATGCTATACCAAATACAGAAGTGCCGGTCGGCTTTTCTTATCGCAAGTCTCCCCAACGGCGCCTTCAGGGGAATGGATGGTGCGGAGGCCGCGACGCTGCTCGACTCACCGTCTGAATTCCTATGCAGCGATGACCTGCTCTCATGATAGTTGGCTTGGCTCTGTGTACCATCGACCCCCTTGGCAGAACCAGTTCAGCTGAGCTTCTACATTACGGTTTCTTCCGACCGTTCTCTTAGAAGAGACATCGACACGTCGCCCTTCCCAAGCATAGCCCATATACATCAAATCTTTGAAGCCAATTGTCTGGGCGGTCATAAGTGAAAGCCACATGATTTGCTCGATATCAAATCTCGATGCGCCAAACATTCCGCATGTCACCATGACGAACAAGAACACGAATCCTGCATTCACAGGAGGCTTCCAACTGAACTCATCCGAATACCCTCTCGGCATCTTGGTGCAGCATCTCTCTCAACGCTCTTGGCTGTCATTCAAGCCTTCGAAAATTCCGCCGGAGAATCATCACCTGGCTTACTTACATCTAAGCCCGCCTTGTTGATTACACAAGACTGCCCAAGCCCGGAGTTTAAGATGCCAAGAATTGGCACAATATCAAATGCCACCCAACGTCCACCTTATGAGCACGTTTTTAGGAGGGTCGTTTGGAGTCAAAAAAAGGTTCCTTTTCACATTCAATACTCGTCCTCATCTCATGGTGATCGCTAGCGTCATGTGCAATATTCCTTATTCTCGCCACACCAGCAAAGTTCGCATGTGAGCTTATCCATAGACCATAGGGTACTAGGCAGTACTTATTTGCCTGATATTGTCCCTGAAGATCATGGAATCTAGAATTTCAACATGGTAGATCCATTGAAGCAATTGTGGAGATGGTCACTCCGATTTCTGCTACGATCACCAAGATGGCGCGATCGGTCGGTGTGAAGCGCACTACGAATCTCACCAGTTGCAGTGCATCCCTCGATGTCTCCAATAATTCAGGAGAACTCCCCCTTTATTTGTTTTTTGATTTTGATGCCCCCAAAAATCCTAATTGGGCAAATCTCCGCGATCGAGGTTTCAAGACAAAGAAATCCTACATGCATCAATGGCGCATATCGCTACTGAGACATGTGTTCTCATTCCAAATTGTCAGTTGATCGAAATATGCAGTATGTCATTCTTCATCAACCTGATGATTACGTGGACTTTCAGTGGGATTCTATCCAGTGTTCTAGATCAGCCAAAAATGAAGCTTTGAGGTTTTATTTCAGAAGTCTCTCACGCGTTGGCGCATCGTCATCCAAGAACCGGCATTATTTGTATCTCCGAGGCTGCGCTCCCATGACTGCAGTAGTTGTAGACTGCCTCGACTGGAAGGATTAGGAACGTACTTGAACCTATTGTCTCCTCTTTCAAAATCGATTGTCTGCACGTTGGATTTTGTGTTGAGCTACGGACTTCTATCCGATGAGCCATATGTTTCGCCAAGCATGCTAAGTATATCCGCTAGATCGTATGTCTGAATCGACATGGAAGTTTGGTGGGCCACTGCGTATGAAGCATCGGCGGAACTCCGACGCGGGGCTGGTTATCAGCAAGAGACTGTTGGCCACTGCGAATAGAATGGGGAGAAAAATATCCATGCGAGACATTGGATGCAAGACTCTTCCTCCGCAGATTGATTCTATTCTGGAGTAGAGATGATACTGGGGAAGTCTCGCTCAGAAACAATTCGATTCGACCGCTTAGTGGTGGTGCGGCTCTGTCAGATATCAATGAAGTGTCAAATAACCCCCGGAGTCCGAAGCCAAAGTCGGATGGATTCTTACGGGGTTTCGAGGGCATTCGAAGACCACACTTCCTGATTAGAAAACTTGCTCAGGGTCAAAGTTCTGTCATCAATTTGGGGGCGGTGTTTGGACAAATGTTCCTGCTGATAAAGCTACTTTGGCTGGCATAGTTCTTTTTGTTGTCGAAACCCATCATCGAACTTGGCGATGTGATCTACAAAGCCAAGGCACTTCAGATAGCAGTGGGGGCTAGCTCAAACGGAGGGGCGAGGCCAGAGTCATGTCTGCACGGAGGAACGATCACAAATCGCGGGGTGCTATCCACGAGTGGGACTGTCTGCATTCTTCATGTCGTCACTTAGGTTTGCAACTTCCCTCAAATCTCTGAACTCTGCCGCACGTGATTGCAATGCAAATCCCCGTTGCCGTATCACAATGCCTAGGGGAGTAGGGATGATGGTGACAGCGGCGAGACTGCAGGAAACCGGAGGCGAAGCCAGAGAATGATAGACGCAGGGGTGATGGAATCTGGTTGGAGTGCAATAAAAACAACTTTTAACCAGACGTCTCTACTCGCTTGGCGACAACAAACCTTCCGGGGATGGAGCTTGCATGGGCACCTGATGAGAACTTGACCACGCCGAAATGGGACGAAAACGTTGAATCGAGAGCAGTTTCGAGAAGAGCTGCACTGGCCACACTGCACCTCGATGTTTCTGCTTTTTCGTGCCCAAGTGTGGAGCTGCGGAAACACTGTCACATGTTTACGACGCGGGACTGGACGTCGTGAGAGCAGGCGAAATGCAGCTCGGATTATACCCAGATGACACGGATCTCGTGAACCTTCTATTATCTCTGGTAGTACATTGGTACTAATGCCACTGCCGATGCGGCATCTTGCAACACCGGCCCGCAAACAGTCCGCCAATAGCACCAAATGTGGCCTTGCAACTTTGTTTCGACTTCACCCGTACACCCCACGGCGTTCATCATTTTACCCACCCAATTCAGCCATTACAACGCAATTAAGCAATGCCACCTCCCGAAGATGGCATCCACTAGATCCCTGACTTCCTTTTCTGGGCAATCTCGATACCACGGCGGGCCACAGACATTGAGCCTCCCTTGGCGACTTGGCCCTGCAGTCGATCATCTTGGCAGCAACGTCCTCTCAGATCGTGCTCCACAAGGTACATTCTTCCAAGACAATCGCACAAGCAAACACCTTACACTTTCGAGTCAAGGGCTATCTGGTACAAGTGCACCAGCCAGTTGCGCCTCAAGATAAGCTCAATGGGGAGAGATCGTCACCGGCAATATTGTGCGCAATCGTCTAGGTATTTCCCGATGATCTTGGCTGCGTGTGAGAATCGTGTGAAGCAGCGACTTCCTGTCAAAAGCTGCCTGTACCAAGTTACATGTGGTGTAACTCGGGGTTTCTCTATTTTCATCAACCACAGTCTGGGTATCTGCTGTCATTCGGAGTTTCTACATGTTTCCCCATTCCCCCAGACTCTCGTTATCTAGCGCGTGCTGGCACCCTTTGATATAATTCACCTTAACGAGCAAAGCACATTCTCGCCGTGGTTCAGTCAAAGTAAAACAACAAAACATTTCTGTTCTCAACAAAAACTATCATATCCTCATCACGAAAGTCTCATTCTGTCCACCATGACGGGCAAGTTCTCGGACAAAGACCCAGAGCGATGCGTCCATTATGCCAGGTTCTTTCAGCATCTCACTTTGCCTGAAGCAAATGGTATATTCTGGCTTCTGTTCATCTTCGTACGTCAATCCTCATCTTTCAAGTATTCTGTTCGCCATGAGCTCTGCTAACAATTGTCAGGTTCTAATTATGATGTGCATCAGCTCACTGCAACATCACAAGTAAGCACTCATCAACTGCCATTTTCTAGATCGATTCCACAACCATATCAACCCCGTTTAACGCCCCGTCATTAACATTATCTCAAGGTCCATCGCCCTCACCGAGCGTGATAAGTCCCTCCCACCCCGTGTCGTCAATTCCACCAGCCACAAACTCAAAAACAGGCGCCTCCGCGTCAAGATGCTCTCCATCGCCTCACTTTGCCTGATCCTCTCGGCAGCAGCCACGGTCTTCGAGTGCTTCGCACTCTTTAACATCGAGTTCTGTGATGGCGAAGACCTGATGCAAATGTACTGGGGCTTCTGGTCCGTCCTGCAAGTGGGCTCCAACATCGCTATTCTCGGCGTCATGGTGCAATTCTGGATCGTGTTGGGCGATGTCGAGACGCCATCCTGGGCCGTGGCGCTGGGGACGCCGGTGCTGGTGTTTGCCGCGTTGGGGTTCGTATTTAGAGCGATTGGCAAGAATGTTTGGGGGAAGTTTACGGGGAAGAGGGAGGAACGGGAGAAGGAGAGGAGGCAGTCGGATGATGAAGAGAGTGGTGTTGGCGGTGAGACGGATGATGATGGTGAGGGAGGGCAGGAGAAGGGCAGGGTCAACAGGTCGTTGAGTACTGCGTAAGTCATACCCTTCGTCCCACATGGCCTTTCAATGTAGTACCGAACATCAACTAACATAACATTCAGTCCAACGATAGTCAACGACGACTCTCGCTACGCCTCCCCATCGCCCCCACCAGGCGAAGCAAGCAACGACTCCAACAATAGTAGACCACAACCGTCTCCTCGCGGCCCTACGGTCTGGTCCCGCGACTTGCAATACCTACTCAGCTCTGTCGTGCACGGCGAGCATGATCAAAGTCCTCGTTAATTCCACATCCACCACCATCACCACGGTAGGCAAAGCCGAGGTCGAGAACATCACGGCACAGGAGCTCTTTCAGCACCGCGTTGAAGGGGCAGGGAGTCATCCGAATGTGCGGTTATTTGGGTCAGGCGTTCAAACTTCCTTCCTTCGTTTCGTTCTCATTATTTTCTTGATTTAATCTGATTTTGAAGGATGATATCATGCTTCTGCGGGAGCGGGCACTTTCATTACTTGTTTTAGCTAGTATTCTGCCGACCGACATAACTAGACGCATATCGTAGAAAGCGATAGATAGACCGCGATGGATCAATTGATGACTTACGACCCATTCCTGACCTCAAATGGTGTTTGTTTTGAGCGCCCGTGACTGATTGGTACATAGGTACAAATGTTTGTTGATACCCCTGAGCTGTAAACGATGTCTGGGTATTTACTCCTCAATATATACTAGGGTATAATAATATGATAGATGCAGCCAGCATCCTTGCCCAAATCCATCTCTTTCTTTGTACAATCATCATTTTCAACCCCGCACTAATCTAATCCGCCTCTACAACACCACATTCCCCACCGCCGTCTCCATCCAAAGCTTCGTATACAACCTATGCGCAAACTCAACATGGCTAGCCATCGGCCCCTTATCCGCCTTCCCCAACCCCTTATAAAACACACTCTTCAGCCTAAACTCCGCGACACCCTCATCCTTCTTAATCTCAACGCCCATCTCGAACAGGCCGTCCGAGCTTCTGACTCCTGTTTTTAAAGGAGAGTCTCCACAGCGGACTACGATCGCGGATGGTGTTTTAGAAACCACGACAAAGTGGTCCGTTATCTCGGTGCCGGGCTCGTAGGTTGAGGTTAGGAGGGAGGAGGTGTCCCAGAGTTGGTGGGCGGTGGTTGTGGAATTACGGTACTTCTTCTCGAGGAAGCGGCGTTGGTAGGCGTATCCTAATTAAATTCCGTTAGCATATGCCTCTTTGCAGATGAATTTGTGTCCTCTTCGAGTTAGATGTTGTGTTCGAAAAGAGGTTCCCAATTCCAATTCTCGCCTTGCCCAATCCCATCGCCACATAGCAGCCCACCCGCGAAGCATGAGCAGAAGAAATAGCATACCATAACCACCCCAAACACCTGCGCAGAACGCCTCCACCAATTTCCCCTCCTTCTCCAAAAGCTGCGGTTTGATCTTGCTCAATGCACATAGATCCTGCGTCGCAGGATTGCGATTCGGGTTATTGGTTTGGTATGCTGTGGAGGAGAAGATAGGATCGTTTGGCGTAATGGGGATGAACTTTGAGTTGCGAGTCCACTGTACATATCTGTTAGAAATTGATATTAAACCATTTGGGGCTCAGAAAATGTGAAGTAGATTGTTGTGTGACAGCTGGGTAACCAAGTGAAGCACGAGCTCAAGCTGTGTTAGAAGGTGGGGGAATGCGAGGTACGCGCGTGCACATCAGGACAAGCAATTGACTCACGAATGCGAATGCGCCGACACTGCCGGCTCCGCCTAGGACTGCTGTATTGAGGAGGGTACGGATGACACCCATTGTGTATATAATTCGAGGTTGTGTCGTTGATGAAGTAGGTTGAATATGGAAGGTTGGGAAGCTTTATCTCAGTAAATCAGACGCCTCGCTTGCTCTCTACGTGGACACCCCGACCTAACCTTATTAGGAAGGAGGTCTGTGCGTCCACAGTTGCGAGCTGCGAAGCGTCTAAGGGAAAATAGTGCTAATTTGTGTAGTCACGCAGCTAAATCGAGTTTCGATTTTCAGTTATATTAAGATATCTTAACGTATACTAATCAGAACACCTTTATATATACCATAAGACCTCAGTAACCTATTTCTCTATCTAATAATAGTATTTATATTAAGTATTAATTATTCCTTTAAGGAGAAGTATACCTGCTAAGGCTAAGGTATCGCTAGCGTTTACGCGGCAGACTGAAAATCGTTCTAGAATTACACCGGAATCAACTCTAGCATTTTAGAACTACAACCTCAATTAATAAGCTACAAGTTGTTCCTTAACAAGACAGGTAGTTAGAATAATTTCACGTTTACAGAATAAAAATCGGTCGAGTGCGTATCTAATAATTAAAAAGTAGGTGATATTTTAAGGAATTAAGCTAGAAATTATCCGGAATCGACTCTAGTATTTTAGAACTATAACCTTAATTAATAAGCTATAAAGTATTCCTTAATAAGATAGGTAGTTAGAACGATTCTACGTTTTGTTACGGACCTCTTGGCGCTACAGTTCAGTTAGCACCTATATAATAATAAAACTATCAGTGGTACTATAGGGGCATTAGTACTAACGAGGGAGCAGTACTATCGATAGGGTAGTACTAGCTAGGGAATAATACAGGATAAGCGAGTAGTACTACTATACACTTATACTTCGGTAGTAATAGTAACCTAGATCATAGTAGATAAGAGGTCACGTGATAAATCCCTGGATCCTTAGATCCCCTTATAGGAAAACAGATCCAGGGATCTAAGGATCTAGTATTCTAAGGGATCTAAAGTAAACGAAAGTTCTATATAAGACTAGCACGTCTGCTATTAGATAGGAGCTTCGTGCTTAACTTTAAATAGTATTCTGATACTTAGTAATTATCTTCCTATCTACGTGATACACTTACCTCTCGATTATTAGAGATCAACTGCAGCCTTCTGTATTTACAGCGAGTAAATACCGGACTGTTACACGTTTACAGAACAAAAATCCGTCGAGTGCGTATCTAATAATTAAAGAATAGGTAATATTTCCTTAAATCTTATAGAGAATACTTAAAAAGTTTAAAATAACTACTAATCTAAAGTACTTAAAAAATACCACAAAAGATAGAGAATTAGAAGAGCTTTTAAATAAGCTTTTAGTTATTAGAATCCTATTTATATAAGATATCGAAGTATTAATTCTAGTATTACCTTCAAAAAGTAGGATTTCCTCACTAAAGTAGCCGCGCGAGCCACCAAAGGAACACTATTTTCCCTTAGACCCTCCGGTGATTCCTAGCTGCTCTCGCCTTTAATTGGCTCGCTTAAAGGGGTAGGCAGCGAGTATCACCAAGGAGGGGCTGATTTACTGAGATAAGGGAAGCTGGGGGAGCTATCGGCGAAGTTTAAACTTATCGGCACGTGAAATCGGGTTCTGACGGCAATCTCTCGGCTAAGAACCCTCATTGTTAGGAGCTGTTGTAGAATTTCGAGCTCCTCGACTTGAGTTCTTCTTTTTAACTTCTTGAGGACATATTCATTATCAAAGTCACTTGTAATATATTGTCGATTCTAAATTTGCACTCTTTCTTTATCATTTACTACTGCAATGGATTCAACTCGCCTAACTACAATAGTAACTCCCAGCCAAATTCAATGTTTACTTACACATATCTCGGACCACAAGCGAGGATATGTTTTCTTATGTCTATTTTTGTGCAAAGAGAGTATTTTCAGTTGACCATTTTTCGCATTGATTTTCTTGTATATTGACAGGAAAAGCTTCAAAATCCTCAACGGGCTAATGGACTTTCCCAACACCATCCAAGCACACAAGGATCAATCAAGCACCGGCCTTCTCATCAAAGCAGAGCAACTTCCCCCAAGTCCAATCCCCTCTTCAACTTCTTCAATTTTTCATCCCTTAAACAACCCAGTCCAGCAAATCCTTCCTCCTCCTCTCCAAGCTCCCAGCAGCACTAGAACTCGCCCCAATCGCCCCATCCAAACTCCCACTCATCCCCTCCGTCTCAACATTCTGCCCAAAAGCATCACTGTTATTATGAATCACCAGCATCGCCCCATTTGCTCCCTCCCACTTCTTCACATCATACCTCCCACCATCACCTCTCCCCTCTCCTGTAATCCACCTCCCCCTCTCATATCTGCCATCAGTCCCTTGAAAAAGCTCTCCCTTACTCACAACAAACACATGCTTCTGATTGTCCAACGCAGTTTTGACGAGATCAAGAGCAGGTTTGTCGGCGTAGTTATTGAATCCAAAAATCCTCAGATTCTTCAGCTCGTTGCTCCCCGCCAAAACCTTAAGCGCGAGAATCCACAGCCTATTCAACAACTCCGCACCTACGGCTCCGGCAAAGATACTAGCCGGATCATACGTGTAGAGGTATCCCTGAGTGCAGAGGGCTTCAAGGGCAGAGAACTCGTTGCGCACAAGGTGGAAGGCAGTGGCGAAAAGTATCTCGAGAGAGAGCGTCCGAGAGTTGATTTTGACGTGCTGGTTGACGAGTTTCTCTTGGATGGTATCAGGAGTTGAGGTCGAGGAAGAAATAAGCTCCGACAGAAAAGCCAGCGCTTTCTCCAGGCTGAAGACTTTATTCCACTTCTTCCCAACAGCAGGCAACTTCCTCTCCCTCATCAAATGGAACACCAAATGCCGTCTCAAACTCTCATCATACTCCTCTCTCTTCTCATCATCCTGCTTCTCCTCCTTCCCTAGGACACTCCACTCGCTTTCCGCATCATCATTCAGATCCCTCCCCACCACCTCTCTGCCCCTCAACCTACACAACTCCATCATAACATCCGAGGACTCAAAATCCATATGGATCGACGCACTCATAACCACCGACCTCGTCATCAAGACCTTCGTCCCCTCCCCTACATGCTCACCCTTCTCAGTGGCAGCAATGGGAGGCGTAACCCGATGCCCAAACGAAAAGCAATAATCCCCCGCGGTCTCACATCTCGGCACGACCGGCACAACGAAAGTGTGCATCACGCCCTCCATATTGGTGATTTCCGCTCCGTCGACGAATTTCGCTGCTAGGGCACTACCCCGCTTGTTTCTCATTAGATGAGTGATGAGAGGTGGGGGGATGAATTCGGAGGCGGAGATTAGTGGTGGGGGGAGGAGGGATGATGGGGTGTTGCTGCTGCTTTTGATGGCTTGGAGGGAGAAGGTGCGGATGTTTTGGTTGTAGGGGATTGAGGAGATGTGTACATCTTCGGATGAGTGTGGGATTTCTTCTGCGGGCCATGGCCAGATTATTGAGGTTGGAGGGAGTTTGGAGGTAGGTATCTTCTTTAGTGAAGGGTCGAGAATGTTGGTACTTGGAGTGTCCGTATCGGCACTCATGTTATCGAAAATTTAGATTGTTCTTGAGAGTGGGGTAGTAAAGTCGTGATATCGATGGTCAGATTTCGTCGAAAGTTCGAGATGATTTTTTCTGGCTGGGAATGAGGATATTCTTATACCCCGCGGTATTTGATGATTTAAGTTCTTCAAGAATTCGATATAGGATGACTGCATTCATAAGGTATGGAGTCACTGACTGCCTGGCGTCCAAACCCAGCCACTCCTTGGCGGAATGCTGCCTGGCCATCTTTTAGCGAGCCAACCCTTTTGTCTCGATCTATTGACTTCGCCGCACAACCGCTGCTATTATCTTCAAGTACAATCAGATGTCTGAATAATTCTAGTGGTATCATCATAGAGGTCTCCCTTCATAATCAAACCAAACTTTTAAATAATCTTGTAAATATCCTAGAGACTTTAGATCTAGCCTCTTACCCAGCAAAGACCTCAGAATTGAATCCCAGCCTAAGACACATCTTCAAGCGAGACATAGTAACTAAGCCTCCAGCAGATTATCTCACGAAATCAGAATGACCCATATATGTTACAATTAGTGCAGATTCTCAACTCAATTGAAACGTCTTTCTCACCGCTGGTCACCTTAGCAACTCACAATACTGATCCATATCGTCAACAGATCTGAGAGTAGATATGCATCGTTTCAAAATCATCTCACACCACGATCTTCTTGTAAAGCTGGTGGAATGAAAGTTCGAGGCTCACATGATCGATTCTGCCCTCCCGGAGCTCAACTCGCTATCTAGGTAAGACACTGCCAAAAATAAATCATCCCGCCCCCATTTCCCCGCAATGCAACCAGACATCGAGCCTGATCTTTACCACCAACTAATCATCCGAAGTACTAAGAAAACCCCTACGAAAAGAGAAAAGAAACTGCATAGCAAAATACTTGTTGAGTAGCAAAGAAGGATTTGATGCGTGGAACAATGAGAAAGCTCGATCAGAAAACAGGAATGTCAAATCCATGAGACGCGGACATCTTACCTCACTCAAGCCACACTCCACAGAACGGAACAGCACCCCGCAATTTCCTGCCTTGAAAACACAACTTCCAACCTCTTCAATCCGGCCCGAATCCATCAATTCAAATAGGGCGAAGATCTATGGATCTAGAGCCAGATGCCCAATGCCCAAACGTAATTCCAGGGCGTACACCTGCAAAACGGCAAGAATCCCTCCAGGATCCACTTTGGCTCCTGTTGCCTATTTCCAGGCGTCGAAATGCTACGCGCCACCACCATCACCAGCGGCACAAATGCTCACTCCACGACCATTCATCTCGCAAGGCTCGCCATCTAGGCCCATTCTTCATAATGCACCGAGGTTGGGCATGTGTGCAGATAGACACAAGGCAGAACTTAGGGCGTTTTGCTAGCCTCGTCTGTGTTGATAGGTCGTGCGACCATTTGGATGGGTGAGGCAGACGAGGCAATCGTGGGTATATATGTGTTGCATCCCCAAATTGAGATTGCAAAGCCTCCTCGCTCCATTCCTCACCTGTTGTGGACCTGGACTGTCTTGCTTCTCTTTCCTTTTGCGCGGAGAGACCGAGGAGAGGTGCTAAATGGAGAACAGAACCTTGATCCAGTGATCGATGAGGAGTGGCGAGGTCGTGAGTGGGACGCTTGAGTCGTGCCAGTCGTCTCTGCTCAATCTCAGTGTACCTCTTATGTGTCGCCGGACCTCAGCAGGGTTTCCTTGGTTTGGGTAGAAATATTCCGCCCAGCTTTCATGGTGAGGCATAGATGATAGCCAAACTGGCTCACCGAAAGCGTACGCCTTGAATCTTTGGCTGGCCACGCGACTACGCGTAGTTTCAGGATAATGAATAAAATAGACGATCGACCTCAATACCCATGATGAGCTCGCCCGCCCTACCTGTATAATGATGTATCCCTGCTGGAGTGGCACTTTGCTCTCCTGGAACGGGCAACTTTAGTTAGCACTGCCCGCCTTCCTCTCGGACTATATACCTCGTCGGGGCCCTTTGAATCTTTGCTTTTCAGGTCTTCCAATCCCACACCTGCTCTTATATGGCAATTGAGATGCCTATCCCAAAGCTTAATTGAAATTTGCCCTTCTCAAGCTTCTGCCTAGCCCTCTCCGCCTCTCGCAAGGCTATGCCACCTATTGGACAAGACAAAAACCCGTGGATCATAGTGCACGAAATGAGGGTCGACGGCTGCCAAGGAGTTGGACTTCTGGATGAAGATATGTCGTCAGAAGATGACTATATCCTCGACGGAAGCAGCCGTCCCGAGTATGTGATAAGAAATGAGACATCGCCGGGCAATGGCCCTCTTTCATCGAACAACAACAAGTGAGTACATCATTTCAAAGCCGTAGATAGCACCGACTTACCTTGCCCAGAAACGCTCATATACATGACTTTCGCAGACCAGAAGCCCGGAATCCGTATGTAGTCTATTCATACACGACACCAAGCAGCGGCTTGGGTGGCACCCCTCGATCATCCGGGCCGTTTGGAGAAGAGAGCATGTACCGAAGCCCGTCGACTTTGCTCAGTGGGGCAGCTGGTCCGAATAAATCTTCCATAAACCTCAAAGACAAGAACCTTGGTATCCTGAAACGTCAGATTAACGGTCGAGAACCAGTCCCGGAGACTGAAGATGGGCTCCAACGAAGACAATGTCCCAGAAATGCATTACAGACGGAGAGGTCTGCGAAAATTGGACCAGCGACCAAGCGCTTGGAAGGAGACGCATCTGCCCATACATTAAGAGCACAGAATGCAGCATACAGCGGGCCAAATACACAGAACGCACTGGATTCATCAAGCGAATCCAGGGCGGAACATCGACAGATTGGTGACCAAAATAAGCCCCGAATTCGCAAGTCGAGAGACGACAAGGACGACGTTAGTGAAGACGAAAAGGAGAATTAGTTGGAAGAATAGTGTGTGACGACATCCTCAATCATGTATCACGGGCCCCGGCTCGTTATTCCTTTTGCTGTTGTGGCACTTTCGTTTCATTGTACCTGGTGGTTGAATTGTACTTTTCGGATCTGTTTGTAATATCAGGGATTGCATGGAAGTGCAGGAAGTAACAATACATGGCTGGCATAAGCGAAAGATTTAGCACAAGTGAAAGGGTCACTCGTTTGCATAAAATTCGGCGTACTTGAACACATTATTTGTAGCTCGATTTCGGATTAGGGTCGGATGGGCGAAAACAAGCACCTTTTAGCACCGAGACTGAATCATTCCTACGTTCTATCGCCAACGGTGAGCAAAACCAAAATGTTCCATAATCTTTGGGTGATTTTGCCATATTTCTGCCAACATTCGAGATCGAGGGTGGTTGTCAGTCTTGTGCTGTCAGGGAGTGGATCCGGTTGCATACCTAACATGGACCTTGTGACCAATGTGCTACGTGCAGTGCTGTCTTGCATGATCAGAAACTCCACAACGTGGGCTCAGCCAATAAACTATCCAAGATGACTTATGGGGTCCTCTATACTTCAATATTGGGCACTAACACATGAAAAAGTGTTGATGTGGCCAAATGATCTCGGTTGGAATCCTACGGCCAGCCTCGCATGGACCATGCAATGATATGCTCGGCTCGAGGTCCACCAACAAACTCAAACACTGTTCCTATTCGACAAAGGTCCCATAGCCGGGAGAAAGAACCGACATGTTCAGGCGAGGCTATCGTATGGAGCTGTTGGCGCGGCGTGCTGGCTTCCAAGTGAATTTGGAATCGCATACCTGACAGTCTGTACTATCCGGAAATGCCAGATTTTTAACCCCAGACGCCGGTTTATGCAGCTTTCCTAATCTCACGGTGGTTTTTCGTGTTTTTCGGCTCAATTCCGTCCGTTATTCTGTTGTACTACCACGCCGTGCTCTGATGCAGCTCATTCCATGTGAGGGAGGAGTACCAGGTGCCATCACTATGCGAATGACTGCAGTGAATGAAATATGTTGTTGAGTCTTCGTGGTCTGACTTTATCCGCATTGACACAAGAGTGTGCCGTATTAAAACTTGGGAACGTTCCCTTCTAGTCGGAATTCGATGATGCAGATATTCGGGGTTCGGCGGAGCTCAGGTGGCGCTCCAGGCGTTCGTATATGAGATTCTTTGCTGTTGAAAGCTGTATATTAGCCGAGTCTTTTTCAAGCTGTTTCCAGCATTTTGATCCTCGGCATGGCAAGATCGTGCGTTCTGATGATCGGTGCGGCCTTCTAAAGCAAGTTGACTTCGGCGACATGTATATTTTGGTACCCGTGGAAAATCATCTTGAATTCAACAAAACAAGAAATGTCGTTCCTGAGAGTACCAGTGACAGTAGCAGTGATAGTCTGCCCGAAATCAGCTTTCATTGGAAGTTCTCCCAGGACAACAGGTCAGTGTCCCAGCTATCTTTGCTCGCAAAAACTTGCCAACAAGCTCACAACACCAGACCACTCACCTCCTTAAGGGCGACCACAAAGTCCAACGAGCCCACTCAACTAAAGTACTGGACGAAAAAGCCTGAAAGAAACGAATGGATTGCGTATCAAATGTAGGGGTAGATATCATCAATGAGGACGGCTTGTAATGTGCTAAGATGGAGGAGGGCACGACTAGTACATGCACTCTGCAGCTGGACTCCAATGGACTGTAAGCAACATATCGATCTCAATATCTCGCGTATAAAATGCTTGTCTTTACATCGATGCAGAAAATGAGGACGAGGATGATGTTGCAAAGGAAGATGAAACACCTCAGCGTCCCCGACCTGAGCTAGTCCAAAACAAGCGAAAGCAGGTCCCCTTGTTCTTTCCTTCCTGGCTCACCATACCTAGGTACATACAATTCAATCCTCCCTGCTCTAGAAGAGCACGTGTAACTTGAAAGTATTAGAACGCCAATCCACATCTTTTCTCATATCAGCCACGCTCAGTTATTTTTCATAGCCATGGCAAGGAGCTATTCCATTCGTCTGGTGCAACTTAGGTACATACACAAATGCTTGCTAATCTCGCATGAACACCTGTACCGCTCATGGGAGTTATGAGTCTTCATAATGCATAATGGTACAAAGATGGCAAATTCCCTGACCATTCTCATCATCTTGAAGCATTCCCAAGTCATGCATGCCCTCCCTCAGCCCCCCTTCAGTCCATCCCATTCATTACCCCACCTCCAGATCTACCCACCCATCATTACCTCTCCCAAGAGACACCTGAACTCCAGAAATCGCCGAGCAAGTCCCATCCCATCCCATTCCAATGCACAGCATTCCGCCCTTATGTGCAACGTTCAAGGGGAGATTACAATCAATACCATAGCTTTTCAGGTCGACGAGAGCTCTAGATTACGGCAGGAATATCCGAAGCGGAAGAACTGCCACCATTGGAGTCCCTGGAGGGGCTGCGCAGGAAGCGAAATTTTTGACCGGAAGTTGTACCAATACCGACAGCACTCTCATCATCTGAGCCTTCGTTATGATTGCCGTTTGTGAGTCCTGCGCGTGGTGTGTTATCGAGATCGAAGCTCTCAGATCTGAGACGGGCTCGGCCGTAATCAACACTCTCCTCGTCGTCACTATCGCTATTCATGCCATTACGAGCACCATTTGCAGTTCCATACTGGGGTTCAGCATCCAGGTCGATGCTCGCTTGGTCGTGGGTATTGGAAGGGTATTCCTGATCGTCAGCTTCGTACTCAGAGTCAAGTTGAACTTCGGCGGCAGATGGCGCATTGCCCATATTGATGTCAGACTCGGGGACTTCCTGTCGGGTTCGAGGTAGATCTGGGTAAGGGTGATATCTGCCATTTTGCTGCATCTCCTCGTCTGAGTGATCATCTTCATCAAGTTGCTCCTCCCTTTGAGTTGCTGCGGCTGCCTTTGGTGTTGACGCCTCGGTAGCCATTGGCTCCTCATCAGAATCACTGTCATAAACTCGTTTTGCACTTAGGCGCTTCACGCTTTTCGACGTTCTGGCAGCCATGAGAGGCTTCTTAGCGACACGGGGAGACCGACCCTGGCTGCTCTTGACGGCTTCAAAAGCTGCACCAAGATCATCAGCAGACTCCAAGTGATCCGTAGCAGTTTCCTGACTCTCCTTCTGACCCGCTGCCTTCATGCGGGATCGGAACTTCTTAGGTGAATTCTTTGCGGGTGTGTGGTCATTGTCGCGGTCCATCTCAGAAAGCATAGCAGCCTTCTTGCCTTTGGCCAAACGGAGGCGTGCAGGCTTGGTGCTGGGTCCTTCACCATTGTCCACGCCCACTTTAGCACTAGAAGTTCTTCTCTTCTTGGCCCTCTTGAAAGCTTCGTTGCTGTCGTTCTCATCCATATCAAACTTGTTGTACCTGGAAGGCGAAAAGAATTTCTTGAAGCCTTGCGGTTCTCCTGGAGCAGCTGCTTCGTAAAGATCGATGAGAACTGACACAACATCCTGGAGTTTCATCTCATCGCTGTCGGGTATATGTTCCTTGAGGTTCCTGTAGCAAACATGCAAGGCCATCTTCTTACCTTTGAGGCCAAGCTCCTGTTGAATGGGAAGCCACGGAATTTTGCCTTCACTACCGGCCTTGCTCTCGCGAATTTGATAGAGCAGATCAAGTTTATCCCGAGCTTTCATCCTGCGGGCATTCCTTTCGGCATCCTCGAGACGCCAAGCTGCCGTAGATATGGGTTGAAAGGCGACTGGATCCTCGATACCTGCATCCTCTCGCTCTTGAATCTTCTTCCACTTGATACTGCATTGAAGACGACTTCTGGTGTGTCCCATCATGGCACTAGCTTTCACCCAGTCCAGCTTGATGTAATCATCTTCCCTGGCATCGTCAGGCTCTCTGTTCTCGTCCTCACGTATGCGCACCAGAAGTTCCTCCACTACGTCCCTCAATCTCTCTTCCTCTTCCTTCTCCCATGTAGCCTTTTTCTGGTTATCTCCACAGATAAGATAATTTCTCCATCGATCGCGGCAATCTTCCGAGAATCTATTGAGCTCCGCACCAATCTGCTTCCACTTTCCTGGATTTCTCTCATAGGCATCTCTCAGATCCTGATCTGCCTCTGCAGTCCACGTGCCACGAGCTTCAAAGTTGTGGAAATTGCGTCTGCAATGGTTCTGAACCTTTGTCTTCGGCACGTCTGGGACTTGTTCATACAAATAAGCCCAGAACTCCCTGGCGCTCTCTTTATTGGAGATTTGCCCTTGAACGATTGCGTTGAGATCAACCTCTCTCAGGTCATTATCTTCCCTATAGGTTTCTACAGCTTCAGCGATGGCCTTGACATCATCATCTGGAAGCCGGTGACCCTTTGATGCAGGAGTGGCCTGTGAGCTGGCAGGGGCTTTGGGTGTCCTAGACTTTGGAATCTTGACTTTCGATGCTGAGGATTTGGGAGTCGTGGATTTGATAGCTCGGCTAGCCACCTCGCTCTTCCGTCGTCGAGCGCTGTTGCCACTTCCATTGACTTTCGATGATTCTGCATCACCAATGGGAAGGCGTCGCTTACGTCGTTCAGTAGAAGTGGGGGCTTTTTGAGGTAATTCTGGTTCTGATTCGGGATGTGGTTGAGATGAAGGAGGAAGTTCGTAGGGATCTTTTGCTGGTGCGGGAATTACAACAGCAGCCAGTGGTCTGCGCGGGTTGACGGGCGTGAATGCAGGCGTTGGTCTTCGTTGCTGGCTGGAAGTATATGCAAGACTCGAAGCTGGGGCTTGCAGAATTGGAGAAGTGCGTTCCATATCCATCTGGCTTGCATACATGCTGGCAGCCTCTCGAGCAAGCAATGAAGCATCGATAGACACCGAAGGCGACCGATCGCGTGGCATTTCATCGCTCCCTGCCACAAAACCGTACGTAGTCAATTTGGGTGTGGTTTCTGCCGCTTTCTTTGATTTCTTGCGCTTGGAATTCGATTCGAGGGCTGTGTTCGAAGCTTTTCTCTTGCCCAAAGCTTTCTTGGACGGTCGTTCCGGCGCTTCATCGTCGTCATCCTCTGGGTCCGGATCTACCTGCCCTGTAGACCACGCATTGCTCTGAATTTGTGCCTCTGCTTCTGCGATGTCTTCTTGGGTTGGCTGAACTGGTGTGTCTGGTCTCGAGGAGTTGATCAGAGCAGGTGTGAGTGGTTGATGTAGAAGGGCCTCAGAGTCATCTTCGTCTTGTAGAGCAGCAATGCTTTCTTGAGATGGTTTTCGAGGAGACAATCGTGCCTTCTGCTTCGCCTTCTTGATCTTTTCGGCAAGGCTCAGCTCAGTTGACTGTGACCTCTGATTTGACGCAGATCCCTCCGAATCCACTGCACTTGTAGCTCGTTTTGTCTTTTTCTCCTTGCGTTTTGCCAATTGCTCCTTTCTAATCAGAGTCCGCAAGTCCTGGGTCTCCTCATCCACGGAAGCAGGTTCTTCAGGTATCTGAGATGCGAGTCCATTAGCTTCGTGGGTCTGGGCGTTCAGTTGCTTCTTCGAGGAGCTTTTTGACTTTTTGGGTCTCTTTGCTTTGGGCGTCTCCGTAACCTGCTTTGTGGCAGGCTCGTCGCCAAATAGACTCATCATAGTCCTGGATAGGTCTGGGGAAACAAAACTTCGATCTGCCTCTGCAGCCACAGCTTTGTTTGCCCCTCTATCGTTGATTCCTTGCGCCTCGGTTTCCTTGCCCATGACGGAGGACTCCATGGCGGAGGAATCCAGTGCAGAAGAATCCCGCTTCTTTTGCTTCTTCTTCTCTTTCCTTTTCTGGTTCTTTATACGGCGCGCGTCGATGGTGTCCTTGCTCTTGTTCTTTTTCGTCCCACTGCTCTTCATCGCGCTCGAACTGGCAAGCTCTCCATTGACCGCCTTGGATGTTTTGTTCACGAAACTGCTCGGAGGATCCATTGCGCCTGTGCCTGCATCTGCGTGTGCTCGCTCGTCTTGATCTTGGGTTTGTAGGTGTTGGTCGTCCTCAAAGTTCGGGAGATCTCTTTGCGCATCTGCAGAAAAATTACAGCCAGGTTAGCGACCGGAGATCATGCACAGCAGCACAAAGAATAAACAGCAACAGAATGTAGACATCAATCGAAAGGCGGAGAGAGGCGCACACAGCGTAAACAAAAAAGTCTTTGCAGCAAAAGTGTGAAAGTTCACGCTGATGGCCCCGCATCCCAGCCCCCTTCTCCAGCTTGCTGCACACTCTCACGCGCAGCAGCTCCACAAAGAACAAAGTACATACCAGAATCCAATTCCTCGTCTTGTTCCTCTTCCTTGACGACGTTACTGGAAGTCGGGATAGAGGACGAGAAAATGCCCTTGATCATTCGAATCATGGTGCATTGTTGTCTGGGGAAGCTCAAGGGGAAAAGAAAAGGAGGCAGCTCGAAGGTGAAGTTCTGAGCGCAGCTGAGACGATGAGTGGATTTACTGTAGAGTTTTGGAAGTCACGTCCAGTCGCGTCGCGGGCGGGCAGGGAAGGCGCGCAGGCGCGATAAGAACCCGGAAGAGATCTGAACGGGGCGGGTTCCACTCCACCCGCTGAAATGATAGCCTGGGATTCGAGGCGTGAAGTACAGCAGCCGAATGTCAACAAAAATATGGACACGCACGCAATAAGAAAGTGAAGGCAGAGAGATAAAAGCACAGCAGATGCCCGAACGTTACAAAGATACTTGGATTTCATTGTTGGTTTTCAATGAACTACTAACTTCCATTTTTGTAAAAATTTACGAGCAACAGCAGCCCTGTATCAGCGAAGGGCATGCAATGGAGGTTGACCTTACTTAATATGTAACAATACTTCAATATTACGGTGAGTTATATTTCATTGTCGGTTTTGCTGATCAACTACCAGACAGCAGTACCATGTAACTCCACAGAAACGACAGCATGATAACTAAGTCCTCTTCCGCAGGTGCTCAGCTCCTCTTCCAGTCCCTCCCTCACAACTCTCAAGCAAAAACACTCCCAGTCACTACACTACAACAGCCCAAGCCACTTTTCGAATCCTCAATTCTAACGCCCCCAAACAACAGTCTTACCATAAGTCTTATGATCAACCTGCACCTCCCTCCTTGCCACCACAGTCCTCTTCTTAACCTTCTTCTCGACCTCATCAACATCAACACATCCGTCCACGTCTTGGCCCCCACAAAGCGGCAACAAAGTCTTGGTTCCCATATCACAGAAGAGACCTTCGGATTCCGAGACAAAGTCGGGTCCCCAGGACGTAGCCGATGTGCAGAGGTCCTTGGCAGAATGTTGCGTGATGTTGGAGACGACGAGGCGAGATTCCATCCATTCTGGGCGAGGCTTGAGACCGGATCTTGCCTTTTGAAGGGAGCGTTTTCCAGATGGTTTATCTATTCGCACACCACACATCAGCAATCGAACGACCAGACATCCACTACAGCAGCAAACACCACAAAAGAAGAGGAGACAAAAAAGATGAAGCACAAACCATTAATCGGTCCCGTATCCGTCCCCCAAATCGTAGCCGTACAGCCAGCCCCATTATTAATCGTATTAGTCGACTCCTCGCCGTACGCCAAGGTCCTAAACTTCATTGCGGCACTCTTGATATCATTCGTATGATCACCATCCAACCATGAGCAATGCGGAATAAACTTATTCTCCTCAGTCTGGGGTCCATCCTTGTCGATATACCCCGCGAACTCGGCCTGCTCGTACCAATTTTCACCGCAGCTGTAGCCGACGTCGCCGGTCCAGCGTCCGCCGAGGGTCTCGTCCTTTTGAGCGACGGTCACCCAGGCGATGCAGATGGCGTCGTCGCCGCCGGAGAGGCCGACGAATTCGGCGCGGGTGCCGGGTGAGGACTGGTCGACGGTGATGGTGGGCGCATCGCCGGCGGCGATGTCTTGACCGGCGCCTTGGCCGAGATAGTTGTTGTTGATATCCCAAGCGTAGACGGCTGCCAGGTTTCCGTTCTATTTCAGCGAGGGAACAGATATCAGCAAAAGTCGAACTCAAGACCGCTTCCATGTCATGTGATCGAGACTGATCAGGACTTGGAGGTTGAGGGCTTACCAGTTGACCTTCATCGTCGCCTTTCTCAAGACCAACTTTGACTCGGAGAGTTGCTCCCTCGGGGAGGTCACCGCCTGGGAGGTTGTCTTGGATGAAACCGATGATGCCGAGGCCACCGCTGAGAAGTCCGATGCCGTCAATAAGTGCTGCAGCCATGTTGCTGGACTTTCAAATGAAGTGATTGAGTGTTTTGGGAAAGATTAAGAAATGCTGGGAGATGTTGTTGATCTGATCTGTGTTGTGTAGACTGGTTGTTTTTAGGGGAGCTTTTGTGGTGTTTATATACTTTCTCCTCCACACATAAATCCTCTTCGTCTTGTTGCTTTCCATTGTATACCGCACACTGTTCTATGTGCAGAATTCATCACGTCACATCTTCTCAACTCTCATCGTCGATCTCAACGATGCGCACTCCAGTAATCCTCCACGAATTGAATGACGTTGATATCTCACTGTGCCGTACACCATACAACGTAACTAATTCCTACATGCAAATATCCCACGCAAACCAATGCAAGAAACTCCCATTCTAAATCACGATTTCTGTCAGCCGTCAAGATCGATTTGTTTACCTGCTCGCTTAAACCCTGCAGCAGCTACGCCTCTTTCTCCCAAGACTTTGGGGCCGAAATCTGACATCCTAATGCTACGGCACTTGCACCGATCGTCAAAGTACACTCTTCATCAAGCAGCGGCACAGGATGTAGGCGGTTCTCACCGTAAGATGGCCTGTAGGAATAGTTGAAGGTGAGAATGCCCGCTGCAGCCAAGACATCGGGCTCGTTCACGTGTTGAGTACCTAGTGCCGCGGCTGTGAGTTTAGGAACATGGCATTTGGGCTGGTTTCAAATTTCAATGGGGAAGGATGACCTGAAAAGCATGATCTGCATATCACGTATGAATACGACCCTATGTACCGAGTGTACGAATAAGCTCACTTGCACGAGGAAGATATTATTCGGATTGGGTGTTTACAGAGAGCTGCCTTTTTCGGCGTCCAATCGCTCCACGAGTCATTTATGGGGTTTTCTGAGCAAGGAATTATCACTCTATCTCAGTTCCAAATCTTTGTGCAAACCAATTGATAGAAACGTGGGTCAAGAGTGCCTCATACAAGGCTGCCGTACGAGAACCAGATGTAACAGCATGCTGCAGCCAAGTACTAATCGAATAGATCTGACCAAACAATCACCGGATAGGAACTGAACTTAAAAATCGAGATCTAAAAGTCCATGCATAACCGTATTTACCCACTGCGCCAGGAGTAAGTTTCCATCCAGTCAACATCCTTTCTCCCAAGACCGCCTGCTCTTCGCCGAGTATCGAAGCAATCGAAGCAATGCCAAATCAGGCAGTTGGAGCTTAGCAACCTCTAAGTTCTACAACGAAAATACTCTAGTCTCTCGGTCAGTCAGGATACGTCCGAAACCCGTTTCAAATCAAATGATTCGAGTGAAGAACGAGCAGCACTTTCTCATTGGCGTGTATATCTCTCAACTCTGACACACATACACACACAATAAATTCAACTCTCACACCAATCTTCCATCCCAGTGCAGATTAGGATTTTACTTCAAAAGAGCGTAACATCGCGCTCTCGCATCAAATCCGATTCATCAATCAGCCCTGTCCTGTAAATTCAGCCTATCTAGCATACAGATCACCGCGCCTTGCGGCCCTGCCACACCCAAATACAGATCATCAATCCCTCATTCAATCAACTAACAACTCCCATGGTGCGCTAATTCGCACGGAGCTATCCCCCGTCGTTGAAAGTAAGATGTGAGATGTAAGATGTAAGATTCCGATCACATAACTTTCCTTCCGCCCCGCCCGTTCCGCTGCATTCCTTCCCTCCCCTGTCGGCTACCTTACTTAATTTACTACTCAGTGTGCTGCAAGTAACTTCGTCACAGTAGGTAAGGTAAGGTTACTGCGCCGCATGTGCATGGGGAGGGAGGGTGAGGTGGTATTCGGTAAGGTTTTGCCAAGCCCGACAGACTGGTAGGTACTAGGCAAGCAGTATTGAATTACCCGGCTGGACTACTCCGCTGATGTTGATCGCTCGATTTGGCAGCTCTGATACCGTTTGTGTCTGTAGGATTGACTAAATTCAGGATCCCAAATTCTTGGTTTGGTTTTGTGGGTTGAGTGGTAGAGGGGTGATGATCGAGAAGGATTTGGGCGGCTCGATCGCTTGTTCAGGTACCTGGGTTTTTGGATTGACTTGCCTCGGTACTTACAGAGTAATAGATACCAGTTAAGAGCTAACCTGGTCATTAGTTTCTTAGGAAAATGAGACAGCAAACAGTCTTTGACGAAAGAGCAATAACAGAAAGATGGTATTGCCGTTCTTCTTCGTGTGTGGCTTCCTAGCTAGAGCTCCCCATTGGTGCTGATCTACAGGCACCTTTTTCAACTCATGTCCTCGACGTTCATCCCACAGTAGCCTCCTATGAAAACCGTTGTATACAATCAACTAGTTCGGAAGATTTACCCAGGGAAATCATCTGTGCCGCACTATCAGGCTCGTGTTCGCAAGTAGAGACGCTTTTAGTTCAGTATTCATGCTCCATACTACATCTTGAGAACTTATGATTGCATCAGTGGCGTTGCGGGGGCGAAAGGTGCCATGTTCTGTAGTTTCGTGTAGCCGCAATAGGAATGTCACTTTACTGCACTTGTCCATCTCGAAGATACCTACATGTTATTCCCTCCTAGACAGGACATCCGTTGTCCCAAAATCTTACGGTTCCATGGTGTCTACAGGTCTAGAGCCCAAGCCTTCAATTCTTGTTTCAAAGGTTACTAGTCCATCTTCAAAGTTCAGAACTTCGATCTCTCCATCACAGGGAGAAATATACTACGCCTCAATTCTGCATTTCCAAGCACCGTGAAAGGACCGTGAAAATGTCACTGTGATCTAGATATTGTAACTGATCGAAGATCTTTGATTCCTTTACTCGCATTGCAAGTCCGGTAAAGGCAATGGCATCCTATCATTGGAAAGAGACTCGGAGATCAATGACGACGATGACTGAGATTCTCACTTCTGACACCTTGCCACTCCTTTTAGAAATTCAGGACAGGATAGAGCCGAATGCAGTCGATGAGAGTGACATGAAGTGCTGCGCCGGCTTGTCTTTCGTCATGGACTCGGCGGTCCGATGAGAAGATGGAAGTTGGAAGTGTATATAAAGACCCACAGGATTTGCAGGAAGAGCAGCAGATCAGCTCAGCACCATATACTCTCCATTCCACAGCAAGACAGAAGTCTCTTTATCCTGCACATCAAATCAAAACATCTCCATATTCCAACCAACTCCCATCAACATGCGTTTCCAACTCGTCCTCCTCTCCCTTGTGGGACTCGGCTGCATTTCCGCCCTCGCAACACCCGTCTCGCCCCTCCAAGTCCGTCAAAACGACGTCCCACCATGTCAAGATGGAGGCGGAGATCCAGTCAACGAGGCTTACGATACAGGTTCGTTGAAAAGCACCTCCCTACCCGACAACTCAAACACTCATCATAGAAACCTGAAAGTACTGACAATACATGTCCAATTCCAGCTGCGGACTGTCAAGATCACTGCTTCTTGAAGGAGAACGCTGATGGTGACAATAAGGGTGGCATTTGCAAGGGTCTTTGTATCAACGTTGGGCATCCAGCTCCCATTTTCCAGTGCAGATGTAAGTACTGCGGGACCTTGGAGTCTGAAAAGGACACTTTACTGACACTATATATAGCGAAGGGAACGATCGACTAAGCGGGTAGAGACGTAGTCAGAGGATGGAACTCGGGAGTCGGGATCAGATTCTGCGTGCGGACTTGTTATCAGTAGTTAGGGTTTTTGTTTTGAATCTAAGTTGTAGGTAGCTGTAGCTGGGGAGAATCGAAATGCAGTTTTGTCAATTGAATAATGCCATTGTCAAATTTGAGATTCTGGCTTGATTGGACCATGTCAAGCTCGTACAAGCTATCTCGGAAGGGGAGTTCTATAATTAAGCTTAAATGCCAAGCTGCTGATCCCTACTCCATTCCACCGGCTGATCGTATCAACATTTCCAACCGACGATGAAACCTTCCCAAATAAGCGTAGTCTCCCCCCAAGTAGACATGAACAACCACGGGATGAGAATTATGCGGCACAGCAAAGTCAAATCTACCTACTAAGTAAGATCTTAGTTCTCTTATGGCCCTTTTACCGGGTTTGTTGACATACGAGCGAAGCTAAGATCTTCAAGTGCCGGGAAGGGGCTGTTCAGCTTCTGTCACAACTTGCCTCGCTTCGCCTCTTTGGCACTGATCTGCGTCATTCTGCATCGCAGAGTAGTATTACCCAAATGGCCGTAAATGAGCATAATTCGCTTAGCAATGTCCACTACGTAATTTCACGAGGCGCTCTTGTTCCTCGGTATATTTTCGATTCCCGTTTCCATTTTAAACCTCAACTTCAATTCCCGCAGTGAAAGTCAACAAAGAAATTTCAACCTCGACCGAATTTGAAAAACACAGCCGAATGAATGTACTGGATATGCCATCTTGGCACACATTCAAGATGAAATCCGCACTCGTCGCTTTATGCTCTTTGCTTCTTCCAAGTCTGGCTTACGCAGCTGAGTAAGTTTCTAAGCAAGCTCCTCCATCCGGTCACACTGTGACAAATTTCAAGAACAATACTAAGACGAAAAAACTTGAGCATTCACTGACCCTCTCTCACAGCGGAAATCTCACCATCACCTTCTTCCCCAGCAGTACCGTCAACAACACATCCAAATCCTCCAACCCCACCTGTCCCTCGGCCGACAACCCCCAATCATCCGCCCTCACCCTAACCACAGCCTCAACCCCCTACACCTACACCTGCTTCAACCTCTCCAGCATCTTCTCCCCACCCAACGGCTCGCAACCACTCACCTCAGTTTTCATCCCCATCAACGGCTATCAACCCGGCCAAGGCGCCTCCAACATAACCCCCTACCCCGGACAAACCCTCGTCCTCGGCGCAAACTACACGATCCTCACCCCACCCACCTTCTACTCCCCATCCAACAACTACACCACGGTACAAATCTCCCTCAGCAACCTCACCAGCGAGCAAGCCATCCCAGGCAAGGCGTCAGGTCGTAGAATCAACGTGTATTCGCTGCCGGACTGCCAGCAGGTGAGTAGCGAGAATGGAGGGAACGATCCGTATGAGGCGCATCCGTGGTATTTGAAGAGCTGTCAGACGGATGAGAGTGGGGATTGTAGGGTTGTGGAGAAGGGGATACTGAGTTTTTCAATTCAGGAGGATGGGACGGGGAGGAAGTGTGATCAGTGGGCGTTCTTGGGAGCTGGGTTGGGGATGGGAGAGGGGAGATTGGGTGTGAGGTGGTTGGTGGGAGTGGTGGGAATGGTTGTGGGGTGGATTATGTTGTGAGGTGGAATGGATAGAGATTTGCTCTACTCTGCTAAGACTTTGCTGCTAGAAGGATTTTGGAGTCGGAAGAAGGCCAAGTTTGGTACCCGCGGTTCTCTTTTTCTTGCTCCCCGTAATCTATACAGGCGACAACAACTCTCAGCAGGACCTATCTGTGATGCTTCTCTGCACTATTCTGTATTTCCTCTATAAATCTCATAGCATTCACATTAAATACCCATTCAGCTTCAACTCATTCCAATCTACACGTTGCTTCTGGCAATCGAGTACTGCAGAGTGTGCCTTCTTGCTATGATGGGTTTTCCACGAACGCGAGTGGCTGTCTTCTCACCAACCTACCAACACCATCTATTGATAGGCCCACTTAATCCAACAACAAAGCTTTGTGGTTCAATGCTTTACTTCCGCATCAATCTCGAGTCGAGACTCAAAGGATAGAACCAAGCAAGCAAGCAGATTCTCGATATATTTACAGATGCTTTGCCCCTCTGGTATATCTCAATACCGACTATTTTCAACAGCATCCTACGCTCGTTAAGACATCCTCAATACTCATCATTCCCCAGCCCACCCTAGGTCAGCATTTCACAAGGATATGTATGACCAACCTGTCTCCCATCACCTTACTTATCCAACTACAAAAGAATTGCTAAGAACCTTTTCAGCGTGTGTGTTCATGGTCACTCAAATCACTTAGTAACTCATCCCAGAACTACCATGCGAGACCCAGCGAACAATCCAACAACCGATATCTGTTGCCCGTATTCCGTATTCAAACCCGACCTCCTCGGATCACCACCTCCTACTCCACCACCCCCATGCATCTTACGGAAACAAGCCACATCATACTTCAACCAGACCACACCCACCGTCCCTCTATCTACCTCACTCCCCCTCTCAACCACACCCCATCAATCCACCATCCGTAAACCATCTAGCCTATCACGATCATAAAGAGAGCTATAGGATCGAGAGACTTGATACAAACAGACATTATAACTACATTACTTTCTATAACACCCTGGTTTTGGTATCACCCATCCCTCCCCCTCCCCCTCTTCCGCCCCCTTCTGCGGCCGAAACTCCCCACCCTAATATCCTACATAATCATACAAAAAACCAAAAAAGAAAATTAGACAACCCCTCCCTCCTCTTCCTCTTCCTCTCTCTCTTGCCCTCCCCCTCCCCCTCCCATCCTACCCCGTACCTCCCACCCATCGCCCCCTCAACCCCTCAACCCCTCAACCCCTCCTCACCCCCTCCCCACCCACAAAAAACTCCGCCACAGCCACCACCCCCTCCTCCAACTCCCTCCTCTCCCTCTCCCTCCTCTCCTCCTTCACCCTCCTCTTCTCCTCCCTGACCCTCTCTCTCTCCGCGACCTCCTCCGCCGACACCTCCTTCCTAGCGACGAACCCCCACACGCTCTTCTTCTTCTTGAGCTGCTGCTGCTGTGGGGGAGCGGCAGCGGCGGCGGCAGCCGCCAATCCGGAGATGTCGGTGGTGTTGGTGGTGGGAGGTGGAGAGGGAGAGGGAGAGAGCGAAAGGACGAATTCGTATGCAAGAGGGCTCGTGGGACTCTTGCTGCTGCTGCTGCTGTTGAAGCTCGTTGAGAGCTCGCCAGCAGGTTCTCCCTCCTCCTCCTCCTCCTCCTCCTCCTCCTCCTCCTCCCGCTCCTGCCTGCCAGATGTGGCTGGTCTGACGGGGCCGCCAACACCGAGGACGTCGGAGCGCCTGCCTTCCTCTGGTGCCTTTCCGTACTTGACTCCCTGGTCTTCGGCCTCGAACTGCGCGAAGAGGCTAACTTCTGAGTTAGCGGTATATGGTCTGACTGGTCCACCGACGGCAGCGATGAAGGAAGACTGGTGGCGGAGGGGTGGGATTTGTGGTGCGGCCTGGGAGGGTTCAGCGACGGTGTATTTAGATCTCTTCTTCTTGATGACACGACGCTCGGGACGGAGGGTGGCTTGAGAATCGGAGGTGCGGAGAGAAGGGGTGCCGAAGACGAAAGAGGCCATCCTTTTGATACTACGCTGCTCTGGCTGACTCTGAGGGTCGACCTTGGCTTGAGAATCGGGAGTTTGAACACTTCCACTACGAGAAAAGCTAGACTTTTTGTTGAGTTTGGGCTCTGCTTTGTCACCCATATCACCGCTGTCGGAGCGCATGTTGGAACGCGATCCTGACGAACGAAGACGGTTGGAGAAGGTAAAGCTTGATTTCGGCTTCAACTTTGGTTGTGGAGTCTCATCATCCTTCCCATTCTCAGGTAAATCATTGCCAGGGCCGTAGTAATCGTCTTGGAAGAAACGTGCAGTTCTGGCCGAGCGAGGAGTCTTAGGAGGGAGGCCATCCTCACTAGATGTCTCGATAGTGTCCTCAGAGCCGCCATGGATGAAAGTTGCAAAGCTAGATTTCTTCTGGACAATTGGTCGAGTCTCACTAGACTCTCGAGGGATAGCGCTGGAAGGAGGATTGGGCTCGGTGGAAATACCAAGGGGGTTGCCTGCTTGAAAATCATCTTTGAGGGCAGATGAAGATTTCTTCTTGCGTGAGAAGAGCGCGTTGAAGCTAGATTTCTTCATTACGACTCGAGGTGGGTAGTTATTTTCTTGAGAAGATCCGCCGTAGGGACGATTTAAGAATTCGTAGTTGTCTGACGGCAGACGTGATTGTGTAGCAGAGTCTGCAGAGGGTTTCTTGGTGAGGATAGATGAGACTTCTGAGCTGGTTGAAGGACGTGGTGCATTCGCAGCAGAGATGTTGGAGGGTGACTTTCTAATTTCGAAGGACTCCCCAAGGTCTTGGGATGTACGGTCGATAGGTTCTGAGTTGAGGCCAGAGGGTGAGCTCTTGATTGCAGGAGTTTGTGACGACGAAGCTCGATCTTTGAGGTTATTGCGAGGTGGAAATGAACTCATGTTTGACGTTCCTGGTGTAGTCGGCTTACGTGGTCTATTGATATTCAATGGTTCGGGCATCATAGCTGGCTCGGTAATCTGACGTCGCGTAGTCGGGAGCGTGGCGAGAGGCGGCAGCGGCTCAAATGGTGGTGGTCCCGAGGCAGAAAACAACCTACTTGAAGATGCTGGTGACCTCAAAAGACTACGCTTTGAGCTTGAGTTATCCGCAGTTTGTGGTCGATCAGCTGGAGTTATGTCTTCAGGCTGCTGGAATTTGGTGAAAGGCATAGCCAACTTGATGGGCGGTGACACAACTTGTTGTTTACTTCTGATTCCCTCAGTATCGATCTGGAGACTCGGTTTTGCTGAGTTGGGCCTATCAGAAGTCTGAAGATCCGACGACAGTGATGGGCGGCGATAAGTGTTGCTCAATCCAAGTTCAGCGTCGAAATCGAATGACACCCTCGGTGTTGAGTTTGGAGTTGTCGTTAGATCTGCTTCATAATCCTCGGGCTTGGGAGCAAGTGTTCTACCTAGAAGTGCTTCCAATTCATCAAGTGGAGGAGGGACAAAGCCCATTGGCTTGGAGAGGCCACGAGCGCGCAATGAAAGGAGACTCTCAAATCTTGGCTGGGACGTAGACGATGTGCTGCGACTGGAGTCGAGTTTTCTGCTGGTAATATTTACCCTAGATTGATCAGGCTGTTCCTGAGTGGATTTGCTGACGTTGACCAAGGACTTTGAGTAAACAGAATTTGCCTCTCCGAATACTCTGCTGGACTTATTGCTCAGTCCGAACTTTGCTCGCATATCAGTCAAGCTACTCTTGGATTTTGGTGTCTTGGGTCTGATGCTATCGAAGCTGGCGCCGCTGAAGCTTCTCGAATTGTTCAATACAGAAGATTCCAGTGTTTCAGCACGTCGAACTCGCAACATCCCGTTAGCAACCTTTGCTTGATCAATCATCTTTGCTGCTAGATCCATATACTTCTCCATGTTTCCCCTGACTGCCAGCCAGTTGTGGCGATTGTCTTGTTGATTGAGCTTTTTTTCAAACTCTATCATGATTGCAGGTCCATTGGCGACCACATCAAGGATGTATCTATAGAAAATTGCGCGTTGTTGATACAATATCTTGGGATTGATCTTGACGGTTGGTAGCTCTTGAAGAGAGGGAGGAAACAAGGTGTTGAGCATAGCCAAGGCCTCTTGCTTGTAGAAATGCTTCGAGAGCAAGATGCTTGTCATGGTCTACATTCGTTAGCACTGCTATCTAATTCAGCTGCAATCAAGCACATACCCATATCCGGAGATCGATGAACAAGTTGGAGTACAACGTCTCTATCCGCAACTCGTTTCCCTGAGTCTGTTCCACCCATGCTAACGCATTTGGATTGCCACCAAGGACGTTTCGCCAGTTGCGCTCATTGATTCCAAAGTTTTCGGCGGTTTCACGTAGGGTATCTCGACGAGTAAACTCTAGATCCCTGATGTAATCTAAAGCTGTGAGTGCATGGTCAAAGTTGACATCCCCAAACTCCTTAATGAAAACTTGCTCGATACAGTATCTCCGAATGAAGTGAGGTGGAAGTCCTCGTGGCCCGCCAGGAGGTTCAAACTCAATATTCCTTTCTGTATTGGCGGCAATGTGCGCGAAGCCAATTTTGAGCAAGGTGTCATTTCCACGGTCCATGAAACGATCATCGGGACAGTGTGTGGGGTCGAATTCAGGTTCAGCTCGAGCACCAGGTGGGTTCTTGATTTCTGCAGCTGTCGAGTCCGCAATGGAGGGGATTATTCGCTCTTGGGAGGAGAGGAAAGCAAGAATAAGCTTTCCATCTCGATCAAGCTGCCACCAGGAGTAAACATCCTTCAGTCGTGGTAAGCTCTTGCCTGAACCTCGAGGTTAGCGATTTTTTCAATGGTAACGACGTCAATACCCCGCAGGACACACATACCAGAGTTAATAGAAAACATTATGCTAATTGGTAGCTCGCAAGTTGTTTGTGGTTCAAGAATGTGATGCAAAATCCATGGCAGCGTGTCAAAACTTCGATCAGTTGAAGTTGATGTTGCGGAGGAAGTTATGGAGGTTGAAGACGTCGGTGACGTTGGCGTTCGAGCAGACGATCGCGTTGTGGAAGGCGAACCTGAAATCGACATTCTGAGAATCCGGCAGAACTTCGAATTAGGTTAGACCCAGGCCACCTCAAAGAATATTTTGCCGACACCGACAACACCATTGCCTTGCGTGTATGATTTCTAGCTGTTCAGCTATGCAGCCTTCTACAGTCCAGTAGTCTTTCCTTCTCACAATCAGTCTGGCCTGACCTTTCCGAGTCCGTACTATCTCAAAGAAGCTCGCTTCATATATAGATAGAGATAACAGCGTCTTGCAGAGACAGAGGCTTGGAGTCCAGTGTTATCTCTCTTTTGATGTGTCTCTCTCCCTCTTGACCCTTGCAGTAACTCTGATATTCTTCGCGCGTGAAGCCCTCAAAACAATGTTGTTAACAACAAACAACAGAAAATCAGTAGTAATCACTGCATAGCTGTTAGTCAGACTCCAAAATATCACGTATAATAATTACATACCATCAGAAATCTTCTGTTGAAGAATGTGTCGTCTACTTTAACATAGACATGTAGAGCCTATATTTGTGGGTGCCATCTCATAGTTATCTGGTGCCCTCGGCCCATTGCAGCGTAAGTAGCAAGCAGGTTGCCGGTAGGTGCCATGGTCCGGGCAGGTTCCATTGTGCCTGACAGGCCAGTTGGAAGAGGTCCTCTGAGAGTGCATTGATCTCATGCAGAGATATGCCGGTGTGCAGCTGGACATGGACCTCCAGTTGTTGCTACGGGAAAGATGACGGTCGGGTATCCCTCCCTGCGGCGATCATGCGCATCACCCGACAGCCGGAATTCTCTTCTCATCTACATTGGGAGATCAGGGTGAAGTTTTCTTGCCTGAACTGGAAGGCTGAGAGTAAAAACAAACGGCTGTTCATGCAAGGCAAGGAAGTCTTCCTATATCGTTGCGGTTTCCCATGATGACAAGCAGAAGTGGCAGTTTGGACAGAAGTATGAATCGGTATGATTATCAGTGCATAGAGTTGCTCAGAAACAAGTGTTCAAGTCGATTCCCGCGAAGCCAGTCGGATCAAGTATACGCCACACGTCCGTGCGAGAGACGCAGAGACTCTGGTGTGGGTGGGAGTAACGAGTAGGAGTCCATCATGGGGCCAGGTTCTCCAGAAACGGTTGAACTCCCGAAGGTTCAAGTGCGTTTCAGGCCGAACATTGGATGAATTGAACGAAGATACCAGAATTTGGGTAGCACGGGTGCTGCAACTTGCCTTTCTCTGCCATCAAAAGTTGCTATATCAGTAAAATGTTACTGAATGATGGACTCTAGTCTCGTATGTCTTGCCGTGTTTGACCGTTTACTGTCAGGTATGGGTCTCCATCCCGCTTGTCAGATATGATGCATAGTCCACGACATTTTGCAACTTAGCAGCAGTCATGAACCGGCATGTCCCCCGTATAGTCTGATGTAAAATCTTGGTAGCGAGAGGTTCGAGGTCATCTACAGGAGGCTTTGATGAAGATCAGGAAGGCCAGGATCTTGCGAAGTGATGGGGGTGCTCAGCCAGGGTGTGGTCCTGACGCAGAGAAGCCTCTGAAAAGCAGCAAACTCTCGGCGGCATCTTGTGGGACGTTACAAAGTACTTACCCAGCCTGCATGAGCATGGTAGTACAGGTCACGACTTCCTCGCAAGGCAATTACTATGTGGAGCTACGGGGAGAAACTCCGTGTGACCAGTGTTGCTGCGAGAGAGAGGGGAGGGTTCTGACTTCTTATAGATCTGCAGCTGTGAATAAGCGAGGCTTACACTGTAACAGATAGATAGTGTACTCTATGGAATGTTGCTAGTCGCTGTATTAAAGAAGTAGCTTTATATGCCGATAGGGGTTTGTGCTTGAGAGGCTATTGTGGCGATGTTACCTTCACCCTGTCAAGTGAAGGTCGAAAGAGGAATGAAGGGAGGTAGTAGTGAAGTATCAAAGCGAAGCGTTTGCAGCCCCTGATTAGGTAGGGCGGATGGTTCCCGCCAGATAGGCATTTTAAGCGGCTGACTAAGTCATGACTTTGACAGTTCAGATATGAGATATGAGATATGAGATATAAGCACAATAATAATCCTCGTTCGTCTGAACTCTTCTAATAATAAATGATGTATTGATATTAGTACTCTTATGATCTCTATACTCCACTATAATTATAAGGGCTCTATATGTTTTGTACTTACCCTATAGACGTGATACAAAATTCAAAAGAATATTGAAGGATAGAAAAATGAAGACAACAGATTATGCGCTAGCTCGAGTTAATACAGGATTGAAGTAGAGGAAAGCAGCCCCATCACAGATATTTTGTTTGATGTTGCTGCGTTTGTCGCTCGCTTCGCAGCACATTCCCAGACTGGAAGCGTCGCTGAGAGAAAGTGGAATTCCACGCTAAGATAAGATAAGCGAGACATCACGTCCCCGTCAAATTCCTTTCCCTCTTCCTCATCAAAACATCAACTCTTCACGATCATAACAATTCTCCCAAAGTCCAGATGGCGACATTCTCAAAGCGCAAGTACCGTTATTCGACTCTGCCGAGTGGTGAGTTTCCCGGCATTTGGTTTGCAGTCGATCAGTCTGTACCCCGCCTCTTCGGAGGATCTGCCATCAAAAATGCTTCTTCCTGTTTCCAGGGAGGATTTCCTGCATGACAGCCAATATTGAGTTCTCCATCCTCAAAGTCTATTAGTTCAACTGCAATGCATCGTCACCAACGTCACACAACACTTTCACAGCCAATAGTCCGTTACCTACAGTATGCAATCCTGCTTTTCGTTCCGGAAGACCGAGTAGACAAAGTTGTCGCATGGAATCGTCGATTCGAAGGATCAATTACGGGCTGAGGTGAGGTCATATTGGACCGTTCGGACAGCTCACATGATCTTATCCGCATACACGAGAACAGCTCCAGTTACCAAGCAGCTCCCAGCTCGTACCTGACTGGGCCAAGGCTAGAAGTGCTACGGTCAAGGATCTTAGTCGCCTCGGCTCTGACATGGTTGATGTGTCACAGAACTGAACTGAGGAAGATCCTATGACGCTGTTCTTCACATTATTATTGTTCGCATTCGCAGCATTGCGATGCACCAATATTTCGAGTCAACAGTGGATCCTAGCGAAGTTTTGCCAGAGTGCCGTTGTCGACGGTGTCTGTGTCGCAAGTTGCACATCCGCTTCCAGAAGCTGAAGCTGCCCCTTCGTTGAAGCGAAGTGACATGTTTCACACCGCCCAAACGGGCAGAACCGATGCCCAGCCTAGGCGAGCCAGCAAAGTCTGCGAGCTGAAAAGGGGGCGTCGAGTGGAAATAGGAATGGCGCCTGAGAACACCCCTCTATTGAATCTCTCTAAGCAATTAGCAGCATCGCATTGGTTGTTTTGGATGTCAATCGCAACTTCTCCAGCCACGCTGCTGTTCCGCATTGCCGTGGGACAACAGGCCAGACAGGGAGGACAGCAGCAGGCTCGCAGGGTCAACATCACCTCACACCGAGTCAACAGCAAGGACGTCTAAGTCTAAATATGGACATGCTACTCCCCCCCCCTAAATAGACGTTAAACGTGGACTTTTGTGGGCTGAAGTCCTGGTAGGCCTTTTCTAAGTGGTTACCTCCCCTGATAGGCTCAAAGCACGAGCCAGATTCTGGTCAACGGTCAAGGCAAGGGTAGCTTTAGAAGGTTCAAGATACACTTAAAGCCCTGCTTAAGGCTAGGAATCAGCAGAATCATTGGATTAACACCCTAGCTAGCTACCCACACAAGGCCCAGTTTTCATGAGGTTTACTCCGTAACGTATGTTTAGGGGGGGAGGAGAGTAGCTGCAGTACAGTACTGTCATGATCAGCACGAGGGACGGCCCCAGTACGAGAAACGGGGACGCCCTTATGCCGGGCGCGCAGGCAAAGTTCGTATTTAAATGCGCCGTGGGCCCGTGGCTGCGCAGGCGAATCAGCTTTCGGTAAGGCCGCCAGCGCCGGCCCAAACCCCCTGAAATGGGAGATTTGATCCCCACCAAAACAGAATCATCAACTTCCCCAAGTGGTGAGATCGGACGGCATGGGCTGGAGCCTGGCGGCCTGGCGGCGGTGTCTGCGGCGTCACTTTAACGTTGCTTTGCTTTTGCGTTAGGTTAGGGCTGGCAGCGGGTCTGCTGTCGTTCCCAGCCTGTACCCAGCACCCAGCACCAGCCATCACCTTCAAATACAGAGCCCGCCCCCGGCTTTTCTCGAAGGACCTTTTTTGAGTAGGTTTCTTGCATCTTGCATCCTCTCACACACTCGCTCAACAACATCTCTTTATCTATATATCGACTTATTTAATATATAATTCCTCCCCTCGCCCATTATGCGTTCCGGTCTTCTTTTGCTGGTCGCCTCGGCGGCCTCCGTCGTCACGGGCTCGGTTCTCCAAAACAGAGATGCCCCTGCCCTACCAGCTTCCGCGTTCCCTGCGCCGAAGATGCTGTCTTTTGAAGATGCCAAGGCAGGAAAGGATTTGGAGGGCAAGAACCTGAACGTCACCCGTGTGTCGATGGCCGATTTGCTTTCCCAAGGAGCAGCAATTCCACAAAGTGCTTCAGCAGCATCGTGTAGCGCTTCCCCAGGCATGAGATTCGAATGGCGCCAATACTCCCAATCAGATCGTCTTGCTCTGGTCCAATCTATCAGATGTCTGATGAACAAGCCCCCGTCTGGGAACTTCCCCCCAGCTGCCAACAGATACGAGGATTTCGTCCGCCTGCATCAGATGTGGACCCCTAATATCCACGGCAACGCCAAGTTCCTCATCTGGCACAGATACTTTGTGTGGACATTCGAGCAAGTGTTGCGCGCAGAGTGCGGCTTCAACCGCGCATTCCCATGGTGGGACGAGTCAAAGGATGCTGGAAACTTCGCCAAGCTCGACATGTTCTCGCAGCCATACTTCGGGAACCTGCTACCGGCGCAGAGCAACGGTCAGGGATGGTGTATCAACAGCGGTGCCTTTGGAGGAATCACCCTGCACATTGGCCCGGGAACCAGCAACCAGAACCACTGCATGACGCGTGCTGTCAACGAGCAGTTGACGTCGCAGTGCAACCAAGGCTACGTTGACTTGTGCAAGTCGCGTGGCACTTTCGCCGAGATGGCAAGTTGTCTCGAGGGAGGGTAAGCAGTTCACGCTTTTTAGTCTTGCTACAAGACAGAGAACAAATAGAAGAATTAAACTAACGCGATATATAGACCTCACGCTTACGGCCACAATGGTATTGGAGGAGTTATGTCTGATGTTTATGCCAGTGTCAGCGATCCTACATTCTTTATGCATCACCTGTTCATCGACCACAGCTACCGCGTCTGGCAAGCCGCCGACCCCGCTCGTTACCAGACCCTCAACGGCAACGACGCACAAGGAAAGCCCCTCACATTGGACACCGTGGTGTCGGTGGGCGGCATCCGTCCCGATGTCAGGGTCCGGGATATCATCAACACGCTAGGAGGAACTGTCATCGCTGGTGTTCCCTTCTGCTACAAGTACAACTACTAGGCGGTCTTTATCACCTAGGGTGGGAGTTGTACATTTTCAGTAGTTGATAGAAGGAGGAACTTTGTTATTTAGCGGTCGGATACTTATTAATACCAAACAAACTATTTCCACCGCAGTTCTAATTCTTGAATTATGCTTGCCATGTTTGAGCATCATACTATACTTTCTCCCACTGCATGAAGCTTATCCATTCTATCACGCCCAGTTCATGTTTGGGTAATCCACGTTTGTTCAATCTGTCCATGTGACAAACACAGCCTCATCCATCAATTCATTAATCAGCCCTTCAGCTCTCCCTCAACTCCTTCGCCACACAACTTGACGCCACCAGTTCATCGAATTCCCAACGCGAAACAGATACCCATGAACCCCAATACCGCGTCATGGCCTGATCTTAACCTCCCATCGAGTTTCAAACCAATCAATAAAAATAAATCCCAATCATCCCATTTTTTTCCCCCCGGCAAATAAACACCCCTGCCCTGCCTCGCACTGTACTACTACTGTTTCAGAAATCCTAACCCAACGCAGCGCAACCCCAACCCACCCCGAAGTATCCGTTCGCTGCAGATTGCCTGCCTGCCCTGCCTGCTTTTCGGTACCGAGAAACCGAATCCATCCATCATCTGGAAATCGAACAACCAAGCATGCACGACAAAGAACAAAAAGCGGATTCTCACAATATCGAATTCCTTCTTCGTATATATAGACAACAAGTAAGTAAGATTCCACACGATACGAGCGATGAAGAAAGACAGGAGGAAGAGTCCGAGCAAGAGCAAGGAGGGTTCTGAATCAATTCCGTGTACTGTATATTGCCATGCTGCATACCTAGGGTGTGTGTGGTGCGGTGCGACATAGTGAGCTAATCGGGTTAGGTGTCCACACCCCTTTTTCTGGGCAGGAAAGCTTATTTTTTTTTGGGAGGGGGGAGGGGGGGGCAGTTCCCATCCCTTTTTTGCACCTCCTAGCCGCAGTGCGCCTCTCGTTTCCTGCTCCCCCAAATATTTGGCTATTGGGGGATAGGATGCTTCGTATAATTATGTGGAATTGGGTCCGGTACCTACGTGCACTTGAATTGAATTATTGATCTGTATGGAGGTAAGCAGAAGCTGGAGTAGATTTAGTTGGGTCATTTCGCATTTCGCATTTCTTATTGGTTGTTGATGTTTTGGGCTGGCACGCTGGCTTACATTGATAACTTACTTCAGAGGTGAGATAAGCTTCGTGGATCTGTTTAGCTCAGATCTAGATCCGGAAGTCCGGAGACTCTGAGACTCTGAGACTTTGAGACTTTGAGACTTTGAAACTTTAAGTTGATCTACTTTACATTAGTCTACTTTAATTTTGACCTTCGAGAGCTTGGACTGTTGAGCCGGAGGGCCGGAGGAGGCGATTCTGGGTGCGCTCAGATCTAGGCTCTCATATGTGTGTTTGGACAGCAAATGAGCCAGCTGTGGGTGCGCATGCACTGTTCTCCATGCGTTGATAGGACACGACGGGAAACACAAGGGACATAGAAGGATAAATGGACATGTTGGGCAGGGCATGATGTGAAGATGGAGTCGTTGTGCATCTCTTCAGCCCGTCCTATTGAAGCAGAAGTACAGCCCAACACTCCTTCGGTCGAGATAATATAATGTAAGAATACAAAGACGAGGGATACTTGGCACCTTACACCATGATACGTCTTTCAAAAGGTACCTCTATATTCTTCAAGCTAACTGATTTACCTTCACTCCACTACAGCATCTACTCCATCTCCCAAAACCCGACCTACAACTGTTTATAAACCCCCTTATGATTCTTCCTCGGGAAATTCTCCCTAAAATACCCCAACTCCGACAACCCCCTCCCCATAATAGCAAACGTATCTGCCACCACCACAACAAAGCTCTTCCCCCTTCCCATCATGGCCTTCGTTTCGGGCGTACCCATCGCAAGTCCACTAGCAGGCATATTATGCTTCGCCAGCGTACTCTCATACAACGCAACAGCCTCCAACCACTCCGGTTCGGAACCTGCAATCCCACCTCCACTGAATCCCATACTGATCCTCGCATCTAGCGAGCCGAGCCAGACGGACGAGATCTCATCGCCGCATTCGGTGAGGATAGCGTCGAGGTTTTGGATTCCTTGGTAGCTCTCGATTTGGATCACGATGGCGGCTTGCTTGTTGACGTTCTCGTGGAACGTGAGGGATGGATCGAGAGGTGTGTCTGAGATGCCGGGGAGGTAGCGTGCTGGTGGTGCGGAGCGGGTGCCGTTTCTGATGGCGCCGTAGCGGGCGGCGGAGACGATGTGTCGTGCTTGTTCGACGGTGTCGACTTGTGGGACGACGATACTTGCTCCTGCATCGAGAGCGTAGCCGATGTTTTCGTGGCTGTGGCCGGGAACGCTTGGTAAGTATGTTAGAAGTGCTGTGATTAAGTGAGAATTTGGAGACGTACCGGACGAAAGCCATACTCTTGCCCTCGCTGAAGAATTGGACGTCGTGGACCATCTAGATGCCTGTCAGCTTCCTTTCTTATGTGCTATGAGATCAGAAAGTCTTACTTGTGTCATCGTCTCCACGTTGGTAGAAGCATGCTCCCAATCGATCCAGACAATATCGAAACCAAGCTGGGCAACGACTTTTGCAACAGGCGGACATGAGAGGCCGCAGAAGAAGCCGATGAGAGGAGGGATTCGTCCATCGTGTGCATCTTGAAGTGCTTCTTGTGCTCTGTGTGGTTGAAGTAGAGATGGAGCTCTATATGCAGCCATTCCTAGCTTTGCAACTTGCTCGGGGTCGATCTTTGCGGGACCAGCGGTCTCATTCCCATTTGGTGTCCCATTTGTAGCCATTGTGGATCTTGATCCCTGTTGTAGAGAGCAGAAATATTGTGTGAGTCTGAAACGGGAATTTTCACGTAGTAGAAAGTGGGAGTGACGATCATTTTATATGCTACAAGTGCATCAGCATTTTCGTTGATAAGTATACCAACATACTGATTATCGCATCTCGGCATTTGCTAAGAGGCCGCGGATTGCCACATTGGGGAGCCGAGCGCATGAGATCGTGCTAATCAGTCCCACTAGGTTCTTCCTGATGGGGAGGGCAGACTGATTGGAACATTGATTCCTCAAAGGTCCAGAATTACTTACGTATTGCTTAGCAGCTGAAGTTTATGTGGATTACCAGAGCGGGCAATGAGGCTGCATCAAACCCAGCCATTGGTGCTGTTCGCGATTGGCTCGTACCCAAACAATCGTAACATCTACCTTGAAAGGTCGATCTTAATTAGTTCTGTTGAATGTTACTTGTTGGCTTAGCTTCTGTTGTTTTTCGTCCGCGTGGGTATTATTGTTTGCATTGGGGTCTGGATCTGCACGATCCTTTTGCAATGTTTGCTTTGAAAACCCCGGGATGCCAATGCCAAAAATGGGATGTGAGGCATGACAAGTTCGTCGATCAGGTACAGAACCTACGTCGTGAATCAGGTCATGCATGTGTAAGCTTATCAAATTCGCTGGGGCAATGAAATTGGCGGATCTGTTGACCCTTCGATCACTTCCAACAGAAAGCTTATTTCCGCCACTAAGCAGCCAGGCAAAGACAAGAGAATTATCAGCTGAGCATGATGTAGAGCGAAGAAAAAATCAAGCGTAAACAATCTGACTGTATAAACATCGGAAAAGAGCAAGTATGGTGAGAAATCGATGAAAGTCCTGACTTCGGCAATTCGGGTATTGACGACGCGTTCCCGAGATCCAGTGAATCTTTCTACTTCCTGAAAAACACTGAGCCTTCGACGCAGACAGGATCGGCTATTAACCAGAAGTAGCATTTGCAAAATTCAAATTTCCAATCGCATAGAAATGTATATCAGTAATCGAAGAGTCGGTTTGAAGGCGAGCTCACATAATCCACCAGCTCGTGTTACCCGTTTTGGCGAGATAACCGAGATGAGGACAGTGTTTCAAAACACACGAGAATGTGTATTGAAGAAGGGCTGTTCGTGGGCCTGTGTAATCAAATCAGCGATGTTGACACTGGAATGAAGCAACTCAACTTGCGATGTAAAAGTTCTCAGCCGTGCTGGGGACACCCAAGCAGGCAGGAGCTGAACAATGATGTTGAGGAATAAAGAGTATGCTATTGTTGAGTTCGGAAGCACTTAATGTCAGTCATCTAGCAGTATTTGCGAATCATTTGTTTCCTTAACTCCCAAGTCCATATCCACCATGCGGCCTTTTTGCTGCAACGCCGGAACCAGGTAGCCAGTACCAGTACCTGCCAGTAAATCGCCTTATCGTACAGTCCAGCTAAGCCTTCATTCCATTGGCCTACCACTTCAATGTCATACGCAAGATTAGCGGCTTTGAGTCCGTCCTCATTTACCAGGTGGTCTGCATCTTAGAATACTCCTTAGAGCTAAGACCCAGGTCCGCAAAAACCGGATCATCACCCTTCAGATGCTCGACACGATCATGATCCTCTTCCTCCAGCTTCTCCAATTCCTCAATAGGTTTCTCCTTGGTATCGTCCTTTGCATCCTTGCTCAGCTCCTGAACCGCTTTATCCATTTCACCCATTCCTTCACCTATGATCAAGAACTGAGTATTTTTGTAATTCAACAGTTCTGGCTCCAGAGGCATCCAGCGAAGGTTTCTGAATTTTTTCTGGATATCTTCCGGGTAGGAAGCGGGGTTGTCAAGGGTCGCGTTTGCTGGACCAGGGGCGTTGGGGTTCTTGGCTGAGACGACGAAGCTGAAAAGGAGAGTGTCAGCATTATCGACTTTATGATGTAATATTCGAAACCATTCCACAAATTCAAGAGGGTGAAGTGGGTACCTACCTGCCCTTCTCGTTGAGTCCCAGCTCTTTCTGGATCTCGCCGATTGAGGAGGGAACGGTGAGATGATACGCCAAGTGGGACTCGCGGCCAGTCGAAGTAATGGCATACTAGAACATGAATTAGCGTCCTACTCAATCCTGCACAATAAGGCGATATTGGGGATACTTGGTTTACTTACAATTCCTTCCGCGAAGGGAGTGGCCGAGGGAGTATGGCTTGTGCTGTAAATGATGATCAGTGGTGGACTCTTTGTTAATGCAGTGTCACTCAGGACGTACCCAGAAGTCTTGGTGGCATAGTCATTGCTGGAGAATTGGTCCCGTAAATCCTTGATTGTGGCGGAGGGGTTCTCAACAAATACGAGGAAACGATCCTGACGACTCTTTGGCAGCATCTTCTTTGGCAATGCCAGCAATTTTGCATTACCGGAGTCTTCAAGAGGACCTTCTCCAAGCTTTGCACCTATTGGGAGGGGTCGAAGGACGATGTAGCTGCGGGCAACATCCTCAATTCCCTGGGGATCTTCGACTCCGACTCGACCTCGGAAAAAGAAGTAGATAATACCCTTCTCCTAATATCCACCATGTTAGTGTCATCGTTTGGAAGAAGATTCCACATCGCTGTATCAACATATGGAACATACAAGGATCGAAGATGGAATGGCAGCTTCTCGCTTATCATCCTCAATGATGGACTTATTGTTATCCATGATTTCTTTCGATTTCGCCTCCTGCTCTTTATTGGCAGCCTTCTTCACATCATCTGTATCGGCTTTGACCTCGTCGAAAGCGTTCTTCTCACCGCTACCTCCATTGGTCTTCGACCCCTTCCCCTTCATCTTGGAATTGCTGTCATTTTCGATCTGCTTGGCGATTGCTTCATCGTCCTCAATGTCTTTGTCCTTGGCGGCATTTTCAGCATTTCCATTCTTATCCGACGAGGAACCCTGAACTTTCTTGGGTCTGCCTCGGCCACGTTTTGCTGGCTCTGGTGGAGATGAAGCAGAGTCCTGGTCAATCTGCATTGCAATGTCTCCATTTTTCTCGATGTCCTTGTCCTTTACGGTACCGTCGATCGTCTCCTCGATAGTCTTTTGGGCTTTCTTGGGTCTCCCTCTGCCACGCTTGGCTTCTGGGGGCGATGAAGAGGTGTCTGCCGAACGCTTCGTACCTGTCGGCGCCGGAGAGGAGCTCTGGGAGGATCTAGTAGATGCCATTGTGACCGCTGAAAGACATATAATGTTAGGTATTGCTTCTGCATTGGATTGATCGAAATTTACGAGAAGATTCATAGTAATTTACCTTTGCTTAGATGGAAAGTGAACAGGGAGCTTTGTGTGTGTAGTGTTATGGTTGGAAAAGGCAAACCTTCTGTTTGAGTGTATCAATTGATCTCCAATTAACGACTGTGGTAACTGAGTTGATTTATCGACGCTGATAGTTTCTTTGAAGTGAGATGAAGACGATTGAAGAAGTCAGGGGAAACATAAAAAGCAAAGTCGCGTTAAGAAGAACGCGTCAAGGACTTAGTACGATGACGTCGATTCGCGGGCGGTCACGTGGTGGTCATTATATCCCCACGTTCACCTTTAGTACTCTGTCAGCAAATAAAGCCTGAGTTGTATCCTGGCAATATTCAATATTCGTGATGGTTATACCCCATCCAATAGTATGCAGCTGGGGACGATACAGTATCAAATCACTCGGAACATATTCTCCCTCACGCCCCTTTTCAACCCCACCGCCTTGCCACCTTCATATTCAACTCCAGCTCCACCACCTCCCCCAGATATGCCCTCAAGTTTTAAGCGGAGCTCTTCATCCTGCTCGAGTATTGTCATTGGTCTTTTCAGCGCGTTTGTACCCGCTTCAACTTCCTCTATCTCGGTTGTCGAGTCTGCCTTGTCCAGCTTTGCTGGAATTGATTCTAGCTTCCTTTCCTCGCCTGAGGTGATATTGGTGTGTTCGGGAACCTTCTCGCGATATCAGCATTTGACCGTACTTTTGGTTTGGCTTGTCATTAGAGCGTAGATGCGGGTAGATGTTAACCTTTGCATAGTATCGTCTCGTTGAACTGGCAGTCCTTGACAGCAAACCCCTTTTCCACATCTTCTCTTCTCTCAAGACCAACGACCTGTACTTTGCGAAAGTATTCTGCGTACAGTTGACCAGAAAATCAAAGATGGAAACATGAAACCTGAAGTATTCCTGTACAGGCAGTTCCGCCCAATACATCGTAGTTCAGTGATTGGGTTCCCTTTACCTAAGGTACTAGGTCGGTAGGTACCCGGGGTGTGCAAAACACGTGACTGAGCCTTCCACAGACTGAGCCAGCTGCAACGACTACCAACCTATCTAGGTACCTACCTACGCATATAGGTATCCTAAAGCTCAACCATAACATTGATATGAGAGGCATATACTGAGTCAACAACATATCTCGAAACACTCATATCTCCATCTCCTGCTACTCGAAGAAGCGACTCAGGCATGTGGTGCAGAATGGAGTTTGCAGCTCCTGAGATATGCGATGAGCCTATTTGATGAACGGATCTGAGGGAAGAGTGGCGAGAAGGGTGGTACATTTCACAGTGAGTTTCGGAGTCTGGTTTTCGATATTCGATTTGCGTGCAGGAATGTTGGTGTTGGGATATTCGGCCTATTATCTCTCGCACCTTTAGACATTCGTTATATTCCCTTACCATTGATGCAGACTATTTTTGGAGATGTAGATTTGATTCTTTCAGAGTAAAGAGCAGTGCTGAAATAGACTCGTTATACCTGACTTAAATAATATTTTCGGCCGTGTAGAACATGCCCTGGTGATGCAACAATTAATATCCTGCAATGCGGTCTAGAAACTGGCGTTTATATTACACTAAAATAATAGAAAGAAATATTCTGGGTACATAGATTTGACATTGAAATGAGATGCACTCCCAACATGCGCATGTGAAAGGTGGCGTGTATCTTGTGAAATACACTCTCCAGACGAGAAATCCACACCAGTGTACACTCCAACGCCTGGTAACCGACACGCAAATTACAAAATATAGAATAAAATGGTGATGATAAGAATTTCATGTAGAAGTTAGGGAGGCACCTCTGCAGCCAATGTGTTGTGCCTCATATGCCACGTTACACCGGACCAGACTCTTCCGGGCTCTGGAGTAACATCTTAAAGCTGACAGGAAGACAAGGACTTATCCTCAGCCGTCGCCTTTGATCTTAAGCCCTGGGGTATCTGATGATGTGGAATTGGTAAACATTTGAAGGTATGTTCAGTTGTAAGGCTTTGTGTGGCATCCAAGCTTTGTTGATTGTCCTTGTGATAGTCGTGATCAACAACAGGGATTGAAATGCTGCGCTCGAGAACCACCAGTTGCGTGTTTTCTGCGTTCAAGTGCGCGTTGATATCTCGCTCGAAATTGCTGTTTCCATCTGATGGAGTAGTAAGAGCCGCAATCTCAGAGGCTGCTGACAGTGATTTGTCCACTCGAGCTGGCGTGCCACCACCTGCAACTACTACTGACTGAGGACTGAGACTGGAGAAAAGTTCTGGTGTGAAGGTCATCTCCTGGTATACTTATCCCGGCAAAATCGTCTATTTTTGAAAGGACGATGTCCTCCATGGCCTGGGGTGGAGGTAGTTTCACGACGGATGAATTGTGTGGCTCCTCAACAAGACCAGACACGCCATTCTCCATGTAACGGGTCAAAAGTGCTGTCGCATGTTGAAATTTTGAGGCCAGCTCCAAAGCCTCATCTCCAACCGACCCTACTCCTCGTGTAAGCAGCCATTTGATGGCGTCGACTCGACCCATGGCACAAGCTGCATTGAGGCCATTCCCAAGTGGTCCCTTGATTTGAGAAATGTCCGCGCCTGCTTCAACTAGCAACTCCATGGCTGCCACATCCCCGCGATAAGTGACCCAGTAGAGTGGTGTGCCGTAGACTTTACACCAATTGTTGATATAAGTTCGGAAATCCTCTGGCGATAAAAGAGCTGAAAGACGCTCGAAAATGATCTTGAGAAATGCTACTGGAGATGGGAAGTAGTTGGTTGCCATGTTGACTATATTGCCATTTGGTGAGTCTCCACCACCAAGAATATTGCAATGCTCGACAAGAAACTCGATCATATTGGGATCAAGCGTATACTCGCGGCGAAGGCAATATTGTAGCAGACGGTAGCCATGTATGTCGCGCAGATCGAATGGCACTTTGAGCTGCAGCAGCCTTTGGAGCACCTTTATGCCCTTTCCAGTAGATGAGACGTCAGCTGCGTAGAAGGCGGCGTTCCTTGCGAAGATATCTACAACCGTTAGATCAGGCGAGCGAGAAATTATCTCCTCCATTATGTCCGTTTCTGTTTCTGTGTCGATCGATAGGAGGAACGGAGAGCAACCCATCAGATCACGGGCATTTATATCAGCACCAGAGTCCAGAAGAAGTTTCACCACAGTCAGATTGTCCCCATACACCGCCTGATGTAATGATGTCCTGCCTCTGGCATCAATTGCATCGACCTTTGCACCAGAATCTAGTAACTTTCGACATATATCATCATTGCCAAACCACGCCGCTAAATGGAGTGCTGTACCGGTGCTAAGATAATGTTCTGCAAAGATTGGACCTGGAGCTATACACATCTTAGGAAACTTGGGGTCTGGTTTGACTTGAACATCAAGCATGCGTTGTACTGAGCCGCAATCCGACCTGGTGCGTTCGTGATCTAATAGCAGCGATAGTGCTTCAAGACTTCCTCGACAAGCAGCAACATGGACTGGCTCCAAGCCAAAGTTCGACATGCTTGCATCCCTTTTCAATAGCTTACGAAGAGTATCAATTGAATTTCTCCATACGGCGTAGTGAATCGGTTGATAACCAGCTCTCTCAACCTCTGGACCAGCATGACTTTGAATATCGGCTCCATTATCAATGAGATAGTGTACCAGCTGTTGATTGTAGTTGTCATGCTGGGCCAATGCGATGAGCAATGGGGAAGAACGGGACTCTGACAATGCGGCATTACAATCGACTCCCATCGATATCAGCTCACGGCAAATAGTCAGGTTTCCATCTTCACAGGCCTTGATCAACTTTTGGGACCTGGGGTCTATTGCGATGCCCGGAATCTTGCCAGTTATCTCAGAAGTCACGAGTCGACTAGTCGAACCTTTTAAATTTGAGTTAGCAAGGACTTCTTGCCTCTGGTAGTGTCTTACCTCGTTCTTTTAAAGCTTGCTGTATTACAAGTCGAACCATTTGGCTAGAGCATAGTTCTGCAGCTGTTCTACCATGTTTGTCCGAGTGGCCTGGTTCAGCCCCTCTCTCGAGTAACGCCGAGACACATTTGAGATTGTCTAAACGGGCGGCAATGTGTAATGCATTCTGGCGTTCTTTTGCCGTCACCGCATGGATATCGGCACCCTTGGTCAACAGGGCCTCCATCGCAGCTAGACTGCCTGCGTTTGCCGCAAAGTGAAGTGGCGTAAGATTTCCTCCACATATACAGTTGACATCATCAACCAATTTTTCGTCAAAAAGTATATTGATGGCATCTGGGAAGTTGTATTTCGCTGAGAGATGTAGTGGTGAGAAACCGTAGGAAACGTTTCCGTCTTCGAAGTCAATGGAGTGTGTTTTCTCCGAATGTGTCCAATCAACGTTAAACGGCAGAAACAATTTCAGGATTTCTGCATTGGCGTATTTCATGATTTGATGAGCGACAGTTCTGTCACTATAATCTCTCAATGTGAGATCGGCGCCATGTTCAAGAAGTATCCTGCAAATTTCTGCCTGATTGTGACTTACAGCCCTCATAATGGGGGTATGTTTGGAAAGTGTTCGTTGGGCATTGACATCCACACCATGAGCAAGAAGTGTTTGAACTATGGGTGTGTTACCTGATTTGATTGCCAATTCTAGACAACTGTCAGCACCGTTGGACTGCAAGTCACCGTCTGCGCCTAGCCCTAGTAGGTAGTTGACGACTTCCACAGAGGGTGTATGACTGATGGCTTCAGATAATGCCGAACGGCTAGCTTCTGTGTGATCTTGTGCGTGGATATCTGCTCCTTTTCCAACAAGGAGCTTGAGCGTTGGTAGATTTCCATTCAATGCCGCTTCCAAAAGGGGTGTCCGGCCTTCTGTTGTCGTCGCGTTAACTTCGGCTCCTTTTTCCAGCAGAAGTTCCACCAGCTCGGTGTGTCCATATAAGGAGGCATTATGTAGAGGCGTGACACCTATAATAGAATCCTTGACATTGACGTTTGCGCCTTTAGACACAAGCAGCTTCGCAATCTCCCACTCCTGTACAGATGTGGCAACAAGTAAAGGCGTTTGGAAAACGCAATTGAGGGTTTCAAGTTCAGCATTGTAGTCCAACAGTAGGCGAGCAACGTCAACAAAATGGCGTACTATAGCCCAATGTAGTGGGGTACCATCGTAGCCTTTTCGGTCTGCGTCTGGCTTCGCGTTCGACTTCAACAGTATATCCACAATTTCGATGTGATCGTGCTTCGCAGCAAGGTAAAGTGCATTTTCACCTTCCAAATTCTTGAAATCCAGGTCTGTCTCACGCTTGACAATCAGTTCAACAACCTCAAGGCAGCCTGATTGCGATGCTAATATGAGAGGAGTGCATTGTGTTCCGGGTTCGTATACGTTGACATTGCCTCCTGCATGAATGAGAACTTGGGCGGCGTTCCAAGAATGCCTTATCGAAGCAATAAGCAATGGTGTGTATTGGGAGGAACTCAACTGTTCCAGCTCTGCTCCGGCTTGGATGAGTAACCGAGTACATTCAGTCGCGTTGTGGATCGCAGCGTAATGAAGTGGGCCACCACCGACACCCCCTCTTTTCGCGTTTCGATCGGCACCAGCGTCTAATAACATTTGCATGGTCTTAATTGAATCTTTTTTAGAGGCATGATGAGTAGGCCTGTACCCTGAAGCACCTTCAGTATCCACGGGAGACCCCCGGCGAATGAAATCGTCGACGACTTCACTCATCCCAGCCATTGCAGCGCAATGAATTGGCAAATCACCATGTAGACAGGGCTCCTGGAGTGGCGGATTGAGTTTTAACAGTGCCTCGATAATTGAGATGCGTCCAGGAGATCCAAGTTTGTCATCATTTTGAAGTGCATATTGGATAAGAAGACAACCATCCAAACTTCGGCAAGACATGTCAATGCCGGTCGATTTCAGAGACGAAAAGGTTTCGTAATCACCGGCGATAATAGTCGCAACAAGGTCGTCATGATCGACAATGCCAGGACTTTCTTTGAGGAACCGATCTACTATCTTGGATGCTCGAGTCTGCACGGCGAGGAAGAAGCTTTGTCGGTCTACCTTAGCGCCATTGTTGAGAAAGATTTCCACCATTTCGCGGTTCTCATGGCTTATCGCGTAACAGAAATGTTCTTGAATCTGTATCAAAAACTGCCCTTTCAGAGAACTGTTCCTTATTGCTTCCAACCTGGCCTGAACCCTTGATGAGAGGCCATGTCGCACATCATTCTCCAAAGCTTTTGAAATTTCTGTTCGGTTCATTCTAGCCATCATAGACTGGAAAGATTGTTCGGATGGCTGTACGACACCGTCTTGAAAACTGGGAAGGTGTAACTTGATTTTGTTGAAAGCGTCTCGGTCTGATTCATCTTTAAGACTGTTTCCCCCGCCTCTGGCCAAGGAAATGATTCCATGTATTGCCTCGGTGTCATCCTTCAATCGGAAAGCGCATGCAAGTGTATCTGCTGTAATTTTTGCTCCTGCCTTGAGAAGTACAGTCAAAAAGTCCGCTTGGCTGTCCGTTGCGTGAAAAGCGACGTGAGAATTATCATGACCGGTCGATAACTCCGCGTCGCTGTTTGGGTCGGCACCTGCAGAGAGAAGCGTTTGTACAGCCAACAGTCTCGAAGCTGGACGCCATGACTTCTGTTCGATATCTTGCACTGTGGCTTTCGAAACGCCATGAAGCAGAAGTTCGGGTCCGATCAACGCGCAGTATAGAGGAACTCCCATACCGCTGTGGCAGTTAGGCGAGAACACCTCAAGCAAATCTCTCAGAATCTCATGCAGCGCAAGGAGAGCCGCCCAATGTAATGGTGGTGCCTCCATACAAGCCGTGTAGATATCACTTTCCATACCCAGCTCTCCATTCAAGGAAAGTATGAGTGCCTGATTCCAATGGCGAAAGTTTCCCATGTTCGAAGAACTGAACAGAGATGTGGCTGATGCCATCATAGAAGGATGTTTCATGTGACCTTGGGCATAGTAGTCCCAGTACTTGCTTGCATGTGGAAGGAATGGTCGCCGGATAAGCATACTGTTATAATCCTTGACGGACTGTTCAGGCCCGTGCCTGAAGCACTGAAAGTTGAGATATGTCAGACAGACTTGTGCCAGCGTGAGTGTGCTCTCATCTTCGTTGACTTGGTACTTCGCTATCTGGGGTGGTGATCGAGAATCGATAGCGAGCAGATATTGCTTGACGCTGAAGTGTGCAAGCTCCAAAGCTCCTTGTACAGTCTGGCTTGTCTTCAACAAACTACTGCAGCACTCTAGTAGGGTATCCACGTCTGTCATAGCTTGCGCATCGTAATCATTATCTCCTTCTGATACTGAAAGAGCCTCAAGCAAAGCTTGGATAGGCAATGGCTCCGCTGCTGATATAATCCATTGAAGTGTTTTGCGGACGAGATCTACGTGACTGTCGTCGATTTCTCGGAGAATGCGGTCGTATGTTTGCGGTAAATCTCGTGGAAGCTGTTTCAGAGCATTTCGTTTCTCCCGGTCGCTAGTAAGTTTGCAAAGATAGTCAATCTGGCATGCGACCCATCGAAACCTCTGGTGTATCAGCACAAGTACTCTGCAATGTATAGTTCTACATGCTTGTTAACTTACACGCCTTGCGCATTACTCACTAAACCATCCATGATCTCCTCCTTCAACATCCTGTCCGAAAACCTCAATTGTCGTCTGGTAATTCGATGGTCAATCTCGGAGGCTACATATAGAAGCAAATCGACTTCTCTAGCTTCAATCTTTTGGTGCTCGAAGTCGTGCAGTCTGGACTCAATGTCCCTCTGTGTCCGGCTGACGAACAGTAACTTGATGTGAGGGTTGTCGAACGGAGTCGAAGCCGTTGTATCGAACGACAAAGCAGAATGTGCAGTGTCTCCCGAAATTAGAGCTACTGATTGCTCTACATGGGCATAGATAGAAGATGGGCTATTTCCAGCATGTTGTAGCGATCCGTGAGTGACAAGTTCTGGTGGAGTATCCAGAGCAGGAGCAAAGCCTAGCGTGTCTGGTGACACCAGCGAATTATCAACCTTGGGCGAGACATCACCCCACAAGCTTCTCAGAAGTTCTATAGTGTCCGCACGACGGTCTTCAATCTCATCTAGCCCATCAATAATGAGAAGTACGTCACCGTCGATTTGCTTAGCCATTTGTATGAACAATTTGCATAGTTCCTTCTCGTGACATGGCTTCGGGCTCGTACCCGGTGGGTGGTATGCTTGATGGAATTCTTCCAGTAGGTGGAGGCATTCTCTATTCTGTTCTGCGAGCTGCTTGATCAGCGCACCGAGTATGTTCCAGGTCTTCGTTGTTGCATTGTCCCTGAAGTCGCAATAAAAATAGGCAAGTACTGAACACATTAGCTGAATCTCATCAGGGGCAGTGTCACGAAAGCGAACCGTCAGAATTATTCTCGCACTCGAAGAGCCCTAGCGATTTCTGGATATGCTCTATGATGGTGGACCTTGCGCAATGTCAACAGCAGTTTATGGGTGTTTATTGTGGTGGAGAGCTTACGTCAAGACGGTCTTTCCCGCTCCAGCTGTCCAGACTTGTCAGCGCCGAAATCACCTCCGGAGGACCACTACTCACGGATACCATGAATCCACAATCTGGAGCGCCGTGTTTCCATCCATCTTCTGAATTGAACGCTTTTTAAGAACCACTGTCCAGTCTGGTTCTCTAGATGGCTGCGTAGAGCGATGCCATTATCCTGGAGCTTCGCGTGGTTGGTATCGCCTAGCCACCTGAAAATTCGTTGACGTTCCTGTGCTATGGTCTTGTCAGGAAAGAGCTGTTTTACCGTTATCTTTCTCAGAACTAACAGATGTATTTAGAAGCGATGTTATCTTGTAGTTCTTTGAGTTCTGTAGCTCGCTTCTGATTTGATTTATGAATTGTCAGCCTGATCAGTCGTCAGTCTTTGTCCCAAAAATTGAAATAGGTCAACTTGCCAGTTGTCAGTGCTGAATGCGAGCGCAAGGCTATTTTTGGAACGTTCAAGCCGTTCCACAAGCTCTTTGGTCTTCGATGACTTAAAAGGCCACAGAATATCCCGCTTTATCTTCTTGAGTGGACTCCTACGAAGCTCTCCCTTCTGTAATTGGTCTCGAATCTCTGTGAGTAACTGGGAGCAGGCAACAATATGTTCCCCGACTGAAGCATCTATGACAAGGTCATGCTCAAGATACAACTTGGAGGTATGTTCAATCTGCTTCAATATTCCCAGGAGGATTTTGGTCTCATCCAAGAATGCAACGATGCTTGCTTCAGCGTGCTTGACCTCAAGAGAATACCTGATTGTCCTCCCAACGATGATGTCCGCAAGAGAAATGAGCCCAGGGACACCAAAAACGACTTCCATGTTAGGAGAAGTCTTTCCTCGGAAACGAACTTCTGAATAGCCAGTCAACCTATATCAACTGGTCTCATCCGAACTGAAGGATATCTCAATGAAAAAAAAACAGCCTTGAATAGCCTTGGCTCACCTTGAACATATGTGAAGACAGAAGATTGGAGAACACTTATAAGGGTCTGAGCATATGAGGCTAGCGTCTATGTAACTAGAATATGGGTCAGTAAACTTCCTGGCTACGCCTCGACGCCACAGGCTGGGCGCAGCCCAAGGCGGCGAACGAGGCTCTCTCTCACATTTCGAGAGCATAGATAAGGATGACATCGCACGGGTCTGATAACGAATGGCAGAAATTGCTGGTGGAACGCCGTGCCGATACGGTTCGTTATTTTTGGACGAGGTTACATGAAGAGCGTCATAGGCTGCCTGGTGCGCATGGCCTTTGAAACCCCACCAAGAGTACGAATTACACGTGAGGTCAATCAGGGTATCACTGTCATTCAAAGAAACCGACCCAATTACTCATAACCGGCAGGGTCAGTCCGAACATAAAGGAGGCGGTCTGGCTCAAGTGACAAGTGTGGTTGCTGCGAAACTTGACCCTGCAGCGTCCCATCCTCCACCAAACACTTGGAAGTCCCATGGTGCCAAGCTTCGGGATGTCCAAGGTTTAACTTGGCAAGGCTGCCTGGTAGATATTTCCTGCTGGAAATAAGACTTGAAGTCAAGTTATGACAAGGATAAACATAGTTCCGGAACGGGCTGCGTATCCGGTGCTATGATAGCCTCTTTGCTCTGCGGGTCATGACCTACTCAACCAAGTGGCCGAACTTGTCTTCACAAACATCATATCAGATGCTCTCTATTACCACAAGGCAAAAGATCTCGTGCTGGCACTGACATAGCCCAATTTGAAGCCTCAAATAGGACGATCGGGGAGCTAGGCCTGCAATTGTGAGACCAGAATCTGCGTCATGGCTAAACCGGGACAGAAATGGATAGTGTCTATCTGCCCATGAGAACGACATTTGTACCGAGATCAAGAACAGACCAAGCAAATGGATGATTGAGCCTCCTGCATCAAGGGCAATCCTTGAAAATTGGTTGCAGTATCCTAACGCAGGGAACCTAGACCGCGTCAGAGATCTGCTTTAGAGCAGCCTTTCCAGAATGTATCCCACACTCGGGAATGCATTAGTGCCAGCGCTTACACAGCCTTGTCATCGCAACACTGAAAGATGTAAACGGCCACTTCCTGAAGTGGAGAAAAGCGAGACCGCAGCCGGGCCCAGCCGGGCCCAGCCTTTGCCACAGATTTTCTTTTTTTTGGGGTGAAAGTCTTGGAATAGCTCGGTACGCAATTCCGGACCAAGGAGCGTCACGAGTTGAGATCATGCGCTGTCCCCGCGTTCTGCAGCCTCACTGCGGCGAATTGAGAATTTGTTCTATTTAGCACGGCATGAGTCTAGGGCTGCGAGTTTTTCATCTGAATAACGGCAAAACATGTTTATCGATGATGCGTGTTTTGACATACTTTGCAGTTCAGGAGCCGCTACAACTTTCTACTTTCAAAAGCCCCCGAGTCCAACTCTTTGACAGGACCATTCGCCAAGGGATCAACGAACGCTTAACCAGGAACTTACAGTTGTAAAATACTACTGTAATCAGATATGTTACTGAAATTCAACCTTTCAGTGAGGTCAATCGAATGGAGTCACTCGAATTGACAAGTGTTCTTGTCTTGAGCTTGCCCCGGAATCGAGACTTTCAGAATAGGTACGCTCTACACTTCTTCCGTACATCCAATGAGAAAGCTATAACTCGACGGCATCGGTATCCAGTGATGAAAATAACCCCTCAGATTTTGTCAAACTTACAACGGCTGCTTCAGGTTCGTGGCAACTTGACCTCCGACATCTCCACCGTCCTAATTTGTTATCCACAGCTGACACCTCACGACCTGAAAAGGAGACCGAACCCAATCAAACGAAGCCCCAAGCCCTTCTTAAGTCAGGGATCTTAAAACAGGGAATTAACGGACCAGAAATCGTCACTAAAGTAATCGTAAAGCCACCACTCACTGTCATCTCATCTCGTCCTGTCCAAAAATAACACTGTGTATTCCCGCCAGAAAGTTGAATCCAAGCCTCTACCTATCCAGGGGTCAAAATACTCAATCCAAGCAGAGCTTACTGCGCCTACGCAGCCGCTCAGAATCAATTGTTTACCTTCCGCCGCAGAACTCCACTTCATAAGCGAGAGCGGAGAAATGCCCTGGGGCGGCAGGGCGGTTCGCGGCGGGTGTGTGCCCAGCCCGCCCGCCTCAGCGAGCTCAGCACATACTGAACGTTTCCTTTCGTTCAACCGATTCTGACCAGCACGCACCCAAATCTGGTAATCGAGCAGAACGCAACATAATAGTGACTACCAAAGTTTCGTAGCTAAATATTCAATTCCTCGGACTAACCATTCAAGGACTCCGCTTACAGGATGTCATCTCACATCCTCACATACATATGCAAAAAGGAGCTTACTGTAACAGGACAACGTAAAAGAAGAGAGGTATAAAATAAGGTATGGTAAGGTAAGCTAATGTAGGATATATTTCCCGACCCAAGTTAAATAGCTAGACTAGACTCTTTCCATAGTCCTTTCCTCTCATCTCGTCTTATTCCATGCTTAAGTTAGCTCGTTCGTCATAGTCATAGCAGCGAACAATGGAAAGCTAAGTGGGAAAGGACGGGTTCACAGCTAGCTAGCTAGCTCCAAAATGGAACGAAATGTGTGCAAAGCATACATACATACAGTCCCGTCATCTCAGCAGGTCTTCTAGATCTGGATCCATCGTCGTAGCATGGACAAGGCAAACTTATACATGATTGATGATCACAACACGTCATCAATGTGCGTTTTTATTTTTTTTTAAGTATAGCGCATTTACTATTCGTATGTAAATATCAGATGCGTGAGGCAGTTTTGGTCCTCGTCCTCTCTGACCAGCCAGCTGCCTGATCATCTATTCTCGAATTCTCGACTTCTTATTCTTCTGCGTCTGCGTCTGCGAACAGCGAAGCGCGGGGTATCAATCTCCTATCATATTCTCTCTCCATCCGCTGCGTCGGTGTGCTGCTATAGTCTCTGCATTGTGCAGGCATTCCATGTTTGTGCATATGAGCTTTTCCTGGCGTAGAACTCCCCGGGCAATAAAAGCCTCGCCATGATCATACAAGGTTTTTCTCTCTTATCATGCAATGCAATTGGTTCAACCATCCATCTCCTCATCACCCTCCTCGTCCACCTCACCCTCTCCTTCTTCCTCTTCCTCCTCACCTCCCTCTTCCTCGCCATCCTCCTCAACCTTCTCCGCATACCCCGGTATAAAACCCTCCTCACCAACCACCCTCTCAAGCTTAATCCTCTCCCTCTCACACCACCTCCTAACAGCCTCCTTGTCAATCCTCACCTTCACCACCCCCTTCCCATTCCTCTCTGCAGCACCAGCTTCCCCATCCACATCTCCACCCGACACCCTCCCACGTCCCCCCATCCGTTCAACAACACCCATATCCCTTAACACCGCCAGACAATCCTCCTGCGCGATCCACGTCTCCTCACTCAACAACTTTATACCCACCTCCTCCCTCTTTCCCCTCCCCTTCTTTCCCTTCATCCTCCTCTCCTGCCTCTCTAGAATCCATCTCGCGATCTCCGCCCCCCAGAATCGTTTATATCCCTTCCTGCCCAGCTCAGAAATAGGTTTCTCTGGCCCGCCAAGGATCTGTTCGCGTCTAGCGATGGAGTATGAAATGCCCATGAGGAGGGCGCCGAGGCCTTTGCGCTGCCAGGGTGGAAAGATGAGGATGCATGCTAGGTTATTATTGTCCCAGGAGAGTTTTTCTTTGGAGAAGAAGCCGACGATTTGTTTTTGTGGGGTGCTGGATGTGTTGTGTGGGGAGTTGAAAGGGGGGGTGTAGACGAGGAGGAAGTAGTTGAAGCCTGAGACGTCGAAGAAGACGGATTTATTGTCGAGGAAGAGTTTGGCGAAGAGGGAAAGGTTTTGGCAGAAGATCTGAAGAGCGATGTCAGCAAATATCCTTTCCTAACCGTATTGCAAGATCCAGAAATACGGAAATATGAGAACTTACAGTCTCAACACCTCCATCAACCTCCCAAATACTCCACTCGCCCACAGCCGGCCTCGGACTGTCATCCTCCCTCCACCCACCATGCACATAGATCTTCCGTCCAGGGACCTCTCTCTCACAACATCTACAATGCTTTACCCACTCCACCAGCACCTTCCCATACCCAAAGCACCTCTGACAAACATACAACTCGTTAACCACGATCCCGCCCTTATCACCCGCAAGAGCTTTCTCTCCGATTATCTCTTTGGGGTACCACGACGGATACCAAGCTTTGAAAGTCACTTCACCGAAAATGACGTTGTTGATGTTACGCTCCAGGGCCTCCTTGTCTTTGTCTTTGGACTTATCGTCGATGCGGAGCTCAAGCTCCATCTTCTTTGGCTTGGAAGGTTTGCTAGGTTCGAGAGGGATGGCGATCGTATCTCTGAGATCTTCTTCATGGATTCCATTTGGCGCATTCGCATTCCCGTTCCCATTGACTTTATTCTCCTTGTTATCCCTCGCCCTTCTCCCATTCCTCCCAACCCTCTGCACACCCATGGTACCATTGACTTTCGTATCCCTCTCTCCAGCCCCAATCCCATTCACAAGCCTCCCCCTTCCCCTCCCCCTTTCTCTATCCCTCTCATTCTCCCCACCAGCACATCCCCCCCTCGCCCTTCCACTCCTCAAACTCAACGCCCCCTCCAAGCTAGGCATAATCTCACAATCCCTCTCCCTAACCAACTCACTAACACAGATCGCCTCGTCCCTCTGCCTCTGCAGCAGCTCCTCAATGACTTTCCTCTGCTCCCTTTCTCGCGCCTGCGATCTCTCGAGGAGGCGTCGGTCGAATTTCAGGACGTAGCGCTGTGGTTGCGGGTGTGGATCGGGGGACTGGCGGGGTAGTTGCGGGGGCTGGGGAGTTTGTGGAGCGTCTTGGGAGGGATTGAGTGGACGTATGAGGATTTGCGATGATGCTGCGTCGGAGGTAGAGGTAGAAGTCTCGTATTGGTGTCCTGGACTCTTGTTCTCAAGCTGCTCTTGCTGGAATGTCCAGCTTGCCTTGAATCCAGAATCCAATCCCTGGTCTCCCAAATAAGCTGGTCCAGCTTCCTTCTCCTCTCCCCTAGCACTTCTGGTGTCCGCAAACGTAAACTCAGTCCTTGTGTTTATCCGTGTACTCTTCGTACGCGAGGGTTCGCTCGTTGTAGTGATCGTTGTAGCTCTAGCTGTCGTTGCCGTTGAATGCGGTACATCCCACCCCGTCGCATCAGCCCCAGCATCCCCCGTCTCGGTCCCGCCCACGTCAACCACCACGCAACCAGAACCGCGACTTTGGCCTCTCCCCTGAATGGCTGCTGTCCCTTCACCACCGCCTTCAACACCACCTCTATTATTTCCTCGTTCTCTGCTTCTGGATGTAGAGATGCGCTGCGCAGAAGCTGGCAGCCTCTCCTTTCCCATTACACCAATTTACTTGTCTGCTCTGATTTCGCTGACAAGAGGGCTGATTTGTTTTCGGAAGCGCTTGATTGAAGGGGAAAACTTTTTTTTGTCGTCTGCGCCTGGTCTGATTTTGTCTTGCGCTTGAGCTGGAGCTTGGGCTAAATTTTTCTGTTGGTCATCATCGCTTTCCGATCTCGTGAACACGCGATGTTAGAAACGGAATATGCATGTAATCCATGCATTAATTGTTCCGCTCGACTACCTTATCAAGTAGGTAGTTGAGTAGAATATCGTTGTCCTTTGGGATGCGCGACATCCAAGGTGACCTGGGGTAATAACAGAATGAGGGGCAACTTTGAATTCGTGATTGTCAGCCTAGCTTCTGTGACAAACCGGCAATCACAATTCAAGACAATATGGATTGTGTAGTCGCTTTTTCTTGTTTCTACCAAACCTCCCCTTATAGTTGTAAGCAATGGTATCATTTCAATCTAGGCAGCCGTCTCACGGGATATTCAGGACAGCGTACCGTGGTAGAGTCACCCTGGTAAGTACGTCAAAGTTAGAAATATAAAGTATATCAATCAATTACTAGGCGCTCAATTGCACTGCACACCACCGGATCCCATATGCGCAGCGAGTGACCATCCATATTCACTCCCTCACACATACATGCAAGCCAGAAGCCAGGACGCACAAGGCAAGAAGTCAAGAAGGAAAAGTATTGTGTTCGCAAGAACCTAATGTAGCACCTCTCCATCCCAGCTCTCGTTCCCTCCTCAGCCGCATAAACTCACAAGAAGCAGGGTAGATTACGTCGATCTCCAGTGCTTTTGCAAACTGAGCAGGCATCGAGAAAAATAAGCGCTGCGATGGAGATCAAAATAAGTAGGAGTAGTAGCAAGACAATATGATGAAGGTTGCCAAATGCCACCAAACCCGTCGCTCAGCTCAGCTCACCGCACATCCCACCCACCCCACTTAACCTCTCGCAGTGCACTCCCCTCCTCTCCATTCGCATCTCATCTACCTCCGCATTCCCATTCCATTCGACCCCCTCCAAATGTAAACTCTCCAATACAGCCCCTCCGCTACCCATTCCATTCCAAGTTTGTGTACAGCGAGATTATGTATGTGGGTTTCGATTTCCGATTTCAGTAGTCCGAAAGCCATCTACAAGCCCTCGAACTCTCCTCCCAAGTCATCCTCGTCGAGATCACCATCCTGAATCTCCTTGGCCATCTCGCGCTCGCGCTCTCTTGCCTCCTGTGCGTTCTTGAGCTCTAGTCTGTGTTGGTTCATAGGGAATCGCATAGCCTGAAAATTAACTTGTTAGCTAAACACTTTCCTTAAAAAGAATGGAAAGACATACCTTGACACTCTCATCATGAAGGGTGAGACAAGCGCGGATACGATCATGGAAAGCATCACCAGGCTCTCTGGTAGCGTAGATATCACCAACCTCCTTGCTCTTCATGAAACCTCTCTCCCGATCCAGAGAAGCCTCAATGACACCATCGCGGATAGCCTTCGCAACAATGTACTCTGCAGACTCCTCGCTGTCCAACTTCAGGCGTATGCAGATGTCTCGGAGGGAGATGCGGGAGTATGACAGGGACATCATCCGGATACCCGTCTTGATGACATTCTGTCGGAGGCGCAGAATGAGTGTGTACGTCCCATCGCGGCGGAAGGTCTCGGCGTGCTGGTTGATCACATTCTCGAACTCGCCCAACAACCCAACGCGGACGGCTTGCACAAGCATAAGATATGGTTGAAGAGCACGCTCCATGCTGGCGACCCGGAAAGTGGCGCGCTCAGGAATATCACCCATCAGGAGTTGCACCACAAGCAACAGCTTTTGAGCAGTCTGTGCGAAGCCTGCAGCACTGGGGCTTGTTGGAGCCTTTCGTGTAGCAGCGACCAGATACTCGTGGGCATCGGAGTATTGCAACTGGATTGCCCGAATGCGGCCTTGATAGTACAGGAATCGGGCAACCTGGTTATTCGAAGCAGTATCTGGGAATTGGGTGTGGGACAAAAGGAGATCAGCCTGAGCAATGTGAAATGTTGAAAGGTAGTTTCTTAGCAACAGCACGATGACAGTAGACTGTGTATCGATATCCTTGCGCAGAACGGCAGTTCGCAAGGCGGAAAGGAGCGTAGGCCGGAGAGCAACAACGGGTGAAGACGGAGACGGTGGGAGAGGAGCCATCTGTTCGCAGAATAATGAGTAGTAAAAGTACACACGGGCTGTGAGGGAATCCAAGGTTCTGCGGTTCAAAGTGTGTATCCGCTCAGCGAGATATGCCGAGAACTCAGCACCCTGCTGGTTGATCTTGTTATCCAGGTAGTAGATTTGTGTCAGGATTCCTAGGAAGATATCAACTTCAGGTAGGATTTCCTTCTGCTCCTTCTTGGCACTCTTCTTCGACTCCGAGTCGAGCTCCATCTCAGACGAAACTGGCTTTGTGAATGTGGCATTTTCTCTATCGATCGCAACCAGTAATGACTTTGCAGCAGGGCTTGTTGATGGGTAAGTCTCAGTGATGACTTGCGCCAGGATGTCCAGTGTAAGGCGTTTGCGGATGGAAGAAATCGACCGGAGGGCTCGAAGGGAGAATCTAGCATCGAACAGGGTAACCGCGCGTTCTAGTAAAGGGAAGTTGCTCTTAATATCTGCAATGAAGAACTTTTCGTCAGTAAAGGGCAGGTTTTCGGTGGAATGGGTATTTACGCACCTGCAACAGCCTTGGCCACCGGATTGATCTTGACAGCCCCAGCATCCTCTCCTTCTGCACCCTCAAACCCATCCATGGCCACATCACCATCAGTGTCCTTCGGTGGAGGAGCCGATAGCTTTGTGCCTTTGGAGGGAGGTACAACAACGGTCATCTCCTCGTCGCCTTCCTTCAACTTCTTGCCCTTTCCACCCTTTAGCGGGGCCGGTGCATCATCCTTCATCTCGATGTCCTTGGTACCATTGATTCCATTCTCGACAGGCTTTTCCCCGTTCGTATGGGGTGTTTTGCTGGGCATATCGACTGACTGTCTGTTTGATCAAGCGTCTTGAAGGCGCCCTTCCGTGACGTACTCTTGGCTTCGAGGGAGCGCGTCGATGATATTCGCAGGACTTGGGATGGTACTGGAAAACTGGGGATGTCTCTCTGGAATCGAGAGATATTAGACAATTCGCTTTGTTTGGGTTCGATGGGGTGGTGTTGTTGATGGTATGTAGTAGGTTAGCTGTGCTTTGAGATTACAACATGTTGAAGCTTAAGGCTGGTACGGCAAGCGACATGGAGGTCCGATGCAGAACCTTGACGCGAAGCAGCCGTGCCTGCTAAAAGTGGGTCCTCAGCCTGGCTTGCACTCAGATCCCGTCACGAAGCCAATAGGTAAGCCGGCTGCAGTCCTCACAACATCATAACCGAAATGGAATACTGGCTAGCAAAGAGGTCACAGGAACTACTTGTTATGAGGTGGTTGGCTTTAGAAATACACATCAACAGCCCAAATCCCAAGACTCACAGCCATGAAAGTAAGTGAAATCTCACGTGCGCAGGTCAGAAGTTCAATGCATGTGAATTGACATGTGCCATCAGCTAGCTGCGATCACTACCTTATGCACCATATGCGAAGCAGTGTTTTCCCTGGTCTCCCGAAGCGCCTTCCATCCATAAACTCTCGTAGAAGCCAGTGAATAGCAAAGCAGGGCACGAGTCCGGTTGCATCAAAGAATATCATATGAACGCCTTTGTGTATATGCCATCCCTTCCATATCACCAGCCAACGCCGGGCTTGGGAACCTGCCATAAACTCCAGATGACCATTATTAACGTGGAGCGCTTTTCAGAAATTCAGTATACCTCTCAGGACATGGAGATATTACACACTCTTAATCAGTATTTTTGCCACCAGTAACTTTAGCAGCTTGCACAGCACTCATCTTTGAGATCCATGCAGGGGAAGGCTGGATCTTGCGAACGGTACGGATTTCATCGCTGGAGTAGCCAGGAATACGGATGTTGTAACCACGTTCAAGGGTGAGTTGAATGTCGCGGATCTCGAGGATCTTGGAACCACGTTCCTTGGCGTTCTTGCAGGCTGCTTGAAGGACTTGATCAACGAAGTTGTCGGCTACGTTGAGAATGGACTGCGCAAGTCAGCATTAAGGTTTCGCAATAAGGATAAACAATAGTCAGAGTCACTCTTCAGAGTCTGGAGAGAGATTGTGAAGATAGAAGGTAATAATGGAAAAGACAGCATCACATACCTCTTCAACATCGGGGGTCAATCCCTCACCACCATCCAAGCCCTGACCACCACCAGTAACCTGGCGAACCAACTCATCAAGCTTCTTCTTGCTCAAAACGCGATCACCTTCACCCTCCATGCTGTACCCTGGCGTCTTCGGAATGACAGGTTGAGAGATGATACTGCCACCATTGGATGGTCCTCCTGAGTAGGTTGGGCGTGCTTGCTGCATTTGTACTGGTTGCGGTGGTTGTGTTGCGCGCTCGGGAAGGTGCTTGGGAATGGGCATTTTATTTGTTATGACGTTCGCTTCGGATCGAGGAGCGGTCGGGTGTGAATGGCCCATCACATTTGGAGGAGCTTGATTGGAATACGACCTAGCGGCGCTCTGAAATGCGTCAGATTGCGACAAAGGCTGAGGAACCTGTTGTTGTTGTGGACCTTGCGAAGTGGCTGATTGAGGCACACCAGCGGATCGTGGAACGGCAGACTGTGGTGAATTTGTTTGCATGGGTCGTTGATTTCCCTGCATCTGCGTGACTGCAGTGTTGATTTGCGTAGGCACTCCAGCCTCCGTCTTGATATTGGGCATTTGCCCTTGGCCAGCAGGAGCATTCTGGTTCGGCATCTGAGGAGGCTGTGACATCTGAGCATTTGGCTGTTGCATCGGAGGCATAGGGCGTCCTCCACCCATCTGCTGATTTCTGGCTGCCTCTATAGCGGCATTGACAGTCTGTGTCGGATTTGGGACCTGCTGTGGGTTCATCTGTGGCCGAGGAGGAGCTTGTCCACCATTGCTGGCATTTGGGCCAGGTCGATTGGCATCTGGAGAACCACTTCCTTGTCCTTGTCCCTGAGACTGAGCTTGAGCAGCTCTAAACTGCGCCTGCTGTGCTCGAAAGCTTTCCACAAAAGCCTTTACCTCCGAATGTGACTTGTGGGCCGCCTCTTTCTTCTCTTTATAATCTTTTTCCTCTTCCGGACTCAGCGGTTTTCCCTCCTCGTTTCGCTTCGCAATCACTGCATCCAGGCCAGTTACGCGAGCCGTGAAACTCTCCATGTTGACCAAAGCCTTTAGATACTTCTGCTTCGCTTCTTGGATCCACTTCATAGCTTCTTGGGTATTGGGCGTCATGTTCGGTGGCAGGACGTATGGGAAGTTAGTGACATGTTCCATCAGCTTCGGGCTGATCTTAGGTGTTTGTCTTTGCTGAACAGGGCTTGTGCCACCACTACTATTGTCTCCTCCTTGGCTCTGGTTTTGTTGTGGCTGGCCCTGACTAGGAGGACGAGGAACTCCAGCTTGCTGGGTTTGCTGCTGTCCTTGCTGACTCGACTGTCCCTGTGATCCTGGCTGACCTTGCAGTTGAGCTTTTTGCTTGGCAGCTTGTAGTTTTGTAGCAAGGGTTCTCGAGAAGTCCATGAGCTTGCGCTTGGCTTCCAAGTGTGGTTGTGTGTCTGCTGCATTTTGCTCAATTTGATTCCATAGTGACCTCAACCCTTGCTCCCACTTTGCTCTCTCTTCGGCCGTGAATGGTTCGGGAAGACCTCTCATCTGCTCTGGTTTGAATAAGGGGATCTTGCGCTGTTGCTGCTGTTGCGCTCCTGAGGGCTGGCCCTGAGGGGCAGAGCCGCCCTGCTGACTGTTATTCATAGTGACTATCGGTGTGTGACACCTATAGATGAGGGTACTCTGTTGTTATATTCCAGCTTCAAGTCGACAATAATAGCTGCTCGTATATCGTGTACAAAATCGCAACGTGGAATGGACAATCTCGTGGTGGGGAGTGAAGTGATGCAATGTCCAGACAAAGTTGTGGACCGATCTCTGGTCGGGCGGCCGCATTCAGCCGCACTTGACCTATCTTGGATGTGTCACAGGATGGACTTTGTTGGAGCACTCAGCGTCATTGTGATGGGTCTACGCTATCTAGGTAGATTACTACTTATTGCAGAATTGTAGATTTATATTAGAATTCTACTCTTTTTCACTTGACTATCTCGAAATGGAGAAGTGGACCTTCTCATCTTCCTAGACCGCCATGTTAATACAGCCGAGGCTTCTGCTGGTCATGGTAATGGCAGGATCTTTGGGGCTATTTCGGCTCCCTCAGGATTTGGCTTTCTTACAGGAGACAAGGAGAAGTTCTTGTAACAGGGACCAAGAAAATATCCCATTTGCCATTAACCTCCATATGTTTAGAGTTACTCAAGTCTGGGGCCACATACCTACAGTTGGAGAAATCGCTTGATTCAGCAGGTCAAATACATTCTGTCAACAAGGAATATCACTTCGTAAATCGGTTACTGGCATCCTGACTGCAATACAGAAATTAATGTATAGCGAACCTTTGAAAAGGAAGAATTCTTGGAAAGAGTAGCAAACAACTCAATTGTGTGAACATATATATCTAGTCGCTATGCTTTCCACGCGGACTTGTAGTATTGTATAAACCCAAACGCTATGCGAGACGAAAACCTTCCAAAGCAATGCAGTTGATGCCGAAGCCCAAGCCCAGCCCAATACCGGTATCCCTTTCTCCGTCATCCCAGCTCTATAATCATCAATCATAATCGTTCTTCATTCATTGTTCATCACTCATTATCCATTGCGAAGAGGATATCAAACGTATCTCCACCCATTCAATCGTCATCCGAATCGACATCCATATCTTGGACATATCGGAAGTATGGCAATTCTCTTAGATCTCCAGCCTCAATGTCAGTCTCACCCTCATTGACCTCGACAATCTCCTCCACACTTTCAGGACCTTCGTCCTCTTCGTCAATCCTGGGGGGCGGGTCGTCGAATATCAAGCTGGTTCTCTCGCCCTTGGTCTTCCTTCTTAATCTCCTAGCACTAGATCCAATTTCATTTGCACCCTCGAAAGTGACTGGCTTTAAATCTTCCTCATCCGTATCACTGCCAATACTCTGGCTTATAGTCCGTTTCTGTACACTTCCCGAACTCCTGCGCTTGCGACGCTTCTCCGCCCGTTGCTGCTCGAGCCATATCTCCCTTTCGTCCTCAGTGGTCTCACATTGCAGGTTCTTCAGACCGTGGAGGACACGCGGGTCGATGTCGCTACGAGGAACGGACCGCACAGAGGCCGCTCGGTCGCTCTCCGCATCTTCGTACTGGTGAGGCCGTATGACGTCCTCATCATCCGAGTCCCAACCTTCGTAATCGCTCTCACCAAATTCCTCGAGTGTGAAGTTCCCTTCTGCCACTGTTGCTCTTGTAGGTTTTCGTGGAGGCGATTCGGAGAAAGGTGGGACGGGGGAGGACGAGAGAGATCGTGGGGGGCTGTTGCTCGAGTCCGAATGGTGCGTCGAGGAGGAGGGGGAGGAGGATCGTGGGGAGAGATCTGCAGGTTCGTTGGAAGGCGTATAAAAGAAGTGAGGGCCATTGCCGTTGGGGGTTATGGTACCATTCTGCTTTGGCAGCTGGGTGGGATCAAAATGCATGCCATTCCGCCTGTTCTTGTATTTGAATGATGCCGATGCTGTCGTAGGTGTCTGAGGGGGAGAGGAGGGGCCCGCCTGCCTGGAGAAGTTGTAATTGGGTGTAGTAGGTCGCATAGTTGCTCTGCCGTTTATATCTAGTAGTGTCTGATGTGCTTTGACACTGTGAGGGGAATTGTATTGGCGTGTCTCAAGGCGTCAACGCCTGTGGTATGTGTGTCTCCAACAGGGGAGAAGGAAGACGAGGAGGATTGCAGTTCATGATAATCAATCTGTAGAGGAGAGCTCGGATGCCAGGGGCCTCGCGACTTGAAGCAATCCAAAAGATAGGCTATTCTTGGTGGAGAGTCAAAAGGGGGTATCGGATCTCCCAGAACTCTTATTGTTCGGTCCTTGGGTCCAAGTCGAACTCTCGCTGGTTGGGGAAGGGTAGTAGAAGGGGTAGGCGCTGCGGATCAGCGAGCAGGGCGACCAATTGTGTGCTCTGCTTATGGGAAGTGGAAGAAGAAAGACTGGCGTTGCTTGCTCAGATAAAAAGGGGTAGACTTGTTTCGGAATGAAGACAAGTAAAGTGTGCGTAGTGTATGAGGTTGACGTGGACGTTAAGGTGTGAGGTGTCCGAGATAATTCTGGGATGGGGGTGGTTGAAGGAGGAAATGTGCGGCAAGCCGAAAACTTATACTTTGTGCAGTATTGGCCGTACCCGCAAGCAATGAACCGCAACCCAACAGATGGGACCTTTTCCCGAGATCCCACAACGCACTCCACTTCCACTACTACTGGACCCGTGGCAGGGCGAGGATGGGGGAGAGGGACGGGAAGATCTGGACTGAACTGGACTGGGCGGCAGGCAAGCTGGCAATCAGTCAGGTATAGGGCAAACAGACAGGGGAGGATATCGACCAGGCAAGCAGGGCAAGGAATGTAGTAAAGAGAAAAGTAAAGAATCGTAGTCGAGTGAAGCAAAAAGAACAAAGCAGACCAGACCAGAGTAGTGCAGCCAGCCGGGGTTGACCTGTCTGTCAGTGTCGGGCAGCAACGCAACCGAATGGAAGGTCCTGTGTATGGACAGGAGGGACGGGCGAGGACCGGTCCGTCAGGCCTCTTGTCGTCGACTTATGCCCTTTCCTACGCTTTTGCGCCTATGGCAGGATACCGGAGAATTTGTGCCTCTGCCAGTGTGGTATGGTGCGGTGCAGTTCGTCCCTCTATCGTGGATGCAATTCTTGCGAATGAGCCCGTCCGGGGTGATGGAGGGGTGACTCGACTCGACAGGAGAATGCGCCCCTTGACCGTGGACTGTCCAGTGCCTGGCTTACGGTACTTTACTTCGTTACTCTGCTCTGGCTGATGGCAGCTGAGAGGCGTCTGCTCGGCTCTGTCGCTATTTTAATTTGAAGGAGTGTTTGATGCGTTGTCCACAATCAAATTCCGGGCGAGGGCGAGGGCGAGGGCGAGAGCGAATGCGCGAAGAAGAAAAAAAGTCGACTCAACAAGGGTGTGCAGCAATATTAAGGTATATCAAGCCAATCGAGGGGTGATGATGGAGGAAGATGCGTCGGGCGAAGCGGCGGGAACTCCCTCATTCAGTGGGCCGGTAGGCTCTACGTGATATTAAATCAAAATATACCTAAGGTCCCTAGGTACTCCCTTTTATCTACCTACGTACTAGGCACTTCTTAAAATGACATCTTATGGAGACACCTGTCACAGAAAGAGCTTAGACATACTGTAAGAAGAAATACAAAAATCCAGTATGCTTAGCATGGAATGTATGGGTGGATTCTCCTTTTACTTTTTGATTTCCTGTTCCGAGTGAGCTGAGCTGAAACGTCTCCTAATGACACCCTAGCAAGACATATCTGCTCTATTATTTCACCCGAATCCGATTGTTTTCTGCATTCAGTATCTGCGTGTTTTCCGCTTTCGGGCAGGAGGGTCATTCTGCAGAGCATCTTGCATTGTCCCACAATCTTCCCGCCACCGAGATCTGCTCCGATAGACGGCGAAGATCATGGAAGATACTCGAGGGGAGTGGGAACTGAATGCTTCGAAATGAGCAGCGGATGAGATTTCAAAGAGGGATCTGCTGCATGGGGGAGTCAGGGGTGGGAAACGCCTCATTGTTTGCTGACGGAGGAGGCTACGACGCCTGTCATGCGACAACCACCGCTGGAGCTATTTATGTCGAATCCTACTAAGCGGTAGATATGATCACACCATTTCTGCCCTGCTGTCACGGAAACACATTTCAGCTATGGTAAAATAGTCTTACCTAGAGATCAAGGATCCTCAACAACAAGAACGGTGGACCACGTGATCCTTGATATTTTTCATGCTCCGCCATAGCAGTCTTTCCCTCCCTTTTCCTTCCATTCTAATTATGATGCCGATCAAGGATGCTAACAAATCAGGAAGTGGGAGGTTTCAATACCTGTGTTTGCTTTTCTACACGCCCGTCAACTGTTCAGAGCATCACGTTCTACCGCCTGGACTGGTGGACTTGAAGGATGTAAGCGAGCTCGCTTCGCCAAAACAAAGCTGGTGACAATCTGGAAAGATCAACAGGACTTGACCAGGACGGACTCTACGCATGACCTCTATAAGTACTACATATCATACATTCTACATAACATGATATACACTCCTTCAAGAGTCTCCCCTCCTACACCGTCCATTCCCTCTTTCTCCGCTGTCGCTTGGCTCAGGTATTGTCGGCCTCACTTCCCGTGGACCGAGGCTAAACAAAGCATTAAGTCCAGACAACATGCACAGAGCAGCTTTTCGTCATTAGCATTCATCCCAATAGAAGATAATCGGAATTTAGAGCATACCCAGTATACAATTCGTCTGGAAGTACCCGAATCTCTCAGTCAATACCCCCGAGATGATCGGCCCTATGAAAATCCCTATGATCCAACTCATATTCGCAATGGAAATAGCTCGCGAACTCCCACCTCGAGGACCGAATATCTGGGGACATTCGTTTTGGATCTCTTCGATAGCAGCTACAATTGATCGTGTCAGCAAAGACCGATTCGCAAGAAGACACCTTTCTCTGCTCTCAGCGATCTAGGCCACAGATTCTCTTACCAGTCAGCTCCAAAACCCCCACCCCACTCAACAACGGTATCATGCACCCCACAACCAACATCCCCACCGTAAACACCACTTCCCCCCTCACCCCCTTATCGAACCACTGCTGCCACGCCCATCTTCCCTCACCCGCTCCTGGCACACCCATGATCAGTATCGCCGGTCCAATAACGAAAAACGCCACCGCGGCCGGACTCCTCGTCCCAACCTTATCCTTTAGACTCCCAGCCAATGGACCGAGTAATATGCCTGGTCCTTGCAACGCGAGGAATAATAGACCGGCTTGGAGACTGCCCCAGTTGAAGGCGTCGCGTACGTGGAGGGGGAGGGTGGTGTCGAAGCTGGCGATTATCATGGAGTAGGATATGAAGGATGTTATTCCCCCGAGGAAGCGGCGTTGACGGAGGACGAAAAGATAGAACGAGAGGCCGGATTTTTCTTTTTCGGAGTACGAAGGTGATGGTTTGGTTGGCAGGTTGGTGACCGTGTGGTAGGTACAGCGGTTTTCATCGAGGGATTCTTGGGAGAGGAGGGAGGCGGCTTCGCTGGGTGCAGGGGAGGAGATGTTAAGCTCTGTGTTTACATCATGTTCAGTTTTCTCTCATCCTGCGGAAAGAAACATTTGTGATTACAAACTTACCTCTCTTTGCCTCAATCATCAGCAGTCGCAACACAGCATCAACTGCAAGGAGCGCGAACGCCGTACTCCAAGTGGGCCAGTACCCAATTAACTCCAACAACACTCCGGCCAACATCGTCCCAGCCGATGTTCCCACAGAAGCAGCCATAGTGACAAGACCCATAGCTTGCCCCATCCTATCCGAAGGGATAGTCTCGGCTATCGTTGCGATCCCGATGACGAATATCGCATTGCTGGCAAAAGCTTGGATAAATCTGCTTATAAACAACACAATGGCTATGCAAAGAATCAGCAAATTGACGACTATCAAAGACATTGACCGCGAGTTTTAGATACCAGATTCAGCAACAGCCAGCCCCAAGGACCCAACCATCGCACCAGCCAACGAATACAGCAGCAAGGCCCTCTTATTTGAAGTCCGATCCGCAATATGCCCAACAATTATACTAGCAAAGAATCCTACCAGTGCACTTTCCGACAGCAAAGCCAGTGTTATCGACTGCGTCTTAGAATTTTCGAGTTTAAGTCGTTGTTCCAACATGTATGGTAATATCGGTACGATGAAGCCATACAAAAAGACATCTGGGTGTGTTGTTACCTATGAGAAAGGGTGGCATAGCAGCTTGGAGGCAGAGACAGATGGCATGAGATGAGCACATACCTGTAAATAGAGCCATTATGATAGCTACCAATGTGAAAGTAGCTGACGACCGCCAGCGGTGTCCCCATGGAAGCGTCTCAATGGTTGGCATGGCCATGCCAGTCAGCTATCACCAAACACGAAGCTGACTTTTCTGCAGGACAGTCGAACACGTCAGAGCTGACTTCCAATCCTTTGAGCGATAAGTTAAGTCCTGACGGAAAAATACAAAAGCACAAAACGATGTGATATCGGAATGGTTCTCCAGAACCAAAATCAAAATCAAGCTTGCGGCTGCAGCTTCAAGATACAAGAGAAGTGATACAAATCATCTGGAGATCTGGCCAAACTATTGATTGTCGCTCTTCTCTGCTTAGCTGGAACATGAGAACACCTTGAACGGGAAGCAGTGTACTCGCTTGCTAATGCCAATTCATTATTACCCATCCCGACTCCTTGGTCTCTGATGTTGTATCACCACCAGACCAGCAAAGCCCGAAGAGTCTTCTGCATATTGGATGAGCACCAGAGGATAATCGGTTGAGCTGCGAGCTTGAACCTGATAGCCAACTGATCGGCGATCTGTACTCTCGTTGCACTTTTTAGTCATTTTGGGAGGCTACTGAACTGGGATAGTCTGATGACTGTTTATAAGGAAAGGGCAGAGATGGCGGGCGACAAGCACCGGGATCGTTTGGAAGATGTGCGACTTGATGGTAGGATTGTGTATGGTCTAGCGCAGATCTTGGCTATTCGCGCAGGGTTTGTGGTTGGTTACAGACTTGTGTGGTCATTCTTCATGGTAGGCTAGTAACACTCACGCGGATCATTGCTAGGAAACTGTTATCTCGCAGGTCACAGTTTCACCTAATTGGAAAGGGATTATCATGTCCAAACAGCCAGTCAATTCTTCGATTTCAACATGTGTTTAGTACTCCTCGGTCAAGCTGGAAAGGCTCAAACCATAGTTTTCAGAGCTTGGAGCATGGCTCTTCATTCGTAGCTAAAGTTCACAGTTCTATTAAAGTGAAAGTCGAGACTGTATTGACAACGATTGAATCGTCTTTATAACGCTTAGTATTCCCTTTAAACTCTCAATTCTAGCGTTTTATGTAAATTCAGGTCAGACGGCGCCCTCACGTGGGCCCTCTCCAGAAAGCTGCATTCCATCACTTCAAGGATGCACTCCCTCCACACAAACGAGCACCTCCCAACCCTTCAGCGCAGCCTCTCTGTGCGGCACCGCATTCTCTCTATACAACTCACTCGCCTGATACCTCGCATACTCCTCAAAACTCCTATAAGTCCTCATCGTGACTACATCCCAAGGCGTCTCACTATCCCTCAACAGGCTCATCACCGTACCTGAGAAGAACTTCGTCTCTCCAGGCGTGATGCCGCACTCCTGGGCGGCGAGAATACCAGCTGGGACATAACGCGTGTAGAATGCGTCGCGGCCGGAGATAGGTGGTAGGGAGGCGTGGGGTGATGAGGCGGGGTAGAGGGCCACGGGGTGGAAGTGGAGCAGATGGAGGACTGTGATGGGAGTATTGCTTGGAAATTGGTCGATGAGGGAGAGATGATTTTTTGTTTGGATTGGAGTGTAGGTTGGGGCTGACATTGTTGTGTTTAGTAAGAGATTGGTAGGGGAAGCAGGTGACAGTAGCCGAAATCGGAAATCAAGGAATAAAGCCTCGAGGACTGACGATTGTTTTAGAGACCTTGGATGTAAAATTGATTCATGAAGTTTCCTTCTTGAAGTCCAATAGCTATTTTGCCAGGAGACTGCTTGATTCTAGGTGTGGGAGACATGTTGTCTCCTGTAACGACAAGACCAATGAAGCAACCCCATCCATTCGCAGGCTTAGGCACTCCGAGTGTGAAACCGTCAGTCAATAGTATTCGAATTACTACCTATAGTCTGCGTGCCAGCTCATGACTCTCTGCTGTGCATTTAATTCAGTGCTGAAGTCACATATCGGGATCGTGTGTGTGGCGAGAATTATTGTCGTGAAACTGTGATATCTGCGTGTACAGCCTCAACCATTTACCAGCGCTTCAAATGTGTTGACAAGTACCACTCTGAGTGGATTTCAGCTGGAAACGCCTCCTTTGGCGTCGTACAGCGAACCTGTGCGACTTTCGGATTTGTTTCCCTTGGCTCGCTTGAGGCGGGAGAAATAGGGGTCTTCGCTTAATTTATGGGACACCCTCTTCCACCTATTTACTCGCAAGCCGATCCCACCACGACTTGAATGGAGTGGTGATTGACCAGCTGTTGGAGAAATAAATCATATTGGCTATGGCTCCAACCTACAAATTGTTCGTAAATTTCAAAGATACCTCGGAATTTTTGGTTCATGGGTGTTGAGCAGCCTCAGCACCTTTGCCTTGCACGGCAGCACACGAATGCTGCACCATACCGAGAAGGTTTTCGTTCGCATCTTACAGGCAAGATACTCATCTCCGCAGGTTGCTTTCTTTGGCCTAGATTTGCTGAAAAGGGGGAAACGTGGAGATAAGCTGGCGAGCACAGCATATTGTGTTGAGATAGTGTGCCTTGGACCCTGAAAGTTCCCACATCTCTAGGGCAGGGCAAGGACATCCAGCACGTATATCTGGTCAACTACCCATTTGATTCAGGACTGTGGTGAACGTACTTGGGTAAAATTCTCAAGTCTATGGCATGATTGAGACACTCCACCCAAAAGGCAATCTTACGGCACGAATGAGCACCAGCAGAATTGGATCGAACCCGGAACTGGATTTTTTTTTTTCTCTTTCAAAACACCCCATCATGAACTCAAATTATGTTGACCCCGAGCGGGCAGTAGCAAACATTTTCAACTCTGCCATAGCAGCAACAGCCATTGCCACGTCGTGGGAACTTGGTCTCCTCACCGAGCTGAGGAACAATGGGAAGATCAATGCAGAGAGATTCGCACTGAAGCACGACCTGCACATCGGCTCAGTACAGGGCCTGGTAACATCGCTCGTCACTGTTCATGTCGTAGAACGAGAACCGGGACAAGACGTGGACCATGTCGTACCGGGCCGGCTATTCGACGAAGCGTATCGGACAAAATCGTTGTTTCACTGGCTCAGCATTGGCTCTGGTGATTTGTTCTCGCGCATGCCCTGTGTCCTGCGAAATGAGAATCGAATTGGGGATTTCTTTACCAGGGACGCCGCTGCCATTGCGTATGCTTGTCGAGATATCAATAGCCAGTATTGGGATCCGGCATTCTGGAGTGCTATGGAAGGACTAGATTTCAGCTTCTCGTCTGTTGTTGATCTTGGATGCGGTAGTGGTGGACGGCTGATACAGGTATGCCACTGTAGTCGGTCCAATCTGTGACTCAGAACATTTTGTTTTAGACACTGACCATTTGACCAGATTTTAAATCGGTATCCGGGGGTAAAAGGACTAGGTATCGATATTGCTGTCCCTGCAATCAAGGTCGCATCGGCGGATGGAGTTCAGTGTGGATTTGACAGGAACCTTTCTTTCGTGCAGGGCGATGTGCGAGACCTCACTTACAGGCCAGAATTCGCAGAGGCTGAGCTCATCACTTGTTTCCTCATGGGACATGACTTTTGGCCCCGGGAAAACTGCATCAAGACACTGAGGCGATTACGCGAATCATTCCCCAAGGCACGACGCTTCTTACTTGGTGATACGTTTCGCGGACTCTTGGACAGTGGGAACTCGGAGCATGCGGTCAAGGAGAGCAATGTTCCAGTCTTCACGTTAGGATTCGAGTTAGGCCATGCAATGATGGATGTTTGTCTGCCGACGATGGAAGACTGGGATGGTGTTTTTGCCGAGGGTGGGTGGCGATGCATGCGGAAGCATTTCACCAAATCGCTCGCGTTATCTACTGTGTTTGAATTAGAACATGCATGAGGGAGGATCCTGAAAAGTTGTATTATTTTTTCTCTGACCAAGAGACAATTAGAAATAGATAACTTAATTGATTTCTCATCAATGCACTGGACTTCGAAACGTGACATCTCAGATGCGGGCGATTAAGTGATTTGGGCGCTTAGCGGTGAACCTGCGAGCTGTGCAAATCTCAACGTTCGTTGTCTGCCATTATCCCCCTGCTGACAAACCTACCTATACGTCAATCATCGCCTCTATCGTCCTTTAAAGAACCTCTAACTTGACAATGGATCGAATCCATGAAGAGGATGAAATGTTCAGACTACCGAAATACTTCGTGAACGGCCTTCTATTCTCCATACACGATGACAACTCTCAACTTGAGGTGCGTCGCTATGGCAAATGTTTCTATATCACAATGTCGCCCGACAACTTTGTCGATTCACCTGCCATCAAACAACAATATCTCGATTACCTGGCTGCGGAAAGATCCGACGCTACTGATGACGATAACATGGCGGAGGACTACAGTCCAGAGGACTTCTATGCTTGGGCCCTCGAGCCGTGTCTTCCACTCTTCGAAATTGTAGCTCCAACCCCAGAGAAGAACCCCAAGATCACTCTTCATGATTTTCTCCACCCAGAGGTTTTCTATTATTCGCTCCGCGTAGTCGATGGGGAATTGACCCCGGTTCAGAGTGATGGAAGAGGGGCTGGAATGTTATCTCCAGGTCTCGAGTTGGATGGCTCAGCATTCTCTCCAGCATGGCCCTCATTTCTGCCAACAGCAATCGAAATCTGTATTGCGAGCCCTGAGGATGCCATTATGGCTTCTCCCAACAAAGTTCTCGTTAACGGCAAGGGAATTTGCTTCTTCAAGCTGTACCAGCACGGCGACACAACTATGGCTCTCCGCGAACTCGAGAACTACAAACGGATCACGGAGTCTAATCTAGATCCTGATGTACGCATATGTCGCCTCCACGGCGTTGTTAAAGATGACGAAAACCAACTTATCGGGCTGCTATTAACATATATTGAATGCGAATTTCTAACTCTGGCTTGTGCTGTGGAACCCGACACTCCGACTTCTACCAAACAGAAGTGGGTGGATCAAGTCAGGCACTTTGACACAGTTACACGAGGCCGGAATTGTCTGGGGTGATGCCAAACCAGATAATATATTAATCGACAAGAATGACGACGCGTGGGTTATTGATTTTGGTGGAGGATATACTCGTGGGTTTGTTGACAGAGAGAAAGCTGGAACTATAGAGGGCGATTTGCAAGGATTAGAGAAGATTGTCGAGTATGTTTTCAGCGAGAGAGCAGAGTAGAAATTTTCCTTCAAAGCTAGCTCTATCGCCACCAGGCGTCTGGCGCCTTCAAAATTCAACATGGACCGTCTACAGACTCTGTGCCACCAGATGTGACACAGCAGGACACGGAACATGAACGATCTGCAGGAACTTCCGACTGTTACTTCTCAACATTCAGAGAGCGGTGAAGATTGTCAGGGGCATTAAGTTGCAAGAACGTCTAAGCTTCCTCCAAAAATATCTTCTGAAGGATAACAAAAGTGACGACTTGCCATTGACTTGAAAGACGGTCGTAAGACTGCAGTACCACCTCCTATGATACTTCAACTAAAATGGCATCTTTCCCACCACCTTCTCTGAGCACTGTCAATTGGACATCAGCAGAGAACCTCGAAATTCAGAAAGGTGACAGGTGAATACTCTGTAGCATTGAACACCGAGCTCATCTTCCTCTCAGTCAACGGTCATGTCGAGTCCACTTTTCACAAATCGACTGGAAAATGGGCACCATTAAAATTCGTGTCCGATCCGTACTTACGGATCCATGGCTTGTCAGCTGGCCTCAATTACGGTCAACATGCATTCGAAGGTATCAAAGCCCACCGCATGCCTGGGACGCCTGGGAGCATATCCATATTTCGTCCAGATCGCAATGCACTTAGACTTCGCCACTCTGCAAGTATGATCCACTTACCTCAATGTTCCAGAAGATATCTTTTTGCAGGCATGTAGAATGGCTGTCGCTCTCAACGCCGAGTATGTTCCTCCTCACGAAAGCGGCTGTGGATTGTACATCCGGCCACTTCTCTTCGGATCCAGTCCAATGTTTATCCCTGGATCGCCAGACCAGTGCACTTTCTGTGTCTATGTGTTTCCGACATCAGTAGGGATGCACCCAATTCCACCCGTCAAAGCTCTCGTCCTGGATGACTTTGATCGTACAGCACCAAAGGGAGTTGGTCACGCGAAGGTAGGAGGAAATTATGCTGGAGTAGTGCGCTGGACAGGGGCGGCCAAGGCACAAGGATTCGGCATCACACTTCACTTGGACAGCGCGAAGCATGAAGATGTCGATGAGTTCAGTACGTGTGGATTTTTGGGTATTTTGTATACTCAAGATACCCCAAACGACGTGACCATCGTCGTGCCTGACTCTCCATGTGTCATCGAGAGCGTTACCAGTGACAGCATTCAACAAATAGGTCGAAGCTGGGGCTGGAAGGTCGAGAAGCGGCCAATTCATTACATGGAGCTTCCCGTTTTCAGCGAGATACTGGGGGCTGGAACTGCTGTTGGCCTGGTTGCCATTCGATCGATCACGCGAATGGGAAAGAAGTCTCGAGAAGTATTGTCACCACTTGCCCAGGTGGTGTCAGATGCTGCGGATTTGGAAACGGTGGTTTACATAAAAGATGATGAGACAGCCGGCGGACCTGTGTTCTCGAGGTTGACTACTGAGTTGAGAGCAATACAGCAAGGCAAGGTGGCGGACAATTTTGGATGGCGTTGCGAGGTACGGGCGGAGGACAAGCCAGTTGAAGCCTGTGGTAAAATTGTAACACTCTCTCCAGTGCCAGTGATCTGATATCGTTTTAGCCATGGCATATGCATTTATTACTAGGCGATGATCTTATCAGTGTTTTTGAATTAGCTCCACTCAAAGTTCGAAGCAGATGTACTTATTCGTCTTGTGAAGCCTTCGCAGAGATCTCGTGGGGTGATCAATATCATCTAGTTGAGCGGAAACATCGTCTTGCTGTTTGAACCCGACAACACATTTGCGATCCCATGAGGCATCGTCTACATGATGAAGTTAACAGCATTTAATCCCCACCAAAGATCTGAGAGGTGGCTTTTCGGATCCGTAGACTTGCTGAAGTAAAAATCTGATGTGCTCACGCAAGTGTTGGTGTTTTGAGAACTTGGGAGTTCCACGCTTGGCCCAAACATCGCACTGTAAGAGCACTGGTCACGTGTCATGGAATCCATCGCGACTTCTTGAGCATCACGACGCGTCAACATGACTAAATCTTTAAGCCTTCCACCTCACACAAACACAACACCATCTCTCGTCGCCATGTCTTTGTTAGAAAGGCATCTCGAGCAAATAGTACTCTCAGCAGAATCCATTGCAACACTTCCGTGAGCTCCAAATCCAGATTGAAGTAGAAAACACCCCTCACTAACCCCGCCATCAGGTTCCCAACACCCAAGATATTTACCAATGCTCTCCTCTCCACCCCGGACATCACATCCCTAATACGAGATACCGAACCTCACGAACGCGCTCTCTTCTCCGTGCCTCCCCCACCAACACACAGCACAGCCAGCACACCCTACCCAGACCCCGCACCGTCCTCGCGCCGACAAACCGTCTTCAACGTCGCGCAAGGAGAAGTAACATCAGGCACAGCGATCGGCTCTCGCGCCCCACGCAAAAATACAGCTGTAGCAGCAGTCCTCGGCGCAGAGCTCCACAGCGAAGTGCGGAAAACAGAAGGGAAGGGCGAAATCGATATCGAGGTTCTACTGCGGGGTGCGGAGAAGTTAAATAATGTATACAGCGTACCTGGTGTTCCCGACCGGATACAGGGGCTGAGGAAGAGATATGTGCAGATACTTGGAGGTCTAGAATTCTATGAGGAGAAGGTGCGGAGACAGACGAGGGATCTGGAGAAGATAAATAGGGGTGGTACACCTGGAGGTGAGGATGATGAGGAGTTTGAGGATGAGGATATGGAGGGACAGGAGGGGTTTGGTGGGAGTGAGGAAGAGATTGAGGTTACGGAGGAGGATTTGAGAGCTGAAGAGGAGGAAATAAGGGAACTTGAACGGAAGAAGGAGGAGCTGGAGGCGAGGGTTAAGGGCATGGAGAAAGATCTGGGTGGCTTGTTGAGATGATGATGCCTAGTGTTACGTCGCCATGAGTTCGGAGCATTGTAGTTGTCCGACAATATCTGCGAACTTCGGCACAATGAATTGATCTTTGGTGGTAGGAGTTTGATACCCAAGGGTGGACATAATGAAGTATGATTGGAATTCCCGTTCCTTCAATTATTTGGCTTTAATTTGTCCTTCGCTTTCCAACTTTTCAGAACTTTTGCTACCGTACTGCTTGGATGCTTGGGACTCAAACGCAGCTGGAAACATGACAAGCAGCAGAGATACCCACTTACTTTGGCATCAACACGTACGCTTTGCCGGATTTGTCTGAGCAGCCCACTGTGTGGTAGCAGGGGAGGTGTTGACGCCGGGGCGTTCTCAACCACATCTGGCCCTGATCCGAAATACACGTGTCTAGTTGTTTGTGTCCTATGTTTATCGGATGCCTGCTCGTTGGTTGTGTCCATGTCTAGCTTGCGAGCATCCCTATATTCGAGCTCTGCTTCGTGTTTTTTCTGCCGTTCTTGCATTTGATGTGTCTTCGTGCAAGTCGAAATTAATTTTGCACCAATAATGTGGAGGTTTTTCTTCGCTTTGACTAGATGTTTTCCCCAAGATACTGGTAGATTGCCCCTATCAAAACCATTAAAATGGCGGGTTTGCCCTGCTGTTTGTTATGCTACTGGCGTTGAGACTGTTGGTAGCAGCAGCCAAACAACACTTTGGTATGTGATGAATCCAGTATAGCAAGCAGACTTAGAAGTTTATAAGGAGCAAGATGACCTGTCTGAGACCTGTACCAGTGCCCGCAGGATTTGTTGTAATAGCAGAAGTATGTCGACTTGTGTTTCTCTAACAATGATCTGCAAATCAATACCGCTGGCCTTGTCGCTGTGGTCCTCCACTTCGCATAGTCTGTCGGTACCTGTGAAGGCAACCGCAGCCGACACGCTTGAGCCTGTACTCACAGTCGTAAGAGTCATACATCTCAAAAGTACATTTTGCAAATGATTACACTGCGCCTTGTGGCGGAATGTTTGTGTGTCGGCCACGACTAGTTGACCCTTCACCGCAGAAAGTGAATACCACACAAAGGACGTTTAGAAGAGAATCTATACCGGTTTCATTCGTCATTTGGATCCTGTCATAATATTTCCTAGTTAGGCATGAAAACAGTCGATGTGACATGATGCTGCCTGAGGAAGAGATTTACTTTCGCTGCAGCTTGGAGCTTCGCTTATGATGTTTTCTTCTTATCTTTGGCACATCATAGCCCCTTGACGCGTTGTTTTCTCGATACAATCTCCCAACACGAACTGGAATACCCCTTTGTGACGCACACGACGCATCAGTCTTCAGATCAAACTCTACACAACTCTACTCAAGCACATACACTCGTTTCCATTCTTCAACATGGCCGTGAACTATCAAGATACGCTTCTGTTTGACGGTTACAATCTGACCTCCGCAAGAGAAATTCGATTTCTGGCAGTGGCAATGAAGGCGTACAACAACGGCTTGGGAAATGGTTTCCAGACGCGGGCTTTGAGTGACCAGCGAAAGGCAACCATTACGAGAGTTGCAATCCAGATGGCAGGCAGTGCTAGTCTCAGTGATGCCATAGGAACATTGGTCGTCGCTGATCGCGAGTCTGACGACATCATAATAGCAAGTGGTCGCATGCTACAAAACTTTACATACGAAGCGGTAAGTCCTCCAAAATTTGAATCATGCCCATAAAGCCCCTGCTGATGAGTGCCAGCCTCCTAAAATTCGGCCATCAATCAAGCCAGTCCCAACCGATCCTCTTCCCCGCCAGCTGGTTGGAAAGAACGCGCCAGGAGTCAGAGCCATCAAGGATCCGTCGCTTGACATTAGCTTTGCGAGACACGGTACCCCGGACAAGTCCAAGTACAAGTTCAAGATCGATTTCGAGAAGCCAAATCCTTACATGAGCTCTAAGTGGGACTACTACGGCACTAAATTCTACAACTGGTTGGATGACCATGATGAGCCATCCTGGGACTCGGCAGCCAGTCTGTCTAGGCTGAACCAATGGCGTTCCCAGATCTTCAAGCGCTACTTCGGCCTCAAGAGACAACCTCGCGATCATTGGGTCGTCAGTGAGAAGAATCTGGTGGTGAAGCTGATGGAGAAAGACTTGGAGAACAGCGCGTTTGTTCGGTGGAAGCGATTGGCCAACAACTTCAACCAAGCTATGAAAGGCCAGATCCAGAGTACGGATGAGCTTTTGGTTTCACAGTTGATTGGACACAAGGATTACTTGGATGAGGAGCGCATGGCTCCATGGTTCGTATAACTTCTCTTCCACTACGTGTAGCATATGCTGACATATACAGGCGTACTCTGGGTGCCATCAAGGCTCAGACTACAAGATGGGTTGAGACCAGGAGCTTGGAGGCAGAAGCTCTGGCCGGGGAGACATCTGAGGTTGAGTCCTCGGATGATGAGGAGGAAATGCCAGATCCCGCGACAGAGTCGGAGAAGATCGCAGTGGCGAATGGAAAGCGCAAGCAACCGCATACCAGAACTATGGGTAATTGCAAGTCGAAGAAGGCGAAGAAGACCATTAAGTCGAAGGGAAAGGGCAAGAGAAAGCACAAGGAAGTGGAGGATACTGAGACGGAGGACGACGACTAGGGGAACGGTGGTTGATCACCAGTGTGGTGCTTTTCTTGTATTGGGTTTCTGGGCTGGGGAGCTTGCTTTTGATTATATTTTTGGTACTAATGGGACTGTTTGGGTCGACTATTCGTACGCACTCTTTTGCAAGTTGCGCTTTATCATTCTACCTCTGGCTCTGATCGTTTTACAGTGCTAAATACTAAGTCTACAGCTGCTATTGCAAGCAGTCCTCTCACTCTTCTTTTGAATTTCTGCCTTGCTTCTACGCGTCTTTACATCTTATACCTTCAATAATGTGTTTGACTTCTACCAGCGCTTCTTGGAGTGCAACTCCAACTATCAAAGTATCGACTAATCATCATTGCACCATCGAAATGTAATCTACGGTTACAAGTCAGAAGCGCCCGCCCTCGTCGAAGTTACGCGAACTATTTCGGATTCTGCGAGTCTGTGTCCTCCTTTCCAATCTCGAATTAAGCAAAGGTCTGACAAGGCTTACTTGAAACTGAAATATGTTTACGCTGCAAGAAGTTACAGAATTCCTGGCCGGGACAAAGCCTGAGTGACATACACAGCCACCATTGCCGTCAAGATTTTCTTTTTTTTTTTCAGAGCCTTGTGTGAACGCGTCTTAGTATCTCATATCAACGCAAATTTCAAAAGAAGCATGTCGATTTTCAAGACGACAAGAGCTTGAGCTCAGTGACATATGAATATGAAAGGACGTGTCACAACGCGATTGGGCTGTACACTCTTGAAAGTCGCAAAATGGTGATTGTGTTGCTCTTCCAACGGATTCATCACGGCGAATGACTCAAATTGATATGCCTGAGAGAATGGAATCCATGGAAGATAAAGACGACAGCCAGTATTATGGCCACGATCAAGTCGATTTCATGTTTGGGCACACCTATATATCTACATTTAAGATTGGCCTGAGCTAAAACCTGCCATCAACAAAGGCGGTTTCACGCTTCCTCCATCCTCCGATTGTTCTGAGTCGTTCTTTTCCCCTCCCATGTGCCGCCTCTTGTTTCCGTTGTAAGGGAGATGAAGAAATTCCTCAAACCACTAGCTCCATCTTGCAATATATAAGCCCCCTCCTCTACCTCCTATCGAGCTACTTTTCTTTAGAAATCTCGAAAAATACCAAAGCCTCAACTACGATAAGCCGCAGTCAGACACAACAAGCACAACAAAAGAGCCATCCAATAACTTCAACCAAGACACTCCGTTTCTTCAGAGGTACTTCTGCTCATATACTTCCAAAGACCTCAAGCTCTAAGCTCACCTACCCAATCACCAGTACTCTTGGTACATTTCACACAGCCTCACATAGCCTCACATCCACAAACGCACATCCAACGGTATGTCAAGTCAAATGTGCTCACATATATCCTCCCTTGTACAGAAGATCATCATGTCCTTATGTACTTCTTTCAACCTCTCTTGTTGATCCTCCAAAGTTCAGTTGAATAGCTAGCTTCTACTGTGCTTGAGTTCAGGAGTCCCAAACATCTTCAAACTTACTTCCGCATACCAGGCTCTACAGTTGCTAATACTCCTTCACAGAGTCTTCGAAATGGTCAACTATCCAGGCTTCGATTTGGCCAACCCAAACATGGTCCGTCTACTTAGTGAGGCGTTGAAGCTCTACTTGGAGGGCAATCGTCGGGCAACCAACAATTCGGCCTTGGGTAGAATGGACGGCACCCAGAGGGCGACTTTCCAGCGTATTCTAGGACAGATGGAAAGCGATGAGGAGTTCCGCGGGATAGTCTCAATGGTCATTGACCTTCGTCATGAGAGCGACCGGGAGGTTCTCAGAGCCGCCAAGGACTTGACTAGATACGTGCAGGTCACCGAAGTAGGTCTACATCACATTATTGTCCATCCATCTTGCTAATGTATCTTAGTCTTCTAGTGAGGAGCAATCTGAGGATGATAGCTCCGAAGATGAAGATACTGATTCAGAAGATAACGACCAGGTATGTCCTCATGTAGCCAAAGTATATCACAAGCTGACCTATCATAGGATAGTGAAGGTCCAAGTGTTAAAGTTCTTGAGGAAGATGGCTACCAGATTGTCTGGGATCCAACCACCATGAGTGATGACTTCGCCAAGCCTGGAATTCCAAATCACGCCTTCTACAAGATCATCATTCCCCTCCGCAAGGAAACGGAGCCAGGCTCTGGAATCTGGGAGGATGCGTCGCCGATCAAGTTCGACTACCTGGAGACTCACAACGCGCCATCTTGGGAGTCATCAAACACACTGTACAAGTTCAATCAGTAAGTGCTAGCTCCTTTTGATAAGCCTTCAGTCCTGAGATTTGAAATAACATGGTGCTAATTTTTAATAATTCAGGTGGCGCAACCAAATTTTCCGAAAGTACCTTGGCAACAAGCGACGAACTCGTGATCCTTGGTTGATGTCGGAGCAACAACGCATCATATCGCTGTTAAAGCAGCAGCTCCAAAATCGGGACAAGGTGCGGGCAAGGCCAAAGTGGAACCGTCTTGCCAACGCCTACAACCGCGAGCTTCATGGGACGATTCAGTTCAAGGGCTCTAAACTTGTACAGGAAGGAGTCAAGAAACTTCCTGTAACAGATTATGATCGATTCGCTCCTTGGAGAACTAAAGGAGCTATTCAGAACATAATCAAGAAAGAAGGAACGTGGAAGCACTTGACCAAGCCGATCTTAGATGGGGCCAAGGAGCGTCGAAGACAATACGATGCGCAGCGCCCAGACAATGTGGTCGCCTCTCCCGGTTCCCAAGATGAGAAAGAATTGCCGAATCCTGACGCACCGAAGACTAAAGCGCAAGTCAAGCAAACGAATGCGGCGAGACGGGAGGCAAGAAGGGAAGAAGCCTCATCGAAGAAGGGACAGGCGGCAATTGTTGTGAACTCGTCGGAGGAGGATTACGAGGACGAGGACGACGAAGATGATACGGATGAGGATGGCGATTAATGGCGTGGTAGCAACGCGTAGAATATAATAGAAAAACGATAGTCCAGACAGTATCAATTGCCAATGATGACACTCCTTGTGAAATAAACAAGCCCACTGACTTTTGCCAAGGCGAGCATGCTAAGCGAGACTCACAAAACACCAAACTGTCAAGACATCCTCACTGCTTCGTACCCTCCGGTCTTTCGCTTTCTCTAAATCGATTATCATAAATCTCCTTACGCCAGTCTGACATTCAATTCCGTCTGTATTGCTCGTCATTTCGTAGTTGCTGGCCCTTGGCACTTTCATGTTTGAAAGTTCTCTTATCACAGCTGAACTAAGTTTCTCCTATGGGGGCGGTGGGGGGATTAATCTGGGATTCTTGGAATTCCATAAAATGAATTGGGTTCTTATTTTTCTTCTCTGTGGAGACTGGTCCTGATATCTGCATCAGTCTTTGGGTCAGACGACACAAGCCAGCCCACCTTGTGCCCCACAACCATGCGCGTAACGTATGGCATTGCGTAACGTATGGCATTGTCAAGCCGCAATTCCCTTTTTGATCACCAAATTATGTACCCTGGTCTTCTAGATTATTCCATAGCTTTTTCCAAGCACGTCTAAGCAAATGTAATCCTAACACCTATTTTTTCTTTTTTTTTTAAAACCCCCCCCCCCCCCCCCCCCCCCCATCCACGCCCCGCTTCGGGAACTTGAGCAGACAGTCCTTCAATTCAGCACACCCTTTGTCTATTTTTAACATATGTCGGCGTGTGTACACTCATGAACTACCGAACGCCATTCTGCGCTACTTTGCAGAGATGCGTCTCGGTTCCGTTGCGTTCAGACACAATATCTTGGAGTAATTCCTAGTAAACTGCATTCGTACTCCTGTAGTCCAAGCACCCGTAACCAAAAACCTTCATGAGGGTGCATCAACGAAAAAGTTGGACTCAGATCTGACTTTGTTTTATCCCATGTAGCAATAATCTCCGAGCAACTACTTAGCTTTAACACCAAGGGGCTTCTCCTCCTTGGCGACTGGGAGTCTGGGACGGCAAAAGAATTAGGGCAGCACTGAGTCCATTTTCCCCTTGCCATGTAGGCACATGGAGAAATCAACAATAGAAAATACGAAATTCTAGGTTGCACTCTGGTCATTCAGAATAACAAACTTACAGAAGACATGGGAAATGGGCACGAAAGGGCTGGCATGCCGTGCCTGGTCAAAAGCATGTTCTTATTGGAATTAATTTGGAAAGCGCGAAAGTACTCGAATCAAACTTAAACATCAACGCAAAATGACATCGGACAACCGAAAACAGAAATTAGCGATCCTGCTTATTCTCTTCATTGATATCCCAGGATTATTCTTTGCGAATGTACAAAGTAGGACTTCCGCCAAGGTAATTGTTACCGCCACCGCCATCTGCGTGTGGAATCTTTTCAGTTTCAGGAAACCCAACATCTAGCTGGCTCCGATTGAGAAGATTCCTGCTGTACAATTCATTCGTTTTCTGATGTGACTTTTTTCTAGTTCTATCCACCATTAGTATGCCCCAAGTAGCTGATTTTGATGGCAGCTTTTAGAGCAGTATACCAGAAGGTGACTTACGTGCCTGCACCGGGAAAGGGCAAGGGAAGATCATCTTTATCCTTCTTTAGAAAGTATACATATGGCTCATCTTCGGCGACGAATTCAACATCCCAAACATAATTGGTAAAGATTGCGATCGGGCGGGCAAACTCCATGAGAAAGTCGCACATACGTAACGTTGTGCCGAAGTCGCAAACAAGTGTCTTTTGATCGATTTTAAGCCAACCCATTTGATGACCATGCAGTCCATTAACAACTTCCATATTGTAGTGTTGCGCGGCGTCAACGTCTTGTTGCCAATAAAGAGGGTCCTGGAGGAAGATCTTAAAATCTGTGTCGTTGGAATTTTCATGGCACTCTTTCCAGACCTCGCGAAAGACAATCAAGGACGCTGTTTGATAGAAAAGTCTTCTGCATCCGGCTGTTTCCGGGTCGATACTGGTGGTGAGAGGCCCGATTCCAAAAGCGACCACCTTACAGCAGCTAGTTTTCTCGAAGAGCCGTCGTACCAATTCTGTGAGTCGCTTGCAGAGAAGTGTTTTCCTGAATTGATCCAGGTTTTTATCCAGATGCGAAATGATGTCATTTGCACTCGGCCAGTACTTTTCTCTGCGATCATTTACAAACTCTTCGCCTTCTTTTTCTTTATCGGTGTAGGGAAACATTTCGTGCACTCTGCTAGAGAAGACAATATTAGCAAACGTCCTAGGTAATGATGTCAATTCTTACTTCCAATCCAACTGCTTAGCCTCACGTGGCTTTTCGAAGCTGACATCTCCATTCTCTAGTGCTATATTTATCGCTTCCATAAGTGCACGACTCATAGCCCTTAGCAGAGGACGACCCCAAGTGTAGAAATTCGCACGAGTGACGATTTCTCGCTCTCTGTCTTCAACGTTCATTCGTAATAATGTCTTCCAATCCAGAGGATTGAGATTGATGCCGAAGTATGGATTCAAATTCATGGTGCCCACTAGGTGACGCTCGTCGAGGGAAGCCATTCTGAAGATGAGTTGGAAAGTGAGAATGAGAACGGGTCGTTTTGTGATAGACTGTGATAGGACAAGTACTGAACAAGAAAAGAGTTACACTTTGTACCAGTAGCGACAGCTATTTGGAATATGTATAACGGTTAAATGGCCTTTGAAGCGGGAAAAGGTTGCCTACTTATACATCTTCGGTGATTCATCCACATCCCACGTATGTCGGGAACAAAGGGGCCGGTCTTCCAACATACCAGGTAGATTATTATCAGGTTCATACTGGTTTCATTTCACATAATTAAGAATCTGCAGGGATAGTTTCTCTTTGAGTAGCTTTCCATGAAGAGGTTTATTTTGAGAACTTATAGACTGCTACTCAATATAGAAGCAATCCACCCCAGAACCTTGTGTTTCGTCACACCTTTCCTCCCCTCCTTGTTTGCATATGATGAAAGAGCTTTGCTGCCGCCTCTATGCAGTATTCAGATGGCCTTCGCACGCTATTTTCAGACATTGCCAAGCCTTTTTGGGAGTTCTCCGGATCTGAGACAAAGCACCAAATACGTTTTGGTAGATAATGGTGGGGACTTGTAACACCAACAATTATGCTGGTCACCAACTTGCATAATCTGAAAGGGAATAAAAGTCTTCTGGGAATAGAAGCAAGTATAATTGTCTCGAAGTACCCACTTATCCCAAGAGACAGTTCGTAAAGTGTGATCAACTAGAGCACACGGTGGGTAGAACCTAGAACAGGAAGTTCATTGGCCACAGTCTTCCAGGTAGTTCCCGTCACTACTCTGAAAAATGTTTGTTTGTTTTGAGATAACATCAGTCTACTTTACGCAAACAGATGCAACATCTTTCATTCTAATCATTTTCTTTCAGACCAAACCTCAGTTCCCAATTAAGAACAGCCACATGACTACGGATCGATTGAAGCTGTACAAAGACGCACTCTGCAGACTGTCAAGTCCTTCCTCCTGGTCATACGGAACACTGAGCAGAGATTGAATATTACCACAGGGATCGACGTTGTTCAGAAGGAAAATATAAAACGAGAGTATGGGGCCGCTCCAGGCTTTAAAGATCAGGCATGTAAGATTTAGATTTTTTAGGATCTCCCAGATGGTTTCCTAGAAGCATCCAGGTTATCGAAATATGAGCTCATCAAAGTTAAAAAGTGGGCCACAAGCTTTGACTGTCAACAGTGAGGCTAGGATGAAAATTGCCTGGGGCTATTTCAGCATCGTCCAAGGATAACTGGCCCAAGAAACGGCATGTACACAGATTTTCACCAAAAGATTATTGACTACCCTGAAGCTTGATCTGGGTACATAGGTGTCCAAGGATATTGCGCTGGAATACGCTTAAAAACTTGTAGAATAGTCCAGCTGTGGTTGCAAAGCAAGAATGTTGTGCAACTGAAAGAACGCAAATGAGAAAAGTCACGACACTCCCTCATCACCATGCAAAGTCGAACGTCGTCGAGATAGTCTACGAAAGATCGGAAAATACCTCCAAGCATAGTGGATAAGTAGATACTCCCTGTTGGTAGTAGCTGTGGCAATGATATGTCAATTCCTGAGCCGAAACCAGTATATGTATGTAAATGGAATCAGGAACCCCAATCGGCGCGGCTCCAAAGAAGAGGATTCCGACAATAAAGTTCGCAAGGGGGGGGAGGATTCGATAAAGGGTAGTTGCGATTAAGAAACCATAATAATCGATAGATAATACAAGCGGATTCCTATAGAAAATATTCCATGGCGTCAGGAAACGACGAGGAAGCAAGACCAGTGGGGCAGTCCCGACAGAGGTCCGGGTAGGGCGATGAAAACCGAGTATGATCCTCAAATTGAAGAAGAAACTAGAATTGATTGGTAGAAGTCACAGACTCCCATGTAATATCTGGTCTCAAAGCTAATAAGACGTGCGAAAGGAGTTGGATCAAGTCTAGGAGAAGCTTTGGAACGACTAGCAAGTAGAAAGCACAATTTAAGAACGAGGTCAAAGGCGTTCGGGGAAACAGTGGAAGTTCTGACAATATCGGGCTGGCTTCAAGCATAGAATCTTGATACAAATACAATAGAGGCGGTTTCGCTCAAGATATCTCCTGGACCTGGTTGCGTCGGGTGGGACTTTGGGGCCACGTTGTTCTCAAAACGCGATGAGTCAGCAAGCTCGCTTAATGTGAGTACCATTGTTGACATCAGGGCCTGCCAAGGTGCTCCATCAAGCAAGAGCTGAAAATTATGTGACTGATGATTTATGGAACTCGAGATACTTTAATGTGAGTGAAAAGATCGTCATATCCTCCTAATATCACCCTGTCCACTCACTTTTATCGCAGTTCTCGATCCCACAGGACACTGACAGTCTTTATTCATGCCAAGCAAGCACAGAATGCCAAATAAAGAGCCCCAAAAACAAGCGCATCCTAGACCATAAATGACACAAACTCCACTGGGAGGTGAAATCTTTTTTCCTTCTCCGTATCGCTCAAAAATCGTTAATGACGGATAGTGGCGTTTTGATCTAGCTAGCTCGGGCCGTTATCTCGCTTGTAGAGGGCAATGACAGACACAATTATTGATCTTGAGAACACCTTTATGCAGCTCAAGGCATCTCGAGTATAGTGTTTTGTTGCACACTAATTCAGATCACAATTGTTCTTGCAAGAGTCCTGCCGTCTCTGTGTGAAGTGTGAGGAAGCCTTCAAGGGCAGCTTTGTTGACCTTTGCCAGCCACTTCTCCAACTCTGGAAGGGTTTCGATCTGAGAGAGCCCACTGACCAAAAACCGTTTATTCTGAAGGTCGGACATGTACATGAGTCTCCCAGAGCAGTCCTTTTTTATGTCGACTTTGCAGCATTTGGCCTCATTGCTACCCCTGATGAAGCAGCCTCAGGAAATTTCGGATCCAGTGTTGCTGGAGTAGTTAAAGCAAGAAGACTGGGCAATATAGACACAATTGTCTTAAAATGCACATCTGGTAGAAATATCAGAGCACAAAGCTGATGAAATGATTAGCACCGGATTTCAGCACCCTAAGATAATGGCGTATCCGGCTCAACTTATACATGGCAATTCCGAAAGCACGAAATCCAAGGGGAAAAGCCCTGCTCGACTATCGAGGGGTCAAGAAGTGAGGACTTCGTCCAAAGCACTTCAACGAAATCGACATCTGGGTCTGTATGACATTTTACGATTTCGATTGGACAACTTTCCAGACTGCAGTACTGGTCCCAACACGGTACCCACACCCCCTGGCGAGAGATTGAGAGAGAATCAGTCTTTGAAACTCTTGAAGAACACTGCATGGGCGACATCATCTAGAGTACATTAGCAGATATCAACTTCGATGAGGCGGCAAGCACGTACAAACGCTTGATAGCTGGTATTCAACAACGAGCAGGGGCTGAATCGCGGATATTCTCAAACTAGCAAAGCAAGAACTAGATGGCGAGGAGAACATGATTAGTAATTTCTCAAGAAGTCAAACAGTGAACGAAGAGCGCTTCGCCCCCGTTCGGACAGGCACTGAACTTTGCAACCAGGTCGAATATGCTCCACATGAAAACATCAAAGAAGTCATGCATCGGGCTCGAGATGAGGGTGAAATGGTACACGGGGAGAATTGTCAGCATAGGGCCCCCAAGAAATGGGTTACAGCTAGCCCAGACTTGCCAGTCAGTGGCAAGGATGGGGGACATTTCAATCCAGAAGACGACCTTCCAGGTTGCAAACGAAGAGCCTATTCTTTTGGTGATTTAGTCTTTTCACAAACGGAAAGTGAGATGATTTGCGGTGATTCTCAAATCATCTCAACGCAGGAAGCTCATGCTGAATACCTAGTAAGAGCCCGAAATTTCACGGGTAACCGGGGGCCTCCAACGTGCATTTGACCTTATGGGCCCGAATCGTCACAGAGGTGGACAGACTGAATTAGACCCAGTTCACTCTGGATTATGATGTCCTTGGCTGTCCTGAGCACATTGGAAGCGTATTTCTGTCGACTCGTGTACAAGTTATTTCGGCCACTTGCAGGTTGCCTCTTTCAGCACCGACAATGAGCAAACAATTCCTTCTGCATGGAAGGTGGAGAAGTTTGATTCCGGCCGTCTTCCGCGTCCGCTTAGAAGAGTTGATGCGGGCTCTATGATAGTATTGTCCATGATGCTATTGTCGCTGACCTCGCTAAGGCAAAGGCAAGCTTTTGGCCGCTGACTATAAATCCTCCGCCCCCCGCATGACTTGTCTCCCAAAGCACTTTTTCATTTAGCAAAGTTGAAATCTTCGACCAAAGTTTTTTCACTTCAATCATACCATTGCGATCGCTTGCCAAGAACTAAGGCAATTTCAATATCGCCACCATGTCTCCAACAAGTCCGTTACGGCGATACAACCCGCTGTCGGTCCTCCGCAACATCAATCTCGCCGATGTGGATGAGATCAACAAGACAATGCACTACCTGGCTCGCTGTAAGTTTGCGAAAGTTCTTACTCAGGGATGCTCTTTTCATGTTACCTCATTACCACGTTCAGCTTTCAATTGGGCATCTCCCACAATTTCCGTGAAAGTGCGCTGACGATCTGCTCATTCAGGTTTGGACAAGAGCGGAAATATTGCAGGCTCAAGACGGATTGCGGAGCAAGCTATGGTAATGATAGATAAGGGACCAGTCCATCGAATTGTCACAGCCATCGAGCGGAATACCGACTATCCTCTCCTTAAAATGGCAGTTGAGCGCTTGCTCGAAGCAAGAGATCGCAGCCGGCTTGAGATCTTGGGTGCCATCTCGGAGATTGAGCATCTAGCGGAAGAGAAAGTTTTGATCAATCCCACTGTTTGGTTCAATGAGTACGTTGAGGCTCTTGACCGGTTCTTGGAGCTTCCGCCTCTTCAATTCGTTGAGGTAATTCGGCTGCTGCCATATGCCATATCGATGAAACACTGACATCCCTTCAGCTGCCACTTCACAAACGGAACTCGAAAGATGAATGGTCCCCTACCACCAGATCCAAGAGATTTTTGTCAGGAGAGACAGTTGTCGCACAAAGCCCCGAGCAATTCAACACCGAAAATTCTGCCGAGTGCAGTCCCAACAACCCGGTAAGTCTTCGTATAATTTTGTTGGAAATCTATTGATGCCACAATGCTAATAAACTGCTTTCTGAAGAAGATTGAGTCCAAGCCCGTCCCAAAGCGTCTCCCTAGCCACGCCAGTGCGAACCTATCAATCTCGAATGTCCCCAACTCCAAGATCCCGCGCACCAAGGCCAGTCCCAGCACTCCCCGTCGAAAGCGCCCAGAACCGATCTCCCACGAACACACCCTTTCATCTACACCCGAAGCTACCTCCACCACGCCCAAGAAGCGCGGCAAGTCTCCCAAAGCCTGCAATGAGTGCCGTCGCCGCAAGATCAAGTGCTTGAAAGATGACGGAGATGAGAGCTGCATTTCGTGCTTCAAGCTCGGCCGCGATTGCATTTTCAGTCCGCCTTCCTCTACAAAGTCGGCTGTGCGTGGTTCGCTGAAGAGAACTGCTACGGAGGATCTCGTAGAGACTCCTGTCAAGAAGCGAGCATCCAATGGAAATTCGAAGATGTACGTTCAGAGTGTTGATACAGATCAAGAAACTGACCGGTGACTCAGCACAATGAAAAATATCTTGCACGAGTTCGACGATATCAAGGAAGGACAAGCCCTTGGAATTATTTCAGACGCTGACGATGAGGACTCTGGCAGAAGCACAGAGGAATCTGCGGAAGTATTGGAGGTCAGCAAGGACTTGCCATTTCCATCTGATCCTGAGGATTTCGAGTACAATCCAAACAAGCGAGTTCGTCGTGGAAGGAGAGAAGGATCCAAGTCGATTCGGAAGCAGTCGGCTCCCGTTGCTGAGTAGATAGGACATTGGCAAGCCGCCCTACTTAGAATTTTCAGCTGGGACCTTGGTTAGCTTCAAAAGTTCTCTCCTGCATATGACTGAGGAAATATCTTTCGTGTTACCCTTTCTACAGTTGGTTTGAGACTTGGCGGGAAGGAAAGAACGCTCGGAGGAGTCATGGCATTGGGAGTTTTGACCATGATCGACTGCGTCCTCCTCTAGGCAAGTGGCCATCGGTATGTTTTTCATTGAGAAATTCATTGGGCTATTCTACAGGGTTGCATAGTTTCGATAGGATGAAAGAAAGATAGCGCAATACAACTATAGAATATGGAATTCTCACTCAAGGCTACGGATAGAACGCTAAACCCAAGATTTCTGCTCAACAAAGCCCAGAGACTCATCACAAGCTTTGTATAACCCGGCGCGCCAAGCAACTGAACAAACTTTGCTTGATCCTACAACCTGATGATTCTGAGCGCGTTACGTACCATCGTGCCTTCTTCACTTGTCCTGTGTGCCAGCGGGTCCGCTCCTTCCCACACAACATTCTGCAGGTTATTCAACTATTTCCCACTGTCCGAGGAATTTATCTTCAACACGGCATACCTCCATTTCCATTATCATCCACTGAAGAAGAGTATATTTGCAACCCCAGCAGCCCATCGTAATCTCGTCGAAGTATCATTATTCTTTTTCGACGACTCTAGCTCAATTCCATAATGGACTGTTTCGGAAAGGGTACATGTTGTGGAAGTCCGGTGTCCTGCATATCTACCACCGGATGCCCAAAGAAATCCAGACCAACCTCCCAAGGGATGCCAAGTATAGACAGCATCATTAAGTCAGAGGCCGCGGCAAGTCCTCAGTCCCTGCCAATAACAAACACGTGGGCTAGCCTGGCAAGATCTTATCCACGGCAGGTTACGAGTCAACCACACCAATCGCCGCCCACTTCGACATCTGGAAATCTACATAGCAGATCAGAGCCTTATACAGCGAAAAAATTCGCCGGAACATACATATCTGCGTCTAAAGACGAGACCAAGCAAGATTTTAGTGGAGAACTCATGGATAGCGCGATTGACATGGCGCGCACCGAGAACACGAGCTCGGTGGAAGATTTTGCTCTATCATCCACCAGGAAGAGGAAGTCAGCGACACATCCCTCCGGGCTTGATCGTGATGCCCCGAAACGAAGAAAAGGGGGTGTTCGCTCCGCGGTAGATGACCAGAAGAGGGGCAGTGGGACCAGAAAGCGAAGGCGGAATTATATGTCCGAGGAGGAGGCCGAGGAATTTCGTCGTCGGCAGCCAGAATACGTGAGTAGGCAGTTCCAAGTTACGTACTCAGATTAATTGAACAACAGTATCATGACAATCGCAAGAATGTAATCAGCCAGATACCACGTTTTACTAGAGGTCAAAAGAAGGTATTAGCACGTAATGTGGATTGACATGGTTTTGCAGAGGTTGACTTCTGTTATAGCGATCCAAAAATTTGGTTGAGCCCGCAAAACCTCAACCAGTATCTGGACTACTATCGCCGTCCAACAAGAGTCTTTCTGAAGATGAGGTTAGCCAGTGACTAACGTTGTTACATCTGTCGATGCTGATCAGAAAAGACCCAGTCCGAGTTTTCTTTGTACGAAGGTGACCGGTCTGCCAGTTCAGAATCTGATGTACAGTGCTCAAGTCAGGCTTCTGATCAAGATCTGTCAGATACACAGATCGAGAAACGCACCACCTCAGGCAAAGAAGCAGTGAGTGGGTTGGCCAGCCGGAGACAGCTTTTGGGCTAATTGACACAGAAGTCAAAGCAGCATAAGGCAAGCAAAGAGAAGCACATATTGAAAATTCGGTCGAAAAAGAAATATGGTGTTCAAAGTCCAGATGTGGAGGTTGATACCGGTGTTTTGTTAGCGGCTGCCACTGGGATGTTGGAGCACTGCTGATTCGCTGCTTATAGACAGATTGTATACCGAATCGCCGGCCACAACACAGTTTTGTATTCTCTACCTATGGAGCTGAACATGCCCCTGATCTGAGTTCTGCCTTGAGGAAAGTGTGTGGGTAATTGGCATTTTTGTGACACGCTGGACAATCATTAGGAACATAAGGGGTTGCGTCGTCGATCGCCTTCCGGACAGGAGGTCACATTCTTGAATGAGGGGTACAGGTGTAAATTGACTGCGTTCCGAATTTGTGTAGTCCCAGTTCATTTTTCGTAAAGCGACTGAAAAGCGAAGCTCCAAGCTATCAATTGGCACACCTGGTAACTGGACCTTAAGCACAAGATACAGAACGGTCGCAACAGATAATTGCCTCGTCATCCTATACCTTTGTTGTTCCCATGCTACATTGTACAAGACAACTCAATGGTGGTGTTGATGGCGATCTTCAACCACTTTTACCATTCGATCTACTTGCGATATACAGCACAGAAGTCTTTTTGACACCAGATCGCAACCAAAGCGTTCCACGGAATCCTTGAATGAGAATTTCCAAAGGCCATCGCATCTCCCATTCCTTCACCATCGTATGGCTTGAAGTTCCGGTAGCACTGACGTCAATGCTAGACTCGCTCCAATGTGTCTAGTGATTGCGAGCATACGTCCGACCAGTACGCCTGCCAGCAAAGGCAAGACAGTTGTGACAACGAGGTTGGTGATGGGAAACAGTATTCTCGCAAAGGCAGGCGTAAAGGCGATAGGAGAGAGCGTGAAGGGTGATACGAGCATTTTGTTTTGATGACAGCTATTTGGTCAGTTCATTGAAGTATGCGTCAAACACAGCTGGAGGAAAGAAGCAAATTGGGGAATTATCGGAAGAAGGGACTGCAGTTCTAAGAAGGTGAGAGGGAGGCCCAAAGAGCGTGTCGGTCAAGCCAGCGCCTCTTTTCTCTCTAAATCCACAAGTCAAGTGATTTGATATCAAGCAGTCCGTTATTTCAAATCAATGATACGCGCGATCGAAGAATGCCTCTGTGGATGCCGTTGCTATTATGGATATCATCTGTGATGAGAAGTGGGGGCCGAAATTGAGGGGTCAAAACTCAGGACCAAACTGAAAGCAAACATTGCGGCTGCCAGAGATTCCCATCTTGAAGGACGACTCGAGCTTTTCTCTTATCTCCCTTTTGGGCTCAGGACACCGAGGCTTGACTGTTCTTTCAGCATGAAGGTTGATGAAGTGATGTTGGCGCCATTTGATGTGGAGAGGGGGTTTGCGTCAGAACTGGTCCACTTCCGAATTAGATTACTGTACAGTAGGATGACTAAGCTGAGGTTATGTCAACGACATCCCTTTCTTCTTGAGCTCCATTTTACAAGGCTCGTTGGGAAGTCTCCTCTGTCAAAATGTTTTATCTCCAACTCCTCAGCCATCAACGACAATAGCACTGATTTGTTTACGATGTCGAATTCTGCATGTCGACACTTGTGAGAAGAAATCGACCTAGGCATGTAATATGTTCAGCTCCAAAGGGAGACAAAATTCGAGAACGTCTCACTTTCCTGGTTGGAATGAATGGAACTTCCATTTCCCATCAATCAGGTTTGACCTCCAAGCTGTAACGTCTGTGTTAAGAGTATGGAAAGCCGAGGGTAAGTTGCGGCCAAATGGAACATTATCACAGTTCAGGCACGTCAGGAATTTGTCAAAAATCCAAAGTTGTGATTGTCCAAAGGTCTAGCAATCCCACCAAGATAAAGGCCAGAAGAGATTCCGAAGTGCCGAACTCCAAAATACAATCCTCCCTTGTCAAGATCCAAGATCCAAAAGTGCAAAGGAAGTCGACCTCGGGCAGGTAGTTCTCAAAGGAACTTACGCGAACACCGATCTACTCATGGTAGAACGCATCATCGTTGTCATCATTACTATCGGTATTGTCCTCATCATCTGCTCCATCGCCAATTCCAGTGTCGCCCTCAGTGTCCATGACATCTGTGGACGAGCGGCCAAATGCTTCCAGGGCACGATCCATCTCCTCCCGTAAGTCCTCGTATCTCAAAGCTTGGCTTTTGATGGCTCCCGGCTTCCGCTCCACCATGATATGCGATTTCTTGACCAAGCTTGACTCCGTCCGGACACCGCGTCGCTTTGCATGAGGAGTGGTTGCTTCGCCGATCTTGATGGGCCAGCCCTTGAATCGGTCGTTGAATTCCTTTGAGAGAGCAGCCCAGTCGTGGTTGTTGAGGGGTCGCTTGTTGGCGTTGATGTTCCGAAGAACCAATTCCTTTAGGAAGTCCTTCTCTTGGTCCGTCCACTACAATCAACGAGGATTCAGTACCGGTTTACTATGCTACGCAATAGAGGAAGTAAACCGAAGGAGTACTTACATGCTGTCTGAAGACGGTCTTCCTGCTCTGACCATCATCATTCTGATCAAGCTTACGCTTGATAACCTGCAAGCGCCATTTTTGCAACTCGACCATCTCCTTCTGGTTGGCAAAGTTCAGGTTCCTACGGGGAGGATAGATGAACGTCGCTGGGTTGCCATCCTCATCGAAGAGCGTCAACTCAGTTGCCGCTCTCGACTTGACTCCCAGAGTTGGTGGAGCCTTGGAGATGTGCTCGTTGGCATCCCAGTGGAACATGGTACCTTTCTTTGTGATGGGTTTGTGCTTTCCAGGGTCCTGGAACAGAGGTCAGTGGTGTACATTGAAAGAAAGGTATGGTGTATGGCCACTTACATCGGCAACGCGGCGAGCATTTATGCCAATCGAGATAACTTCATCGTCACACAAATATATGCCGTCGGGATCGCGCGGGATCGCGGCAGGTACTTTGGTATCCTCCGAAGCACTATCCTCTCCAGTGTTCTCTGATCCACTGGATGGATCAGCGGAAACAGATCTCTCACGATCCTCTTCTCTGACACTAGTGCCAGTCTTCTTGGATGGCGTCGACATGTCGATGGAGATTATATTCCGGAACTTCTTTGAGATAAAAAATGGATATCTTGTTGGTATTGGTGTTATATGAGAGAGGAGCCGAAATGTGTAAGTGAAAGATGTCAGAGACCTAGAGCCGCGAGAGAGATTTGTTCTGTATTTTCGGTGAGGAAAGGGCCTCTGAAGGGTCAAAAGAGCGAGGTTATATAGACATCTAAGATTTCTTGTACCCTAAGTTGAATTGAGGAATGACGAAAGCTTCAAATGAATAGCCGAAAGAATTCATTTGATCATCTCCGAGTCCGGGCGAAAATTCTTTTGACCCGCTAGGAACTCCGAATCTGAATGTCGTAGGCGGTGAAAGCTTTCTGGGTTCCGAAATAATCAGAATGATGCTGTAGGAGACGCGTTCTTCACTGTTTATTGTGATTCAAGTACATTCATTCACAGAAGCAAGCCAGAACGGTCAGGAAGCAGTTTTATGTCTAGACAGACCACGCGTGCTTCATTGTCAGGATGCCTACATTCCGGCTCTTTGCAAGTTTGCGATTCCCAAGCAACAAACAATCGGATGTTTGCAACAACTCCGCACCTCTAGAACAGGAATCATGAGTCTGTCTGAGTATTACTTATTTGTACATAAAATTTCGTTTGCCAGGATGAAGCCATATTTTCAGCACAAGGATGTGGAACTTCGCTTGCGTCGACTCAAACGGGAACAAGATTGACTTCAATTAGTATAAATGGCAAGATTGGTTGCTCCAGGTGTCGATTATTTAAACAAATCTAGACTTTGATGTCAACTTACAGGGAGTATTCGTTCCAAAGTAAATTACGTAACTGGAAATACTTACAATTGAAAGCAAAATCAGAAGCTGATGTGAAGCGAATTGAAAATTTCTGTGAATGTTTGAACAGTCCGCGGGAATACGCGAGCTATTTTATGGATTAGATTTATGATTACAAACACACTCCAACTCCAAAAGTAGGAAGCCTGAAGTCAAAGGGTGTGGGAAAATAAGCCCGCAGGTCCAAGACACCTCACATGGGCCAGAACTGCTTTCCTATTCGAAAATCCAGACGGTTTTATTGGTGAGACATGGTCAAGAGATTGCTGCAACATGGATGTGTGACGAAATGAAAGCCATTTCCAGGTAGGGAATCCAGCGTTATGAGCAGCGAAACATGAAAGTGACTGCTCGACGGAAAGTTCAAAGTTTACGTGAAGTCGATATTGTCACGAAAATCAGTTACAGCAAGTTCAGCACTTCCTAGAAGATGCTGTATTGAGAAAAAAAACACATGAATATGGTTAGTGGTGAGTTCTCTGCTTCGACGACATCAATTACAATATCAGAGTTAAATTATCTATTTGTAATTCATAGCTTACTGAGGGGAACTCTGTCGTGGTAATGAATGCACACACTGAAGGCAAAATACCAGAGACACTAATGGCAAATGCTTTGTTATGAAAAGAATCGAGTGCAGGGAGACTGAAAAAAAAAACGCCAATCATAACTAATCCGGAATATCTCAAAGGGGTTTCGACCGCATTTCTGCAGCGCGTTTTGAAAACTTGAAGGATTGGCATAAATCCACTTCCGCCTACGAAGCTGCTGTAACAAGCCTTCCTCCTACAGGTTGTCCAATAGGACGCCGACCTTCATCTTCATCATCAGAACTGTTTTCCAAGTCGTAGTCAACAATTCCACTCTCATCTTCATCATAGCCATCAAATTCATCAGAATCTTCAAAGATATTCGATTCTTGGGATGAGTTGTAGCTTGCTGGGGTGTCATCTGACGCTTCGGTGCCGAAAGCTGTAATTTCCTCGTGAACGATCTGTCTTAAATCGTCGTATTTCCCGTACAAGGCGGTCATGGCAGCCTGGCTTCGTCTTTCGATGATTTGATCAGTCACAGCAACTCTTCCACCCGCGAGTTTCTCACCAACTCTGACCATCTTTCCTTGGAATCTTTCGTTGTGCTGTTCTGTGAGCTTCTTCCAATCCTTGCCACTAAGAGTTGTGCCAGTGAACCGAACTCTTTTTCTGATCTGCATCCGCAAGTACTCCAACTCCGCATAAGACCAGCGTACCCGAGGACCAGACTTCTTGTTGTTCGTAGCTGCATTTTCGGCCTTGAAGTATCTCTTTAGGATTTTGATGCGCCATTTGTTGAGCTCATTGACCCACTCCTTGTTGTCCCATTCGGGATTCTTACGTCCCTCGAATCTGAATGCCTTGGTGTATCCTCCACCGATTATCTTCAGTTTGAACCGCATCTTCGAGTCATCGGGCTTGCCAACTTCGGCTAAGCTATTCAAGGTGTGCTTGGGGTTGTCTGCCATCCGTACGCCCTTGATAGCAAAAGGAGGATTGGTCTTCGCGGAGCGCCTTCGTTTCAAAGTGCCACGAGGAGTGGATACGTATTGGGTAGTAGACGAAGAGCTTGTCGGCGTATGAGGCTGTTGGTGAGCATCAAGGCTGCCCCGAACGTCTACAACAGTAGTCGATTCCTGAGAGCTGTCGGATCCTAATTGAAAGTCAGCTATCTAGAAGATGCAACGTGTTGAAAATGAAGTGAGCTTACCGGCTTTCGATGAATCGATACCCTCGTGGCGTTTGGTGTTTGTATCAGCTGTAATTACTTGTTTCTCGTCACCACCATTGTCTTCGATAGAGCTGTTGTCTCTGAAAGACATGGTGTCACGTCTTGTTGCTTCTCAAGGTCTGACTGTCAACTTAGCTTAATTCTTAGCAAGTTGAAAAGTTTCTAGACGAAGGCCAATACTTAGCAGAAACCGGGTTATGGAATCGCAAGGAAGTAGGGTGGCTTTTGAGCAAGCAAGAGCTGGGCTTAGCAATCTCCAACCACCACGGTGAACGAGATTCAGTAGACTGTTATTGACGAGATAGTACAGAGATATTGAGGTTGAGGCTTGGTCCAACTTAAGTCGATAAATGGTAGAGCGCTTCAACATGTGAATGGTGAAAATTGTCGTTCTGTTTGTCAATAGGTGAATCGGTTGCGAGTTGAGATGAGTCACGTGAGACGCCAATGTACCTAGGTCCCAACCAAAACAGACATTCGCTAGTTCTACGCTCTTCAGTATTGCTAGTGCATTATATCATTGCGTCTCATTGTTTTGGATTCTGATATCAAGTGAACGTTGCTAAGCGATCCTGAACAGACTTCGATGTGAATAAAATGTTCGGCTTCTGCGGATGTCGTAATCCTTTCAGTCGCAAGACTAGAGCTTGGCTTGTGCACCTCGGCGTTCTTCGCATCGGAAGAAATCGAAGTGCCATTAAGCTAAATTGTTCCATGTGCTTGTGCACTTCTTTGAACTTTGGCCTGAGGCTAGCAGATTTGGTGGCAGTATTCATGGAATTACTAATATTCAACGGTGTGGACAAGGTCTCCTCTTTTCGTCCCCATCCAAAAAGTATATTTCTTTAATATCGGTATTACAGTCAGATGGTAGCCCCAGATCGACACTTCAACCTTGGCTGCAAATGTTGTGCTAACGTTTCGGTCTCGTGGGTAATTCCTAAGACTGTTCGGAAATGCTAGAGCGCTTGTTTTTATCTGCCATGATGCGATGTTCCTTTGTCGTTTTATGATCGTGACTGTTTGTTGGTTATTGGTCTTCATTGTTCGCGGAGCCTCCCGAGCCCTTCCAAGCCACCCACCTGCATGGACCTGAGAGAGAGCCAAGTGGGGCAATAAGCGAGCATTCTCCGCAGCCGTTGTTTACAATCTCGGACTGAAGATAGACAGGCCACGCGGAACCTCATTGAAGTAATAAAGGTCAAGGAACGATTGGGATCTCAAAGTAGATAATCTGGTTCTGACTACATCTTCACTTGTACTGGTGAGTGATTTGTGCGACTTTGCAAAACTTTCCTTCTCAATCACTTCACTAGTCAAAGGAGGGACAACACCGCTGCCTCATTAGGCTGTTTATCACAATACATGAACATCAATAGGATTTAATGAATAGATTTTTACAATCATCCTTGCATTCACTATTCCTTGTTCAGGAATGTTTTAGGCCAACAAGTGTTCACTTCGAGTTTTCTTGCCTGCTGGACAATGGTGTGTCTGCGTTGTCTCGCGTATTCGGCAGGCTTGGTCTCCCATGAACAGCTATCGCCGCTGTAGCTTAGAAGAGTCATTCCCTATTTGGATTAGCTTGTACTTTGTTTTGTTAATGCATGCTAACATCTCGCGAAGGCGGTGAATTTGAGCTGTCACTGCCTCACGTTTCGTTTCGTGCATTTGCAGATTCTTATAATATGCACATACCTTTCATAATCTTACTCTCTCTTCATCTATCCTGCGAATTTCCTCAATCTCTCAAAACTTTCACAAGATTCCCAACAGGCCCATACCTTCACAATCTATTCCACACATCCTTCAACAGTTAAGGAAAGCTGTGTAGCGTCTCATTATTCGTCTTGGACGCGTATCAATAACTCCACAGACAACATATCCACACACGCCAAAGCAACTTGAAGGTAAGCTAGCGCTTTTAAATGTCGAAATTAAATAATTAACGCCTTTCGCTTCGCGTTCATGGCCGAAAGGATGAAGCTTTCAACTTCTCATTCTTTTTGGGCACATTCAAGCATTCCAATATTTGGCATTCGCTAACTTTTCTCAGAATCCACCATGGAGGCTAAAAAGGGGTTTGACATGATCGATAGTTCCGCTGTGACCTCATCTCGCAACACACTCGATGATACCACTCTCGTTTCTTCAAAATCCCCAGGTTCCGCCGTTGCTCCCGCCAAGTTAACACCGTCGAACCTGATTGCTGAGCGTATTTCAGCTATTACCAATACTCGTTGTGTTCAAGCTGAGGAACATATCATGGGTGACTTTTGTGGCGTGTGTCGCACAGTATTGATGCCATGGTATGTCAAGAATCCTTACCAACATTGCTTTCGCCAGGGATAAGTCTGCCTGTACAGGAATATCAAGCCCTTAGTCTAACATTTCTACCTAGGATTGATGCTCTCCCCCGAGCCGTCGGTGATGATGATCAGCCGATTCGCAGAGCACCTGCCCAATCCATTCTCGGACGCGTCAATTTGAGTGATGATGAGGCAATTGCTATAGTTGCAGTGGTGGCTAGCTTGGATATAGCTAATAAGAGATACGATGAAGTCGAAGGACTTGTCGAAATCATGGAAAAGTTCCCGAGAGCAGTGGCTGCCGGCTATCGAGTTGCCAATATCTATCGACATATTTTCAAAGTCTCTACTCCAGTCCATGACATCCCAGCACTCGCAGATATTATCCAGACTGCGCTTGACGATCCGCATCGAACACCAGAGGAGTACATCAAGGCCGTTGAGATCGAGCTTCGGCTCACAGCTCCACTCAGAACATTATATGGGTCAACAACTACCTGGTCTGGCAAGAATGCTACCAAGCCATCTCCTTCCGAGACATCAACACTTGATGATCTCCGTCCGAATGTCCAAGGTAACTACACACACAAGCCTCCACGAGGAGGTCCATGGGAGTTTGTACCAGGAACAATTCTTGACAAAGCCATCGCCGGTATTCCCGCACCGCACCAGTGCTTTCTGACTCGCCAATCCAAGAACGACCCCTCCATCAAGGATGTCCGTCAGTTCCCATCATGGGCTACAATAGTAAGTACTTCAACCACTAAGGGATATTTGGAAGATGTTTGAAATGATAGATTTTGCTAACTTGCCATTGTAGGATTGGAATGATCCTGTCGATATTGATATATTCAACAAGTGGTTGGAACAAAATAAAGGCCGGGTGAAGGGAAGAATTGGCAAGCACTCAACTGTATGGACTCAAGCTGAAAAAGATGTCCTCAAAGATGCCGTTGAAGCTGCAATTGTCAGTGGGAAAACTCAGAGAACCGTGGACTGGGACGAAATTGCGCAAATCATGTTCGACCACTTCAAGGACATCACCCAAGAAAAAGGCGAGCTACTCGCCCAAAGCACTAGACTCAACGCAGACAACACTATCGACAAGCCCAAGCTCAAAAATCCAAAGAAGCTAAAGGAAGATCGTGTCGGTGGCATTTTTAGAGCTGGCAAAACAGTAAAGGTTCAGGCTATGAGATATGGTGACATTGCTCTGCTGCTACGTCTGACCGGCAAGTACAAGCCTCGTGGCATTCGGGCTGACGATAATAATGCTTCAAAATCATCTGACGCTTCTGATGATTCCGGCGAAGATACCACCGATGTGGATGGAGATGACGAAGCAAACACTGAAACTAAGTCGGCAAAGGGTGGCAAGCGACGCCGAAATGAAGGCGAGGATGGTCCCTCGAAGCGCAGAAAGACTCCTCCAACGCCAATCCCCGCCAAGAAATTCGCGACTCAGCTTTCTGAGATACCGAAGTTCCTCAAGGAGAAGATTAAGAAAGGCACTTCTGTGTCGGATCCACCCAGTGGATACAACTCCCCATATCAGTGAATTCGCTCATCTGACGTCCAGATTGTCTTGACTTCACTTTTAAACGCGAAATACCCTTGTATGAAAGTTAGGCGAACAGGAATCTTGTGATATTGGTGGGTATCTTGCACATATTTATGGTGGGAGGAACCTCGAGTCTGGTGGCTAGGTTCACATGAGGAGGAGAGCTCCCACATGTTTCGAGCACACACGACGTTGCTAGAGTCTTTGGTGCGTAAAAATTATCGTCTTGCATCCTCTTCTCCTGGCTTTGTTCGACAACAAAGGATCTGGTTACTCTCGTACCTGAAGCTGAGGGGCAACTGCCGGTGGATAGCCTGATGCAGAGGTTCGATTCCACAGAGATTGTTTCCGCGAACCTGTCCAGTCTCAAGGTCAGAACTTTTGGTATGGGCGCCCTCAGTGGACATTTTTTTTTCTTTTTTTTTTTTTTTTTTTGAAGGGACTTTCATAGGACAATTTTTGCTATCTTTTTGGTCATGCGTGGGGCGCTTTTGTGTTCTTACAGCGATAATGAGATGTAACGGAAGGAATAGCCAAGGCATGGTTGGAGGAGCTGAATACAAAATGGAACACGAAATCATAAAAAGGACTTCTCATCCACAGTGACTTTGAATGAACCTCCCTGTAGGAGAAATACTCTCGACTGGATTGTCAAAGAGGACAATGAATCCAGCTTGAGAATATAACCTTTTGACCTTTGGCCCATACAATCATGCTGGAAATGAAATGTAATTTCAACTTCTAGCAGGCGTTTCTATCTGACTAAACGGACTGTTTGCATAAGTGTTTTCCTATCGTCTTTATGTATATCTGAGGGCATGAGCACAACCTGCAACCTGCGCTTCGCCAAGTTGACAGCAACAAAAGAAATGACAACAACACCATTACTGTTACTTCTATGACTCTACTGCATTGATATTATCTGGGCTCCTACAAAATGTTGATACATAAGTTAACCCAGAATCACCACCAACGAAGACCGGGTTGAGGGGAAGAGAAGCTAGAGAAAGAACGCCGCTCAATATTCTTCCGATAGATCATCTTCGAGATGCACACACCAACTTGAAGCGAGTTACGAAGGAAAGTCCGAGTTATTTATCTATGTCCATCCAGCAGCTGAAAGGCCGCTAGCCTGTACTTTCGATATCTGTCTGCAAATTCACTGGGCATTATATGTGAGTGAGCGTGTTAAATCTCTACCGTCTTCAAATTCAAAACTAGAATTTAACAGAAAGTGCTGTGTTTTGGGATAAAAAGAGCTTTCGTGTAAGTCAAAGTCTAAGCAAGAAGTCAGTGGCGAAGAGATGTCACTGCCGATCGATAAATATCTCTTTGATACATTCTCTTGCAACTTGCCACGTTGAGAGTAGACCAGCTGAGGTAGCCGCATGTCCATGGCCACTTTTTGGTGGAAAGTTACGGGTAGTCTCAACTGGTCCATTATGCCATTTTTCTTTAAGGGCGGCAGAAATTTGGAGATCGATAGCCACAAATAGATCGACAACAGAGATTGAATGTTTCCATGTGGAATTTGTTGGTAATACAAGCCGCCTTCCCAACACTGTTCTCAGTCTGTACTCCACGCAGCTCGGATCAAGAGATGTGTCAAGAAATGTGTCAAGAGATGTGGCAGGAGATGTGTCAAGAGATGCGTCAAGAGATATGTTCAGCGGTGTGTGATATGGCTAGAAATTCTGGATCTGCGAGCCCAAGCATAGCAGCAAAGCACTTGAAGTACTGAGCAGAAAGCTGGAGACTCAAAAAGGTCTTGGTGGGGATCTTATACAACGCTCATGCCACATCACGAACCTGAAAAGTAGATTCACCAGTGACTTCGGGGAGACTTCCAACAAATAAATCAGCTTTGCATCATTTCCCAAGCCAACTCCCGGGAAAGGTTCTGTTGTTAACGTCGGATGCTGAATTGACAGACGCAACAGGCACTCAGAGGATGTCTAATGAATTTGATACAAATCTGTCTATAGTCAGTGGATGTGCTGAATATGTGGACACGTCGAATAACGCAGGTGATGGAATGCTTTGTCTGAGTAGAACTCGGCCTATGGAGACTTGCGCAAGTGATGAATGCTTATGCACAAGGCGAGAGTGACAAGCAAGTATGTAATGACAGCGTGGCGAAAAATGACAGCGAAACTCTCCCTCATATGTCTAAATCTTAACTGAAATCTGAACGGTCATATATAGTATAGAATTAGCAAAATAAAGAAGATGTGGAATTTGAAGAATGCATTAAACAGGGGCTGGTGGTAGGTGGCTCGTGCAAACGAGCTAGGCATTTTACACAATTTGAGGAGAGAGTGCGTGATTATATATTTGGGGGGTCGTTGCTAACCTGGAGGGGCATGCTCGTAGTATCTCGTGGTAAAGCTGTGTTTATTGACGTCAACCTCAAAGGGGGTCGAAGCCAGAGCGCGGGAAACGGGTCAATCCAGCATGAAACATCTTCCAAACAGCACCAGAATAGGTTTGGCGAGTTTATGCATCTAGATCAGTGAGCGGCAGTCTAAAAAAAAGTCTTAGGAATCAAATCTATTGTATTCTAATCTACACGACTATTCAAGTCCATCTCTCAATTCTACAACTCGTCCTTCTTTGATAACGTGCTACTGCTCTTCTCAACTTCGAGCGTCCTACTCTTGGTATTCTTCTCCGTAATAGCAGTAGCCGCACTGACAGGCGGCAGTCCCTTCCTCTTCCTGTCCACGGCGGCAATCTCATCATCATACACCGTCCACTCCGGCACCTGTCGTCTCGCTCTATCTAGCTTGGGCTCCTTCGTCTGCGGATTATTACATAAGTCGATCGTCTTCGCATCTTTCAGCGCTTCGTCACTACACCACGTTTCGCACCACAGCCACTCTTGAGGGAGACTGTGGATGGGGAGAATACTCTGCATGTGATTGGGGAGATCTTGGTCCAGGTTGGACAAACTATTTGGATCGGCCGACAGCTGGTGGTATTGCTGACGGAGGCGATCACCAGCGGCGATTTGGCGGAAGCGGTGCAAGTCGACGACGTAGAGGGCGGAGATGTGGTATGGCAAGCCACGGAGGAATTTCTCCCAGTAGCCCTGCTTCCAGAAACGGAAGCCTTCCATCTCGGTGCGGCTGTCGCACATGGGTGTGAAGCCATATGGCGCGCCTTTGAGGTCGTGGTTTACGAGCTCGATCATGTCGGTGCGGACAATTTGGTCTGCGTCTACGAAAATTACTTTATCGAGGGAGAGGGGAAAGAGAACGTCTAGGAAGAGGATCTTGTAGCCCCAGATCTCGCGTTGCTTTTCCGTTTGTGCGCGAAGCCAGTGAGGCCATTTGTAGGTGACCATTTCGTATTTAAAGCCGTACTCGGCGGCTAAGTAAGGGATGAAATCTTTGAAGGAGGGTGAGAGGAATTGTTCGATGAACCAAAATTTGACGGTGTGCTTCGTGTGTTTCATGACACTAACCATCATGATGTTAAGCATACGCTCGTAGAGATGTCCGCTAGCGACCGAAAAGATATTGATGTCTGCTTGGACCTCCTTTTCAACTCCCTTGTTGCCTTTGCCAAGGATGCCTTGGGCAAAGTTGAGACCACGGGAGACAAAATCCATTTTCGATTCCGCCTTGGCCTCGAGAACGTCTTCGGTTTCCATGCCTGGCTTGCGGGAGATTCGAGGATAGAGTGTTGCGCCTTTGAAGCTCATCAAGACAACTTCTGTGTTCTCGTCGCCCGGCGTTGGGCTCCAACCCTTGGACCCGACACTGTCGATACTGAAGATTTCGGCGCTTCTGCCCTCGAGCAGATCAATCTTGTAGTAGCCGGGATTTGCTTTGAACTGGAAGTAACCTAAGTTGGACATGATGATGGTATCTGCCGTATGAGGATCCCTCTCAGTGCCCAGAGCGAGCTGGACACCTCTTGGGGCTGCACCACCGGGGATTTCGCGAGAATGTCCTTCGATAAGGATGTTCTCTAACTCGTAAAGTGCTTCGATATCTGTCTTGATAGAGCTGAGTTTGATGTTATCCAAATCATAGATGGAGACTTTAGGAGCGACAAGCCACGCTGGTGGTATGTCCATTCCAAGGTTCAAAAGCGCCTCTTGTGGAACACCCTTGAACGACGCGCCGAGTGGAAGTAATGCACCAGCATCATCAAAAGTCGGCCTTGAATCAAGGACATATCTGTAGAAGCGCTTCACAGGCAGCTCTTGCAAGCGCTCCTTGGGGTTCAAAAAGAGCTTCATGTAAACACCATCAAGCTCCGAGAGAACTTTGAGGATTGGAACCCACTTCTGTCCAGCCTGACTTGCAGGGTCAAGAAGCACCGTCAGATGGATGCTGGCTGTCAAGGCATCGCCGGTCTCTAGAGAAGTATGAGTAGAATTCCATATACCAAATTGGCTCATTCTCAGAGTCGATGCTTGCTCGAAGATGCCGTCTGGGGTATCAGAAATGGTTGAGATGGCGACGAGAGATGATACCTTAGCTGCCGCGAGCGGACTCTCGACATTATCAGACAGGCCAAGTGCTTCTAGAGCTGTATGAACTGGAGTGATGCGCTTGGCTCTTTCGTAGGACAGTAATTGGGCAAAGTCGCCTTCGTCGAAATCCGAGTCGCTTGGAATCGGCCCGACGAGACGTCCGTTCAGTAAGATAGCATTTTGACCTGGGACAAGTTCGAGAGTCTTGATCAAAGAATCGGCTCCGCGCCAGTACTCGACAGCATGATCCTGTACCTGCTGACCGGGTACCGCCAGATCAGCCGTCAAGACAGCAGTCAGATCGTTTATATGTGAAAAGGCTTTGTTTTCATTGTTGGACATATGACTAAACAGATCTTTGCTAAGACCTGGTTCCGTTGCTTCCGTGCCAGAGTTATGCACGATGGTGAGTTCAACCGACGGATTGCCTTCGCGAAAGACAGCTGCGGTGGCAAGTAGCTTTTCGCCCGCTTTTGACTCCAGGTCTGCAATGAGAATCATGTGAGCCCAGTCAGCTTTCGCTGCAGACGTATCGGCTTCGATGCGGGGGAGAATATTCAAGATATCCTGGTTATCCCCAATCAGCTTGTTGACGTCGAAGATCTTCAAAGTCTTCTCGTCCTCAGGTATAATCAGTGCATTACGTCGAACTGATGCTTGCACAAGGAAGTATAGAGGCAACCAGCTGTCTTCGTTAAAGGTGTCGGTGAAAATGGCTTGTTGCAAGATTTGAAGATCGGTAGTCACTCTCTGGCTCATAGACTGGAGCCAATTTTCATCGCGAGATAGCGCAACTCCGTCAACGAACATAGGTGGAATTTTGCTATCGGCGGCCAATCGTCGAATCCATTTCTGTGATCCTTCGATTTGGTCCTTGAAGCTCTCAGGCTTTAGTACCTCTTCAAGAGTGAGACTATTCTTGTCTGTTCGAACCTTGCGCTCCCCAATTGCTGTCTTGAAGCTTTCAGCAGTAGGTGCTGTTAGCTTCTCTCTAGTGTAAGCAGCTTCGAGATAAGACATGGCAGACGTAATACCGTATGTCTCAAGTAGATGATATACGACCTTCGCATGCTCCACCTGATGTTGGTTCGTCGTCAAGGGTACGAGCCCGATGCGAATCGCAAGCTTCCTCTTAACGAAGCTCAATAAGGTATCCGCTACGATCAAAACATCCTGAGGATCAGTGAAGTCAACAGGAAGAATGACGTTAAAAGCATCTCTCCGACAAGTGGGAAGTTGGCCTGGGTAGACACGTTGGAGAAACTACACAATTAGCCGACGAAATTCAAAACAATCAAAAGGTCTTACAGCATTCAGGGATGTAGGCCACTGCGAGTATCGTTTGTCTTTCTCAATATCATTCATCCAAATAATCACGTTTCCTCCTTCAATGTCATCTCTCCAATCGAATCTTTGAGGTTCATTTTCAGCCTTCACGGTAGCGATGGCTTCGTGAGACAATAGCTGGATTGCTTGAGACCCAGTCATTCCAAGAGCTCTCACGCCATTGATTAGCTTCCTCTCCTTGCGGAATGTATCGAGCAGATCCAAGGCTTCAATTTGTCTTTCGATCAGTTGAACGCCATTCATCCAAATAATGTTGCCACCGGCTGGTACTAACTGGGCGCGGTTGAATTCGTGCTCAGCAACAAAGTCGCTCGAGACATTATGGGATGCAATGGCGCTTGAGTACTTGGGAAAGTCCTGGGAAAGCTTTACAAGCGAATCCAAAGGATTTTCGCTCTGCAGGATAAAACTTGAAGCTTTCAAGCCCAGGGAGAACAGCTCCGAAGCAGAGAGGGGTTTCAAATCTGCAAATTCTTCATCCTCATCCTCAAACTTCACCTCTTTCTCGGGAGTTAGGTTGCCTGGCTTGCTTTCGCCCTCCTCTCGATCATCGATCACAATGTAATCAGTTCGCTTGAGCGCAAGTTCAACGCCATATCCAGGGATAATCAATGGCTTCTCCACAGCAGATGGAGACTTTCTGTGCCTAACCCGGTAAGATGTTTTGCCTTCGCGAGCAGTCTTCACCAGGGTCTTGTGAAATTGTCCAAAAGTTGGAGAGGTGATATCCGCATACAGAATCGAGGCGGGTGCTAAAGGGTTTCCAAGGACTCGATCAAACTGGAGCTCCTGAACTTGCCTAACGAACACAAAATCAGCCATTGAAACCCCAGACGACCCTGGAACCTTACGAATCTCCACTGATATCTCCGTGAGCGTCTAGAGCTGGCGAGCAGTACTGCTTTCCATTGAAGAGCACCCAGACAGGACATGACGTATCTTGTTCTGCCTTCAAAGATGGTTCCGCAGCTGTAAGGTAATATTGATAATGTGCTTCGATTCGAGGAGCCGATGCCCGCATAGACAATGCAAACTGCCAAGAGGACAAAGTCTCTGGGCTTAGCATATGTCCATCCTCCCTTAATACCTGCATGAACTTCTCGAATAGTTCTTTGTCTGTTGAGGCTTTCGAAAAATACCCATCCGCAATTCGATCGAGCAAAGGAAAATATGAGGTTGCATTCTCGTTGCCAGCAGTTTCACTGTGATCGATTAGTATACCGTTCCTGGTCTAGGAGTAAATGGGGATTTATACAGCAGTTCCAGGAGATACGGCGCAGAGGAGAACGATGCTTTCATTGCGACATTTATGGAGGGGCTCGCAGAAACACATAGGGAATGGAGGTATGTAGTTGCCAATAGGGTTCCTGTCAAGCCCCACGGCATACTGAAGAGTCCCATCATGGGGTTTGGTGGGAGTTGTCCAGCTTCTTGGATGTTGTATTGCTTCTTAGGGGAGATTTCTGGCACTTCATGAACCTTTAATCTTCAGATGACAAAGCTTCTGTTTTGTCCGCCAGCGGAAGGACTTGAAGAACTTAGAGTCAAGTTGAACCGAATCGCAGCATTCTTTTTTTATCTCACAGACTTTTGCAAAAAAAAAATTATAGAACAAAGCTGATATATAGCTTCCTCGGCGAAAGTGTTGGATCAAATGGCCACCTTGCCTTTGAAGCTATCGGAGCTCTGACGCGCGTATGCCTGAGGCCTCCACACTTGCGATTCGGCCACACTTTGGAATCGCAGCAACGTACTCGTAGTTCCATACACCAGCCAACTCACTCAACATTGCCGCTGCCGCTTCTTCTGAACACCTACGAACTTTGGCTGGATACGTGCGTGGAGAAGAATCACATACAACAAACCGCCATCCGCAATCCCGGTCCATTCATGCGAGAAATCTAGGTGTTCCTCGTTCCTCGCAGCGTCGGTCAAGATGGCATCCTCCTCCTCCCCCAATATGCTTACGAAGGTATGCGTTTTGTGGATTGCGCTGCAGATAATAAATGGTCATGCTGATCCTTGGTAGTTCGAGTCGAAGTCCTCAAGGGCAAAGGGGATTGCTTTTCATCCTAAGAGGTAGCCCCCGCCGTTACCCCTGGCGCGCAATCGCAGCTAACAATTGCCAGACCCTGGATTCTCGTATCTCTTCACTCTTCGACCATTCAACTATGGGACTACCGTATGGGAACGTTAATCGACCGCTTTGAAGAGCACGATGGGCCTGTTCGTGGAGTCGACTTCCACAAGACACAACCCCTCTTCGTTTCTGGTGGAGATGATTACAAGATCAAGGTCTGGTCATATCAGACTCGCAGATGTCTGTTCACATTAAATGGGCATTTGGATTATGTTCGCACAGTGTTCTTTCATCATGAGCTTCCATGGATCATTTCCAGCTCCGATGACCAGACCATTAGAATCTGGAATTGGCAGAACAGATCATTGAGTAAGTCAAGATGCGCCAGTTAGGAATACTTCACACTAACTGGCAATCTCAAGTCTGTACGATGACCGGACATAATCACTACACCATGTGTGCTCAATTTCATCCCAAGGACGACCTGGTAGTTTCGGCTTCGTTGGATCAATCTGTCCGTGTTTGGGATATTTCTGGCTTGCGGAAAAAGCACTCAGCTCCTACATCGATGACATTTGAGGACCAGATGTCGAGAAACAACCAGAACCAGGCGGACATGTTTGGAAATACGGACGCTGTGGTCAAGTTCGTTTTGGAAGGACACGACAGAGGTGTAAATTGGGTCGCTTTCCATCCTACACTTCCCCTTATTGTGTCTGCGGGCGACGACCGCCTGGTCAAACTTTGGAGAATGAGTGAAACGAAGGCTTGGGAGGTCGATACTTGCAGGGGACATTTCCAGAACGCTTCTGGATGTTTGTTCCACCCTCACCAGGATCTGATCTTGTCAGTGGGCGAGGACAAGACCATTCGAGTCTGGGACCTGAACAAGCGCACATCAGTCCAGTCCTTCAAGAGGGAAAATGACCGATTCTGGGTCATTGCTGCTCATCCAGAGATCAACCTTTTCGCTGCCGGACACGATAATGGAGTTATGGTCTTCAAGCTTGAGAGAGAGCGCCCAGCTTCAGCTTTCTACCAAAACAACTTATTTTTTATCACCAAAGATAAGCAAGTTCGATCGTACGACTTCCAGAAAAACCTTGAGAGCCCGACGCTGTTGACCTTGAAGAAGCTTGGCAGCCCATGGGTACCACCCCGGTCCCTGTCCTTCAATCCAGCGGAGCGGGCCATCCTGGTAACCACCCCAGCAGATGGCGGCTCTTACGAACTCATAAATTTGCCGCGAGATGGCTCTGGTGATGCTACAGATACCAAGCGAGGGCAAGGAAACTCAGCTGTCTTTGTTGCGCGTAACAGGTTTGCTGTTTTCACAGCCGCCAATCAGCAGATTGATATCAAAGATCTATCGAACTCGACCACCAAAACCATCAAGCCCCCAACTGGGACCACTGATATCTACTTTGGAGGAACCGGCAACCTTCTCCTAATCACTCCTACCGCCGTTCACCTCTATGATATTCAACAGAAGAAAGCTACAGCAGAGTTGGCCGTCAGTGGTGTCAAGTACGTTGTTTGGTCCAATGATGGATTATATGCTGCCCTCCTCAGCAAGCACAATGTCACGATTGTCACCAAGACTCTAGAGCAAGTCAGCACACTCCACGAGACCATCAGAATCAAGAGTGCGACCTGGGACGATGCCGGTGTCCTACTGTACTCGACTCTCAACCACATCAAGTACACTTTACTGAATGGCGATAATGGCATCGTTCGGACCCTTGATCAAACCGTCTATCTTGTTCGAGTCAAGGCCCGGACTGTCTACTGTCTTGATCGCGCTGCAAAGCCCAAGATCTTGAATATTGATCCTACGGAATATCGATTCAAGCTTGCCCTTGTCAAGCGTAATTATCAAGAGATGTTGGAGATCATCAAGAACTCAAGTTTGGTCGGCCAAAGCATCATTTCTTATTTGCAAAAGAAAGGTTACCCAGAGATTGCTTTGCAATTCGTGCAAGATCCGCAAACAAGATTCGAGCTTGCCATCGAATGTGGCAATTTGGACGTAGCTGTCGAAATGGCCAAACAACTGGATAGACCCAAGCTTTGGTCAAGATTGACGACGGAAGCTCTGGCGCATGGTAATCATGAGATTGTTGAGATGTCTTACCAGAAGCTGAGACAGTTTGACAAACTCTCGTTCCTCTATCTCTCTACTGGAGATGAAGCAAAGCTCACGCGAATGGCGAAGATTGCAGAACATCGTGGTGATTTTACAGCTCGTTTCCAGAATGCGTTGTATCTTGGGGATGTCACCGACCGGATAGCAATGTTCAAGGAAATCGATCTGTGTAAGTTTCCGCGAAATTTGAGTAGGATTTCATTTGCTAATTCTCCTAGACCCTCTCGCATATATGACTGCCAAAGCCCACGGCCTCGAAGACGAGTGCGAGTCTATCTTGGAAGCTACCGGTCTCACTGAAGATCAAATCACATTACCCGCCATTGGCTCGCCACTCTCACCCCCAAAACCAATTGTGCCCACGTTCAGAGCCAACTGGCCCACCAAAGCAACATCACAGTCAACTTTCGAGAAAGCCCTTCTTGGACAAGAGACTTTTGAAGATGGTCCTGCAGCTGTGTCGAACGGCTTCGGAGATGATGCAGGTGAGGAGGATGGCGCTACCCGCAATGGTACGCTGGTTGAGGTCGACGACGATGAAGACGCCGGTGGTTGGGACATGGGTGATGACGTTGTCCCTGAAGTAGAGAGTGACTTTGTCAACGTTGAAAGTGCCGAGGCAGGTGGTGCTGGAAGCAGCGAAGCTGAGCTTTGGGCTCGAAACTCACCAATCGCTGCTGATCATGTTGCTGCTGGCTCTTTTGAGACTGCTATGCAATTACTGAATCGACAGCTCGGTGCAGTCAACTTCGCGCCACTAAAGCCACGATTCCTTGAAGTGTACTCGGCAACAAAGACATACCTCCCCGCCTCCAGTGGTCTGCCACCTTTGATCAACTACGTTCGCCGTACCGTAGATGAGACGGATCCCCGACAGGTGCTCCCAATCATTCCTCGAGACCTCGAATCATTAGCGAGTGTTGATTTGCAAGATGGCTACAAAGCCATGCGCAGCAACAAGCTCCAAGACGGTGCCACAATTTTCCAAGGCATCTTGCATGCTCTTCTTGTCAACGCTGTCTCTACCGCTTCGGAAGTTGAAGAGGCTAAAAAGCTTATCACAACCGCGTGCGAATACACAATTGCCATGGGTATTGAGTTGACGCGGCGGAGTCTTGGATCTGATGACCAGGTTGCTAAGTCACCTGAGAAGCTCAAGCGCAGTCTCGAGTTGGCTGCTTACTTCACCATTCCAAAGCTTGAAGTCCCACACCGACAGATTGCCTTGACGAGTGCGATGAAGCAGGCATTCACGAACAAGAACTACAACTCGGCTTTGAGCTTTGCAAACAGGATGTTGGCTAATGGTGGAGCAGCCAAGATGCTGGATCAGGTGAGTTCCAGATATCCCCATATTTTTCGAGCATGACTAACAGCATATAGGCCAAGAAGATCAAAGCAAACTGTGAGCGGAATCCCAACGATGCAGTTGAGATCGAGTTCGACCAGTTCGCCGAGTTCGATATCTGTGCTGCTTCTTACACACCCATCTACGGCGGTTCTGCTTACGAGGTCTGTGCATTCGATGGAAGTAAGTATCAGTCCAAATACAAGGGTACTGTGTGTGCAGTATGTGGTGTCTGCGAGGTTGGAAAGAACGGGAGTGGATTGAAGCTTGTGGCGTAAGGAGATCTGTCTGTCTGTTCTTTTGGAAGCTAGGGGCGAAACCAAAATGATGAAATGGAAGACGTGACCAAATGGAGTTCGGAAAAAGTAGATCGTAGTCATTTACTAGACTACCTCAATACTTGTTTGCATGTAATTGGAAGTTGTCGTTTCTATTCAAGTCCCAGTCAGGTACTCCATGTGAGTGAGTGGTAGAGAAACAGCGAATCGTATCTTATCATATCAGCAGTCCATTTTTGGTCATCTCTGCCTGTCTGAAGTGTTACGCCTGAGCGCCAATCTAGAATACAAGCTTAGTTCATGCCCCTTCATGCCATGCTGTCCTGATCTAACAATGTCCTAGCCTTCCACAAGGCAAGCGGAGAAATAGTAGCATTGCAATGCCAAAAAGATGCCCACCACGGAGGCCAAGCGCCAGTACAGCTCTCTCATACGATAGTCTCCAATTCCCTTGCATAGCCCAGAGTGTTCTCGATAGCCAGCTGGCTCAACTCCTTCTCATTGCCCTGCTCATCGACGCCGCTCTTGAGATTCTGGTTGGGGAAGAAGATTCGACCGTCGCGGATAAGCCAGCCTCGTGCCTGTGCGAACTCGATGACGGCACCTTCGCTGTCGAGGAAGAGGAGGTTCTTGGTGGAGGATATGGGGAGGGATGGGTAGGCTGTTTCGCTGCAGGTGGCAATTTCGGTGCGGATGTGGGTTGTGAGGATCTGTGTAATAATAGATGGTTAGTCTGCGCAATGTGCTTAAGAATTGGTGGATAAATTTCATGAAGCCATCTGAAGACATGCATATGAACCAGCGGGGAGAATACACACCTCGCTGAAAACACCATACTCCTCACTAGGAACCTCTCTGCTCGCCATAGCCTTCCAAACCAAATCAAAGCTTCCTTCCTGCAGCCACCTCTCCAACTTAATTGGATATCCCAAGAACTTATCTTTCTCAACATTATTCCCACCAGGTAACCCGCCTCTCAATTCCAAACCCTCAAGCTCCGTATGGAAACCCGCATAATCACCTTGCGTAAGCAAAAGTAACAGATACAGTCCGGTGATCTTGTTCTTCTCAGCACTGGGCGCCAGTCGCTCAGCAGGTAATTCGTAGAATGGTGTGAGCTGGTGCACGTAGCGTGTGAAAGCTGCTGGGTCTTTTGCGCGAATGGACAGAAGGGCGCCGGTCTCGAAGACGTCTCGCGCAAGACTGAGTGTGCTAGATGGGGTGTTTGGGAGAGGCGTTAGGGATTTGAGCTTGAGGAGGGCGAGTTTCGCGGAGGAGAGGAGGGGAAGCTGTTCGTTGTACGAGCGGCTGCTTTTCAGCTTGCGCTGAATATCTTGGAGTTCGCGTTCGGCCATGGTGGAATGTGAGAGTTTATGTGGTGGATGAAGACGTCGTTGGTGTTGAGGTCCAGGTTGGCCTTGGAGACGCGGCTGAGCCAGCCGCTAAATGTCCCAGACACGTGATGGTACTTTAAATCAACCTGCAAGTTCAGATCTCTCAAGACCCAGCTTCAAACACCGGAACTTAGCAAGAAGAAGAAATAATGCTAAATGATTGTCATTGTCTGTCTTGTGACTTTAAATATTCCAATCCCAGCTAATTAATGGTTCCAAATGAATTATAATTTGACCAGTGGACCTCTCCAGATCCAGAAGATGGGCTGTTATCAGAAACATTCATCGAATGTGCTACCGCCTCTGATGACATTGATAAATGCCATGAAGTCCTTCAGCTCGTATCCTGCTACTACTACTGGTCCTCAGCCAAGGATTGCCAAGACCTGGTAATGGCTGTTGAGGTCTGTCAAGTAGCATACACATGTCACTTATCATGCTGGTAACATTGAAAAGGACGAGATTTCAATTCCAATCGTGGGTTGGGATCAAATGTACAATGTGGGTCAACTCTCTATATCGCATTACTAGTTCTACTTCCCGAAGTCCTCATTCTATTTCCGGACATTGATTTTAAATAGAGGTCTGGGCTTGAATCCGAACCTGGTCCGCGCCGCAAATGGGACAAAGGGTGTCCAGCAGCATGTTCAGATGTCTACGTTTCCTCTTGTGACATTGAGATCTTCCGAAAAGCTCATGGGTGTGGCTTCTTCTCGCAGAGTCTTTACGGTTTCTTACGAGCAGAAGATCGCAGTCCTGAACGACAAGAATGAAAAAAGAGAACTCACCAGACTAAGTCAACTTGTTTGTCTGCTTAACGAACACGTAATACCTGGACAGCTCCATGCAGATGGAACTGGTTATCAATATCCAGCCAACGTAGTCTCCTTGTATAGGACGTGTCAAGGCCAAGTTAAACTCAATAAAGCCTTCATGACTAGATGTCGGAGACTTTCGCCAGGGGACTCCATCACGGGGTCCCCAGCCGATTGTGTTCGAGAATGGCGGGGGGATTGATCTGTGAGCGAAAAAGAGCCATCAGGGATTATGTATAATTTTGCAAGTGCTGCCGCCGCCAAGGAGGCCAATCGTGATGCTTCCAATGCGCGGAGCAAAATGGCTTGAAAATGAATCTCTTTAATTTCGACAGTCAGAGAAACAGAGTTAATGGACCATGTGAACTTGACAGTGTGTGCTGATGGACTCTTTTATAAGCCATATTTGGACGAGACGGATTGATCTCGCACGGTAGCGAAGTCATGAGGGGGCACTAATCTTACACCCAGTCAGACCATATCACTAATTTGCAAACTGATTGCATACTCTGCACCCAAATATCTCGCAAAATCTTCCTCGGAAATGATTTATAGAGCACTTGTCTCCTCAAAAAGGAAGTTTTATTTTTGGACGCTGCTCGCTTAAATGTAAACAAGGCATATGATGATCCCTACCAAGACAAAAGTTCACACTACATAAAAGTATTAATATGTCCTGCACAGCGTGATTCAATGATGCTGCTCCAGACATGCACATTAGCGATCACCGAGTAAGTGAAAACAAGTTGCGCATAGCGGAAATTGTGCTAAAGCTCCAAGAAATCAATGCAAAGAAAGGCGCTCTCTTGAAATTATCAGGATCTGGATGCATAAAAATCACAAGGGAGTAGCTGTTGTCATATTGTTTGGGGGTTTGGATCCGCCAGCAAAGAGTTACTAGGGTGCTACCACGTGATGCCCAGATCCCAGCCATCTTTCCCATGGAATGCCTCTCGTTGATGCTCAACGAACCTCTCGCACATCAGCAAAGACTAAAAGAGATAGCACCCCATAATTCAATCCTGAATTAGGCTTCGACAGTGTCGGCAAGCTGGCGTCTGGTCCAAGGGCTCGTGGCTCACTGGAACAAAGAACTCTTTTGCAGACTTCCATTTCCACCAATGCCCATTCGTCTCCTTACAAACTTAATGCTTCGTTTATAGTGCAACAGCAATGATGATCTCGGTGGGCAGATTCACAGCAAGTCTCTGGAGATATGCTCGATCCCAGGTCCAGGCAAGCTTCTCGACAATGAAGCCCTTGAATATTGAAATCTCTTCTTCTTGACATGCGAGGTTGGCGATTTCGATAATGTGGATGTCACTTATATTATCCATGAGAGAGTGGATAACTTCCATGGCGGCGTTCTCCAGGGCTGGCATGACCATTCGTTGACCTAGGCTCCACAGCTTAATCAGGGGCATCAAATCCGGCGAGCCTCTGCCCTGCACATCAGTGCTGGCATGGTTGTTAGCATCCTCGCCCATGGATTTGAAGCAACGTTGTTTGTCGATCTCATGGTTGTACATCCAATTGACTAGTAGTCCAAAGGTTTCCGGCTCAATATCCTCGAGTCGCATTGTTTGTTTCTGTCCCTCGGCCATCGAGCTTTGAAAGGCGGCTTTGAGGAATGGGGAGTGGGCGTCGATGACGTTCTTGTGAATGAGAAAGTTTTGCTTGATATCTTCTCTGCCGACAACGCAAGTGACCAGAGGTTGAGGGCTTCTACAAAAACATAGTTTCATTAGCATATGGTCTCCCGCGAAAATATCTTGAAGCTTTTTGAGTTCTTTTGATAACAGATGGAAGAGAAAAACTTACACAAACGAAACTGACTGCCAGCGAGTCTTCATAGCATTTGAGGAAGGAGAAATAACTCTGTTTCGAAGAGACATTGTTGACGTTGTCTCGTCGTACTCATGAACGGTAATATGGTTGCTGTTCGAGTTGGTGGTGAGACCGATGTTGGCTTGAATTCCAATTCGAGTTCCAATGAGGAACGAGTTTCATGTATCAGTCGCAATTCTTCTGGCACTAGCGCTAGGCTACTAGTAGATCTCTGTAGCCAGTGAATTATTTCGGTAATATGAAATGAGTTTAGTCTAAAATGACTGAATGAATGTCTTGTTCGTTTAGTGAAAGATAATTAAAACCCATCGAGTGATGATAAGTCGACAGATGTTCACAGATGTTCTCACCATCATCAGTATTGAATTTCTTATGCCCTTCATACAGATATAAGCTGTGTACTTAAAACTTGATGAAAAATCATAAACGGTGAATGTCTCGCCTGTGCACGTGATCGGTATTGTTTACATTCAGTCAGCCTGGAAAGACTGAGTTGAATGATCCTAGTCCTCCTCGCACACAAAGCTTCCTAACTGTGTTTGAACAACTTGTATCACGGGATGTTTCAGAACTTGTGTAGTCCCAACGAGGCGCAGTGTTGCTTCAAATGCCCGTGTGAATATTTCTTTTCCGTCTTAGAGGACGAGGGCGCTTAGGGTGCGGGAGTGGATATCTGCGAGATATATGGGCTGAGTGGGATCTTCGATTGAGGAGCTGGGATCTGCGAGTAAGGCTTTGGAGAAGGGAGAGCGAGGTGCTTGTGTTCCAGGTAGGTCTTTTTTTCAAAGACTCTTGGCTGATGATGAATCTGATCTTGGGCTAGGAAGTTTTCTATGATAGAGGTTAGAATCTTAACTTCAAAATATTAGTATCAAGGAGATTAGGTGATGACTTATGAGAAATAGAACGTCCTAAGTGTTGCTGGAGGCTGAACATCGAGAGAATTCTCATAAGAGGCACCGTCTTTTGATCCGTCATAGGATGGATGATCACTAGCCCAAATTTCGGCTATTGGAGTCTTCACTAGGTTGCGTATCCATTTAGATTTGAATAGAAATACAATCTAGTCACTGGCCAGCAGTCGATGCTGTGGACCTTTGGATGACCAAGTGACATGGGTCAGGGCAAGAGGTGGTGTATTATGCCCAAGTCAAGGACGACCGAGAGGCCCTAAGGGGATGAAGATTTCACTTTGTAACCCCATACTAGAGGCCACGGATTGACCTGATACTACCTGTTGAAGCTACTTGATAAATCAGGCACACAATGAACCGACTAATGGCCACAACTCGGTATCTACTTAGAGAGATATGTCTTCCGACTTCTCCATTAACATAAATAGCAGAACCTCAGCGTATGCACTCCACTCAAGCCAATATATCCACCATCAATAAGGGTTGGTTCCTCCTCAACGTATAAGTAAATTCAGCTAAATCCACGACCCAAACCTCCTCCCGGCTAGTAAATATCCTCCTCAATGCCCGCCTTCTCCCATATATCCTCTCTACTCATTCCATCCAACAACATCGCCTCCAAGTTCTGAAAGGCCTTCTTCCTCAGTATCATCTTCGCGCTCCAATACTTCAGATCCTTCTCAACCTTCTCGACCTCTTCCCTAGTAACAGTCTTGATCGAACCCTCCTTGAAGCCGCGTAGTTTCTCGCTCTTAGCTTGGTTCTCAAGACGGATACGATCGACTTTGGCGGCGAGCTCAGTGGTCGTGGGTGCTGAGCAGAGGGTGTTGAGTTTGGCGGTCTGGGTTTTGAGGTTCGACTTGAGGGTGGGAATGATGTCGCGAAGGGTAGTGATTGAGGTGTCCATGGCAGCGAGCTCTTCCGGGGATGCAGCGTCTGCAGGATCCTTTGGTGATGGATTAGTGGATATTGATAGATTAATGAGGGAGGGACGGACCTGGAGAGCCCAGAAGACCCATTGACCACCTGTTCCGCTCTTGGAGGCTTTGCCTTTGATTTGACCGTTCTGCTCCATCTCTTTAAGGAGTTTGTCTGCAACAGTCTTGTTCACCTGGCTGTATCATCAGTCCATAACCTGCGACGGAGCATCCGATCAATGACGCGTCGTCCTATCCACAACTACGACTTGGAAGGCTGGCTAAGAGCTCAAATCGCAACGTACCTTTCCGTGCAGATTCAAGCTGACTTCCGTAGCGCTATACGGCCTATTCTGCACCTTTAAATAGTCCGCGATAAGCTCCATGGCCTCATCGCCCGTGACAGGTTTGACCTTCTCCTTCGCATCCTTTCCCTCTGCCTTTGCTGCATCAACCTTGCCACCCTTCACTCCTTTGGTCTCACCTGCAGCTTTTCCCTCACCATCTTTGGACTTTTCTTTCTCCTTCTTCCCAGCCTTGGCCTTCTCCTTGACGGCTCCAACTCCAGCCCCAGGCTCACCATCAACTTTGTCCTTCTCCTTCTTAGGTGCCCTTGGCTTAGTAGTTTTTGGTTTCTCCACTTTGGCCTTTTCGGTCTTGGGTTTGAGGACGGAGGGGACATCAGTGGATGTAGTAGATGCAGCGTCGTCATCGGCTTTGGGTTTGCGGGGTGCCATTTTGATGGATGTAATTGTTGGCCTGTGTCGTGCGGTAGGAAGTCAGAGGTTGATTAGATGGCGGGAGAGCTGCAGAAAATGTAATGAGGAAGACAGGGTGGTGCTTGCAGGTGGACAGTAAGTAGCGTTATATTTCGATGATGGAGAGGAACGGAGTTGGATGGTGATGTATTGGATTGGAAGATTGGGGCAGATTCTTTAGATAATGGACGTAAAGATTCAGGAGAAGAGACGTAGAAAGAGAAGAAAATGAAGAATGAAGATTCAACGCGTAGACTGGACGTCGCTTCCTTCCGAAGTGAGAAGGCACAGAAATGCGGAGACCTCACGTGTTTAACCCAAATTCTAAATAAGGTACCTTAAGGAAGTCGCGACCCAAAGCAAATGAAAGGCCAGCAGCCAGACCCCAAGAACAGAACAAACACATTTCGGGTATCATTCTACTTACTCAAAGGTGTATTTATAGGAAATGTACTCCAACTTCTTGAGACAATGAAAAATGCGTTTAGTATAGAAAGGGGACATTTACCCAACGCCAACAAATGCTCGCTGCATCAGGTCATTATGAATTGCATGCAATTCCCATCCAAATCCAAATCCAAGTTTCAATCCCATTTGAAACAAAAAATAGAGATCCACTACTCTAGAATGGAAATATGAGGTTTACATAATAATCTGGACGGTATTAGCACTGGTCTTTCTTCTCCTGAATGGCAGCAGAGGCAGTAACTTACACAATCGCCCTCGCTCTTCGCGGTCGGAATACCCATTTCTTCAAACGTGCTAGGCCCAGTCTTCTTTGGAGGAGCAGATGAACCTTGCGAGGCAGTTGTTGGTGCAGATGATAAAGCCGGAGATGGAGCAGCAGAAGATACAGCTGAAGGAGGTCTGGAGTTGACTTGCTGTAATGACATGGTATGTGGTGGAGGACGTTGAGGTTGACGGCCAGCTTGCGAATCAGGTCTTGCTTGCTGCTGTTGGGGTTGAGGTTGCCTTCCATGAGGACTCATACCCGGCGGACTCATGATAGGAGGGCTCATCATTGATTGTACTCCTCCAGACATCGTTGGCGGACCTGTCTGCATCGAACTCAGTCGAGCAGGTCTTTCGTAGTGATTTGCAGCTGGATCTCGTCGCGGTGGAACTCCCTGCTGTGGAGTTGGTCCTCCATAAGGTGGGTAGCCTGGACTGGTTTGTGGTTGAGCGGGCTGTGGCTTGTTTACGTTTGGAGGTGGCTTTTGTAATTTGCTTGGACCTCCAGGACCTTGATCAAGGTTCATGGGACGTCCCAAATCCACTTGTGGAAGTGTTGGTGCTTGATTGCCATACCTATTCTGTGGTTCCCACCCACCTGACACTACACGACCACCAACTGGACCGCCCCTACCCCCTGGTAGAGTCGGTAGCGGCATATTGCCCATGCTCGTGGATGGTCGCAACGATTCAGTGGGTCGAAGGCCACCCTGACCAAATTCGCCAGTATTCGCGTGAGCCACTGGGCGGATACCAAATGCAGAAGATGGTCTGTCCGCGTGAGGTCCCCCGCTAGAAGATGGTCGCAGTCCTGTATTTGGGACCTGACTGAATCTACTCATGTGCGCCATGTCGTCCTCGGGATATGGCGCTGCGGAAACTGGCCTTGGAGGTGGTGGATTGTTAAGTGTTCGCAGAGGCGCAACTGAACTATACGAGTTTCTTGGGTCGGGCATGTCGATGCGCTCTTCGTGCATTGCAGGCAATGGAGCTGGCTTCTGCTTGAATCGATCTGGCCTCGCCCCTTTCTGAGAACCGTACTGAGATTTTATTCTGGAAATCGCAACCTTCTCGTGATCCTTCTTTGTCAAAGCACCGTTCTTCCTAATACTGTCAATTCGCCCCAGAGCATCCATATTTCCATGTTCCGAAGCCTTTGTATACCACATCTCCGATTCTCGTAGGTCGACTGGAACATACATGCCAATCTCGTAGAAGTATCCCATCGCAAACTCGGCTGTAGGTAACTTGGACTGAGCTGCTCGCTTGGCATAAGTAAAAGCAAGCTCCTCGTTCTTCTCAAAAATGCCTTCGTAGCCGCAAAGGAACCATTTACTGATGGACATCTCCGCTTCAGCTTCGCCTTGGCGAGCTGCCAAAGCATTGTAATGCAGTGAGAGAGCTGGTTCGAATTCGCATCCTAGCTGGCAAAGCTCGTATGCCATTGCCATCTTCAGTTGAGCCTTTGCGAATCCGAGATATGCTGCCTTTTCGACAAACATCTTGGCATCATTCAAATCGAATTCCAGATACCTATCCGGAACAATAATATTTGGCAATTCTCTCGCCATCAACATTCCGTAGACGTAGGCACCCTGAGGAGCGTTCTCATCCGCAGTATCTGCTGCGAACCGAATCAGATCCACCCCGCGTTGGAAATCCTGCTTCATGCCATGTTGGCCAAGCAAAGTCATCATTCCCAGTCTGTAGTTCGACGCAGAATCTCTCATGGCCACACCTTTCTGGTAATGCTCCACCGCCTTAACCGAGTTATTGAAATTCTCGTACTGCATTCCTATCCGATATTCGGCTCTGGCGTATCCCCTCGAGGCAGCTCTCTTGTATCCCAAAAACGCCTCTTTCTTGTCGATTCTGTGTCCAAACTTCCCAAATTCTAGCCACATACTCTTGATGAATTCCGCCCTTGGGTGGTGTTGCTCAGCCAAAAACTTGACAATGTTCAGCGCATCTTCCCGCAGCTGATGCTCAACCTTTGGAGTCAAGGATCTGCTGGCCTGTCCTTCTGGTAGCTGCCGAAGTGCGCTCTGGCACGCAGCCTCGACCCACGATAGCGCATCTTGTGCCCAAGCCAGCTGCATTTCCGGGTCCGTAGACTTCAAGACCAGAGGCCTCGCTCTCTCTAGCACTTCCTCCTTATCTTCATCCGACAGCGGGACATTCTGCCCAGGGTTCCGTAACTTTGGGAAGGGGCTGAATTTGGGCGAGTCTTGCGAAGCATACTGCTGGTAATCTCGATTGATATTCTGGTACGCGGACGCGTTTGTATGCTCGTAGCTCGCCGTAAAGCCCGGTGCGCCACCTCCTCCTGAAGTATGCGAAGTATGAATCGAGGTCTGCATGTCGGCATATGAGGGGGATTGCATCGAGGAGACGGTGGAGGAGGCGCTCATTCTGTTTGGAGGGTTCCGCGCTTCGAGCTCGAGATGCGCCAGTCCTTCCTGCATGTTCGAGGGCACCTCTGGCATGATTCTCGTGGGCGTAGGAGAGATCAGTTCGGGCATGAAGAAATCATCGTTTTGCGTTGGGTAGAAGGTCGCCTGCATGGGCTTTTGGAGATAGTTGTTGTCCCCCATATTTGCGTATTGCGGGTGCTGCCCTTGGCCTTGTTGGTACTTGTATTCGCCGTACTGTGGTTGATGCGCTGTTCCCCAATGTCAGAGACGTATTATCAGATGATCTCAAGCTGCTGCGAAGCTGGTTTGTTTGTGCGCATGGAAGAAGGTCGGCATAGGTAGTGGAGTAAGCCAACTCGCCGAAACTACTCGAAACGGGCTGTGACTGTTTTGAAGAAGAGATCGAAATACTTCTTCATAATAATGCAGAATGCGAGAGCGAGAATGTACTGCATGTAAGGAGGGGGCGTGGCGATTGATACGTACAGTACCGCTGGTCTTGAGGCTGGTCATAATCATAACCCTGCTGCAGTTGGTGGTGGTGCTGCCCCTGATTCCAATCATATCCACCCCGCGCATAATCGCTGCCGCCGCTGTAGGAGTTTCGGCCATGATCCGCGTAGCCGTACGACATCGTGCAGACAGAAAATAAACTTATTTTTTAAGCGCAAAGTTTACATCTGTATGCAAAAGTTTGAAAACAAAACAAAGGTGAAGAAGAAGAAGAAGCACGAGCACAATGGTTTTCGGAGTGGGTTCCAGCAAATGGAAGAAAGGGGTCCAGTTATGTCATGTCATGTCATGGACAATCCGTGCGATGCTGTGCTGTGCCTGTGGTGCTCCTGCCCTGCCCTGCCCTCCCAACCGATGGCCGGGCAACTCACTCAGCAAAGCCCAAGCGAGGCTGTGGTCCAAGTCCCGACTCCTGAGCCTTTCCAAGAGCCCGAATCTGTCGTACAGTCGTATTTAACTACCGAGTCAAGACAACAAGCGAAATAATAGATCCACAACTACACGCGTCTACCCCTTTTCTTCTTCCCAGAGGTTGTGAGTATGAACATCAATGGATTTGGAAGCCACAAGGTCATGCACAGATGACGATTGTGAGGGGCACACGGGGAAGGAAAGGGACGAAGTTCTTAAAATAAACCTCACAGGATATGGATAGGTACGTACCATCGGATACTGCGGACTGTCACAGGCGTGAACGTACACACTACACTACACAGAGACCAGTATGGAGCTGTTACAGGGTTCTCGTTCTGCTACGAGAACTATTATGCTAAGCTTTTGGGCAGCTGCAGGGGCTGCATCCCGTCACCAAGGCTCCAAGGAAGTGCGAGATTTAGCAACTTCCACATGCAATATACCGGATGAAATATGTGACACTTCGGAAGGATGAAAAGGTCTCGTCAGAATGAGGATATAGTTAGACCTACATATTAAAGGAATCCATGGAGTTCAGCATAGCTCTCTCATCAGACTATTCAGTTTCGTTGATCCAGTCGAGGCTGACATTAATGTCAGGAGGTGAGGCTGGGCAAAAAGGTTGGCGCCGAAGCCGTGTGCCTATTTGTCGGCACGCTTCAATAAACGACAGGAATGACTTGAAGCGCGTCTTGAACGCAGCACAGCCTTCTTGACGCGACTCTTGACCAACAGCACTTCGAGATTTTGGCTGTGGCGCTGGTAGGAGTTAGGAGAGACGATCAGAAGTGTCAGTTGTTCTAATTTTAGGACTGCGACGATGGCGCAAGGTGAAGAGAAGGATGGTGAAAAGGTGGTGACTGCACGTGATCGTTTCCATCACCCGTTCACGCCGTATGCCATCCAGGAGACGTTTATGGAGACGGTTTACCAGGTACTGGAAGATGGGAAGGTTGGCATTCTGGAGAGCCCTAGTGAGTGTCACTAACTGTGAGCTTGAGCTTGGCTAACAGAATCTTAGCTGGAACTGTAAGTCACGTGTCTATCCTTCCCTGCTGGAAACCTCTCCTGCTCTCACACAACCAAGTCGGATGAGAGACTTGCTTCCATTCATACACTAGGATAAGAATATGAAAGCATAGCCGTTGATCGACTTTCACAATAGGGCAAATCTCTGAGCTTAATATGCGGTGCTCTCACTTGGCTCCGAGATCACAAGGCCAAAGCATTCGAAGAAGGACTCAACTGGAGCAATGGTAATTAGTCCATCTCTACCGAGATATAATACATCTCTAATAGCTATACAGACTCCGATGAGCCAGAATGGATCATCGAACAAGCCAAAGCACGTAGACGTAGAGAGCTTCTCCGCAATCGAGAGGACATGGAAGTCAGACTGGCCAAGATCCGAGCTAAAGAGAAGGCACAACGCGACAAATATCTGAAAGGAGATCAAAGCTTCAAGAGACGGAAGGTTGAAACTGAGAACGATGACGATGATGAGGAACAGTTTGTCTTAGACGATTACGATAGTGATCGCGAGCAGAGTGGAAGTTCAACGAGTGGACTCTCGGCTAAAACATTGGAGTTAATGAGCAAGATTGGAATGGGTCCGACAGCTATGACAGAAGAAGATGAAGATATCGAAGACGAAACCAAGGTGAGTATCCCATGATTTGTGATAGACAGCCTAACATTCCCAGGTATTCTATTGTTCACGGACACATTCCCAACTCACGCAATTCATCAATGAACTTCGTCGTGTACGCTTTCCACCTTCGATCAAAGACGACACCACCAAACCTACGGACACAGAAGACCTGAAACACCTCACCCTCGGCTCTCGCAAGAATCTATGCATCAACCCAAAGGTTAACAAACTATCATCCTTGACAGCCATCAACGAGCGCTGCTCAGAACTCCAACAGTCAAGCACACCAAAAGAGCACAGATGCGTATTTCTCCCCAACCAAGAGAACCAAACTCTCGTCAACACTTTCAGAGACCATTCTCTTGCTACTATCCGGGATATCGAGGACATGGGCGAACTCGGCAAACAGATTGGAATTTGTCCTTACTATGCCTCCCGAGCTGCCATCAAACCAGCTGAGATCGTCACTTTACCTTACCCGCTTCTTCTCCAAAAGAGTGCTAGAGATGCATTGGGGATCAGCTTGAAAGGTCATATAGTCATCATTGATGAAGCTCACAACTTGATGGATGCTATCTCTGGCATTCACGGAGTGGAGGTCAGCTTGAGGCAACTGAAGAGAGCCCGAGCGCAGTTGGGCGTGTATCTACACAAGTTTCGAAACCGACTAAAAGGCAAGAATCGGGTGTATGTTGCGCAAGTGGTGAGAGTCATCGACTCCTTGGCTGGATATTTGGAAAGCCGACTGGCATTTCCGGTATGTAGATATCAACATAAAAAAATGCATCATCACTGACTTTCTAACAGAAACAAGACGGCATCGTCACGGACAAGGATCTCCTCTCTGGCAACGGTGTCGACCAAATCAATCTTTTCAGACTGATCAAGTACCTGCAAGAAAGCAAACTCGCTCGCAAAGTCGAATCCTACGCCCTCCACACGGAAATACAAACCTCACAATCCAACACCTCATCAGCAAAGTCCTCGGAGCAGAACACATCAACATCAACCCCAGTCCTCCACCATATCTCCTCTCTCCTTTCCGCCCTCACCCACCCGTCCAAAGAAGGCCGCCTCTTCTACGCTCTCTCCCCAATACCCACATCCCCTGACCTCATATCCCTCAAGTTCCAACTCCTCGACCCCGCTCCTCACTTCCAGACCCTCGTCTCCTCCGCGCGAGCCGTGATACTCGCCGGTGGCACAATGTCCCCCATGAGCGACTACACTTCCCATCTCTTCCCATACCTGCCACCATCACGTATCACCACACTTTCCTGCGGCCACGTCATCCCAAAAGAGAACCTCCTAGCTTGGAATCTGAGCCAAGGGCCAACAGGTCAGACCTTCGATTTCACGTTCAAGAACAGAGCGAATTACGAGATGATTGATGATCTTGGACGTGCGCTGCTCAATATCTGCTCCGTCGTCCCAGATGGTGTAGTTGTATTCTTCCCGAGCTATACATCTCTCGCATCCATAATCTCGTGCTGGGAAGTTGTCCCCCCATCTTCAACCAACTCCCTTTCAGATACACCACCACAATCTCTCTTCCAGCGTCTTGCAACCAAGAAATCAATCTTCAAGGAGAGTAAAGACGTCAGCGTCGACAACGTCCTCACATCCTACGCCGCAGCCATCGATGCCGGGAAAGGCGGCTTGCTATTCAGTGTCGTAGGCGGTAAGATGAGCGAAGGGATCAATTTCTCAGATGCGCTCGGCCGATGCGTTGTCATCGTTGGGCTACCATTTCCGAATATCAATTCCGCGGAGTGGAAAGCAAAGATGGAATATATCGAGACTTCGACTGTTGAGCGTCTCCAAGCACAATCACAGTCACAAGCCGCACCCAATCCCGAATCTGAATCCAAGTCCATTCCTCCTGACAATCGAGCAGTAGAGAGTTTGACGAAAGACGAGATGTCCAAAAAGGGCAAAGAAGAAGCCCGCGAATTCTACGAAAACGCATGCATGCGCGCCGTCAACCAGAGTGTGGGCCGTGCAATCAGACACCAGGGTGATTACGCGGCTATCGTGATGGTTGATCACAGGTTTGAGGGGGAGAGGGTCAGAGGAAAGTTGCCAGGGTGGATTAGGGAGGGGTTGGTGGAGGGGAGTGCGAGTAAGGGGTTTGGAGGGTTGATGGGTCCGTTGGGAGGTTTCTTTAGAGGGAAGAGGGAGAAGATTGTGGGGTGAGGAAAGGGGAGAGTTTTTGAGGTGTCTGAATGGTTTGGTTTTGGGCAGATGGCATGGGTGAATGATGTTGCTGGAGCGAATGTCAACCTGGTGCTCAAGTGTCGTCGTTCTTCATCTAGCAAGCCTTAGAGGTCAATCAATATCTTCCTCCATGATATAATTGAGTAGAGTTTGTAGTACTAGAACGAAAATGTGACCTTTGGAAACTGCAGGTACTTGAGTCTTCCTTAGATCTTCCCTTTATTCAACTACTCGTTCGCTTCCCGGTGGGGGGGGGGGGGGGGATTAGCCCGCTGTTTTGTGTTCCCTAAGCGAAGCTGAGTGCCGAACCCCTTTTATGGCTAGCACGTGCGACCGTGTTTCTTGGCACAGGTGGGATGTGACCGCGTTCAACAAGCGCGGTGCTGAGATACTTCGTCAACACCAATTTGCTTCAACTTTTCGTTATTTGCCTCACATTTGTTACTCCCTAACACTGTTGCACATTTTAGGTATACGGCACGGAAATAGCTCAACCATTGGGGTGCTCTCAAGCCTACCTGTAGATCCCAGTCCCTCCCTCCCCCATGTCTGCAATAACAGAATCAGACCAATTGCGAGAGGAGGGGAATGTACTTTATAAAGCCGGCAAGCTTGAACATGGTAACGTGCTACGTATATTCGCAAATAATTGCTAACGACCCATCCAGCAATTGCAAAATACAAACTCGCCGCAAAACGAGCACCGAACTCCTCCGCTCCTCTGCGAAACCTATCTGCAGCGTACTTCGAGACGGGCCATTACCGGAAATGTATAGCAACCGCAGAGCAAGCATTGAAATTGGGCGAGAGTGGCGGAGGATAAGATGCAGATAAATATGCGAGAGCGCTGAGAACGAGGATTGGGAAGGCAAGGGAATGTTTCGAGAGGCCCCCTGTTGAGGAGCAGGTACAGAGAAGGATCAAGCTCATGAAGACGATACCGAGATACAAGGCTTTCATGTAGGCAGTTCCTATTTCCGGTACACATATGCAAGCTCTAACAAAATCTACAACAGGTTCTCGTCACTCGAACACTACGCCGTGGGGCACGATGACATGCTAGAGATATTTGATGAGTCTCTAGATACAATGAATCCCGACGACCCGCAGAGATCATTCCTTTTCGCTGGTATTGGGGATGCGAGACACCTGTATCGCATGTTCTGGGATATATATGCATACGAGGAGAGGGGATCTCCGCGCAAAAATTACCACTGGTCTGTTATCGACATCAACAAATATGCCCTGGCCCGCGATCTCATTATATTTATGTTGCTCAACGATCTATCGATTCAGGACAGTTTCGAGTCAGATGAAGCAATGTTGATACTTACCACCATTTATTACATATTTGCGGGATCTATGATGCCACTGTATACATTTGATAAGATGCAACAGACGATCTCTCGAGCTTTGGCCGCGGTGAGAAGTGGTCAGCCTCCCTTGGATTGGGTTTACTTGCACCAGCAAGACGTCGCTTCCTACATCCAAGTCTTTACTGAATGGCAAGACAAGGCGATGAGATACATCAGAAATGATCAGTTCCTCCTAGGCTTGGTGAAGATCCAGAGAGAAAATGAAGCGACCCAGCACATGTACCTGACCAGAACGCCGAAGACATTCCGCCATGAGCAGGTCTTGTACACGCGTTCTGGACTGCTCTACCCGCCTCGAACAATGCTCAAGACGCGAGAACTAACCCTTTGTGAACTAATCGACAAGTATCCCAAATTGCCCAAGAAGAACGCCTCTTTTTTCAGGGAGTACATAAGCAAGAACTGGAAGATTAACCCGTCTCTGATTGCTCTGGATTGGATTGAATACGGGAAGGAGGAGATTGACCTTAATCACGATCCTTTTCTCTTGCAAGGCCAGATCACGACTGAAACCAGACCTCGTGATCTCCCGGATGACTTGGCTGATATATGGAATCCTCCAGTCGCCCCCGGCGTAACAAGTTTATTCGATCAGATATCACCATTTTTTACATCTGTTGCGAAGGCAATCAAAGCCTTGAATAGCAGAATCCAAGTGGAGGTCATTCTGGGAGATTTCATTGACACAACCGAGCTGATGAGACATGGTTTGTATCGCTCCGACAAGACGCCAGCTTCGGATGGAGACGACAGGTGGCCAAGACCAGAGGGTTTCCCTTGCTTGTTCGATAGGATCCATTCGAGCAATATTCCGTAAGATGCCGAGCATGTGGATGAATCAACCACTAAAACAGACAGGGACTACAACGGAGGACATTTATCTTCCTTTCTGTTCGCCATACCTCTCCTTAAACGAGTCATCACCAGTCGTGCAATGTCGAACTGCCTGCGAAATTCCCCGAGATGGTCCAGTATGGACGACTTCGTCGCACACTATCAGTGCATCCCCGACGAAGACACTCTTAAGAAGCTGACGCAGACCGATATCATATGGGGCGATGTTGGACCATACCCTCTTGCTGAATACGCATATTACTTTCCATCTGACGTGTCCAGTCCTTCCTGGAAGCAGGACTATGGGTCTCTCCTCGACAGGAAGTCTTTCACCAAATGGTTTTACGCATTATTCTTTAATTTGGGACTTCCATACCTTTGCGATATAAGAGACCACCCCCTCGTCATCCACGTGCCACTAAATCTCACTATACTCTTCCGCATGATCTCCCACCTCAGAGTCTTAGGCTATCCCTCTCACTGGCTTTCCGAAACACTGATAAACATCATCCAAGACAACATCGTCACAACATCGCGCCCTCCGCGTACCCTTCCAACCACAGTAAAAGATCTCAAACGCTCGTACCCTGCAAAGAAGCTATCTATCGCAGCATACAGGAACGAAATGTCAACCCTCGCTCAATTGTTCGGTCCACTACTCCCGTTTTCCCTCCCAGCACAGCTTCTCCCTCCGCTATCAAATATCTACACTTTCTACTTCACCCTCCCCGGCTACCTGCCACGCGGCCAACAACCCACCTGCCTGGCCCTCGCATTCTGGGATCCAGTCATGATATCTCCAATCCTCAACCATCACTCATTCAATGCGCCATCCGTATTCGGGGACATCCATACCAATTTCCGCTGTATCCTTGACCCGAGCTGGGGTGATGAGGTAGAGGATAAGTATAAGGCTGAGAGGTATAAGAAGTTTAGGGAGAATGGGATAGTACTATGGACAAGCTTTAGGTTTGATGTTGAGAGGAGGGTAGCGAGTGCGTGGATGGATGAGGATTTGGTAAGAACGATGGTGAAGAAAGGGTGGGAGGTTGGCTTGTTGAGGACGGATGTGTGGTAGATGGCTTTTAACTGGCCTGAGTTAGTAGAAGTAGCTGTGTCGAAGGGACAGCGATGGGTTGATTGGAAAGATGGGGAGGGTTCTGAAAACTGAGCGAAAGTTGAAAGGGTTGCGTGTTAGTGCATGAGGAATATTTGTCAAAGCTGCATGCTGTGAGATGGAAATGGTTCAAACAAAAATATGCCCTCCTTCACAGATTGATGTACAAACGGTAGATGATGAATATATTGTTAATCTGACCCTGGCTTCGTCCTTGGTAAACATTATGACAGTCTCTTTCAATCTCCGCCAGGAGCCTCTCTATTCTTCTAAGTATAGCTTTTAATCAGCTGGCAAAGAATGAATCCTGTAGATTCGAGAATATTTGCAGGCTAGAATAGTATACTTCAGTTCATTTGCTTGATATCGCTGGCTATTTGCGCAACCTGCCTCTGACATTAATCCAAAATTCGCAAATATTTCAGCTTCTCCAATTTCATTGTTTACTTCTCGCTTAAATTAATGCTAAGCTGAGCTAACCGCAAAGCATGGTAATATCCTGTTTGTCTCCGATAGCGCTCTTATTTCTTTCCAGAATACCCGAATATCTCCAGTGGTAGTGTGGTATGTCTGAAACTTATTCTAGGATGTTTTTTTTGGTCAGGAGCCTCTTGCATGAAAATGATTTGCCGCGTTGACGGCCACAAGTCTCAGTGTCGCATCGAGGAGCGAAACAGATTAGCTCCACAGTATCATGGCTCCTGTTCGTATGAACTTTTATGGGCTGATGATTCAATGGTGGGGTTCTCGCTGTTAATACCACTGTATGACGGTGTAGAGAATTTCAAGCTCGTGCCTCTAGTAAAACAAGACCAAGGGAGTCCAGAGTCAATGTTATCTTGTAAATACCTGCATACGAAAAGCTAAATCAATATAGGCCACATGGCGTTTGTCCAATTATGTTCCGCTACCTTGGTGTATTCACCTGAAGAATGAATGAACGAATATCCTCTGAGTCCAAATTCAAACCTACTTGAGAAGTTCGTTCACTATTAATAGCAGGAGAACCCTCAATCTCATTTCTCCAAAAGCCAGTCACTCGATCTTCCCCAGCAGATCTTCGGCAGTCCAATACCAACGTCTTCCAGAACACATACCGCGATTACAATGGCCTGGTCAGATACTTCTAGCAGCTTTCTGTCAAGCAACAGCCTAACCAGCGATGAGACCAGCGACGATGAGAGCCCACGACCTGTTCGCAATCCAAAATTGATAAAACCCTCCAATCCATCCTTCTCGTGAGTGCCTCTGGATCTCGATGCTCGGAAACCAGCTAACAAAAGACTCTTGTAGGAAGCCAACCACAGACATGGTCACCTTCATCGTCGGTCCAGAACCCACCAAGCAAACCTTCGTTGTCCACAAGCACGCCGCGTGCGCCTCTTCCCCATTCTTCAGAGCCGCATTCGAGAGTAAGATGCTTGAAGGCAAGACCCAGACCATGCGCCTTGAAGACGTCGACGGACGGACCTTCGGCATGGTGGTCCACTACCTTTATACTCGCGAGCTTGACACTTCGATGTACATGCTCAGCAACCATCCAGAGGTTGATCAAGCAGATCTGCGCAACTCCATGGATTTTGATCTAGTCCAGCTAGCTAAGGTTTGGAAACTGGGTGAGCGCATTTTGATGCCTGTTCTGCAAAACGTGGTGATGACTGAGTTGTATTCGGTTACTCGATCTTACGACGATGCTTCTGAGGATCAATTGAAGAAATTTGTTGGATTTGTCTCAGAAAATCCAAGCTCAACCGTGGGTAATGGAAAGGATGTCATGCGAGAGTTAGTCATCAGTATCGCTGCTTGGTCTAAATACAAGGGTATCATGAAGGTAGGCCTATTCATTTTGGCGTGGATAATCTCTCCTCCCCTCCTTTACCAATCAAAGAATCTATGCTAACTCCCATATCATCTAGTGGCTTCCAAACGACATTTGTGCTGAGGCTGCAGAGCGATTAAAGGCACGATACTTCAAAACTGGAAGGACGATGGTGGATCATGTACTTGATTTCTTCGTGAAGATTGACCATGATGGCTGAGGGAGGGCAGTCTGTGAGAGCTGCCCTTTGATCATCTTGAAATATGATTTCTTCAGGTTTCGCTCATTATTTTCCCGAAGAAGATACTTTGGTCTATTATGAAGGTTTGGAGACTGGTCACTTCCTTTGGCTAGAGAGAAGTGTTCATGCTGCACCTTCAAGGTCAGGCGCATCTCTATCCAGACGAGCAAAGATGGCAAAGCTCAGCTCAGCTCAGCCACTAGTGCTTCAGAAAGAATTTAAAACTACAGAACGGCGAACTACCAATTACCTAAGACTCTGAAGAATAACTACCAATGTTTATTAAACGCCAGAATGATGGAGCCCAGCCTTGATTCAAGTTTTCATGAACATCACTCATTAGTCGACCTACGATCATTCTGTTTGCACCTGCCCCTTACCGCTTCTTTTTACCCGCGCCTTCCAAATATGCACCTTCCCTCCCAGAACACTAACCCCTTCATCTAACCAAATAGAACAATGTGAATCAATATTCATAGACAAAAAGTGGGTTGGCCTAGTGGTAAGGCGTCTCTCTCACACTCTCCTCTCTAGACAGAAAGAGCCGAGCAGAGAAAATCGAGGGTTCGATCCCCTCACTCACTATCAATATGCGATATTTGGGAACTTTTCTTTTTGCCTTTACTGTTTTGCCCACCTACAGTATGATTTGTTAACGCAAGACTGAAAGTAGCAAAGCAACTATTTCATCCTTTCTCTGTATCCTCGGTGTTAAGATGAGAGATGGACCGCGCACTTGCGTCTGCGATTGTTGGTCACATTTGGAGATACTTTTTTGGGCAGAACCTTTTTGGAGAATGTGATTTGTATTCATTACGCAGCATTTCTAACCCATACCATGGCAAACAAACAATCAGACTTAGGTAGAGCAACACAAACGCCGACACGCCCCATCGCCGCCCCGTCCCAGCCGAGCCTCCCACCACAAATGCTCATTACATCATTCATCATACAAGTTTCCTCGACTTCATTCCCTTAAGCACTAGCCTGAATAACCCTAAAGCCACCAGTCACCAGCTTAGTTATCTCCTCGTTCTTGTGCTGGAGCAAGCTCAGTGCGTAAGCAACGTCATTCCACTGTCGCTCCGTCTCGCATCTGGCAAGCCTGGCAGCAAGTTTGTCTGCGAGTTGCTTGGCATGCTTGTCCTGTTTATTTGTTAGTAAAGTGTGTCAAGAATTACGAGGAGCAAGATTTCTTACCTTCTCAATAAACCCAGCGAGGAACTTAATGATTCTCTTGAGAGCATCCTCTTCCAAGTCCTTCTCGGCACTCAACAAACTGAACATATCAACAAAGTGATTGTACACTGCATTGTCCTTGGTGCTCAACTCGGTGAAGAACATGCGACTTAGATCTGCAATTCTCTTGTCATCGTCCTCCAAGCACTTAGCCATTTCTCCTAATTGTCCCTTGACCTTGACTTGACCTGCCAAGATGAGGAAGGTAAGAGTCATCAAGCATGTCCGCTTCACACTTGCGTCCTTGTCGTTCAGGCGGCGGTAGAGGAAGTCTGTGTTCTCGTCGATGAGGTGATTGAAGCAGACCGCCATATCGCCCAGGGCGATAACGACGTTGGATCTAGTGATAGGATCCTTCGAACGCTCAAGGATGGTGATCAGAAGTGGTAGATTGGCCTCACAGTATTCTGAACTCACACACATGAGCTTGGCGAGGCACAACGTAGCGGCTGCTTGGAGATTACGATCCTTGTAGGTGGTGTTGTTCGAGCAAATTTCCGATACAAGCGGACCGAAATTGGCGAGAAGAGATTGTTCGCCATAGAGAAGCTCTCGCTCACGGATATGTGACATGGCTTCAGTGAAATCATCTTCTGTAGTACCACCAATCATGTCGAGATCATCGGCCGCTTCTTTGGCAGCCTTATCCGCTGGCGCTTCAGAAGTTGGCTTGTTCTTCTCGGCTTCGGCTTTCCTTCGCTTGAAGTCCAATTCGCAAAGTTCTAAATGGACGATTTGCTTGATTGCAACATGGCCGACGATGAAAAGAAGTTGCGAGAGCGCGATAGATCCTTTGAGTTTAGGCTCCGGTTCGGCAGGTTGCTCAGGGGGAGGTGACACCATCTGAGTGTCTTCGCCGGCTTGTTCCTCAGGCTCGGGAGTCTTCGCGGTACGTTTCTGGAAGACGTACTTCGTTTTCCTCCTCAAGATCTCCGAGCAAAGCGTGTCCGGGTGTTTCGATAAAGTATAGATCGCATTAATCGCCTGCTCGGCAACACCATACCACTCCTTGTTGTCCGACTCGATTTCGACGATGGCACTAAGCTTGAGGAGAACGGCATGATCATTGGGGAGCTTTGAAGGCTGCACTGCAGTCTCCTTGGCTTGTCGACCTGTTGGGTTGATCCGTCGAAGGGCTATGCAAGTATACTTCGCCAGCTGGAGATCTGATCGACCAAGACCTCCCAACCCTATTCTCAGCATGGTTTCCATTTCTCCAACAACAATCTCAGGCTTTGCGGTTGCCAGCATGCCAAGAACGATAATAGCTCCCCGTCTTTGGCTCTTGGAGATTTCCCGCTTCTGCACGCCGTAGACTTGCCAAAGTTTTTGAACAACAAGTTCAGAAATATGGTTTGCTTTCATCATGGTGCTGAGAAGTTGTTCCAGGGATGTCAATTCGGCTGGAGTTGCACCGAAGGTCAAACTGATCATGTTTCGGGCAATGTAATTAGCAGCATCGTTGGCCGTGTAGGAGTCTGGCGCTTCGAAAAAGAGACGCTTGTAGCACTCGATAAGGTGATTTTGAACACCCTTTCCTTCATCACTGTTGCCTTTAGTCCAGATGAGTCGCAGCATCCGTCGAATACCAAGCTTGTTCTGCTCGATGTTGTACGCATCACCGATTTCGAAATACTCCATGGCTTCAATGACCTCGCTCTTGTTCTTGGATCCAAGAAGTTGGCAAATGGTAGTGGTGGCACCATGTAATACTTCGATAAACTTCAAAGCCTCAACATAGTATCTCCTCGTCAACGTGAGCTTGTTGATAGCTTCGGATGTTGCAGCGTCCTCCTGAGCTTTCTTCATAGCCGCAATCTTTTGTTCATCACTCATTGGCTTTTGTGGCGAATCAGACTGCATGACAGTAGCATCATCCAAAAGCGCGGGGTCAACAGTAACATCGGCTTTCGTCGTATCAACAAGTCCAGGAGTCTCCGCCGGAGGTTTCAGGGAGTTCAACTCGGCATCCACAGCATCCAATCGAGCATTCCATTCCTTTAGTGAGAGTTGGGAACCGTGCATGATACTGAATGGATGAGTCTTGATAAGAGTCCCAAGCAACTTAATGGCATTTCGACGAACGTTGCTGCTCTTGTCCTCAAGACTTCTTGCTGCTAACTCAGCGGCCTTCTGTCTGCGCTTTGGGAATTTCTGCTCCAGATCGCAAAGTTTGATGTATACTTGGATGGTTCGGCATCTGCAGTACGGGTTGATATCGAGGAATCGCTCTTCCAAAACATCAAAGAAGGCATTCAACTGTGACTTATGATTGTCACCGCGTTCCTCTTGCTTGCTGAGATCAGCTACCAGATTTCCACATACTTCGATAAGAGCACAACGAAGAGCATAAGACTCGCTGTCTAGCTGTTTGGCCAACATCGTCATTTGCTTGATGACCAGTCTGGGGGCTAATTCGGAGAGCTTGACAATGAATGTGGAGACCGATTTTGGGCCTTTGGTATCATTGCTGTTAAACTCCTTGTTGCTCAGCTCGCGAAGGATTTCGTCTGCTAGTTGAGGATAGTCGTATTGTTCCGAAAGAATGTGGAGAAATTCAGCCATGGGCTCTGCAAGATGCTCGAAGTATGTCAAGTTCTGGACAATAGATATCTGGGCAGCTACAAAACGTCAGTCCTGGGGTACTACTATATGAGAATGCTTCTTTTTTACCATAACCATGCCCGTGGTGCTTGACTGCTATACAAAGTACCTTGAATGCGTGCATCCGAATCGCAGTATTCTTGACTCTCTGCTCACTCTCCAGAACCATATATACCGGTCTTGTAAACAGACTGATGAATGTATCCCGTTCCGAGGTCGTTAAGAAGATCTTAGACAGCTTCAACTTCAGGACCTTACACATGGTATCCAAAGCAGTCTGCAGCTGGGCGCTGGAGTCCCAGTTTCCATCTTTATCTTTCCCAGCAGCGGCCTTGGATTTTGCACCTTTTCCTCTCCCTCTAGCAGCTGGCGCTGTACTAGATTTCTCTGCTGCCTTCGTCTCGACCGCTGCAATGGTCCATTGTAACAAGAAGCCAAAGACTTCTAGCAACTGTTTGTGGTGGGAGATCAGTTCTTGTTCGTCGGTCTCGAGATCATTGTGTATGACATCGGCTTCGGTGGAAAGCCCAGAAACGATCAGGTCGAGGATCTTCGAAAGGGCATGCGTGGGGAGGACCGATGAGGATCTAGAGAGTTTGAAAAGTTCAGAGTCGGGTTCTGATATATAGTTTTGGGAAGAGGAAAGAGAAATGGGTGCGCACTTTAAGAGAAACTGTAGGGAATCAAAAGATGAGCTTCTGGTGATGGCATCTGGATTTTCTGCAACTGAGTCCACGATCGGGTTGAGAACTGTGTTGATCAGGGAATTAGTGAGGGCTTCAGGGTCGTTTTCGCAGTCGACGAGATTTGAATCTGCTTCTGGGGTTGCGACGGTCGCAGGATCGCTCATGTAATGTTTGAGAACATCGTTAATGTCGAAATTTATCGTATCCATGTTGGCGATGTATGCGCAGTGTTCTGCTGCAAGTGTGTGGACATCAACAGGATGGTTGTGGTTGTCGCAAGATCTCGACCGGGGGGTTTGTTGACAGTCGCGGTTTTCCGTTGTTTTGTTCGCGTCTCCTTCGGGGAAAGCGTGTTGTCCTGTTGCTAACCCCACCGAACACCACTGATAGGAACCCTGTGCTGCCCGCAACGGCTGTACCTGAAAACAAACAACCAATTGCAGGCTACCCGAATCCCCAATTGCTGGTATTTGAAGCTTAATCGCAGGTCTTGCCTACTCCAGAACATCACCTGTAGAGTTACAAGATGGCTTCGGTGCGATCGAGAAGCGCGAAATCTTTCGAGATCCACCACGACGAGATGGGGGACGAGTCAATGGAGGAAGAGCACAGAATGGAAGACTCAAGGGCGGAAATAGACGAAGATCACGAGAACCAGGAGGATGCGTACTCAGAAATGTCAGAAGAAAGCGACGGAGTTGTTGATCCCACCGTTCAAGAAGACATGGACAAATTCCAAGATACTTTTAAAGGTCTTAAAGAGCGCTTCCGACTGATCAATCGCATTGGAGAGGGTAATATACTTCCTACGAATACCCGCGACATACATTAACGCGCTATAGGAACATTTTCCACTGTATACAAAGCCGAGGATCTGATGTACGAACATTACCAAAACGAGTGGGATGTCGAGGAAAAGGAAAATTCGCAATGGACTTCACCACCGTTAAAAAAACAACGAAGAGATATAGAATCGTTGGCAGAGAGGAATGAATATGCACAGCAAAGACGGCGGCCGAAATTTGTTGCGATAAAGAAGATCTATGTCACCAGCAGTCCATCACGAATTCTCAACGAACTGGAACTTCTCAATGACCTTCGCGGCTTCGATTCAGTCTGTCCTCTCATTACAGCATTTCGATCCACAGACCAAGTCGCAGCAGTCCTACCCTATTTCAGGCACACCGATTTCCGCGAGTACTTCAGGAAGATGACCGTCCACGACATGCAGATATACTTCCGCTCACTATTTCGCTCCCTTGCTGCCGTACACTCCAAAGGCATCATCCACCGGGACATCAAACCCACCAATTTCCTCTACGAGCCCGACAAGCAGCGCGGCGTCCTCGTCGACTTCGGCCTCGCCGAACGAGAAGGCACAGACGCAAAACCCTGCCTCTGTCAAGAATCCGCCTTCGACCGTCGCCGGCGCATCACCAACTCCGTGACCGCAACCCAAGGCCCCTCAAACGGCTACCCCAAGAACGACTCTCGTCCTTCAAGACGTGCAAATCGCGCCGGCACACGTGGTTTCCGCGCCCCAGAAGTCCTCTTCAAGTGTACAGAACAAAGCACCAAAATCGACATCTGGTCCGCCGGCGTGATGCTGCTCACTATCCTCTCTAAGCGCTTCCCATTCTTCAACTCCGCCGACGACGTCGAGGCCATGATTGAAATCGCCACGATATTCGGCCTCAAGCGCATGAAATCTTGTGCCTACTTGCACGGCACCTCGTTTGAGAGTAACATCCCTACCATCGGCAATGTAGGTTTCACGCTTGAGAAGATCATTTTGTGGTCTACGTGCCGTAATGATGGCGGCAAGAACGGATGTGAGCTGCCGCTCAGTCCAGAGGAGCTGTTGGCAGTAAGGTTTTTGGAACGCTGTTTTGAGCTGGATCCGAATAAAAGGATTAGTGCGGACGAGGCGCTGGAACATCCGTTTTTGAAGGAGGAGATTGGGGGACCGGAGACGTATACGGATGAGGAGGATGAGATTGAGATGATTTGAAGTTGGTGACTTGTGTTGTGTTTGTACGATATCATGGCGAGATGAAGTGGAATTGGACGGTTCTTGGAGTTTATGGAAGCATTGTAGCATGGCGGATGGCGTTTTCGTGTACATATATACATATACATAGCTAGCGGGTGTATCTGAGCGAGGGGAGTGTATTTACTTGATAGCTTGTTGATGAGTCTGGTCGAGATACCACTTAAGTAGTGTAGCATACAGGAATCAAGAAATGAACAAAGGATTATTGAAAGCGAGCATGTTCAGTCTGGAAAGAGGATACGCTGATAAGGTAAATAATGTGACCCCTCGAACAGCCAGTTGCCTGAAACGGAGATAAACAAGATATGGAGAAGTCAAAAAGTGGATGGATGGGAGAGTTGGTCGTGGTTCTGGTCCCTTAAGAGTACCATAAATCTGTCTTCAGCGATACCCTTAAGAGCGGATTCATGGTTTGGTTTGAAGTTTGTGCTTTTCATTTGTGATTCGTATGAACTCCTGTAGCATAACAGAAGCCACCATTTTCATGTTTGTGGCATGCATCTAAGACGACCGATATCAATAATCAGCCAATCCGACCAGAATATCACAACCCTTCATCCCAACCATGCACGCCATCCAGCCAGCCATAGCGATTTCCCATCCGCAAAACAAATGCAATGCAATGCCTGCTAGACCTATGCGACCAACTCAACAACACCACCAGCCTCGGTGATCTTCCGCTCGGCCTCCTTGCTGAACCACCGTGCGCGAACGACGAGAGGAACCTCTGGGAGTCTGCCCTTGCCGAGGACCTTGCTGTAGCCGAGGGGGAGGAGGTCGAGGACGGGGATGGTGTCGCTCTTCTTGGAGGTGAGGTACTTGTCGCGCTTCTCGGCGGGGATCAAGGACCAGAGCTAGAGAACTGTTAGCGGAGTTTCTTGTCAAATGCTCCGTGTAGACGATCTGGCGAGGGCGTAGCGGTACTTGCGCTGCCTGCTGATTTTGTTTTTGGGCGCTGACTTGGCGCTTTCATATTGGAACTGGAGTATTGATGGGAGGTCAATCTCGAGCAGAAGCTGAGATGAAGCCATCCCGCCCCTCATATCCTTCTTCAACAACCATCACATCACTTTTTGTCTCCAATCTCCACCCAGACAGTAATAAACATTCCATCCACCAGACGGAAAGAAATCCGCACCCATTACATACCTTATCCAAGTTGATAACTGGCTTCCAGAAGTGGTTGCCCTGCTTGTGGAAGTATCGCATACCAACCTTTCCGAAGTAACCAGGATGGTACTTGTCCATGTTGGTTCGGTGGTGGTGCTGTCCACCAGCAAGACCGCGACCACCTGGATGCTTGCGGTGCTTGCCTACACGACCGTGACCGGCCGAGACGTGTCCGCGGCTGTTGAAGAGAGGATGTTAGCTTGTACTCTTGTACCCAAACATTAAAGCTGAAATCTAAGCCTTGAGATGGAAATCGGATAGCGAATCGGCGGGTTGAATCGCGAGGGGGGAGAGGGCAATTCTGCTGTCGAGATCCGAGCCACAGCCAGAGCGAAACTTCCAACTCGGGTCCTACGCCGGGTCTTCCAAAATGCGATCAATCCTTCCTCGCAGATTCGACCACGGCGATGCGCATCTGCAATTCTCGCCTTCCATGACTGATCGTATTCCTCCTCGACCTCCATCTCCCATCTCAGTCCGCATCGCCATCGTCCTCCCTTCTCCCGTCCCTCCCTCTCCTACGAATTCCGCCACCAGCACAGCGCAAAGAAGAAAGAAACTACAAAATACGTACTGCTTGCGGGTCTTGCTCAAATGAGTAGGCATCTTGACGTCTGTTGGTCGAGGTCGAGATGTTTGTCGTAGAGGTTTGTCGTGAACCTTCCAAAACTTCCTCTCCAACCCAAAGCAAAATTGAAGTTGGCTGTTGCGGGAGAGCTAGTCTAGTTTGGGGAGTAGCGTGCACGCAGGGGTGTGCTGTAAGCGAGATGGGGTTTGGATGCCCTGAAGCCCTAAGATTTGGGGGCGAGTGATGAGACGAACGGCAGATTAGCCTGGAAACAGTAGAGATGATAATGCGAGGGTGATTTATTTCTTGGGATGCATGTTAATATTATTTTTATTTTACAGCCATGTGTACGCATACATCATTCTTGCCTTTGTGTTTTGGTGCGGTATTGCTCTCCTTCTCATTTCACTTCCCGCCAAGACTTCATTATCCGATATGCCTCAGGCCTCATCGACACCTCACCAGGCCATTACAGTCACATGACCCTCCAAGCATTCAAAAATTTTGTTGCACATCGCATTTATTTTGTCCCGACACTGTGACATCGAATCCGTCACGCCGCTCCCAAAATAACCTCTTTGTAATCACCATTTCCCCACCACCACAACACCAAATTGAAAACTAGTACCTTTTCAAAGAAGGTCATTAGTGGAAAGTGACGTTAATGACACTATGGTATTGAAAGTAGCAACAATTATTTCGAAGTATTGGAGATTCATGATGCAAATATGGGATTTCGCGTGGCTTTGTTTATTGCCTTCGGAGACTGAGTATTTATGTACATGAGACTACTCATTTTCAGCGTCCTTCTTACACTGTAAATCTGATATACGTACATCGATGCAAGGTATGCGATGTCTCACAGGCTAGTCTTACAATCTCCAAATAGCGGCGATGGACGGCTAGCTGTAACAAAGTTGAAAGGACAAGTTGAGATAAGCAGACTCTTATTTCGATTGATGGAGTAGTATGTAGTAATTGACTATCTGATTTCTATAGGATTCAATTCTCGTAACCGACTATCCAGAAAGTCCGTTCAAAGACCAATTGATTGCTTTCCCTCTCCTCAGCAAGTCCAAAAGCAGCGGCTTGATAAAGAAACCAGGCCAGGTCTTTCCTTATCCTTCCCTCCCTTCCAACTCAAAGCCGCCTCAAGCACAGGTAAGTAACCATCGATGGTAGGGCAATGTGCCATCAAGATGATTGCAGGTTGGGAGAGGAGGTAAGCAAGAATGAAGGAGGAAGCAAAGCAAAAGCACTCGACTTTTACGCCAAAAAACCCATCCCAAGAACACACGCAGGCCATCCCAGAAATGCAGCAGAAGAAAGGTAGGAGCAAGCGCAAGAGAAAATAGTAGAAAGTGAGGTCTATATTACAGTTCGTAGGTATCTATCATACGCGTGTATGTATGCAGGCTCCACAGCCCTATGCGTTTCTGCTTGTTTGTCGGATTTAATCCTGACGTCGCATTGCCCAATTCCAACCAGACCTAACCAAACCGACAAAAAGCAAATGCATTCCATAACCTTCCTTCTTTCCCAGAGTTATCAACCGAGCAAAGGTAACTAGCTATTATGTGGTCTCATGCTTGCACGCAAAACGGTAGGGAGATAAAATCAAAGATGTGTGGGACGCTTTCCTGCAAAATGTGCATTTCCTGCAAAGGGGGTGTCGATGTATCTCCATATGTAAAGATCAGAAAAAGTGTAACGCCGGGAGGTGATGTTTTGAGTTTTGTTGTTCGTGAAGGTTTTGTCCATGAGATGAGGTTCGAGGATGTTGCTTTCTGTACTTGCCGTGAAAATATCGTGATGATGTACAGTCGGAATATTTTGGAAATCCTTGGTCTTTTGGCGTGAGGGAAACTTTTGGTCTTTTTGTCGTAATGCATAGTCGGATTTCGTGAAGGTGGAATGATGAGGTATTTGTCATGAGAGCGTGATCATCTCTCATCGAGCTCCAAACATGCCCTCAACCCCGCCATTCGTGGAACCCGAGGCTTCGTTACGGCCAGAAGTTCTGGAACCAGCGGGGAAACTCCAACCGCCGCTATTGCGCTTCTCTCCCTTCTTGTCATCCGAGTCCTCCATACCCTCCAGATTGAACATGAAGTCGCCTTGCTCCTCGTCGATTGGCGTTGTGAAGCGATGGCTTCCACCATTGCTCATACTGCTGGAACTGACTTGTCGCTCGGCTACAGCTCGTGCACCGCTGCTTGGAACACGAGTAGGAATATCACTACCACTGGATTCAGGTCTTCCAAGGTGGGTGCGTTGTAGACCTCTGGAGATCATGGAGATGGAGCTTTGGCGGGGTGGTGATGCGAGGTATGGAGAAGAATCACCTGACACGCTTGGTCTTGCAATTGGTCTGGAACTGGGGCTGGCGCCTAGGTGAAGAGAAGAATTGCGGAGTGGAGATCCAACGTGACCGAAAGCTGAGGTACGAACTCGCTCTTCTTCTTCCTTTCGCTGAAAGACGCCACCCCAGCGAGAAGGACTAGCATTTGATGGAGAGCCAAATTTGATGCCCATATCGTTGCTGGGTGTTCCGGTTCCACTATTGATTGGTCTGCCTTCATCTTCAGCAGTTCTTGATCCTCGACGAGCCTTTTCTTGTGGTGTCATCAAGTCCTTCAGAGTCTCCGGCAAAAGATCTTCCTCGAACGTGAAAGCAGGATCCCACTCGTGATCAGCCTTTGGCAAACTGGAGGACATGACCTTCGTCTTCGCGTATCGCTGTGAATGCATGGTTCTCTTTCCAAAGTACTCCTCAACCGGGAAAGCAGGGGGCGAAGATGGCATGCCGTTGAATCGGTCCTTTGTATCGTCACCGAATGCTGAGTTGTGTAAATTCTTCAAGGCTTCGGAAGTTCTGCCGTCTTTTGCAGCTCCGAGAGAACTTGGTGGTGAGTCAAGACCAAATTTGGCTGGGACAGAAGAGGCAATTGGACCATATCTAGCGATCATGGAAATGCCATTGCTGTCGAATGATGCAGGTAATTGGGCATCTAGAACACTCAAACCCTTCATAGCAACCGGTGATAAACCCAATCCAAATCGATTGTGATCCTCCTCTCGTGGGGAGCCATAATTGGAGACATTGTGAGAGGCATAGCTTGTGTCGATCGTAGGAACATTGATATCAATGCTTTGCTGGCGTCCGACCATAGGTGGGTAGGGATTATCGTGATCCTGGTAGCCTTGATATTGCTGCCCATATGGCTGGGGAGCTCCATTGGTACCCATAAAAGAGTTCGTCAGAGTCGAAGTGGTAGGCCGGGTGTGGTATCCATCATTGTTCAATCGTCCTCCGATATTCAGATGTCCACCTCCCATTCCTCCATGCTTGTAGTTTACTCGACGGCCATCAGGCAGGACATGGACATTTGCGCACTTGGGACCGAATTTGCAGTTTCCCTTCAATAATTAGCTCATAGCTTTTGACTTTGCAAGCTCGACATACCTTTGCGAAGTATTTGCAGACGGTATCGTTTGTGCTGGCTAGATCGTGGCTGAAAGGGCAAGCCGATCCAGCTTGACATGCGCCTTGCCGGAAGAACTTGCATGGAACATGGGAGGTATCTGCGAGCTGTCAATACCCGTTGCCGCGCACTAAAATTGCCTCAACAACTCACTTTGTCTGCCTGGAGGACTTCGTGGACCTTCGAATCGTCCCATGCCACCAACTGGGGGTGGCGGACCGCCTGCACCATTAAGCGCATTTGGCGGGGGTATATTGAGAGACCCAGTGCTCATGTGTCTGTACTCGGTCGACATTCTGGGAGAGCCCTGACTTAGCATTAAAATGCCCGAGGGAGTTGGTATTCCGAGATTGAAGTGCTGCGAGGAAGGATAGGTTGAGGCGTGCAGTATCCTGTATTGCGACCCCGCCTCGAAGTGGGGGATCGTTGTCGCGTGGGAAGAGCGAGAGGTTTGGTGGTGAAGGAAGAAGCTCGAGTCTGGTCGGTGCAAAAGATAGTGACTCTTAGGCAGAATGGCCAGCGAAGTAAATGCGCACAGGGCTGACTTGACCGCCCCGTCGTGGAGGAGAATTTGACTCTGGTCGGGCTATGGTGGTGAAGGATTGGAGTTGAGGAAGAATGAGGCAAGGCGAGCTCAGTCTCGTCTCTTTGACGACGCTCAGACAAATTTCACCGCCGGTGTTCCTCGAGTCCCTGCCACCTTTTTGCCTTGTGCTCCTCAAGCCTGTGCGCTTCCCTGCCAGTGCCTTTGCCTTGTCCTTTCCACGGAAACGCTAGTGACGACTTCTGCGCCGTCACAAACTGATACAGTAACCCCGATAGAGTTTAACCTGATCTTCGATGACAGTCCATTCCAGATAGTCGGGATCTTCCAATCTTCAAGTCGCGGGGGAAGAGAAAGGTAGCAATGGATATGCACTTGCAGGAGAGGAATTGGATTGAGATACTAGGTGGCTCTTCGGTGAGAGACTGCTGGTCTATCAGAAAGCGGAACGGAGCGGTTTATGGCGGGTGGGCTGGGCTTGACAGAACGAGATCCTTGATTATGATAGGTCTGTAAAGGCAAAGGTAAAGGAGGGGATCCAAGAGATTGCGGCTTCTCGTCCTATCTCTGCTCCAAGCCCTGCGCTTTTGGCGTGTAACATCAATTCGCAGGGCGATCTGAGCTGTGATAGGTTGGAAAGCTCCCGACGAGACTTCGTTAGAGGAGACCTGGGAGCCTGGCTCCGTGGGGGAACAAGATCGTGACTGGAGGACTCGATTGCACCACTAAGGTACAAGTCTCAATCGTGGGGCAAAGGTAACGTCGTCTTTCTTCAACATGCAGTAAAGTATCTCGCGGCTCAGCGCTATTCTATCTTACTGCAGTATCTTGTTCAAGAGGACAGGTCATCCCTCTTTCATACTACGACTTCACCACACTTTCAACCCCCATCATTTAGCCCCATACCTACCACCGAGTCAGCATGACATCTGATCCGCACCGCACTTGACTTGATCCATCATGATCACGACCGATCATGTACATCAGAAGGCTTATTCGATTACTAAGTTGCCAATTTGTCTATCAATTCCCGAAATCAAGGAAAACCCTGGCCTATCCTAGTTTGGATATGTTCTGTTTCACTCCTCTGTTCTATCGCCTCAAGTACCATTTTCATACATCTACTTAACGACTATGCTCCAGAAATGTTTCAAACACAACTACTGATGCGCCTCTCGCGCAAGAACTCCAAATCCCGAATATACAATCAAGTCAACTAGCCTTCCCAGCACATCCGCTCTGCAAACCTCCGATATCTAATTCATGGTCACCGCCACCGCCCTCCATCGTCCAAAAGCCAGGTCCAGATCGAGTTGTTTGGGTGTTGATATGTCTCGAATATCAAGATTCCCATGTCGCAAAGGCTGTCAGATGATGGCGGGTTCATCGTTAGCTTTTCATGTGAAAGCTACCCCCTGACTCGCTCGTTTAGGTTGTGTACATCCCCTCTCTCCCTTCAAATTATTCACCCCACGCTGCAATCTTCGGCACTTGCATCGCCTAATACAGAGACATAATCTGCATCAGCCTTCGTATTCTCATTCAAATTTTCAAGATTCCTTACACACTTTTTCCTTGGTCTAGATTCGTAATCTGCTGGAAAGACGGATACCTGCATTCACAAAGTCAATGGCCGTCCGTATCCATGGAAATCCAAGACATTGCGGCCCTTTCCGATCGCGACGGGAGGTCAGCCGGCCCCCCTTTTCGCTAACCGACCCTGGCTGTCATGTCATAGCAATCGCAATCAGTATCGCGATTCAGGAAACAAGTGGTATGGAGAGAGATCACATGAGTCAGCTGCCTCGTAATCAAATAGAGGCTTAGCTGCCAACCTGAAGATGGTTGTGTGTCTTGGGAATTGGAGATATCGAGCTCGAGTGAGTACGTACTTGCTTGGCTTCGGATCAGCTTGGATTGAGAAGAGGAGTGGGTAAGATACGTACACTGCTGAACCGAAAGGTTCTGCAGAATACAATTTGAATATTGACTTCTCTCTCATGATACTTCTAGGATGTCTTTCTTAGTCAAATTTGGCCTGCTACGAAATACACAAAAGTCAAATCACATAAAGTCTTCACTACTTGGTAAATTTCCGATTTCCGCTTGTCTATTTCCATTCTCACCGCTCTCTATTCTCCTGTATTCTTACAGAACTTCCAGTGTAGCATCTCCAAACAACTCAAACCCTTCCGCAAATTTTATCTCCTTTCAGATCACATTCTCCTCATCTCTCTGCTTAAAATCCTTCATTTCTCATCTTCCTCCTCCTCAAAATCCGTCGCATTCAACTGATTCGTCGGCAAGAACGTCAACACTTGATGCTCCCTCGTCCACTCCGTAATCAACTCAAAGTTCCTGCACTGCTTCTTCGTCTCAAAGATAGCAGTATACGCTTCGCCTTCTGCGTCCCAGCCAAGAGACATGATTCCTACGTCGCCATGGCATTGGAGGACTTGGCGGAGGTATTCGAAACAATGCACTATCAGAGGGTGAGTTAGGACTTTTGAAAAGCAGTTGAAAGGGAAAGGCGGAAGTGGGTGACAAATTAGGGAGAAACGAACTCGTGTGTGGCTCTCTCATTTCAGGAATCTCATCATGAACATCTTCGCGAGTTTGGTTATAAAATAGTTTGCGGATGCGATTCTACATGTCAACACCCATCAGTACGTGTATTCTCATTTCTGGAACGATGTAGAGAGCGAACTCACAAGACAATGCAACTGATGAAACACCTCGATATTCCCCATGTACCCCGGCACATCCGGATTAATCTTCCTCTCGTAATCGCGCACTCGCTCCGTTGGCTCAGAGAGTTTGGAAGCAGCTTCTTCGGAGATCCAGACTATGCCTGGTCCATCTGGAAAGCATCATAATCAGCAAGCGCTCTTCTTGATTACAGAGCCTACAAGAGAGGTGCTGATATTTGAAAGAGAGTAGGTGGATTGAAGTGGAGAGAACTTGAATCGAGGGACTTACTGGTTAGAAGACCATCCCATGCAGCATCCGTTTTGTTATTTGAAGGTCCGAAGTATTTTGAGCCCTCGGGCTCGCTGAAATAAGTTACGGTTTCGTACTCGATCGGTGCATCGGTTGGTGCTGCACGAAGTTCTCGCGTCAGCAAACTCGTCACAGAATTTTAGGTTTAATGCCTTTATAACTAGCAGGAGACTTACCATCAAAAGGCTCTCGGATGATCACCTTCGCAGGTGAGAAAATGAAAGCTGTGGTGTATAGAAGGACGAGAACGAGGTGCAGTGTCCAGGGGAGGTATTTCCTGAAACGCTGAAGTGTTGATGGTGGATTCGTCCGACATGAGCTGTCTTTTTCAGAAAGGAGGTTCTCATTGGATTCTGCTGTGGAGATGGAGGACGAGTCGGATTCATGCTCATGGTCGTGGTCATGATTGCTCACTGGGATATATGATGAAGTATTGAGCAAGGACGGAAACGACATTTTGAAGAGGAGATAAAATCAAATATGAATTGACAACGAAATAAAAAGCGAAATTGAAAAAAGTGCAAAATGAGGGTTACAATGTAGGAGAGTTCTTGGTTATCAAGAAGGAGTTCAAGTTGAAAACAAGTGCAAAAATAATCCAAGGTTCGAGGGAAGGGATTCAGGGGCTCCTCATAAAGTCGATCCAAACCAGCACGATGAACAAAAATCAAACGTTCCTCATGTTCTCAATTTCACCAAGAACCCTCATCCATCTACTACTCTGCCTTCCACTTATTAGATGCTACCCATCCGTGGAGGCAGTGACTTTTGATCCCAGCCAATCCAATCATCAAGATCTCCTCGCCAAGCTCGGCTGAAAAAGGGGGTGCTGCCCTGGTGTTTGCTGCGGCTGAACAAGCGAGATTCGGAGATAACGCCCAAAATACCATCTCCATTCCCATCCAATAAACACCACAATCTCCATCTGTAAAGCTTCGGAAGAATCCTGAACTTTACCTTGCGGCAAAATCTAGATTATGGGGAGAATGAATCATGGGAATTTCTCTCAGCCCTATCTTAAATCCGATCCAAGACTTTGAAGGTCATTTTGCTCGCAGCGAATGAGGTTGCTGTGCCTGGTTTGTGGATGGGGATCTGGATTGAGGCTTAGTTTAGGGTTTGATTCTGTGGAAAGAGGAGATCAGCCTTATGGGATCGTTGCGGTGACTTCGCAGACTCCTTGTTTATCTGTTGACAAAAAGGAGATGAAACGTTACGGCTAAGTCGAGCTACTTTCCGCTGGGATGATATGATCATGGAAAGTAGTGAGGTTGTTTCCTATGGTCATTGGACACGCAAGTGTCTGGGAGTTTTCGAGGAGGCTATGCTATTGGAACTTTATCCCATGATCAGGGTGTTTGGCAACGATCCCAGATTATGTTTTTTTGCTGAGATTGTGGGACTAGATAAATAGTGTGAATTGTGGACAGCTGGGATGCAGGAGCTGTTAGGGCTGTGCTTGGTTCAATCAATGCCATGGAATGGTAGGCTTGGTCGTATTGTTGCATATGTTTTGTTGTGATGTGTTTTGAGTTTAGAGGATGTGATGATGGACCGGTTAGATTTCAGCAGCGAAATAAGGAGGATCAACTCGAAGCGAGAGGGTGAAGAAAAGGGGAATACCAACCCGAGCAAATTCCTGGTGAGTTACTTTCCGTATATATATATCACCAAGAGTCTGCCCTTCATTTCTTCTGCTCCCCACCACTCTCCCACATTTCTTCCAAACTTCCAAGCTCGTTCAAGCTTACCCCTCAAAAAATATCCACGGCAACCTCAACACTATCTTCTATTTCCTGCGACCAACATGAAGCTCTCCAGCACCCTCCTCTTCCTCACCCTTTCGAGCATCTCCCTCGCTGCCCCAGCCCCGGCACCAGCCCCCGCCCCGGCACCCATGCCCCTTCGACCCAAATGGCCATACCGCTACTACTGGGGCTTCTACCCAGGCAAACGATCCCTCTCAGACTCCGCAGCCAATGCTGAAGCCGAAGTCGAAGTCGTCAAACGCGAGATCCCAACCCTCAACACTGACCTCTTGAAGAAGCTCGATGTGCTTCCAGTCCCGACTCCTACATCCGTCGTTACCATCAACCCGGATTTGTTCAAGAAGCCGATTGCGGTTCCGAATCAGGCTTTGAAGTGGGGATTGAGACCTGTTCCTGCTGGGGAGATTCCTGAGAATTCTTTTTTGGCAAGCAGTGAGGTGAAGGTGGGAGTAGTGCCCAAGTGAGGGTCTACTCAGATGTTCTTGTAGAGCAGGTGGAACTGAGGTGATGATGGAGAGGTTAATTTTGGATAGGAATGAAGGGTATGGAAGATGAAAGTAGAGTTTGGCTTGGCGATGTTATGAAAGGAGGATTAGTTCTCGTAGTATTGAATATGGGGAGATATTTTTACATTTCTTTCAGATTGAAAGCGCCTTGTGTGATGCTGATCGACCACTGCCTTCATGGTAGTCATGACCACCGAGTTTGACGCTCCAAAACATCGGTCAAGATTTCACCACCAAAGCTTTTGATGGGTATGTATAGATGGTGGGTTATTCTCAAAGGATGGAGAGGCGTCGAGGTAAGTATTTTGGCACTTTCTCATCATGTAGGGTGTTGAAGACAGGTTCTTCTGAATCGCAGCATGAACAATAGATACCAGATTATTCTGTTTCGTATTGTTGATTGAGTTTGCTTGAGAGTTTAGTTCTGGATCAATGGAAGTCAGGAGTGATCAGACTCAGGGGGGTGTTGTGAAAGGTTGGCTCCTCAAGCGAGCTCGGGGATAAAATGTGCCCCACTTCCAACGACCTCTCTTCCTCCACAATCTTCATTTCATCTAACCACTTTCAGACAGCAAGTATATCGACAACGTCCTTTGTATCTCCACACCGAAGATATACTGCCTCCGAGCACAAGGGAAACAGAAATAGATGAGCTTCTGCGCCACCACTGGGTACTTCTCAAACCAGAATCCTGAAACGCCAGATGATACATCCACGATTAACTTCATCAGCCTGAACGGGAGCACAACCTCACGATCTGTCGCAAGATTCGGCATTGTTGTCTGTAATGCCATTGAATCAGTTCATGTTGCTTGACTTTATATGCCAGAGTTTCCCTTGCGTTGATACGGCTGCGCGTCCTCTTCCAATTCAAGACGTGGCTATCACTGTGTATTTTGATCACTTGATAGTCGCATTGCAGTATTCTTACATTGCCTTGTGCTTTAATTATCGTTGCTTTGATCAGCAATGTCTGTTATTGTTATTCTGAGATGCGTTACATCATTCTCTCTGTTCGCGGCGTTGGCCGTCGCAACAACGGGGCAGATCCCCCTCACAGCGAAGCCCACCTTCGAAGTAAGACCTGCAAAACTTTACCTTCCTTCTCTCCGTGCACCTTCACAATCCCTATTTGGATTCAAGACACACGTATCAGCACTCCTCCAGCGCCCAGCCCCTTCACCTATGAATGTCAAATGCTAAATCCAATGTTAGGCGTCCACTCCACCCAACACCGCACCATCTACTCTGCCAACCATCTCTTACAGCACAACAATCAAGCTCCCAGACTTGAACCTCAACATCAACGCTGCGCAACTTGAGGATCCAGAGCTGGAGAATATCATCAGCTCTCTCCTACCAGCTGAGATGCTGACGCTGCTGGTAAGCGCGACAGCACGATCGGTCTCCCAATCGCCAGCAGAAGCGCCAACAGTCGGACAGATTATTCCAGCAACAAGCACGGAACTTCCTGTAACTGTCAGTACTAGTGTATCTATTAGAGGAGGGGATTGGAAGGGCGTCGTTGAAGCGACCACGACGGTTTCGATTGCAGAGGGGAAAGCAGACTTGTGAAACTGGATGTTTTCGGGTCCGTAAATGTAGACTTAAGAAAGAATTTGGGTATGGGATGGAACCTCAAGTTTTGCTGTACAGGTTACTTCTTGCTCAGCTGAGCACTATCCGGCCGCGTCTTCGATTCCATTTCAATGAGCCAGTTTCGTGAAGGTGCTAAGACATTGTTCTGGCCTCATAGTCATTGAAAAACAAGCAGCTGGAGATTTGTATCAAGGGCCAGAAAACAGCACTGGGGACATGGCCGGCAATGGAATACTCTTGATTCTATATGCGAAGTCTAGGTCTTGCACTGCATTGAAGGATGGAGCTTGGTTCGAGAAGCTCGGAAATTTGGAGCGGTGCCACACTGATATCGAGTTGATACTTATGCTCATCGAATGACTCATTGTGAAATAATCATATTTGCCCACCATCATTGAAACTGTTTGTTCCAAAAGTCTATCTTAAGTTCGTGACTGCCCTTGGAAAGTTGGACGCAGTGCAGGGAGATATCTCACTAAGTGCATAATGTGGAAAGAAATAGAGGCTGCAGTAGGTAAAGTCCCAGATAATTTGACGAACATCAAACTGACGGCTACTAAATGATTGACCTACTCAATAACTAAAATCCAAAACATATCAATAAGAAATATCGGCAGTAAGACCCAGACTCGGGCGTGATTGTTTGGGGAAAGACAAATGATAATAAAGGAGACGACCAGAAAGCAACAAATCGCAGCAAAGAGATAACCTCAGCAACAATACCCTTCGGCTTATACTTCCCGAGCATTTCAAGCAGGCGGCAGAGCAGCCATACCCGGAGTCCATCCAGCCCCACTCCAAACCCACTCGCTAACAGCCGTGACATGTTCTCCCTTCTGGAAGTAAATTCTGATCTGAATCTCGCCTCCATCTTGCCACGAAATAGCTGCAATCCTCGAGCCAGGAATAGTCGACTCTTCAAAAGCGCCATCATACCAACCATCACCATCAAATCCCTTCTCAAGAATACTGTTGCGTGGAGAAGAATAGTAGAGGCGGAGGCTGATGCTGGATTCGGTGTCGTTGAAGTTGGTGCAGGCTAGGGATGCACGAGGGGTGGTGGAGGATGCGGGGATGGAGAGGGCTCCTGTGTACCAGGTTGATTGGGCATCGTGGCAGAGTTCGGTGATTGAGCGGTCTGGCTTTTGGAAGTAGAGTCTATATCATGTCAGCTTTGTGTAAATCGAGGGATCATTCTATTCGTACCTGATACTCAGTCCTGACGGTCCTTTATATGAAGTGACGGCGATGCTGGTGCCAGGAAGCGCAGATCCCAAGTTGACGAACTTCTGCCAACCACTGGTAGCATCTGTTATTCTTGGTTAGCATTACGTCTCTTGAGGAGCGGAAAGCGTGTATGGAGAAGCAATTGAAGGGAGGAGACTTACTGTCCCATCCATACTCTTGAATAGTGTTGTCGGCGAGTTGGACATAGACACGAATGGTAAGGTCCTTGTTAGCGAGTAAAGCGGTGGCGGCAATCTGAGAGTAGGGAGCTACGGCGAAGTTCAAATTGTTGAGTGGGCCATCATACCACCCGACATTGGAGTCGTAAGCGAATTCACGGAGCGTATTGTCCGATGAGAGGAAGTAGAGACGGATCTATCCTAGTTAGAAATGTGTTTTGAATGTGATCAGGGGCCACGATCGTGCCCTTGTCTGTCTACCCAGAAGCCAGAGGGAACTTACGTTATCAAGACCCTTGAAAGCGGCAGCAATGGGAGAGTTGCGTTTCCCCTTGGAAAGGACATTTACTCCTCCACTCCAACCATCTTCGTAACTGCTCTCACGAATACCACCACTGACATCTGGAACACATTAAGTTAGTCTCTCTGTCTCAAATAGGAGGTGATTCGCAAATCCATCTTTCGGTGAGAGATCATCCAGAAGATGAGCGGAGAAACGTTGGAGAACTAAAACAAAAGCACTTACCTTGAAAGTAGACTCGAAGATGGTCTGTAGAGTTTACAGCAGCAATAGCAGTGCCTGCAAAGATGGTAAGTATATAGTTTGAGGAAATGTAAATGAAATCAAAGCTAGGACAAGGTTGACCTACGGAATGTAATCTGCTCGACTGGGCCTGAAGTCATGATTGGAAGTTACTGAAGTGTTTGAAAATGCCAATGAAGGTCAAGTAAACGTTGATTGTCTTCTGTTTGAATCGAATTGAGGCTGGTTGGAATTATCTGTGAATGATGTTGAAGGTCAAGCTACTCGGAGAGGAAAGCATTCGAATATATAGGCAGCAGCTCTTCGCTGAAACCTTTCAGCTCATGGGCATCCAGATATCACAACCATTAGACCAAGACAGCTTTGATGATAGAAAGCAACACACGAAGCCTCATTCTAGGAATTCGCGAAACAATGTGGCTTCTGGTATGGAAGCTGAACTGAGGAAATCGATCGTCACATCTGACCAGTCAAGCTTCTCACATCAAATGTCGCCATATTCAACAGGCAAGAGACAATTTTATCCATATGAAAATCGACTGCAAACAAGCGTAGCGGTAAGCTGAATTCTCTGGGCTTGCAGTCATGAAGACTATGATAGCATCGAAGAGCTGTCGTTGAGGGCTCCTCCAAACGATTCTCGGCAAGCCATAATGATACCCCATCTGGAGCCTCAATGTCTCATGCTACCTGAGCACCTGCTTACGCTTACACAAGATTCTTGGAGCCTGTCAATCACTCCCAAGTCCAGTCACCAACATGTTTGCCAAGACAATGAAATCGATGAGGACTCCGCCAGGTGGTGGTGTTTTCACTCTTTCAGGGAGTTTGTCCGCAGCTGAAGGCGGGGATGTAAACAGTTGTCTGACATGCAGGACGCTATTTGGACGTTGTGTAATGCTACGGTGGTATCGGACGAGGGATCAGTTTCATGAGCGTTACTCAGCTCTTGGGGAGGCGCCACTTTGTGTGACATTCGGAGGCGACCGAGCCACGAAGTGGATAATTGTGAAGAGCGTGAGGTGTGTAAGAATGCACAGCACGAGAAAAAAGAGTTTCGCCATCGCCATGGCTTTTCATTCGTTGCTATTGAGAGGCAAAGGAGTGTGATAGAAACAATGAAAACAATAACTCGGCTTTCCCGCAAAGTCCTCCACTCGATTCCAATCATTTGATGTCGGCTCAGCGGCCCAGTATATCCATCCACGACTTACTGGGTAGCAGGTGGCAGAGCTGGATGACCGATGTTCCATGCACGAAGTCCTCCCTGCCATTTCCACTCGGTGATTGCAGTCACCTGCGTTCCAGCTTGGAAATAGACGCGAATCTCAGGCGCCCTGGTGCTGTTGGCGTACCAAGATAGACATCCAATCTGCGAGCCAGGAATCGAGGCTTGCTTGAACATTCCGTCATACCAGGAACCATCGTTTGCTTTCTCGAGGATTGTGTTATTGGGCCCTGTGTAATAGATACGAATGCTCGTCCCAGTACTGCCGGGAACGGTCCACACGGTTGCGGAGATGGCAGCACGAGGGCTGGCTGACTTGACGGAGAACTCGCCAGTCTTCCAGGTACTGCCCTCATCGTGGGCTTTTTCAATCAGGTCAAGGTTCGGAGCCTGATAATAGAGACTTAACTTCAGTTAGTAACCCATGATTATAGGAGGCTTTCTGGAAGACAAGGTACCGGATACTGGTTGCAAGTCCCTTGTAGGCAATGACTGAAATGCTGCTTCCTGCAACCGCTGCCCCAAGGCTCTGATCTTTGTACCACGAGCCTACCACTTATTAGCGAAAAGCAGCGTTGGATGTAGAGGTTTTCATACCATCATTGCTATACTCCTGGACAGTGTTGTCGGGAGCCTGAACATAAACTCTGAATCATCGAGCACATCAGCATACGTTCCATAAGCTGCCGCGTCTACCAATGAACCCACTCGGACCGGGACCATCACAGCTTAACTACAGGACTTGGCAACAAGATCTCGGATAATAAACATACCGGATCCTTAGCTGGGTACTGGCCAGATACGTGGCAGCGATCTGCGAGTAAGGAGCGACCTGGTAGCCCTTGCTGCTGAGCTCTCCTGCAAACCACCCCTTGCTGCTCGAGTCTGCATCATAGCAGAGTTCAGACAGCTTGAAATCTTTGCTGATGTAGTAGAGACGAATCTGAGATGGATAAGTAGTGTTCTCTTCTCATGGTGGCAGTTGCAAGGTCCTCACATTCTTCAGCCCTGGAGATGAGGCCACAGCAAGAGGTGATCCAATCTTCGCAGTCGCGATAGCCTTGTCACCTCCCCACCAAGTAAACCCTGAGCCATTATACCCAGTTTCACGGATACCGCCATATATGTCCTATGAATTGTTAGAAAGTCCTAAGTTTTTGTAGGCCATACGTACAATGGAGTACACCCTTAGAACACCGTTACCATCGCCAATAGAGGCGATTGCGGTGTCTTGGTGATGTTGGTTAGCATGGCAGAGATTCATTGTTGCGCCGATAACTCACGATTGGCGATCACTGAAGCATTTGCCATGTTGGAAATACGTTGATATTGTGTTTGAAGAAGGAAAGTAGGAGTAAAAGGATGATATTGAACCGATTGTTCAGTGAAGATGACCGTGAACTTGATGTTCTGCGTTTCTGGTTACCACTTGGTTGAAGGAGTGTGGCTTATATAGACTTTGAGCACATTTCTTGACTCTCCGAAGCCTACGTACCAAGTGACGTGACGAATGTACCTCATGCGTGGCTACGGATGAGGGAGGAGTAGTTTTCGTCGCCTTCGCAGCCTATGAAGCATTGAGACACGAAAATGCGTCCGAATTTTCAATTTCACCCGAGATGCATGTCGTGCCATGCCAGCCATGATGCGAGCTCATTGAAAATGAGGGGCTGACGGGCAATTTTCAGGATGAGAAGCGCAGAAGTAGGAATCAAGACCTTGCCAATCGACCATCTGACATCTGAAGAATGGAAACACCTCATCAGAATGTAACTGAGAAGCAAGTCGTGGAACTAGGTGTAGCATTATTCTGTCAATGAGTTTCATCCTATAACCACGATCAGCCCATGAACGGTTGTCGCGAGTCTTCAACTTCAACTCGAGTCGCAAAATCGTGCTTCACGTGGCACATTTGGGGATGTTTGAATGGTACCAGACTGAACGACAACTGTAACGAGTGTGATTCAACTCGAGCTCGGCCAATGGAAGATCCACATTTCCCCTCTCCGGAAGACGATCAGACAGTCCACTAGAATGCTAAAGCGAGGTTCGGATGTTAACGAGGTAGATGCTCCAAAACATGCCGTTCATGTCTGAAAATAACCAGCATGGCTGTAACACTGTGCAACTACCAGCCGCGATCTCGTCATATCCACAGATCTCTATTGACCCCGCACTAAATGTGATGCAGATCAGTGGCAGAATCAGCACAACTCACAGCTAATGAGTGAGTGACAGAGGACAAGATTAAAGCCTCAACGATTAATAGCAATAGGAAAGGTTTGGATACGGCCCAGTCTGAATCATCATCGATCATACTGGTAGATTTGAAGGAGACGAGTCTCGGTTACAACTTCTAGCAGCAACGGCGCGAAGGGATCTGGCGATGCTTGTACCAGCTGTGTGGCGTGCAAAGATCATAGTAGTACAGAAAGCGCTAGGTAAATTCTGGCAGCTTGGTACCTGCTCAGCCTGCTACCAACAATGCAGTGGGATCACAGAAACGCAAAGCTGCCAATGGCTTCTGTAATACCAAAAGTTGCCATGAGAAATTCTCGACGTGCGTCCAATCCGAGAACAAATAGGCACTCAGAAATCAAAACGAGTGATTGAGACTCTCGAGTGACCTGACATGGCGCGGGAAATCCTTTGCCACTTTTGTCGAAGTGCATATAGAGTTGCATGAAGTTCTGAATGACCGGCTACCGAAACACCGAGGAACGATTGCTTTGCAAAGGCAAACGTTGCAGCAGAGAATCATACTGAGCTCAGCAAGTCTTCAACGTATCAGGAGTTTATCATTCCCCTTTTCAGATAGACAATGACCTGATGGAGGGTAGAGGACTCAGCGCAGCAAAGATCAACAGTAAACAATGCAGAGTAACAACCGAGACTTTGCTGCGCTACAAAATGAAACACCACAACTCTTGACTTGTCGTACAAAGTTGCACAACAAGAGGGGTTCGAATGCTGCCGAGGAGACCGAGAAGGAAAAGGTATCAAGATGGACAAGTCTAAACGAAGAATTTCGTAGGTACAAGTCTGCAGCCACGCCATTTTCTCGTTCTTGGAAAACAGGATGGGAGCCCTACGCACATTGTTCTGCTGGTCGTGGAGAGGAGAAGATCCAGGCAATGACAGTGTCGAAGGAGGCTTATGTCTTTCATCAATTGAGAGCGGCTTGTGGTTCCAAGGATACTCATCCTGAGACGTGTTGGTGGCACCAGATAAACTTGAAGTTTGGATGGGAAAGTAAAAAAAAGGGGGGCTTCAGATTACCTAGATCATTGAGGCAGAGCGCCAAGCCCGCGATTCGGCTCAGACTCGGTCCTAGCCGCACGCAAATTCTGCTATCGACAACAACAAAAGCCTCCTCAAATTTACCACGCCTTAATCCTGACATTTGTCTTGCCACTTCAGAGTAAGACCCCAAGCAAAGCTTTGCAAGCCTTAATCATCCAATGCCTTCGGCTCAAAAGACTCTCCGCATACGGTTTCTGACGGAATGCGGGGAACGGTTGTGGGGTAATGGGTAATCATTGGCCATTACGAGAAAAGATCCACGCCGTCATCCACCACCAAGAGGCTAAGACGTAAAACTTCTTGCCAGAATGCTTCTAGCTTTTCTTGCACCCTCATGATGTACACCGCTGTTAACCGGCTACACTAAGTATATAGTCGATGTTATCTTTGATATTGCCTATACTCATCATCACGACCAGCTGGCTTCAATCAACGACAAGTTGAGAAGTTGAAAAATATGTCGTACCCAACGAAGACTACCGAGACGGAGCCGAAATTCGACACTGAGTTCAAGGGCGAGGAGCAGGAGAACCCTGAGTTCAACCTGGCAGCAGGGCACAACCAACTCGAGCGGGGTTTGAAGAGTCGGCACATCCAGTTTCTGGCATTAGGTATGTCGACTGTACTCAGATATATATGTGTCGAAACTCACAGTTTATAGGTGGTGCTATTGGTACTGGTCTTTTCGTCGGTTCTGGCAGCATTCTGTCAGAAACTGGACCTGCGCCGCTGTTTATGGGATACCTGTCCATGATTATGGTGGTCTGGTGTGTGATGAACGTCCTGGCTGAGATGGTCACCTATTTGCCTATGAAGGGAATATCCATTCCGTACTTTGTCGAACGGTTTGTGGATCCTTCACTGGCATTTGCAGCTGGATGGAATTACTGGTACGCCTATGCTATGCTCGTTGCAGCTGAAGCTAGTGCTGCTTCGATCATCTTGGATTACTGGAATGCTCCTGTCTCCGTTGCGGTGTGGATTACCGTGGTATTGGTGATTATCCTGCTGCTGAACGTTATTGCCGTTTCATTCTTCGGAGAAGCTGAGTTCTGGTTCGCATCGATCAAACTCATCACGATCCTCGGACTTATCATCCTTGGAGTCGTCCTATTCTTCGGAGGAGGACCAAATCACGACCGTCTGGGATTCAGATACTGGCAGAAACCAGGTGCTTTCGTCCCATATATGGCACCAGGTGACACTGGGAAATTCCTAGCCTATTGGCACGCCTTTGTCAAAGCTGGTTTCGCTTTTATCACTTCTCCTGAACTGATCGCCATCGCAGCTGGAGAGACCGTCGACCCTCGTCGGAATATCCCTAAAGCTGCCCGTCGATTCATCTGGCGATTGGCACTCTTCTACGGTTGTGCCTCATTCATTATTGGTGTAATTGTTCCTTCAGACGAAGACAGACTGCTCGGTGCTGGAAATGCAAGCGCGAGTCCCTGGGTCATTGGCATCCAAAGAGCTGGAATTGGAGGCTTGAACCATGCAATTAATGGAGCTGTTTTGACATCAGCATGGTCTGCAGGAAATTCTTTCCTTTACTCTGGATCTCGTGTTTTGTACTCGATGTCTCTCAACAAGCAAGCACCTAAAATATTCAGCATTACCAACAAGCGCGGTGTCCCATACGTGGCAGTCCTGTTCACATGGGCATTCTCCCTCTTGGCCTACCTCAATGTCTCAAATACTGGAGCTACTGTGTTCAACTGGTTCGTGAACATCAGCACAATCTCAGGCTTTATCGCCTGGATCGTCGTCATGATCACTTACCTGCGCTTCCGCAAGGCTTTCGAGTACAACAATATGCTCCACGTCCTACCATACAAGACAGCTCTCCAGCCATACGCCACATACGCAGTGTTATTCGTCATCACACTCCTGACACTCACCAATGGATTCCAGGTATTCTGGCCGAACAAGTTCAATGCCGCTGACTTCCTGGCTGCCTATATTACCTTGCCAATCTTCTTGGTGCTGTATTTTGGACACAAGATCTACTTCCGCACTCCTTTTGCGAGGAAGATTGAGGATATTGATATCATGACCGGGAAGAGAGAAATGGACGAGTTAGCTGAGATGGAAGTTGTTCGAGTGCCAAAGAACTGGCTGCAGAGAGCTTGGTTTTGGCTTGCATAGAAGGCTGGGTACCGATGCTGAGACTGCATGGTACTTGATATAAAAGGATTATGGGTATAGAACAAAATAATGATATACTTGGCTTAAGTTGAGTCTTTCACCAACTGGCAAGGCCACTGAGTGCAAGAGTCTTTGCTTCCTCGTGATCTTATAACGCTATCTTGTGAACCGCTAGTTATTCTCAGATGTGAATGCCATCATATTTACAACTTCTTTACAATGTTAGAAAATAAGCACACTCCTGCAGTGACGCAAGGTTCAAGTTATTGCGGAGTTGAAAAAGCACGAGAAAAAAAGTGCGGAGAGTTCCGAATCATGTTGCTTTGATTTTGTCTACGTTATGCACAACTACGGTTTATGAGGATGTCAAAGGTAACTCAGAAGTCATCAACTGATCGAGCGAGGAATTCCCCAATCAAAGGCCTCCTCGATATCAGAAGCTGTGATGATTGTGGAGGATAAACAGACGACGAGTACTGTAAAAGAGTGAGTGTCCTTCTAAAGCTTCTCTTTTTCTCGGATTTATAACTGACAGCCTTGAGTAGGACCCGGCAGAAAACTTCCTCTATCAATGCTGTGTTTTTCTCGACCGAATCTGGGGATATACAAGCAACATGGTAATTTTTGAAAATCCTGGCACCCGCAGGCTGTGATGGAAGAGTGCCGAGCGAGGTGGGCTGCTGTGTCAAACAAACAAAAAAAAAAGAGGGAAGACAGGTACAATTACTTGTCTAAAAGATGCGAGTGAAGATTGTGATGATAAAGTGGATGAGAAACGTGGCAACCAAGCGGATATCAAATGAGAGCGATCTTAGGACTGAGTTTGAGGAGAGAGGATGCTCGTCCTCAGAGTCTGAGAAATGATAGAACGAGTCTGGACAACTCAGGAATGAGTACAAGATGCATCAAATGGAACATAGAAACAAGCTTCTTTTCTTTCCAAGCAGTGGCGGTAAACTTAGCGGCGCGGCACTTAATCTCAGCCATTCTATACTGCGTAAATAAAAGTGGCCGATTGAGGCAAGGTCTCCGACAGCACGACCTCGCGATTTGCGCAACAACAACTCTACAAGAGAGTAATTGCTATAGCAGAAGTACGTATATACCATTTCTAAAGATATTCTGAAAGTTCCAGAGGATTTGATTGTTCGGGCGTAGAGAAAAACATTCTTTAGTGCATTAGTTTTGGTGTTCTTGGAGTGCCTCAATCGGCCACTTTTATTTACGCGGTATAGCCATTGTCCCGCCACAACCAGGAGATTGAATAGAAATCGTAATCACCATGCGCCTCTCAGTTCGAATGGCCGGTAGGCTAGAGCTGAGAACCAATATATTTTCTGAGCTGAGACCTCCATATTCTGTAACGCCATACCCATCCGTCTTCCCAACTCCAATCAATGCTTCCAATCATGATATTCATACACCTCGTCCAATGCACTGTACACAAGCCAATAGAGACTGGATGTTAATCACATCTCCCATCTTTCCACCCCGTCCTCCATCTCTCCTCCCATTTTGAGCAATCAAACTCCTTCTTCCCAAGCTTCTTATTAACATCATTATGCGCCTCACACATCCACTGCCCAAACTCTTCTCTACTCTCCGTCCGCACTTTATTCTTCGTCATCCAGTCCTGGAAATCCTCGGCACAGACCCAACACGGATACAGTTTCGAGAATAAGCCCAAGAACTGGCTTACTTGGCCTTGCTCTGTGGGTGTGGGCTTCGTAGGGTAGGTGGCGGCGATGGAGTGGAGGAGCGTCCAGGAGGAACGGCCAAGCTCTTCGACGTCTGGGGGACAGTCTTTTCGAGGGAGGGTTTGGGCCTTGGTGAGGTTTTTGGAGAGAGATGTCATGTCTCGGAGGGAGTTACATGCCTTGCACCTTTGAGAAAATTAGCTACAATTGTCCAGGAAGCGCATTGAATGAAGCTCACGGTTTGCCATCTTTCCCTAAGATGATATTCTTGGGAAATTTCTTGACCGTTTCTGGGGCAGTTCCATGGGATTTGGTATGATTTTCCCGAGTGTCGTCTGCCATGTTGTCTGGTAGAAGATGTACAGAATGGAGTGAAACTGGGGGAATATATAATGCAAGTTGAGGTCTGAAGCTCTCGATTTGTCAACGCGGTCACTTCGGCCGCCCCGGCGGACGCGACCTGAAATTCGGATTGAAATATTAACTTTCTCAAGAAGCAACTCTACAGATTCATTCTTTTAGAATGTTTCCTTTTGAAGGTGTTGCAATGGAAGAATATCTATTGCAAGAATATGTGCCGAATCTTACCCAGGGTTTGCTATATGTTAATGTTGATAATTCTAGGTTCGAACCCACTCATTTGCAGCTTACTGTAAATCAGCTCTGCCCCGCCTTCACGAAGTCATTCTTTGACGCGACTCATCCATAAACCGCACAATGCGACTACGATGACAGACACGAATAGCGGAGCCCGGAGCTCTGTACCAATCTTGTTACTAAAGACAAAATCGACACCCAATGATGGCTACGAAGAGCGATTCTCTTCAGCGACAGTGGGTTCCGATCGATTCGACCCCACATTCGTCCCAGTCCTTGAGCATCAATTCCTCGACCAGGGGCTCAATGTTGTGAAAGACTTGCTACAGAGCAAGCAGATCGGCAAAGACGTAGGGAGGAAGTATGGTGGCATGATATTTACCTCCCAGCGTGCGGTAGAGGCTTTTACGAGGCTGGTCGAGGAAGGGAAAGGTGTGAAACTACAGGTCAACGACTCATCCGAACATATCTGACAATTGGGACAGGTGACGCGGAATGGCCCCATCTACAAGATATCCCCATATACACCGTTGGACCTGCCACTTCCCGAGCTCTCCAAGCTATTCCACAAAGTCCGCCTCTCAATATTTATGGCGCCGATATGGGCAATGGGGAAGCTCTGGCGCACTACATGCTTGACCATTATGGGGAATGGTATCAAGACCGGAAGGTCAAGCCACCTCTTTTGTTCTTGGTAGGAGAGCAGAGGCGGGATATCATACCAAAGACCTTGATGGACCCAAAATTGGCAGATGATCGCAGGATCCAAGTCGACGAACTGGTCGTCTACGGAACGGGTGTCATGGAGTCGTTCGAAGAGGACTTTACAAATATACTAGAAGAGACTAAAGATAGCCCCATGAGGTGGATTGTGGTCTTCTCGCCGACGGGATGTGAAGCCATGCTTCGTGCATTAGGTCGTCTTGATCTAGAAACTGGCAAAGCAAGAGTGGTCGACCAACCGAAATCGAGAAGCACGTATGTGGCTACGATTGGGCCGACAACTCGAGATTTCCTGCGGAAATGTTTCGACTATGAACCAGACGTTTGTGCTGAGAAGCCAAGTCCCGAAGGCGTGGAGATGGGTATCAGAACATTTCTAAAGAATCAGTGCTGATGCCATACAAAACCCGTTTAATCGTTTCTCCTGCCAATGCTTTGTAAACATTTCATTCGGATGCGTCTTTTCCTATCGAAGCCTCAATTTTGGTTTATGCTGAAGTCGACACCTCTCGCAGAAGAATGCAAAACTTCTGCATGACCTCCACAGCCTCATACATGATGTGAGCTGGCTGTGATTGGAACACTTTACCCGGAGCCCACTTACACACGAATGTTCTCTGTTCATCATGCCGCATGTCTCGTCTATATTCTTCTTCACGCAGCCAAGTGACGGCCGACCGGGCCGAGCCCTCTGTACATCTTGAAAACAAAGATGTGTCAAGTTCTACAGCTGAGCAGGTGAAGATCTTGAATTTTGGAATCTCATTATTTCATCATCTCTGTTCAAAATGACACTCGTCAAGTTAATAGAGACCAACTCATATGAGCTATCGCCAGACCAACATAGGCACATCTACGAGGCATCCTCAAAGGGCCAAGGCGACAGAGCGGTACAAAAGAATCCGAAAGACGATCTGATCGCAATTCATTACAAGAATATCAGTATACTGAAGAACTCTTGCCCAGCAGTCCGAGAATTTGTTCTTCCAGTTGCGTATGCACCATCAATTGTATCATTAGATCAGCTTCAGAAGGTATGCACATAGGTATATATAACACTTCTCGAGCTCAGCTGACCAGCTGTAGATCTCATTCAAAGACTTGAAGCTGGAAACGCACCACCGAGGTGGTTTTCTCACAGGCAGGACAATTGTCCCTCCGTACTACTGTTCGGAGATTGTGACGATCATTGAAGGAGATGACGGCGATGTAGCTAAGCTTGTTCTGGGCTTCGAAAACAATTTGTATTCTGGCACTCCGTATTCACTTCCTATCAACAGTACAGTTGCTATCAAGGAACCGTATTGCAAATATAATGGCGAGGGAGACTTTGTCGTCCGAGTCGATCATCCCTCAGATATCGCTGTCCTGAGAGGAGATGATCCGACAGTGTCGATGATCATGCAATTTGCATCGGGCACAATGGAAATTACGCCTGCTCGATGGAGGAGTGCAGGCGATACAGCATACTTGGAGAAGAAATATTCTTCGGCTGTCGAATGGTACGTCGGTATTCGAACTATGACATGAGGCAAATAGCTAATGTTTGCAGCTATACGCAGGCGATTGAGAAATCGCCTCAAGATGACCTTTTATTTCTTAAAGACACGTACCGGAAACGTGCCTTTGCCAACCTGACCGCCAAATCATTCGAAGCCGCAAAAGAAGATGCACTAGTCTCTCTTTCCGAAAGTCTCCTGGACGTACGAGCTTACCATTGTGCTGGACTGGCTACCTACTCGCTAGGTCTCTACATGGAAAGCAAAACGTACTTCCAATCAGCCCTCAAACTCAGACCTGATGATCTCAAAAGCCAAAAGGAGCTTCACCGGGTCACCACCCGCATCTACGAGCAATCCACCGGTAACTACGATTTTGCCAGCATGATCCAATCAGTCACCTCCGGCACCATCAACCTCGACTACGCAACTTACAAAGGAAGTATCGAGATTCACGAAGCTGGCACCCATGGTCGCGGGCTGTTCTCAACAGAGTTCATCAAAAAGGGAAGTTTGGTATTGTGTGAGAAAGCATTTCGCTTGCCGGATTTGTATGGGGAAGATAAACCAGAGGGGTTGGTGTTATTCAATTTCAATTCCAGCTCGAAGACACAGCGGAAGGCGCAAGCGGGATTGTTTTTGAGTTTGAGAGAGAGGCTCTTTGGTGGTGCTGGAGGTGGCAATGGAGAGGAGGAGAAGTTTTGGGAATTGGATGCTGGTGGGTATGTGAGGTCTGGAATGGAGGGAAAAGTCGTTGACGGAGTGCCAGTTGTGGATTCGTACGTCGTTGCTTCACATCCCATCGTCCTTCTTTACTTGCTAACCTCCAGTGTCCAGCTTCCTGATCGAAGCCATCCGCCTGAAAAACTGTTTCAGCTGCCCCCGACTCTCCCTCTCGCTCCTTCAAGCGCACCTCTTTCCCCAAACCCAGTTTCAAACCCCTGAATCCCAGAATTTCCAGCCAAACCACCTTTCCACCGGCCTCTGGATCCTCGCCTCCTACATCAACCACTCTTGCCTCCCAAACCTGACCCGCTCCTTTATTGGCGACATGATGCTCATCCGTGCCAACAGCGACATCCCTCCCAACACAGAATTAACGCAACAGTACCTGGCGCCCGAAGCGCATTTCCTAACGCGCAGGAAGGACTTCCCTTTACATTGGGACTTTGAGTGTGACTGCGTGCTATGCTCTGCGGAAGCGAAATCCCCAGACGAGAAGCACGTAGAAAGACGCGAAATGGTGGAGAAGATTAAGAATTTGGCGTTGAAAAGTGGGAGTGGTGGTAATGCTAAGCAGAATGTGTCGAATAGCACTATCAAAGCGGTCGAGCGGCTAACCCGCAAACTTGAGGATCTCCACGAGCCTGAAATTTACGACGAGATTCCTCGGCTACTGCTTGTACATCCGACGATCTGGCTTACGGAAGTGCATCGCGAGAGGGGGGATCATGCGAAGGTTGTGAGGTATGCGATGGAGATATTAAGGAATTTTGGGTTTGTGGGGACGAAGCTTGGAGGAAATAAGGTAGGTGGTGAGAGGGAGGAATTGGGGAGGGCAATTGTCAATGTTGAGAGCTTTGCGGCTTTGAAAGCTGCGAGTGAAGCGTACAAAGCACTTGAGGAGAAGGACCTGGCGGAATGGTGTGAGGAGGAGGCGAAGGGTATGTGGGAGGTCATTACAGGGTGTGGGGTTGGTGTCGAAGATGTTCTGGGGGCCGGGAGGGACTGAAGGAGATATGGTGTTGAGGTCGGAGGCTGGAGCATAACGCAGTCCCAAATCCTCTTAAGACTGCCTGCACTCACCTCTCAATCTTGAAGAATTACATGATATACATCCACCCTTTGAAGCGGCTTCCTGGTAAACTCGCTTACACTCAAAGTAAAAATTAAACACAGCACCGCAACTCAGCCGAACCGAGGCAGCAAGCCTGCAAATATTCATCGTGCTGAGGTTCATATCGCAAAGAAATATGTAATAAAAAGTGGAAAGTAAAAAGTTTGACCCTGCCAGACAAGTCGATGTACCTAAAGAGACACAACGACTTGCCCAGCCCGGGTCGCGGGGCTTCATCAGGACTTGAACCTGGATCTCACAGCATATTCTGCTTAGCTGTACGTGCTACCAGTTACACCATAAAACCAATGGTTGGGATTTGCTTATTCAGTTTCATGAGGTGTATAGTATTTTGTGTTGTGAGTGAATTGGTGGTGTTGACTTCTTGAACGTCCGCGTGTGGAATAAGCGAGCGCGGGCAGTTGGGCCTACATGACTTGGCAAGAAAAAGGACGGGGAGAGGGGATCAGAACAAGAAAGCAAGAACGCCCAGAATCTCCCTTTTGCAGCTTAAAAAGTCAGCTTGATACTTCTTGTCCACATGATGATGTGTTAATGCCAAAAAGTCTAGTATCCTTAGGATAGTGTATTAAGTTAGTAGCAGATGCTTCATTCCAGGTGCAACAGGCGAAAAAAGTAAACACGGACGGGCCTGAACGAGGATCGAACTCGTATCTCACAGCGCTCAAATATGTATGCTGTGCGCAATACCGTTATACCATCAAGCCTTTTGTCTGCTCTCGTTTCTTCACTAAAAAGCATCTGCCTATTTCAGTACACATCCAACGTCCCAGAAGCAGGGAGTCCTGGAGGCAGCAGTCTCTAGCGGGACGGGCCTTGACGGGACATCCCATAGAATGTAGCTTGGATCTCCTACCTCCGCGAAAGAGCGAAACATCCAGGTCTAATAGCCAAGGAATGCCGCTTCAAACCACTCCCGATCTCTACCACAATCGAATGTTCGCATTTCGAGAATCTGAAGATGCCCATCTTGAAATCTAATATCATAATCAGCCACCAAAATGTTCCCTACCGCGTGGCGTGAAGCCACTTGGTCGAGCGAGAGCGGTGATTTGCTGGCGTGAACGCTACTCTCTGAAGCTGAGAGTGGTGGTTCAGCTGCTGAGCTATGTGTCCGGGAATATGTTGCATCCCAAGAATATATCTCACTATCATCATTGTTCTCATGTTGAACTTTCGTATTTGCATTCGTACGCCTAGGACTATTTAAAGTGAGTCAGATGGCGACCTCCGCCAGCTGGATGCCCACTGTACTCAATGGTCCCACCTTGACTGCACCTCCTCATCTGCAAGCGACCAACTCACTATCACCACCCTATGCACCCGATGCCGCTCAAAATGACTTCAATTCCCTGTACGTGGCTTCGGACGCGATTTGCCTTCAAGCTTATGGAGAACTCAAAACAAAGGCGCCAAATCCATTGGTTCAATCACCTGTTCTCTTCGAGCCACAAGGGATGGGGATCGGGCATTTATTCGCGGTTGCAGTGACACGAAACGCCGTTGAACAGGTGGAGAAGATTATCGCCTCCCCTGGGATGCAGAATCTACTTGAGCCCACTTCCACATTCAATCCGCATCTGCTCTCCATTAACGATACGGCGGGTAATTGGTTCTCACTTCCACGGTGGGCATCGGTGAATGCTTCGGTGGAGATGCTGCGGTGCATTTTCACTCCTCAAACCGCTGGCCTGAAAGTGTTCGATGTAAACGCTGTTGACTGGTTTGGTTTCACAACTCTCGAGAGCGCCCTTCAGCTCCAAGCACCGTCTCAAGTCCCCAAAATTGAGTATCTGCTCGATCATCCCGATATTCAGACAAGTATACTCAAACCATCGACATTACAATATGCCATAGAGTTCTGTGAAATCGGGAATGGCGTGGATGAGTCGCTTGTTGAGAAATTCCTGGAAAAGGGAGCAAACATTGATTTGACAGGATGCTCTTACGGAACGTATTTTGAGGCCGCATGTTTCTTTTCAAGTACCGCGTTGATACACAAGCTCATCTCGAAGTCTACTTCCAAGGTTACGACCCTGAATAATGGCGGGGCAAAGTACGGAAGCTTCTTGCAGGCAGCAGCTTGCCTCGGTAGACTGGATGTTGTCCAACACCTGCTTACTCTGGACGAGGTTGATGTAAACCAGACTGGAGGTATTTATGGAAGCGCGCTTGCAGCAGCAGCAAAAGCTGGGTGGCGTGATATACGAGACCCATACACAGCAGATCCGAAAACCAGATGGCGCTGGGGTGCTTTCATCACAGTTCACGGACCCGAAGATGTCTCGCAGGCCTATTTGGAGATCGTGAAGACATTGATCAAACATGGGGCCATTGTCTCTCGAGGAGAGGGCATCTTCTACAATTCGATCGGAGCTGCTGTTTATTCTTCATATCCCCCAATCGTGGAGCTACTTCTCCAGAATGATAACGATTCCGAAATCGAGCAACAACGCAGGCATTCGGAAGCAGTGACAGCGGCAGCTTTCCAGCAAGAATCTGCAAATGCGTCTTCAATCCTGGAACTGCTGATGACTTCAGGACATGGAAACCCCAATCGCTATTCCGAATGGATGAAAGGAATCTACCCTCTTGAGTTGGCCGTGCTATTTCGGAATCTCGCTCATGTCAGATTTCTACTTGACCATGGAGCAGATCCACACTTGGAGGGAATTGGTGGCCCGCTGCGTGTGGCGATTCTCCAAACACAACAACAAGGCCCCGAGATGGCTTCTACGACAGCGAAGCTGATTCTATCACATATGAATCTCAAGTCACCTAGTCTCACGGCTCGGGACAGTCAATACTGCAACATTTTACACATGGCGGTGCTTTATGGACTCATAGATGTAGTCCAAATTCTCCTAGCAAATGACGTTCGTTGCGATGTGAAAGATCTGGGACAGAGAACTGTTCTGCACATCGCAACTCTACAAGGGAACACAGCCATGATCAAATTGCTTCTGGAGAGTGGGCGTCTTGACGATGAATTGATTGAAGCTGAGGACGCTTGGGGAAGAACGGCATCCCAGATTGTGGAGGAAGAAAGCAGGAAGGCGAGGGAAGTTGCAGATAAATCGCGTTCCACATTTAGCACCTATGTTCACAACCACCAAGTCAACCAGATTGCAATGCAATGGTCGGAAATTCGGCGAATCATGAAGCCTCTTGAAGACAAGGCGTTGGCAGATCAGGAAAATCTACATAATCGCGGCGTTCGGTTCCTCGGACCCAAAGCCAATGTCCTTCAGCAGTTCAAAGCTCCCACAGCAAAGCCAGTGACCACGATCTTACCGCGAGGCTCAGGTCTGGGATTTCAGGCAACTATCGTCGACTTCAGTATCGATGACAAGTGGGCGTGTGAAGCGCATCAGATCCGCCATCCTTTGATTGATGAAATCTTGTATTCTTCTAGCCCTCGTGATATCATGGCACGCGGAAATCCACCGGCGGCGCCTATGCTCCAGACCAGCGTGCCGCTCCTATCGAGCTCAGTGCCTGCGCCAGCTGTACAAACCCAAGCTTTACCACAGCTACCTTCAATGGAGTCTCCCGAGTACGTAGATCCAAAGTTCCGGTGGATCCATCTACCAACAAACAATGTGAGTAACTGATACCCTCGGAAACACCCGCTAACATTATTTTTCAAGATGGCATGGGTTGAGGTGAGTAATGCATTCGATTTTTGACGATTCTACTACTTACTTTGGTACAACGCTCAGGATCTGGTCAACAATATGAGACAGAGGCAGCAGGTTCCTGCTCCAGCAATCAGCAGAGAGCTATGGGGAGTGGATTTGCAATCGACTTCTCCGGGCTCAGCACCGCACACTTATTCCATTACCCCTCAATGCAAACTCTTGAACGCAGGCAAGTGACTAGCTACATTTGGCACGAGAGTAACTGACTCTATTAAGACGCTGTGTCAATGACGCAAGAAGCATCAAAACAGACACGTCCATTCTTCATTTGTGTAAGTATTCTTTCAATTGAGGGATCTGCAATAAATAAAGGCTGAACTGCAACGCTAGCTGCCGTACATCCACTGGGAGAGAAGTCAAGGCCATGAAAACATGACCAGGATATTGGAGGGGACACCACTCACTGGTATTAGGCTACCGAACGACACATTGAACAACACGAATCGGATCAAGCTGGGCGAAACAGTTCTTGAGGATGACCCTTCGGACATACTCCTCAACACATATGTCGGGAAGAGCCCACCACTGCATATTCGACGTACACTTGACCAATACTATTACTCCAAGTTGAAGGACACTCAGATTAGGGACCGCGATCAAGTGGTCAACAGAGCACGCGACGAGAATCTCAAACTACAATACTTGGCCAAGGACGAATCGAGGTTCCCAAAATGGGTGAGTGATGTCAAGGAGTGTGAGAGAACACTGTTGCAGAAACGTCCCAGGATGAATCCAGCTGTGGAAGGAGAGGAGAGCAGTATGGAAGAACTTACCCAAGCAATAAAGTACCTTGACAGAGTTGAAAGACGCATCTCCGAAGCGTTATCTGGGGCAAATGATGAGAACATCAGGCAAGCTCTTCATGCTACGCTTGGCGACAGTCCCATCATCATGGTAGATCAGCTGTGGCTATGGGTTCTAGACGACAGTGAGGGGTTTCTCTCCAACTTGCTAAGGAAAGATGTACTGATTTCTGCACGATAGACACTGTCATTACTAGCTTCTCTGCTCGGAGACAAAACGAACATGAACCCGACATTGCGGATTATCTGAAAGTCGATCCCGAGATGAGAATAGACCCGAAAAACAGAACGGATATTCTGAGATCCATATCCAAGCACTTACGGACAGTTGCACGAGACCCGGTGCTGACCCCAAGGGATCTGGTCAATCTGATTGTCTCTCAATGTCTGGGGATCCTGCTAGATCACAAGAACAGACTCGAAGAACTAGACTTTCTGACCACCTTCAGCACGCAAACTTCATCTGTAGTATGTCTTTCCTCAACGGAGGTCCAGTCTACCATGCATACCGCTGACCAGACCTCTAGCTGGACAAAACTGCCAAACTCCTTAACCTCTTCGTCAAAACCTTTGAGCGCTACGGCAACAAATCCGAAATCCCCGGTGACGTCTTCGAGACCATCTTCAGCGTCACGAAGGAGACGCTCCTCTTCCGCGAGGTTCAAGACATACGGGACGAGCTCGGGATGCTCTCTGCCCTCTTCCTGGACCAGCTGGGCGTCCTTGCCGATGCGGAGAAAGTCCTGTACCAGGAGGAAGTGGCGAAAAACAAAGACTTAGATGATCAGGATAAGTTCCAGGTTGAGGGAACGCCGTTGGGGCTCGCGCGTGCGAGGGTGATGAAGCATTGGAGGGATGTGGAGCGGATGGAGGGCCAGGCGAGGCAGGCTTATGAGATGGTTTGTTTACCTTTTACGAAGAGACGGCATATCAGGACTGACTGACTGACTGACTGAAATCAGCTGAAGGACCTGCTCGACTTGAAACAGCAGCAAGCAAATGTTCTCGAGGCTCGACAGTCTCGGAAGCAGGCTGTGATTGCTGCTAGGCAAGGCAAAGTCGTCCTCGTCTTCACGGTCGTGACGATCGTATTTGTAAGCTCTGCTCAATTTCTCCCTTCCCTCCCACAAACCCTCTGCTGACAAGCATATCACACAGCTCCCATTGACCTTCATGACTACTATATTCACTCTCAATGTGTCGACATTCCCGCGCGAGATCGTACCCGCAACCGACATCCTTCCCGCATCGACAACCCTGAATGGCCGCTATGTCTTTCCCTTGATAGGTACGTCGGTTTTCAATCTCCTCAAGATGTGCACACGCACCTCTATGTGTGTACATAAGTGCAAGCCAAGCTGACTTCCCCCGACTACAGTGGGCGTCACAATCGCCATGGCAGTCCCGCTCGTCTTCATTGCATTCAAAGTCGACGTGGTTTCTGCCCACATCTCAAGATTACCCATGTACAGAAAGTTCTTCAAAGTCCAGGATGATGAGGACTGAAAAGGTTTGGGTAGCGGTGTAGCTATCAAGTCGATTTCACCGGTGTGCTGACTTTCTTGTGCTTTTCGTCATCATCTCCTTTGGGTTTGGAGTGGGTGGGAAGTCTAGGGTTGGAGTCCTGAGTATGTAGGAAATGCACAGGGTGTGAAATGATAATTACTGTAATGATACAGATTTGCGTTTGGGAGTGGATCCGTAAATGAACCATTATCGTCACATTACCTTTGTCGACGACGATCCCACCCACCAGCGTCTGAGCAAACTGATATGAAGGCAGAATGGAAAGCAAACTATATATTCTCGAGCTTGTTATGTTAATTGAAATTCTGTTTGTACTGTACCTCGTAGGTTTGAGTGAAATGAGGTTTGGATGCATACCTATCGTAGTCTGGGATTTGTTGTTGTGGTTGACCATGCCTCGACTTTTCTGGAACATTATTTTGCATAGCTTACTACCTAAATGGGTTTACTGCTTTATGTAACACGATGTACGTGACGTGATAACAATAGTAAGACTAGAAATGAAGCTATTCACACTACTCCTTTAAGTGCACTTCCTATCGAGTATACCTCTCTATTTCTTTTTTAATTTCCTTCCCTTTGTAGCTCTATTTAAGTATACTTTAGCATAAATAGGTTTGATAAAAGCTATAAAGCGGCATGCGTATTTAGGTAGTGAGCCATGTAAAATAATGTTCTAGAAAAGTCGAGGCATTGGAAACAGTCGGCTAAGTTCGCTTCGATGCGCGGGAGTTTCAGTAGTTGTAAGAATCCACCTGGCATTTCGCCATCTCATTTGTTTTGACTTCCACATGGCTGATTTTGCAGTGGCCAAACACTTTTCGAGAAACGATTTTCACCCTTGTGCGCTAAGTTACACGCTTTCCTTGATGTTACAGTACTTAGAAGGGTGGAGACTCTAGATTAATAGTGGAGTCTCGTGTAGTTCTAGTGTAAAGTTAACTATACGAAGGTACAGGGCACCTAACTTAGGTAGGCCCTGTACCACCGTAAAGGTTTGAAAAGTGTTTCATAAAACACCTTTTGTTTATCTATTATAATTTTTCTATCTGTGATTACTACGTAACTAATCTTGAGTTAAGCTAAATTAAGTAATACGAATATTAGCGTATAGCCACAGCTAGTTGGGATGTAATTAAACTTATTTTTAAGGGGTACCTACCTTAGTCTCTACATAACTTTTCTCTTTATAGTTGTGCATAGTTTAATAGTTAGGAAAACTGTAGTCTCAAAAGTGTTCTGCATCGTTCACGCGCTGTAAAATCAGCTAACAGCTCGCACAGGCACTTTTGCTTCCACTTACACCATTACATCTCCCGAGGGCTGGCTAGCCAGGCGCCTTTGTCTCAAGAGGACCCAGCAGTAACTCCATCTCCAGGACGTGATACAACCCCAATTTACCGCTCGTGTTTAGAATTCCAGCTAAATTCCAGATGGAAAGTGTCGGGGTCTCGGATACTGTAAGCTCATTGATCGCCACCCATCTCCCATTATCCACTCTACAGTACCTACAGTAGTATCAACCCAAACAAACGAGCCTGTGCCTGACTGCCTGCCAATCCTATCCCATGCAGAGAGATTGAGCTCGAAAGGTAATTTAGCTGAGTGGCCATTGATCATCATATAATTGGGATAAATGAGAGCTTTCTCAACTTTCTTTCTCCGCTGCTCTCCTTTCTCCCCACCTTCATCCCTCTTCTTTTTTCTGCTCTTCCCCTCCTTGCGGGATTTTCAATTCATTCAATTGAATCACAGGCTCGTCTTCACGATGTTTGTCAAGCTGTCGGCTGTTTTGAGCTTCGCTGCTCTCTGCTGCGCTGCTCCTTCTCCAATCAAGCATGTTCTTCACGAGGAGAGAGCTGTGGAGAGGAGAGATTGGATCAAAGGTTCTCGTCTCGAGAAGAGTGCCGTTGTGCCAATGAAGATTGGCCTCACTCAGACCAACTTGGACTTGGGCTACGACTACCTCATGGACGTGTAAGTGATGTTCCGCTCTCTCGGCACTCCTGGCTTCAATTGGACCTCCATATTGACCCCGCACAGCTCGAGCTCCGACTCCGAGAACTATGGCAAGCATTGGACCCCAGAACAGGTTCACAATGCTTTCGCTCCCAAGGAGGAGACAGTCACGAGTATTACTCAATGGCTTACGGATTCCGGCATCGATGGCTCCAGAATCATCTCCTACGAGAACAAGGGGTGGATCTCAGTTGATGTGACTGTGGAGGAGATTGAGGCGCTGCTGCTTGCCGAGTTCCACGAGCACGAGCACAGCCAGACTTCAAAGATACGGGTGGGCACAGACAAGTATGCATGCCTCGATAATCTTATGAATCATGCTGACAGCATTAGGTACCATGTCCCAGAGCATTTGGCTACTCACATCGACTACATCACTCCTGGAATCAAGCTCTCGCCTGTCACCAAGCGAACTATTACCAGAAAGACCAAGCGAGTCAGCCACTCCATTCCTGCACTAGCTGATGTGAGCCTACCAGAAAACGAGGAGAGCGTAGATATCTCTGCTTCAGCTGCTGCTCTACCACATGCTCTGCAAAAGTGCCGCACGGATATGACTCCAGACTGTATCAGAGCCCTCTACAGCATTCCCACCAATCCTGTTAATGTCGGGGATAACTCTTTGGGTCTCTACATGCAAGGAAGTTACTTTTCAAAGTCGGATGTCAATCGCTTCTATGCGAAGTACGCAAAATATGTTCCACAGAACACCTTCCCCATCAACGCTACGATCGATGGAGCATCATACTCGGTACCTGCTGCCAGCGAGTTGAATAGGGGAGAAGCCAATATTGATATTGAGATGGCGTAAGTGTTTGATCCTGTCAAATGACTCCCAGAGTATGACAACTAACCATTTGTAGAACCTCTCTGATCTATCCCCAAACCGTCACTCTTTACCAGACAGACGACGATGTGTACGAGCCACAAGAAGTGGCAACAACCAACCTTTTCAACACATTCTTGGATGCTCTCGATGGTTCATACTGCAGCTACAGCTCTGATGGGTTGACTGGCGACTCTCCAACGATTGATCCAGTCTACCCACACAACGTTCCAGGTGGCTACAAGGGACAGAGACAGTGTGGTGTTTACAAGCCGGTTAGTAATGAGGAGCCATGAGATATTCGTTATACTGACAAATACAGGCCAAGGTCATCTCAGCATCCTACAGTGAAGCTGAAGCCGATCTACCAGCTCCATATGTCCGCCGTCAGTGCAACGAGTTCATGAAGCTCGGCCTTCAAGGTGTCTCCATTATCTTGGCATCTGGAGACTTTGGTGTTGCCTCGGTCCCAGGAGATGGATCTGCATCAGGATGTCTCGGCCCTAAGCAACAGGTCTTCAACCCACAATATCCTTCTGGATGCCCATACGTGACTTCGGTTGGAGCAACTCAGCTCGCACCCCATGGCTCTGTTCACGATCCCGAAGTTGTCATGCAAGACGATCTAGGAGGAAATGTTCCCGACTTCTCCTCGGCTGGAGGTTTCTCCAACTATTTCCCCCGCCCCACCTACCAAGATGGACATGTTCAAACATACTTCCACCGTGCTCATCTCACCTACCCATACTACTCCGAACTGAACGTCAACGTCAACAAAACAGCTGGAATCTACAACCGAATCGGCCGCGCATTCCCCGACGTATCTGCCAACGGAGCTCGCTTCCCATCCTACCTCAACGGCAAACTCAGGTATTACTACGGAGCTTCGCTATCCGCTCCTCTGTTCGCAGCTGTCTTGACTCTTCTGAATCAAGAACGTGCTACTGCTGGAAAGGGATCTATCGGATTCATCAACCCAGTTTTGTACCGTCATGCTGATGTCCTGAATGATGTTGTTGATGGGACGAATCTTGGGTGTGGTACGCAGGGGTTCCATGCTGTTAAGGGATGGGATCCTGCTACGGGACTTGGGACCCCGAATTATCCTAAGATGAGGGCGCTGTTTTTGTCGTTGCCATAGATGGATTTTGAGTGGTGGGAGAGGAGATGAGGTGAATTTAGATGGATTTTGGCGGATGAGATGTGAAGTATAATGAGAAATACCTCAGTAAAACTAACAAAAAATTATTTTAGACCTTCCAAGAGCTATATGAAGCGAAATTTCTTTGTAAAGCGGATACGGGATATCCGTGCTACTCATCTAACCTGGCGTGTGGAGAGATAACGCACAGCAACTCAGTACACAGCCCTAGCTTAGGCAATTCCCTTGACCTTCATGTAATTAAAATTATATCAACAGTAGTTTTGAATTGTTCCTGCGTTGGAGCGAGAAGGGCCTGTGAATGAGATTTGTATGGATTCAGTCAACAAAAAGCATGTGTATGATGGTATTAACGGTATATTATGTCCAATGTACAGCATTGGCGGTTTTTTTTTCTTCCAACTAACGACATATAAAGTCCATTCACGGCAACTTGACGGACCTGCGATTTTGAGTCTGTGAGGGAGGGAGGGAGGGAGGGAGGGGGAGGTGAGGTGAGATACATGGACCAGGCAAGGTGGAAGCGGTGTTCTGATGTTTTGATGTTACTCGAATTTAAGCGAGTGATTCAAGTCTGCATGAATTAATTCCATTTAGAAGCTAATGTTCTGTTTTCCGGGAGCCACTCACCTTCAGATTGCGGCTGATACTTGTGTACATCACCTTGATATCGCATCGTTATTCTGTGATGTCCTATTTCGAGGGGTTGGTTTGTTCCTGGTGAGAATTATTTAGTACTCCTGTGCTAATTCTAGATTCTGAGAGTCATCTCATCCTCTCTTCCTCGCAATGCCCTCAAAGTTTAGTATAAAAACACTTCCTTCCTTCTTTCCAAACCTCATATCTCTCTCACCAAGCACAAAGCCACACTCCCCAAGATCAAATCAACAACCATTACCAAACTCCCCACCAGCCCAACCACCCAACCACAGCTCCAAACACTCCAAACAAAGCCAAAATCTCCAGAAAACAACAATGTGCGACTACGCCCTCATCCGCTGCGGCAAGTGCGGTAAAGAGCTATCACAAACCCCAGAATGCGTCAAGAGATGCGAGGATTTCCCTCATTGTAAGGGGAGCTATCGCGTGAAGGATAAGTTCCCTACCTGGTGTAGTGTGTGTATTAGTAAGGCGCCGCCGACGAGATGAGGGGTTAGAAGGGGAGAGCTGGGGAGTGGGGAGAGAGGCAGTGGTTGAAGGGGTTATGAATTTGGGGGATGGGAGGGGGAGAGAGCGGAAGAGACGGGGAGAGAGGGGAAGAGGGGAAAGTATGGGATGGATGGGGAGGATGAGATAGGGTATCATATATAGGTTACTGTACTAGGCGTGATGTTTATATGTTGGGGGAGGAGCTCAGATATATATAAATTGCATGGTTTCCAAAAGATACCAACGAGAATGCTTATGGAAGTGTGAAAGCTGTGAAATATTGTCGTTTGTTGATTACACAGCCAAGATATTCCAGAAGCGTGATACATGCTGAAATATCATACAAAATATCGAGTGTCACAATTCAACAACGACATATGATCAGTTTGTTATACTCAATCGCGATGAACAGAGTATTCAGATCTTGCATGAATATGGGTGGACTTTTAAGGAGTGTGAATCGAAGCTTTCAATCACACTCCAGGCAACGACGTATGGACGCGAACCAGCCACGCGGCTGTGATCTTCAGTGAATAGCCAGCCATTTCAATCATAGATTTTGCTCATTCTTTGTGACACGCGTACTGTCACTCCCAGGCTGAAGTTGAGATATATTTAAAGACATAGTTTCTTGTCTAAACAACAACTCAGCAGTGCAAAGTTCTCGACTACAAAAATAACCCATTCAATTTCACATACACAAAAACCTACAACCACATCCAACCCTCCTCATAAAACACTCCACTTACCAATCACTCTTCACAATCCACACCAGCCCCCAAAAATGAGCGCCACACAAATCGGCCTCTGCCAAAATCGATCCTGCAACTCCATCACCGGCACGCGTCCCGCCCACGTCTCACCAGCCGCCGACGCATTCGAAACTATTAATAAATCTATCCGTGGTACTGTGCTATGTTCTGGGTGTCAGAGAAAGGCGGATGAGGAGAGGGAGAGGGTTAGGAGGGCTATGGAGGAGGCGAAGAGACGTGCTGTTGCTGGTGAGAATGGGAGTGGTGCGAGGGATGAGCTGAGTGATAGATTGGTGCCGAGGATTAGGTCGGTGTGATTTTGGAGCTTGGGGTGGACGAGTGGGCCATGATGGAAGGAGGAGATGATGAGGGAAGTTGGGTGTTTTGGTGGGTGATGAATGAGTAATGGGTGAGCAGTCGTTTTTGGGGTCTCGGGATGTAGGGTTGGCAGCTGGTGACTGCGAGCTTTTGATGCGTTCATAAGGACCGATACGATACATACATAATATTCCTTAAGTGCATTCACATTAAATCTTGAGCGTGATGAGAAGTTGTGACGTATCCAATCCTAATGACTCGTGGGCTCTCCCCCTCTTTGTTGACGTTTGGGGCTTGGGCTCGCTTATTTTAGTGTCATTCCTGAACTTTGCGCGCGTGGGAACTCAATAAAGTCTTTGCTCGTGGTAAGTACCACGAGCTAATTTATCGTGCCCAAGCCTAACAACGAGGTCCAGCATTCGGAAGGTAGATTTCGATCCACTTTTCGATTTATCCAGTGGCTCTGAAAATGTTCCAGTTTGATGTCTATTATAGTCCCGCAGTGGCCCGCTGTGTGCTGTTTCTCAATAGCGTGAGAAAGGGGAACTTGCATTTCCATGACAAAAAGGACTCTGCAACCCCATGTCACCTGCAAGTCTAAACTGAGCCTCAGCCCAACATCCCCTGCCTACTTGACCCAGCCCAGCCGCCTGAATCTAACCTCAAGGCAGAATCTTCTCAAGAACTGTATCCACGACATAATTAAGTCTCCATATTGACCCACGTACGTTGCATTCGACAAGATAATCTGCAGCGCGCCTTCCTTGAGATAGTATTCATCCAGAATACGCTCTTCAGTGAGTGGCCCCAAATGCTCTCGCTTTTGGGGACCTTCACAACGTGGTAAAGGCTTGGAACAGAGATTTTCGGCGCGAGTTACTTGCAATATATCTACAATTTCTTCACGGAACTTACCTTGAGTACGCATCCAACAGCCATGACATTACCCGACTGTTTGGAAAAGTGACGCTATCCTGCTGACTTGGTCTGAAGAACTTCTCTACTCTGGTTTCGTCCCACAGACAACAATACTGCACAAAAGTTAGCTTCTATGCAAAATCCTTGGTTTACAGCGATTCGAAAACTCACATGTCCCAATAAGTATGAAATTTCGTATCCCTTATTTCTTTCCTCACCCCCACAAGAAACACATCCAATTCCTCCTTCTTCCATCCCAGAACTCTAGTAAATAGAGCTGTCGAAAGTGCTTCTAGTCCATTCTCTAGATTCTCAAGCGTCCACATCCCGATATCCTTGAGTTTCTTGTCTTTAGGCCATCGATTTGTAGGCCACATGAGCGTTTTCTCGACCACGTTGGTGAAACCTGCTGCCTCCATTTGGGTTTTATACAGACGCGCGCAGTTGGCGTTGCGGCCGGCTTTCGCGCAGGCTTCGGTGAAGAGAATGGACCTTTGGGGCAGGATTAGCATTTAAGATTTCGAGATGGGGCATGACCAGGAAGTGATTTATGAGAGACAGAAAGGGAAGAGACAAGGCACCATTTATACAACTGCGAGTCCTCTGGAATATCACCACTGTTCAATTTCATGGGGTACGCAATATCCGCCATCTCCAGTACGCCACCCGGTGCCAGATTTTCAAAGCTCTGCTCAAAGAACCGCGGTACGTTTGCGAGAGACCCTACCATCATCCGACTGTAGATGAAATCGAATTTCTGGCCGTATGTCCATGGTTCTTCGATGTCGTCGATTTGGAAGGATAGATTTGGCGGAACAAAGCCTGGTTGCACGGGGCTAAGGTCTATTCCTAGGACTTGGGATTGTGGGTGCATGTCTGCGAAGTCGATTGCCTGGTTGATTTATATCAGTATCCATCGACCTACTGACGATGAGATCTTGAGCGTGGATGACGTACCCATATTCCTGTCCCTGTCCCAACATCCAACACACGGTGTAGGACCTTTTCTTTTGGGATTGGGGCGAGGAATAGTTTCCCGTCAAATGTTACTGAAAATTGGTGGTGTTGCAGGTCTAGACGATCCAGCTCTGTGTCGTCGTTTGGAAACGCGTAGGCGCCATCCTGTGTGAAGATCAGTACGAAACCCTCTCTATGATTTGATATCTGCAATGATAGGAAACCTCACGGAAAGTAAGAAAAGTCAATCCAAACCTTGTATGCATGATATGTCCTCCCATTCTCAGATCTATATTTGAAGATCGTTGACGCAATACTTGTCGTCGAGCTCGCTCGGCTTGCGTTCTCGAGTCCAGAATCATAATCATCAGCTTCTGCTTCGACGACTGGCTGCTGAGTGTCCCCCATTGCGGGAAATTATCTAATAAGCAAGGCCAGGAGCTGTCAGTAATGATACCCAGAAATTCGAGTGCTAAAATGGTGCGGGTTGGAGGAGACTACTGCAGTAAAGTCGACGCTATTCGCAACGAGATGGGTCGAAAAGAAAAAACAGAGCAGATCCAAGTCAAAAGAGGGGTAAAGCTCTTTCATACCTCACCTAGCATACCATTTTATATGGATAAAACCCCACTGTAAAATATCTCAATCGAATGAACACCTACCCTACCCTAACTTGGAAGTCCAAGACTCATACCAACACTTCCCACAAAACACCTATCACCCCCATGAATTTTGCTGCACAATCCTCTCTCCTGCATACAAAAACTGTCTCAAGCACATCCTCACTGGCCCTCGCCCTGATATGTATGCATTCCGGTGGGGCTATCAAGGCATGCACCTCGTGGCCGGCGTGCGGCGCATGGCAGCCTCAGCCGTAGATGGCGTTGTCACCGGCTGTATGTGCTATGGAGGGAACACAGGCCGTGGGGAAGAGCAGAGGAGCTTCCGAGTAGGTCCGAGAATGTCTTTTGGCCTGCATTTGCATGTATCCAGGATGCTGAGCTGCTGTTCTTTGGACGGGATAGTCGACTCTGTTGGTCCCTGGATGCGGGTGCGGCTTGGCTGCGGCGTGGGGATTTTGGGACTTTAGCCGATGGGGGAAAGAATTCTGTTGATGAATGGTTTCGTTTTGGTCCCTTGACCTTTCTGTTGTTGCTGGAACAGAGACTATGTAACCTATGAGGGCTGAGACTTGGAATTCTCCTTTGAATTCCCAAGGGAAGTGAAATGTCCGTGGGGATAGACACCAGGAGCTCGAGGACGAGCTGTGGGGTGAAATAGTGGGCTGACTTTACTGACAGTAGCGGCGGGAGTGACCTTCTTTGGGCAGGCGATCCGCTGTCGATCCGCTTCCCCTTGTGCCTGTAGAAAAGGCCCTTAAATTGTACGTACATACGATAGGAGAGGTGGAAGCACCCCCCCTTCAATTGAAGACATAGCATTAAGTAGGTAAATAGGTCTAACTCTAAGCAAACCCAAATGCCGTTCTACTTCACTCCATCCCACTCACTCCAGGGTATAAATCTATCAGTCGCATCCATCCAGCAATCATTAGAAGACACTCCTCCAATCGGCTAGCCAGCCGGGTCCTCCCACGTCCAAGCCAAACACCTTTAAATGCATAGTTTCCTCTCACCATTCGGTTATTCCTCCATCGCGGTCGTGTATGTGGAAATGGAGGAATGAAAGGCTCTCACAAATATTTCTCCTCCTCATACACCTTGACATTCTCCGCGTACTCCCTTATCTTACTGACCACATACTCCCCGATTTCATCACCCTTCCCTGCCGCAACCCTCAGAATCAGATCGTTCAAACTCTGTCTGCCCAAAATATCGACATGGTCGCCGGTGTTCGGTCCGCCACGAGGACTGAACCTATCCGGCTCGTGAGGCATCTCATAGACTTTGACTTGCACGCCGGCCGGATTGTACCGGTGGATGTTCCAGCCTTTGTTGCACATGTAGCCTGTGGAGAGGAGGCCGACGGTGCCGTCGCCTTCGCCTAGGATGACGCCGTGGTCGATATTGTTTCCGGGTAGGATGAGGGATGTGTCGATTGTAATGTTGAGTGAGGAGAGAGGGTTCTTATCCGTACGGTAGAAGTAAGAGCGCTCGGTTGGTTTGCCGATTCCTGCCTTATGTAAGTATTTTTCATGAATCATACCTGGCAGTACGTACCATAAAAGCAGTAGATCTTCAAATTTGGAGCGAGAGGAAGTCTTGTCTCCAGAGGATTTATCCATTTCCTCTGGTCTTTCTCGTTGGCCTCCACCTCAGCCGTGGTGTGTGCAACACCATGGGAGTAGCTCCCTCGCACAGAGTCTTGATACCACTTCTCCGTAGTATTCATCAGATAATCCATGCTGTCTTCGACTGTCAAGTTTCGATACTCCGAAGTCCCGTTGTTAAGCTTGAAATTCAGAAATGCACCATAGCTGGTATTTTGGCCAGGAGCATCATCCGGAGCCCATGTCATGTTGCCCCAGACAGCGTTTCCACCAATTGGCAGCATAGAGCTGATACCTGGCATAGCTCTGAAAATCTCCGCTCGTTCTTCTCGACTCAAGAACTTCTCGAGTCCGTAGACAGCAAATGCGTTGAGTTGGGCTGTATCCTTCATCTCGCCCGACAGGACTGCAGGGAGACCTTTCAGAGCTCCTAGCATGCATCCACTGATATTGATCCAGGATTCTACGTACTTGTCGACCCAGTCATCTCCGCCATTTCCTCCCTCTTCAGCCGCGACCCAGTGGAAGAAGTAAAACAGAACCTGACTCCCCATAGAATGCGAAACCAGCACAACCTTCTTGCCCGTAGTCTTATACGCCATCTCGCAGTATGTCTTGAGTCTCGTGAAGTACGAATCTCGAACCTCTAAATTCTTGTATGATAGCCTCCAGTCGTAAGCTGCCGTATACGAGTTATCAGGATCGTACCCAATAGTCGCCAGATTCTCGAGAATCTTGTTCCAAATCCAGTATCCTGTGATAAAGAAGTCCGCCGCATCGAATCCTTGCGCTGCTCGTAGCTTGATACCTCCTGCTGGGTCGAGTCCTGTATATTTGTCCAACATAATATGTTTCTTCCAGCCCTCCTTGTCCAGCACCAGAGCTCGCATCATGCTCCAACTCCCCCACAGCCGTTTCCTGAAGTATTGCCGCGAGCTATTTGTAGTTCCCCAGGATTCTAGGCCTGTTGATATGACGCCAGGCACCATTATGACAGGATGTTTCGCTCGAACTCCTTGCGCTACGAGGTTCAGTCCCACAGAAAACGAATCGTAGTTGACTGTCTCTCTTTCCCCTTTCTAACAATAAGTCAGCCCGGCTCTTCCCCAAGCCTAGCCATTCAAGATTTGAATCTACATACCGCCAAATCCCTCGCATCCCTCACAAAGCCTGCAGGCAGGACATCCATCAAGCTATCCATACTGAGATCCCCAAACTCTGGGAAATCGATCAGATCACTCCTCCCCGCAAAGAAGCCCGCAACCAAGATCCCAAAGAGACCTCCCAGCACGAATATGAGGCCATTTCTGCGCTTGGTTTTGGTCTTCTGCTGCTTGTGTTTCTGCGGGTTCTCGCTGTCGTCGTAGATGATTTTCGAGACTGGCGCGAGTCGGACTTCCTCGGCTTTGGCGGGAGAGTCGTCGCGTGGGGGAGGAGGGTCTTTCTTGCCGCGTTTGCGCAGGTAGGAGGACATTTCGATGGGTGAGGTATGTACAGAAAGATGGTTGAGGAGAATAGATGCAGAGGATCACGGGAGAAGAATGTATATAAACTTGGCCGGCATGGTCGGTAGTGTTGGCACTGGTGTCAAAAGAAAGTTGCGCGTGCCATCGAAACATCGGAGCTACGTAATCTGGGTATTGACCGCTGGAATTTTGGGATCGCCGGAGTCTTCCCGTGCCGTCCCTGCACTAGCGTAACACAGCATGTGAAAGTTGCTGATCCTTGCGAGGTCTGTTTTTGTTGCGAGGAACCACTCGGTCATCAGATCCATTCTGTTCAAAAACATTATCTGGGAAGAAGATTGGGATGAAGACTAGTCGAATTCGTATCTTCCACGCAGTCTACAGAATGAAAAGGCTTCTGAGATGGACAAGCATGCTTCTCATATCTCGAGTCCCGAGACTTAGGGTATCTAGCAGCAGGAACTATTCCATATCAACACGACGCCAGTCATCGTTTCCATCTTTCTTCTTGAGATAGAAGTAGTTTTCTACCTTGCCATCCTTTGGCTCAAGCAACTCCTTCGAACTGTACATGGATGCCTTGATGTTATATTCGTTGGTGGATGTGATATTCAGATAAGTCCACGCATCTATATCCTTATTAGCACATGTCGCAGAGCTCCTACAGTACATTAAGTGCTTTTCTGACGTTCCGTAGAATCCACGGTTTGTGTGGGTTGGTTCGTCCTATCACTAGGAGAAGGTGACATTACGTGGAGTGGTGTCAAAAGGTCTTTAATGTCCCGTGGGGATTACGAACTTGAGAGCAAACTTACCACACTTGTAGAAGATTGCCTTGCTCTTGAGCACCAGACCAAGATCTTTCAATTTGAGAAGAACTCGACGTACATCATCCATATCTTTGAAGTTTTCGGTATAGATGCAAATGAGGCGGCCTTTCCTGTCATCTCCACTATCTGGGGCAACTTTGGAAGAAATGCCTAGCTGATTGTTTGCAGTGGCTCGGGCAACAACGGACCACACATCATCGACTTCTTCTGGGCTCGGGAAGATCATCCACTATCCTGTCAGTACACTCTGTCCACTTTTGGAGGATTTCCATGAACATATATCCTCCTTCAAAAAAGTCTGGATATAGCAATTGATAAACCAGAAATCTGTCTGGAGCTCACCTTGCCAGTAGTAACATGCAATTTGACCGCCGTATCAAACAGCTCCTTCACGATCTCGTCTCTGCGGGCATTGAGAGCCTTAGTGATCGTTCCTTTGGCCTTACCAGGATTCTTCTTTTCCATATCATGTCTTGATACGGTAAGCTGCTCCAGAAGTTGATTGCCACGCACAACAAATTCGGCGAGATTTGCGCCATCATTTGGCGGAGCCTCGTCAGCAAGCTTGGCTTCGCTGTACTTGTTCTTGGAAACTTTACGGTATGGATTGGCAAGGAAGATCCAAGGATTGGCCTCAGTGGCTGGAGTTGTCGCAGGTGGAAGTCGTGCCAGAAATTCATCAACACTTTCGCCTAGTTGTTTGGCATGTAAGTTACCTTCGTATGGGTTGTAAAGGGTGACTGGATTTTGTTCTGGCTGGTAGGTTGCCATATTCTTACGAGCAAGCTCGATGAGGGAGGTCGATTTGTTTTGTTGCCACTCTTCGGGATCAAAGGCGTTTGCTCTTTTCTCCAGCTCGTTCTTGGTGGTGTCATCGCCTGGGACTGTCAGAATTGCCATTTGGAGTGGATATGAATGCTACCATAAAAGTCCGAGTCATCAGATAAGTATCCTATACTTTTAGCGACTTTGGGCTTCCCTCCGTGTCCGATCGCCATTTTGCTGTCGCATGAAGTACCAAACGTTGAGAATCCCAGCCGTGCCGCGTTTAAGACGTGAATCCACGATCAAAGTCTTATGGATTAAAAGACAGTTCCAGGCCCCCAAACAGGTACTGAGCTCCAATAAAGACTTAAATCATATCAGGACATCAATTTTGCATGACTTCCCCCAACTTTCATGAGTTTGTCCTAGAAGATGGGTGATAAAGGAAGAAGGATCGATGCAGGAGAAGTTGCTTTGTTGATGATGAAGTCACGCTACTGTACAGTAGACGCTCGGGCCTCCCTAATTCGCTAATCCACTTCAAGAACTTTCAACCTTCAACCTTCCTTTCCTCCTGCCATTCCATTCTCATTGTGTTCATCGCAAGTCAACATAAAATACATAGAACTGCCTCTAATCATCTCTTCATGAAAGTCTAAACTTGACTTTCCAAATTCGAAATGGCCTCTGGCGGAGATATAAATACACCTCAAACTCCAGAATCATTGAGCAGTACAGCCGTCAGACAATGGTCAGAGTTTGTTCTTGATAAACCGCCGAGCTGCGTCGAGTTCATACCAAAGTCCGGATCCAAGTTTGGCAACCTTCTTGTCGTGGGGTCGTACGAATTACAACCAGATGAAGTCAGCGTCGAGTTGGCTGATTCGAGCCTCGAAACTGAACCCACCACAACCAGTGGACTTGAGCTGGAGAAACAGAAACGGGAAGGATCGTTGACGCTTCTCAAACTCTCACCAGTCACCAATACACTGTAAGTCTTGGTGTCGTGTTTAGCTCTGCTACTCTCATCCATCGTTGAACGAAGTTTGTCCTCCTGATGTCTAATCATGTTTGTAGAGAAGTGCTTCACACGCTCGAGCGTGTGCCGGCCATTTATGATTTGCACTTTCTGCCAGGACAGGATATTTTTGCTGTTGCAACGAGTACTGGGGCTATCTCATTCTACTACGTGAAAGAAAAGATGCTTTTCTGGGCAAAAGGAAAGGAACCTGTTCATGAAATCGCCATGCAACCTATTTTCTCCGCCCAGGTCTTCCCGAAAACTACAATTATCACTTTTTTCCAGTTTATTCCTGCGCAGCCACCATACCACGGTTCGCTCATTTCAGCCACAACAAACGATGGGGGAACATACCTTATGGAGTACTGCCTCGATAATGGCGAGATTCAACTACTCAATGACGGCGAGCCAATCACAACGCATATGCTCCCATATGCGAATACTTTGGACTATGTTTGGTGCTGCGGTGTGAGTGCTAAACAACCAGTTACGATCTTCTCCGGTGGTGATGGCGGGGATCTTGTCCAAGATATCATCTCCTTCGGACTGGTAGCACCATTTTCGTACGATTCGAATAAGAAACTGTCCAGAAGTCACAAATTCCATGATGCTGGAGTCACTGCGATCCTTCCCTTAACTCCCAGTTCTCTTGATGACGAAGAGCTACTGCTCACTGGAAGTTACGACGAATATGTTCGACTGTACTCTACTGACAACAAGAATGTTCTGGCGAAGTTAAAGTTAGATGGCGGGGTGTACCGTCTCAAAAACCTCGGACAGGTCAATTGGTTCTTGCCACAATCTACTACTTACGCAATCTTGGCCTGTTGTATGCATGCCGGCACGAAAATCATTCATGTCAAAGGATCGATGACAGGAGATTGGTCAATTGAAGTTGTTGCCTGTCTCGACGTACCCAGCAGCGATCCTGCCACCTACTGCTATGCAGCGGCCGCGCGACCTTCAGGCCCTCTGCCATCCTCTGAGCGGATTGAGGAGAAGAGACTCTGTGTCAGTGGGACTTGGGTCGACAAGAAGCTGGTCGTGTGGGAATTCACTCATGAGTTCGAGAGGCCAAAAGATGATGTCGTAGAGGAGGGTAAATCGACGGGAATTCATGTCCCATATGCTGACCCCGGTAAGGGTGTCCAGAATCACGGCATAATTGGCGAAGGCATTTGAAATAGAAACCATGGGTCGCTTTTGGCCTGGGGACGTGAGACAGATGGAATGGTTGCATTGTCCGGAGTTTGAGATTGGGGGCGGAGCATTATATACCCCTTATTCAACGTCCTCGTAATTCATCATTAATCAATGGAGGCTTCAAAAGCCACATTTAACCCTGCATTGTCAAATTCTCACAGAAATTATTTTTCCATGTGATAACTCATGATCGATGTGCTGAATCAGACTCTTATTTCCTACGAGAATGTAAGAAAAGGTGTGACAAGAACTTGTGTATATGGAGAGTACATCCATAAGAGAAGAGAAGACGGCATGTGTTTGTCTGAGGTTCACTCGGTGTATCAAAACAGAGCACTCCTTTTCTTTTTCTTCCTCTGTTTTTCGTGAACTACAAATATTTCCCGCTGAAATATTGGAAATGTGCTTTGATTCCTGTACAGAAATAGCTCGCTCGATTCGGCACTGGATTCAACGATCTGACATTATGGCCTGTGATGCCAAATTTCTTCATTGTAAGATCGATCAGCAGGAGAATTCTGAAATCCATCTCAAATTCAAAATCCTTTCGTGGTGCAAGGGAAGATGATGATTTTAGGAGACATCGATTGAGTACTGTGTCAAGCTGGATAGGGAAGGAATAGGAGGGGACCACAAGGTCAAGAGGAACTACCCCGCGTCACTGGCTGCAATGTATGGTGACTTTCATCACGACTTGATTCTCTTCAGGAAGTGCACGTGGCGACGTTCTAAGGTTGCCGGTCACTTGAGTCTCATATTGAGAGAAGTGAACGGAGTTTTATGAACAAGACTCCAGATTCAAAGAGATCTGAATACTGTCTATTTTTCATTTCGTTACTTGTCTTCTTTTTGACATCAGGCATCTATCCTTCTAGATAAACATCGACATCATAATTCATGTAAATCATCAGTGTTTCCCAGACAAAGCCTCCCCTAAAGCGTCCCATCCATACCCGCTCCAAGGCGAAATCATAGCAGCTTGCTGAGCTCCGGCTATCTTTCCTGTGCCAGCAAACGCCTTCGCCAAATCCTCCGCATCGAGTTCGCCGCTTGGTGGGATAGCTTTCAGAGCAGTCTTGACAGCCATCTCGGCTGTATAATCATCAGCCTCCACCTCCGCCATCCGATTCCAGCCATGTGGTTGGTTCGGGTGGAGGAAGATATCAGTCTGGATCTCAGCCAGAACCTGTCGATCCGGGTCCTCGCCAGACAAAGCAGCAATGGCCCGGAGGACCTCGCTGACTCGTGCTTGTTCGAGGTCGCTGATAGTGTACGTGGTGCGCAGATCTTGGAGAGTGGCTGTCACGGCTTCCAGACTGTCGCTGTCATTATCGAGGAGGGCGATGATACCGAGTAAGAGGACGGATTGAACGTGTTCGGGGTCCTTCTCGACGCAGCTGAAGAGGTGGTCACGGGCTTTCTCGCGGGAATCTTCATCGCCTTTGGCCCAGAGGACCTGTGCAAGGAGGCAAACGGCGTCTGGATTATCGTTTGACTCTTCGAGGGCAGGAATGAAGTACTGTAGAGCAGCTTCGTGATCTTCGGAATAGTATTGCGCGAGACCGACTGTGAGATGTGCAGATAATCTACACCTCTGGCGAGACTCAGCTGTCAGTTCGTGGCCTGTATCTTCTACGCTGAGCTGCAAGGCCGTTTCACCGTTCTCGATGGCTTCGTCGTATAGTCCCGCGGATAGTTGGGATCGAGCTAGGTCTGCTTTCGCAAGTGCGAACCGAGAAAGAGATGCCGGAGACTCGGTCACTTCATAGTCTGCTTCGACAGTGGCACAAATCTTGGAGAGGGTTTCCAGCGCTGCTGGAACGTTATCGATACGCTCTAGGAACAGACTCGACAGGTGCTGGTACATGATATCGCTAGAATCCATAGACTGAAGTTGCTTGAGCGCAAACAGTGGTTGCACGAGATCAGTGACACTCGCGGGTGATTTTGATGCTAGTAACTGATCGAAAGTCGACTGCGAGTATTGCTTCTTCGTAATAAGTGAGGATGATTCAGAAATCTCCATGGCGTGGGTAAAAAGAAGGTTTGCTTCCTTGGTATCGCCTGTCATCAACAATGCTAGTAGACCTTGGCCGATCCAGGCATGCGCGAAATCTGGATCGCTGGATTGAGCACGAGTGAAAGCCTCATTGGCCAGCATGTAGTCGCTTTGCAAAAGGTACAGGGTACCCAAGTTCGTCCATGCTTGAGAGCTTCTCTCGTTGAGGAACAAACTCCGAACAAACGAATGTTGGGCAACCTTGGGGTTCAGCTCGCTGGTCACAACACCAAGAGCGTTCCAAAATTCGGCATTGCCAGCTTCAAGTTCAATAGATCTTTTGAAACACCTAACAGCTGCCTTCAGATATCTCGTACTGCGCTTCTTCATGCCTGCACACAAACAGACGTGAGCCCGGTGTTCTGCCCAGCCCAGGTTATAGTATGCGACAGCTTGAGCGTGAATATCGTGGGCTGATGCATGGATAGCCCGCTTCTGAGCAAGCACAGAAGCATGTAAACAGCGCGTCAAGTTAAGCCCATCGGCCTCGTCAGCAGAATACAAACCGTCGGCGAAGACAACATCGACTCCGACTCCATCGATATCTGCAAACAGTGCATATGCATCCTTTTCATCACCCAACTGTAGGAGTTCCTTTATTTTGGCGTGCGGAAAATCGGAAATGCGGCTCTGAATCCATGAGAACACCGAGCAAGCATCCCCAACGGCCCTCCAAAGATTGAAAGCATCAGGTCTGCTGGGTGCCAATGCAAGAGCTGCATGAATCGTCTGAGATGCTCTCTCAGCTGCATAACCGAATAGGCCTTTCTCGATACCATCCCATGCACTCTCCACCAGCGCTTGAATCAAGGCAATGGAAACTCCAAATTCGGGGGGCCTGTCTTGGAGTACCGCCTTATACCCTTCAATGGCATCATCGTAGTCGCCTAGTTCGCGTTTAACATTCGCAAGCATATGTTTGGCGAACCAAGTCTCTCCAGATTTCTGTTGCTCGACCTCGTGCTCAAATTGCTCGGCATGCTGGAAGGCCTTCGTAGCAGCGATGTATCTACCCGAGTTGTGGTAGCTCTCCCCAAGGCCAACCCAGGAATGATAATCAGTAGGTGTAATTCTGAGAGCCGACTGGAACGAGACAATACTCTTTGCATAGTCTTGTTTATTTAGCTCTGCGACTCCCAGTGCAGCGAAAGGCCAACTGATGCCCTTCTTTTTTGAACCAGGTGATGGCTGAACCCTCCCAGAATCTACCACGCGTTGTGCCACAACTTCGACAAGTTCCCATTCTCTCTGTTCAGCAAAAATCTTAGCGAGTCGCTCGGCAGCTTCGACTTCTGACGGTGAGAGTTCAAATGCTTTCTGGAAACACTTCCGAGCCCTCTTCTTGTCTCTGAGGTAATCCGCATAAAAGATACCTAGGCTGGTGTACGCTGGCGCGAAGTTTAGATTGCTTTTAAGAGCAGATAAGAAATATGAATAAGCACCATTCCTATCCTTCCGCGCTGCTTTCGTGCTGTCGGTGTTCCAGATACACATGCCAATTCGATATTGTGTCTGAGCAAGTAACTCTCGATTGCGAGGGTCTTTCCCGTTTATCTGTGCAAGACAGGCCTCCAACTCGTCTCTACCCGCCTCATAATCGCCATTGAGAGCTTTGACCCAGGCAGCTTCAGTCTTGACGCGAATATTTCTAGGATCCCGTTCAAGCGCTCGTCCCAGAAAGTCAATTGCTGCTGGATAGTCTTCCTCTTCCTCGTAGATGAGACCTACACCAATCAAAGCTGGAGTCGACGTCGGATTTCGCTCTAGAAGTCCGTCGAACAAACTTTTCGCCTCTGGATGGTTCTTAGGAGACTGATAGAAGACTAGAGCCGTGCCCAAAAGAGCAGTAATAGCATCTGACGAGTGATCGAACTTAAGTCCTGTCCTGTTAGACTCTTCGGTAATCAGTCGTCGGCCATTTCGCATGAGCTCAACAACACTTTCGTATTCTTCCAAGAATTGGTAGTATTCTCCCATGAGTCTATGCGCGAGGATTGATTTTCCCGCATCCGAAATTCCATCAGTCATCAACAGTAGGCGATCCTCGCCAGTCAGAAATCCATCCAATGCAACACCTCCACCATCGTCATCGTCGTCTTCACTTTCATCGGACTCAGCGGTTTCCATCTTCTGCACTGGCGGTGGCGGAGCAAATGGTGAGATCTCGCTGCTCATAAAGCCTCGCAAGACTTGCCCAAGTCCCGCAGTTGGGAAGAACGTATAGTATTCACGCAAGACATTGACGTCCAGGTCTCGAATGTTCTCTGCGTCTTTCCACTCGATTGCGATATCCCAAGCCATTTTGAAAGGGTGCTTAATGATGACCATATCATTTGCTAGCTTCATTGCCTTCTTACGTTTCTCGATCTTGTCTGGACCAGAAGGAAGAACACTTAATGCCTCGACACATCTCTGGACAAGCTTTTCTTCGTACTGTCGTCTTATCTCATCGTCATTACTCCAGTCGATGACCTGGCCATACAATTCTTCTAAGTCGCTATCTCTGAGCACTTCTCGCTTGACTTTAGTGGTGACTTGTCCAATTTTCGCACCAAGTCTGGTTCTTCGCTCACCGATCTCCTTGTTTATACGTTCTTTCTCCTCAAACTCGGTGATCTGGGCCATTATTTGGTATGTGTGGGCCGGGTGAGGAACTCTACCTTCGAGATAATCATATATTGGGCTTGTGGGCAGGACTATTTCTTGTGCTTTCTTCTGCTGCAGTCGTGTGCCTTGAATTTTCGCAAAGGCAAGAAACTTGTCCACCACATCTTGACACTTATACTTGTCGTCCGCATCACGATATATTTCGGCCAGTCTCAACGCTGCCTTTTGGTATGCTGTTATCTTCTCTCCGCCACCCTTCTCATATAGTTGTATAAGCCCCTGCCAGGCCTGTGGTTCGGTTTCCTTGATCTGGGAGGCCACATCATAGGCTTTCTCTGCATCTGCGAGTTTGTTTAGTTTGCCATAAGCAAATCCCAAGAAAATGGACCTGCAAGGAGGTTAGCAGGGCTGTTCTGCGAGGGCAAATCCGGGCCATATTCTGTATTTAAATTTGGTAGTGTAAATAGACATACGCCTGGTAGTTCTTTGGGTCGGATGCAAGCAGCTTCTGAGCTTCACTCGCCGCATCATCATATTTTTGTGCTTTTACAGCTCCAGCAATAGCTTTCAGCGCTGCCTTTGGTCCTGACATGTTCGATGAGCTGCCTCCAAGACTAGCATAGTTGACTGTGAACGACAGCAATGGCGAGTTCTGAGCCTGTTCAATCGCGTCGTGGGTTCAAGAAGTTGATTGCTGATGCAGTCCACTGTTATGCCACTCAGTGCCGCCATGCCACTTCCACAGCCTTGTCTGATCCCTGCAGTGGGATGTTGCGCGAGGGGCTCGGAACAACAATACTCCACTTCCAGCCCAGCATCCCTGCCCTATTTGCTCTTCAATTGGATGCTGCCGCTGCCGGCGGAACTTCGCGTTGTGCCATCCGTGCCCAGCTGGTTCGAAGGGAGACGGGAGCGATGCAATCATCATCAAGCACTCGCACTCCATCACTTGCGCCCTAGAGTACCGCCACTCCACGTTATTCAGCAATTTACAGTCGCACTGACTTGCTGAAATTGCAGCGCCTTTTCTCCTCCTTGTTGCTCCGCAATACTCTGTTTACTTCATAATCCTCTCTGATGCTTCGTCACTAGTCAGTGACGTGCAGTCGTCCCCACAGCCTTGGAAGTTCCCTCGTGGTGTTGGCTACGGTCACAGGTGCTGAATCCAAGGAAGAGGGCAACCAGAGGACCTGGCAGGACGTCTCAAACCCCGACTTCCTTACTCTGCGCTGTATGCGACCAGCTAAATTCCTCGACATTGCAGTCCTAGAGCCGGTGGACTCAACAACATGCCGTTGAGACTGACCATCGAGAATGGCCAATTCCAAGATGGTTATGGAAGACAGGTTACCCTCCGGGGCATTAATGTGGCGGGAGATGCAAAGTATCCCAGCAATCCAGATCAGCCCTCTCATATCCCGCTGGACTTCTTCGATGGAGATACGGTCAACTTTCGCTCCCGTCCATTCCCTCTCGAAGATGCGCACCTCCATTTTTCTCGACTGAAGCGCTGGGGCTACAATACCATACGTTATGTCTTTACTTGGGAAGCTATCGAGGCGGCAGGGCCGGGGATATACGATGAAGAATGGATTCAGCATACTATTGAGATTCTCCGGCTGGGAAGAAACTATGGGTTCTATATATTCATGGATCCACATCAGGACGTTGTATGTTGATCTCGTGGCTGGAACGAAGAAGCGTGCTAATCACTGCAGTGGTCGAGGTTCTCAGGCGGATCTGGAGCTCCAATGTGGACATTGTATGCATGTGGACTGAATCCCCAAAGCTTCGCTGCCACAGAAGCTGCACTTGTACACAATACCTACCCCGAGCCCGAAAAGTTCCCCAAAATGATATGGTCGACGAATTACACGCGGATGGTATGCCAGGTTATATTTACTCTTTTCTTTGCTGGGAAAGACTTTGCGCCGAAGTGCATTATCGATGGGAAGAATATTCAAGACTTTCTGCAAGATCACTTTATCGGTGCTCTTGCGCACCTGGCTAAGCGGATACACGAAGCTGGAGACTTGGAGGATGAAGTTGTCATTGGATGGGAGAGCATGAACGAGCCGAATCGCGGGCTAGTGGGCTGGCAAGATATCACTGTAATCCCAAGTGAACAGAAGCTGCAGAAGGGTACATCACCAACAGCCTGGCAAGCTATCTTGACCGGATCTGGAAGGGCATGCGAGATAGACACCTGGGACTTCGGAGGCATGGGACCATACAAGTCTGGAAGAGTTCTGGTCGATCCGCAAGGGGAAAGTGCATGGCTTCCGGCTGATTATGATGAGTCCAGGTACTCATACAAACGGGATCCTGGATGGAAATTGGGAGTGTGTATCTGGGCTCAGCATGGAGTCTGGGATCCAAGCACCGATACTCTCCTGAAGAAAGACTACTTCAAGAAAAACTCGAAAGGAGAAGTACTCGATTATGAAGTGTTCACCAACACGTATTGGATGGACTATTACCGGAAGCACAGGGATGCTATTCGAAGCCATCACAAAGACTGTATTTTGTTTTGTCAACCTCCGACATTGGAAATTCCCCCCAGCATCAAGGGTACCCCAGATGATGACCCGAAGATGGTCTACGCGCCTCACTACTATGATGGTCTAACCCTGATGACAAAAAAGTGGAATCGTTATTGGAATGTTGATGTCCTCGGTGTCTTGCGGGGAAGATATATGAGCCCGGCTTTCGCTGTGAAGATTGGAGAAACCGCAATTCGGAACTGCTTCAGGGATCAATTGTCCGCTATCAGACAGGAAGGAGTAGACTACATGGGCAACCACCCATGTGTCTTGACTGAATTCGGTATTCCGTACGATATGGACGACAAGTACGCTTACAAGACCGGAGACTACTCTAGTCAGTCCGGTGCTATGGATGCCAACCATTTTGCCGTCGAGAATAGCTCCATGGCTGGTTATACTTTGTGGCTGTACATGTGCGAGGTGTGTTGACTTCTGCTGACTACCTTACCGAGGTATCAATACTAACGATGACAGAATAAACATCATCTGGGTGATCAATGGAACGGAGAAGACTTATCAATCTTTTCTTTGGATGATCAACCTCTCCCATTATCACCAATTCCTCCTACGCCATCGAATGGATCAACGACTAGTCTGGTCCAAAAATCTGGTCCCCTGTCAAAGAAAGCCTTCTCCGATGAGTCGACTATCAACCCTGGCAACCTGAAAGACAAACTTAAAACGCCTTCAATCTCTTCAGAAGCAAAGGCGTCGGATGCGCCCCCCGAGCTTACGAACGCGCCTGGCTATAGAGCTGCGGAGGCATATTTACGCCCCTCCCCTATCTCGACAGTCGGGAGGATCATAAAGTCGGGATTCGACTTGCGAAATTGTATCTTTACATTCACACTTCATGCTCATACACCTAGCACGGAAGAGAAACCAACCGAGATTTTCTTGCCAGAGTTCCACTTTCCCAAAGACAAGTGCGAGATCGTAGTTTCAGCGGGAAAATGGACCATCAGTACAGATGACGAAGATGGAGGATTGATCCAGAAGTTGAGATGGTGGCACGTGGAGGGCGAACATAGTATCAAGGTCACTGGTGTTCAGCGAAGACAGAACATGGCCCTGGGTAGAGAGGAGGAAGAAGGTTACTTGGATCAATGCCAGCAGAGCAAATGCTCTATGATGTAGATCATGAGATTATGACACGGTGTATCAGCAGGCTTTACATGTGGCAGGTTTGAGCACATACTTTTGATTAACAAATGGCGGATTTTTTTTGCAAGGAGTTTGGCCTACCAGGATTGCGCTACTGAGCGGTTGGATTGGCTTGGTTGTACATTCATATTCTTGAGCCTCAGACAGTCTCGAGAAAAACATTTATTTATCCAACCTCAACTGCGATCTATCGTGATTAAGGGGCCGACACAAATCCTTCTAAATACTTGCGCATGCCGTGTAGGGAACTTGAGAATTATAACTTGAGTTCATAAATCCGAAGATAAAAGAAGGATCCCAATGCACAATTAAAATCATTCATGGACACTTCAGAGACGTCCAGACGTCCAAGGGCCAGTGTCAAAACCCAGCCTTTCACTGATTGGCTGCTGCTCGAAGCTGCCCGCACCTAGGCAGGTAGCCTTGCCGCTTGCCCATCGGAGATTTAGCGGGCGGCCGACTTCCAAGGTTCAGCCTCCTCCAGGTTGAGAGAAGGCCGAGTAAACTTTGCCATCTTCAATTCCTAAGCCTTTCAGTTCCAGTTCCATTCTTTGTCATTCTCAACTCAAGGCTGTTGTTCCATATTTCAATCTATCTTACTCTAGAGTAACTTCAGCCAGTGTATGGTCTTCTTTATCAATCATCTCTCCTGGTGCGCCGTGGAGCTCTTTGTCAACATTCGAAATTCACGCGCATGACTTGCCTGCCATCAGCTCACGACCTAGATGCACATTTCTGACCACGAGATCTCTGAGCCATAAGCCCTTATCTCAACATATATCTCTCGCCCTACAATAGTCTGAGATAATAGTTCCGCAATGAATGGCTCCTCGAATGGTCACAGCACCACAGGCGTGCAAGGCAATGCCGAAGGTACAAACCAGGTGAACGGAGGTAGCACAACTTTACTGCCCCAGATTCAAGAAGCTCTGCAAGTTGTCCACGGTCCATACTCTACGAATGACTCCCGAAGAGAAGCCTCGATATTTTTAGACAACATTAAGAGCAACGCCGAGGCTCCTTACCATGGCTTCACATTGGCCTCCGACAAGAGCCAGCAGCCTGTGGTCCGCCACTACGCCCTCTCCCTTCTCGAGCACGCGATGAAGCACAAATGGGCAGAATACTCGGAGGCACAGGGTACAGCGCTGCGGGAATGGATACTGCAGCTCTCGCAGAATGTTTCGCCAGAAGACCCATTATACCTACGGAACAAGACCGCGCAGTTATGGGTGGAGATTGCAAAGAGAAGCTGGGCTGCTGAATGGCTGGATATGGATCAGCTTCTGGTACAGCTGTGGGAGGTTCCTGGATCAGTGGTACACAAGGAATTTGTGCTTTTCGTTCTGGAAACGCTTTCCGACGAAGTGTTCAATGGCGAAGATACGGTTGCGATTCTGCGAGAAGGCGCTCTTAGCAAGGCGTGCGTGGAGATCTTCACCCCAGCTATAGTGCTTGCAGAGGCATTCCCGAATAGACAAATCGGTACGACTGTCAGATATGGAGAGGAGGGTTGGTTGGTGAGAATGGGCGAGCTTTTGAATCAGTGTCTGGACAATGATTTGGGAAGCAATGCACAGTACCAGAGTTGTGCTGTCAGAACTCTGGCTGTTTATAAGTCAGTTATGCCATGGGCGATCCCAAAAGCAATCTCTAGTGCATCTTGCGTCCAGCATATGTGCAAGAGTCTTGCTACTCCAAGTGTTGCGGTGCAGCTGGTGAGATTAACCCTTGTTCACATATACGCAAGATGTACTAACAAAACTAGGCCTCGGTTGAAGCTCTCCACGCTTTGTACAGCAGATTACATTTCTCGGACGAAGAATTTCTGTCATTGGTCTGCCCTATGTACACCAGCCAGATGGTTGACCTTCTACGCAAACTCTTCGAACATTCGGTCGTTGATCCTCGAGATATTGATGATGAGAAGTATTTATTTGCAAAAAAATTCTCAGAGGTTTGCCAACGCCACCAGATACCACCTTCGTTTTTGCTAACCCAACGCCAGATGATCTCCAACCTCGGCAGCTTCATAGAGCAAAAGATCTCAGCCATCCCAGAAGACTGCGATCTCCCCAACCTGTTGAATCTATTTCTTGCGATTGCTCAAAGTCAGAGCTTTGTAATTTCGATACCCCTTCTTGTCACCTGGACCCGACTTTTGCGCTCAGATACGATTGGCAATTCTCCCACCATAAACCCCCTAATTGCACCCCTGCTTGAGTTATGCAGCTCGAGACTAATACGCTACGAGAATCTCCCTGAGGACTCTGATGACCCTTCTCTGATATTCTTACTCGAAGATATTGACACAATTCCTGAGCGACACGCCTTCTTAGGTAACTATCGGCGATACAGTGTACAAATTATTGAATGTATTGTTCGTCAGAAGCGAACGGAAGCCATTTATCATATTTTGAGCCAAGTTGACAATTCTATGCGACATTTGTACGATGGACAGTCTCCATTCTCCAGTAAGTTCTGAGCTTAGTTACTCCATGCAGCTGCTAATGCCAAATAGTCGAGTCATACTCGAAATCATCCATTCCTGTCCTGCGGACTGATGCACATTTCACTGTTGTGGAAGCTGCACTGAAAGGATACATGAAGTGGAGATCAGCTTCTGGATCGAAGCCTCAGGAAGATGTAAAATCCCCATCTTCATTTACTTGCCAGCAATTGCTGACTGCTGCTCAGGAGCACGAACGAATTGCTATGGAAGGCAACATCGAGGCCTGGTGCGAAGGTCTAATGGAAATCAACTTCGAGGTAGGATCCCTTTTCATTGGACCATGAAACATAATCTAAATTGTGTAGGATCCCATAATACGAAAACGTATCCTCCAGCTTGTTGTAGCGTTCTCAACGACCGCTCTTGACAAGCAGGTCTCTTTCATGTTGAAGGTTTTGGAACAGCTTCTAACCAGTAGGCACGTCGACCGACCAGAGTTCCCTGCATACAACGATGCCGTGAAGGAATTGCAAAGCGACAGTATTTACGAGCTGCAGAGACTGGCTAGCAAGATGCCTGATCAGCTTCTGGTGAGAGAAACCTCTTCTCCACCGAAGCTGTGCTAACAAGTTTAGGATGTCTATGAGCAGCTGGAAGCAAAAGTAAATGAGATCATCTCATCGGGAGCATTAGATACAAAGAGGCAGACTTCCTACAATACATTTCTTTTTACCATCATGTAGGCATTTGCTTCACCCTCCTGTCCATTTCTGAATGCTAATGGTCTATAGTCTGAAAGCCTCCAAAATCGAATCCAACGTTCGATTAGAAAAACTTCTTGGATTTGTCAATCCAGTCAAGCAATTGTGGCAAAATCCAGAAATGGACCAAGCCTTAGCTTCATTTGGCGGATTCTCCGACCTGCTTGGCCTGAGTAAGGTTCGAGACTATCTTGTGAGCCGAAGAGTACATGAGATTGAAGAATGGGGCCTCTATCAGCTTGATGAGGAAGGCCAGTCACTTCAAAGAGAGCTGGAAGAGCGACTAAAGGTGACGATGAGCACCATTCTACTTCGAATAGTGCTAATTTGTTGTCAGGCCCTTCCATTACGAACAACGAAATCGTTCCTGAGTTGCTCCACAGACAAAGTAGAAAAGGACACTTCAACATACAAGGTTTCGCTTCTTCTATGGCGTGAAGCATTACCGGTTATGCTGCCAAGCCTGCTCAAGTTCTTGAGGTAAGTTCTCTGGTTTGGATGAAAAGAGCAAGTTTTAACTTTCCAGTCACGCTCATTCATTCCACAACCCGGCGAACTGGACCGGTCTTCCTCCCAATATGCGATCCTTGGTCAGCCGGATTTTGACCGACAGATTCTGGCAAGCAGGTATCTCAACTGGCAGCAAAGACGACTTTTACGCTCGTGTTACTGGCACTAGGAGCACAATGGAAGGATTTGCTTCTTCAATTCGCGGCTCCATCCGCAACATTAGAGAAGCTTGTTACTCGATTCTTTGGTGTATGAGCAAGCTTGACGTCGACTTTTACGGATTCAACGAACTGCCTGGACCATTAGCACATGCTCTGTTTGCTGATGCTGACTGTTTATCGACACATCAGCTCATTGCCTTACTTAACGTTGTTCGCCTACTGGTTGATGACTGCCCGGTCGAACTGCGAAGTCACTTTGTCCCTCCAATCCTCGCAACTTGTTTTGCACAGATAGATGCCAAGTGCAGTTCGGAGTGGGAGAAGCTTGCCCATAAGCAGGTGGCAGCGACTGATGGAGATAACCTGACTGATGAGATGAAGGCAGAGAGTATTCTACGCCAATTAACTCACGCAGCAGTCATGATAGCTGCTGGCGTGTTGGATCCTGCTCGTCAAAGTGAGTGGCCACGTTCCTATGTAGGGATCTTCGCTAATTCCATCAGATATTGCAGCAAGCACAGCAACTGCGAAAGATGCTTCGACATATAAAAGCGACGACGCGGCATCGGCATATCCATCCATGAGAACGTTCTGCCTAACCTCCTCCACCATTATAGAGCCTCTCCTCATGTTTATGACCCATGCAATTCGTATGCGTGATGGTCGATGCTGCGGGGTCGTCTTGCGTGTCTTCCGCTCCCTCATCCCCGACTTTGCTACCCAAAGCGCACCTCTCGCGCCATCCATCCGTGAGTTCATCAGCACCGACGTCCTGAAGGCCTGCATCTCCTCACTTAACGAACCCTATTTTGTCGACTTACAAAAAGACCTCGCCCAACTCATTGCCTCTATCCTCATCTACTACTCCAGCCTGACCCCTACCCCTCGACAAATTCTCGTCAGCATCCCAGGCGTCGAAGAGCGCGCGGTCGATAAATGCATCGATTATGTTACCCGCCAAGGAATGCAACAGCGTCAGCAGCGGGCTTTGGTCCTCGACCTCCTCCGTGATATCAAGGGAGTCAGTATCAGTGAACAAGGCCGAATCACCAAGTCTGTATCTGCGGTTCGGAAGGATCGTAGCAAGATGCAGCAGGGGTTCATGAAGGAGCCGCCACCTTCAACTGAGCCGAGGCAGTCGAGTCCTAGTTTGGTAGGAGTCGCTAATATGTTTGAAGAGCTATGATACCGGTGATTGATTCGACTTTCATAACTCGCGTGATGCCAGCTTATGCGGTGTGGCGGCTAATACTTTTCATTTCTTCTGATGATGGCGGCATGATCTGATTGCTCGCACTACTCATCATTCGGGACCGCATCATAGCATGATGTGTTTACAAACAAACAAGGTCATGGTTCCTACATCAACCCGCATGACAAGCGAATGGGATGAAATGGAACAGATATCTAAACGAAAACGAAAACGACGAACCGAGGCTGTTTCCTCTTCTCACCGCCCGCTGCTGCGATCTTCCTTTCTTTTCTCATTTGCTCCCGAGAGAGAAACAGATCACCCGGCATGAACATGAGCTGAGCATGGATATACGAAGTCGGCTGGTAGAGATACTTCTCGCTTTGCTTTGTAAGATTGAAAGGCACTTGACTGCGAGCGGGGTTGGCGATTGGGAAAAAGAAAAATGGGCAGGGCCTGGCTGGCGGGGTCAACTTTCTTTTCATACTAGAGCACTGGATGATGGCGGGGTTATTAGATGGGATATTGAGCGATCAATATCAGTTTATTGGGCAGTGTTATTCTCGGTTGAAAGATAGGTGCAAAGAGAAGAGTGGAGGAGTGAAAGCCCGACGGCCAAGGGAAATGTGTATTTAGATACGAGGTGCGAAATAGCTGTGCCGTAGACAGACGAACTGAGTATTCATATCGTGGCCAGCCTTTTGACCTGCTCATCACACATATCATCTCGGTCAGTTGTAGTATCCGAGGGCTGTTTCGCTTGTTTTCCCTCCTCCTTAATTGATTGTATCAAGGTAAGTGCCGTCCCGAATTATTTCCCAAGTGTGAAGTTTCACACAGCGTTGGATCTACAGCATGGCCCTGATGTTCATTTTATTCTCAACTTGTTGCTACTACTCCCTTTATCATTGGGTCTGACAATGGATCCGCTAACATCGATCACTGTAGGGAGTAAAAGCTCTGTGCGGTCCTCTTAAATAGAGCAAACACAAAGCAAACACTAGTGAACTCAAGCAAACTTAAGTAAACAGGCTAAAAAAAGCTGTATTTATAATCTTACCTAATCTGAAGTATAAGATTTTTATCTATACCTCCGTAATTCTATCTCGCGTATTTTACTCTTTTTACTGTAGATATTAGGTTTTAAAACTACCTTTAGACGTCTAGGCAACGTCACTAAGCTTTAAAACCTTGATTATCAAAGTAAAAGGTGTCTCACAAAGCTTAAGGAGCACTTAAATCTGATATCAGCAGATTTCGACTTCAAAAATGAAAAAGGCCGACCTGGAAATCCTGTCTATTCTATTACTGTAGCTAGAGCTCCTAGGCGAAGATCTGTCTTAGAGGCTCTATTGTCAGACCCCAAGAATAAAGGGAGTATGAGAGAGATAGAGCAGCAACCCAAGCGAGCCAAGTCGATGTTGACTCTTGGAACGGGCAAGAAAGGCAAGGCAGGCTGTTGCTGTTGCTGTTGTTGGTTCGTCTGGGTCGGCAGGCTGAGACTTCCCTTCCCACACTTTGAAACAGGCGCAGCAGTGTTGCCGAGCAAGCCGAGCCGAGTCAGACAGACATGAAGTGCTGATGCTGCACGCAAGTGGCTGGGTAAGGTAAGGTAAGGTAAGGTAAGGTAGTGAAAGTGTGTGGAAAGTAGTGGGTCAGGGAAAGTTACGATTTCGAGTCGTTTCCGCTTTGACCCCTCTTGGAGCCAACAGACAGTATTATTTGCTTCCATTTTCGAACACCCTGATATGTTACTTAATTATGTGGACGCAGGCTTGTGCTTTGCAGTACACGCAGGCCTCTTTTAGATAGAATGGTGATTTCTCGGTACGGGATTGTGTGGGATACATATACTAATTCTGATTCTGATAGTGTCAGATGGGAAGGAGAGACATTGTGAAGCAGGAGGAGATCAAACGAGGGTAAGGTTAAGCAGCGGAAAGATTTGGCGGGAGGGAGAGGAACGGTGCGGATGGATAGGTACTGTAAATTTACCTACGGAAAGTGGAGGGAGAAGGTCGAGAGTCCACCTGAAAGGTCCGAGCAGACCTACCTGCTCAACTCAATTTGCACTGTGTGTGATGGCCCTGATGGGTGGATGGGGGTGCTGCTGATTATTGCTGAGATGGATGGCGACGTATTCCCCTGTCCATGTCCAAAGTCTCGGAATGGGAGCCGAGATGTTCGGGGGCCATGGGCCCATGGGGCCGAGTGGGAGTCGATCATATCTTGTGCCGTTACATTATAAGATGTGCATGATCACTGGATGGTAATGGTACAGTATGTCCGCGGATGCCTCCAATAAGTTATGCAGATATCGTTCATGAGAGTTGAATGATTGAATGATGGGGCAATTTAGTTACGGGTTGAAGCTAGGACTTGCTGGGAGCAATGGGAGCATGGAGAATGGTAGTGCACAGTAGTGTAGTGTAGTGTTTTGCAGCACTAGTTGCCGTTGATGTTTCGAATATTTAGACTTCGCTCCTACTGTACAGTAGTGCCAGTGTGCCACTTGTGGAGTCGTGGTCTCTACAGTACAGTACAGTAGGGCCCTGCCTGCCTGCCTTACCTAGGCCCCTAGGGGTGCCTGCCTCGCCTGCCTGCCCCCCCTCCCCCTGTGTCCTCCTGGCTGGCTGTCTGACGGCGCCGGTGTGGCAGATGCCAGGATAAGGTCTACTACTACTACTACTACTACTAATACTACTACTACTACTACTACTACTACTACTACTACTACTACTACTACTACTACTACTACTACTTGTAGCTGTCGACTCTCGACTCGTCGAGGCTGTCTGCTGTCTGCTGTCTGCTGTCTGCTGCAGGCCTAGCTGAGCACAGTTAGTGCTGTGTCTTGGGTTGGCTTTTACAGTAAATTTACCTTACAGTAGGTGATCGAGGGCTAGGTCAGGCAGAGGCAGAGGCAGGGGCAGGGGCAGGTCAGGGTGAAATCCGGGGATTTGAGCCATGCCGTGCCGTCCTCGCGTGGTGGTGTCGGGTGCTGCTTAGAGTGCCGCTCTCTCTCCCCTCCCCCCTCCCCCCTTGCCCCTCCCCTCGCCCCTCCTCAACTCGCGCCCAACAGCAACAGCAACAGCAACTCTTCAGCTATCAATTGTACTGTATGCAGTCAACCCGTCGATCAAGAGCTCTAAGTGGAGGACTTTCTTGCAAGAGCCTTTCCATTGTTTGCTTCTTTAAGGCCGCCGTGCTACAGAACGGATGCCCGCTGCTTGTACTGTACAGTATGTAGTGCGAGGGTCCAGCGCAGTAAAGAGCGAATCACATACTCGGTGCATAGACCTCGACATCGGCATCTGTGCAATTGCTTCCCCGGAGGTTGTGTGAGGACGATACATCTTTTGAACGGACTTGCATCTGCCACGGTTCGTCTTCCTCATCGTGTGGAAGAGGCTGGATGATTGATGGACGGACTAACAGACTTATAGCTGTGCACAGTCTTCAGCCCATCAAACTCCTCTTTCATCTGGATCTTCTTCTGGTCTGGTGGTCTGGTCTGGAGAGAAAAAAGAGGACCCTTGATCATCCAGATATCGGTCGTGCTTCAGAAAAGTCCCGAATTGTGCCCCATGCTCGTTCCAGGAGCCCCATGCCCTTCGAGTTGACACACCCTTGAATCTCCATCATCGAGAATCCCGGATCCTTGGTCGCGCGTCGCACACGGCACAGCCAACAGCAGGGCAGGGCAGCTTCTTTCCCTCATATTAGTAACTCCCAAGTACTTCCCCAAGGACTGAATTTGTGCTGTTCTTCATCCCAAGATATCGATTTCCTACCGGTTCAACATTGACACTGTTCGAGTGGTCCTTCTGGTACGCTTGATGTTTCTCCAGCACAACCAAGTCAGGAATACTACACTTCATACATTATAGATTTCGGCATTCGTTCGGATCTTGCGATCAATTCTCCCTTCCAGTCAACCGCCAGGGAAGGATTTGAGAGCCGCATCATATCCAGGGCTACCAAGCCTGTACCCATATCATTTTGGACCAGAGTACCTTCACCTGCCACAGTTTCACGTTGTTGCACTGCCGTCTGACAATACTCGCCCCTCCACCGCAGGTTGGAAACCCCACGTCAGCAACGTCCAGTATATTCTGCAACTTATCAGTCCAGACAAAAAGCGAAAAACTTCTGCTGAGAATTCTGGATTGAGTGACGAACGGCTCGAAGTTTCCTCATACGAACGGCTGGTCCCCTAATTCCTTGTCGATCTCCAGGACCGCCCTTGTACTTGTGGGCAGTAAGAATTTACCGGTAGCACGATGGTGTATTGTGGGAAGCCCTCAAGGGGCTGCCAGATGTGTCGGACGAGAAGGATCAAAGTAAGATGTCCTCCTAATGACTTTGCATGGTGAAGTAAAGCTCTTGCTAATTACCCCGCAGTGTGATGAGACAAAACCAACGTGCAATCAATGCGCCAAATCAAGGCGAGTATGTCCTGGATACAAAGATGATTTCGATCTCGTCTTCCGGAATGAGACGCAAGCCACAGAGAGGAGGGCCCGGAGAGCAGTGAACAGCAAGAGGTCTGGGACTCAAATTTCTCTAGCAACGCAGCAATCGTCCTTCTCAATCACATCATCAGATGAATCAAGTCCCGAACGATCACCAACACTGATCGCGCCAAACCCAGACCAGGACATGTCGAAGGCGATATCGCCTCTAGGAGCACTATCGATCCCGTTAGAGCATCAAGCACCATGTTTCTTCGTCTCGAATTTCGTTATCGCGCCTCGCCTCGAGACAAGAGGCTATTTCGACTTTCTGCTCCCAATGTTGAAGAGTGAGTCCGCGAACTCACATCTATCACTTGCGTTCTCGGCTGTGTCTATGGCTTCTCTGGCGAACCGCCCAAATACTAGGGGCCAGCGTATGTTGTTCAGTCAGGCAATTGGACAGTATACGAAAGCGTTGAAGGCTACGAACTTGGCTCTACAGACGCCGGCTCATCAAAAAACGGATGCGACTTTGGCGGCTATTTTGATGTTGGGATTCTTTGAGGTATGAAATCCGACTTATGATAAGGATGAAAACTGACTTTTGAAAGACGGTTGCGTCGGAAAAGACTAATGCTATGGCGTGGTATTCACATGTTGATGGTGCGGTACAACTTGTGAAGATGAGAGGAAGGAAACAACTGCGAACCAAAGCAGGATATTCGCTGTTCATTGCCGTGAGACAACAGATGGTGAACACTACTTCTAAATCCACCATTGCCAAGTACTAACACAACCAAGCTCGTATCCGTACTATCAGGCTCCAAACCACTAAGTATGGGAGCGGAATGGTGGATCGCCGACATCGAGAAAGATAAGACGGGCATTTTCATCACATACCTCTCCTGTCGTGTCGCAGAGCTCCGCGGAGAACTTAACACCGCGCTCTCGACCTTCCCTCGCACTCCAGAGTATTTCCAAGAAGTAACCAACATCATGCGGCGCGGACAGGCCCTCGAACACGAATGCGTAGAATGGGAAGCCATGCTCCCAGACGAGTGGCGTCCTCGTACTGTCTCTTGGGTCGACCAAGTACCTGGAGGCGACATAACGAAGGCGGAGGTCTTCCCCGGGAAGGTAGACATGTATAGTGATATTAGTATTGCGAATCTTTGGAACCAGATGAGAGTCGCCAGGCTGTTCATCTCGGGCGCGATTGTCCGTTGTGCGGCATGGATCTGTTCGCCTGTTGACTATCGGACGACGCCGGAGTACGCGCAGGCTGTACGGTTGTGCGTCGATCTCGTTACTGATGTTATTGCTTCGACGCCATATCATCTCGGCTGGCGCGTCAGTCAGGGTGGAATTCTCAAGTCAGGGGATTTCTCGAGTCCGTTGTCCGGTGAGAGTACGGGTGTCACGAGCGCGAAGGCGATAGGAGGGTTCTTCATGATGTGGCCGCTGTTCAGCATAGCGAATACGGATTACATATCCGATTCTCAGCGGGTATGGGCGAAGGGACGGCTGATGTATGTGAGTGAGACGTTAGGTCTTAACCATGCAAAGGTGTTGAGTAATGTAAGCGGTCCCTTTCTTTACTTTCCCCTACTTCTTACCCAAGGTCTATTGATCCTAAGCGAGCGGTTCTATGCTAACGAAATGATAAACAAACAGTTCCACCTCCGTCTCCCATCCATGATCATCCGCCGCGACAACATGATGCACATGGCCCAATCCCTGTCCCCTTCCGCCGTCTCATCCACAACACGCGGCTTCTCTCCTCCCGTCGCGGCAAACACATCACAACACATCACAACTAGCACCATCACCAACCTCGCAGCTTCGAATGGCTTCACAAATCCGACTACCCTGATCTCAACTCCCACTCTCCATCAAAACCAAACCCAAAACCAAAACCAAAACCAATCCCTAAACTCAAACTCAAACACCACCAGTGCATACACCACTCAACCCCAACCCTCCCAGCCAGGAAACCCAACCATGGGAGCAGGCCAAGGCCAAGGACAAGGAAATGGAGCAGCAGCAGGAGCCGGAGCGCCAAACGTCATGACGACCGGTCTACCGATGTACACGCTCAACCCACTCCAGCAGCGTGAAGCGATGCTGAAAGAGAACTGGGAGAACGAGAGGAAGAACCTACTCAAGAAAGCGAGTAATCAGCAAGGAGACTCGGTAGAGAGGTTGTTGGCGAATTATTTTGTTGTTTGAAGAGGTGATAGAGATGGACTGGCGGGGTGGTTTGAGAAGGGGTGTGTACTAGGGAATTAGGGGATTGCGGGAATGGGAAAAGGCGTTGATGGTGCTTTTAAAAATGGCGTGGCGAGGCTAGGCATTGGTTCCGAATAAGGGAATTAGGATGGTGTCAGATTGCAAGCCTATTGCAAGAATCAGGGAGTTTGCTATGCTTATAATTTCGTGTATCAAATAAAGCTCAAGGACGAGTAAAGCAGCCTTAGGGGATTCATTTTCATGGTTGGGCATAGGACTCATAGTTTGCGTTTGCAATTGCAATTTGAATACTGGTGGTCTATTTAAGATAGGGAAATTTGAGGTCTGATTTGGTTTGGTGTTTTGTATTCAAATGGTTAGATTATGGGGATTGGCATTAGGTTCGTTCATAGGATGAGAATGGACTTATGGTGTTTGAACTCGCTTTCTGTTCTTTATGAGTTCCAACTTGGGTGGGATTGAGGTTTTGTATGTTTGTCTTAGGAATCGAGATGGCAACATGGGAAAGCAAGCTGAGTTGAGGAATCAGGGAGTGAACTTTTTTGTGTGCCATGTGCAATGAATGATCGGAACAAACGAGGCATGATTCTATATGTTTTGGTGTTGTACACTCCCGTTTCCCACTATCAGATGGATATCTGTACCGCTTATGTCTAGAGCAGGCTTTCTCGCACTAGGATTTCCCCGGCGTCTTGTTCTCTGCATGTGTATGTCGTGGCTTACTCAACCTCCGTGTCTATCCTTCGGATGTCGTCTATGTAGACTTCACATCCATACACCCTTACCCCTGATTCAACGCCATAGTCATATTGTAGTCGGGGTGTGCTTTTCATACATAGATTGGCAGCACCAAAAAATCGAAATCCCAACCTCCGCGGCATATCAAGAATTCGATTCTTCTTTCCCACCAACAGCCTCCTCACCCCTTAATGCTCTATCCCCATCCTCAATACACTCTCCAACATCCGGCCCACCCACGCCCCTCTCCCTCCACCTCTCCAATAACTTCTTTTCTTTCTCCCATAATATCCTCGCTTCATCTACCTTGCCTTCTTTGACAAGCCCTCTGACCTTATCTGGCGTGCCTAGTACCCTCTCAGCAACAAGCCTTAATCTCCTCCTCTTTTCCGCTTTCTCGATCTCTTCTCTGCTGGGTCCATTACTCTCTGCATCTCTCCTCAGGGCCTCCACACCCTGTCTAACACGCTCAACCAGCTCCTCCACACCTTCAACACCCTCCACTTTCCCCGTCCCCCTCATACTCCCACTCCCACTCCCTATCCCAATCCCACCCACTTTGACCGTCCCAGCCCCAGCCTCAGCAGCCCCATCACCAACCTTCACTCCTTCCCTCATCCTCCCAATCATCTCCGTAGCCACAATCAACTTACTATAATTATCATACACCAACGCCTTCCTCTCCGCATCCAGCGCCCTCACATCCGCCAGCACACCTCTATATATCGCCAGGACCTCCCCAAGACTCTTCTCCTCCAACACCTTCCTCACATACTCCTCCCCATTAAACCCCTCCTTATCCATCTCGCTCCCCTCGCCCTCCTCCCCATACCCAAACCCATTATCGTCCACAAAAGAATGAATACTCGAACTCGCCGGCGAGCTAGGAGCCTGTGATGTTGTTGAGAGAGATGATGATGCAGCGGCGGTCTTTTGGAGGTTGTAGTACTCGCGGAGAGCGGCGCGGTTGCGTTTTGGTTGTGGGGTTGGGCCGGCTGTGGATGTGTTGGTGGAGGTGGAGGTGTTTGAAGGGATGGAAGGACGTGAGGGGGACGAGTCGGAGCGGGGGGTGTCGAGGCTGGGGCGGGAGGAGGAGGTGGGTGTTGAGAGGAGGGGGATGCGGCGGCCGGAGAGGGAGGGTTCGCGGGGGCTGGCGATGGTTGACATGTTGGCGGTGTGTGTGATAAGTAAAGGGGTATCTAGTAAAGGGGATTTGGAAAGATGCTCAGTGTAGGCATTGGGTTTACCGATCGGGTGGTGGTGTTTTTGTGAAGCTTGCAGGTGAAGTTGAGTGGTTACTAGAGGAAGTGAAGTGAAGTTGTCACAACACGCGAGGCTGAAGCGAGGCTACGATTTTTAGCCACGCCTCAGCACTTAACTAACCTGGATACAACTTTCTATCAACAACAATTCGACAATACTATGGCTCAGAGACCACCCACTCTCACAGACCTAATCAACTCCCTAACAACCCACTCCCTCCCCACCCCCACAACCGCCTTCCTCCAACCCATCCTCACCCCTCCCTCCTCAAGCACCTCCTTCCGGCAACCACCCCCCCTCGCAGCCCTAACCGCAACAGCCAAACACCGCCTGCTCTCCGCCTCGATCCTCCCCTCCCCGACCAACCCCTCAATTCTCATCCCATCAACCCCCAGCCTACCAACAAACATATCCGATGTCCGCATTAAAGAGTGCGCCGTACCGCACGATGTGTTCCTCCAAGTTGTCGATATACAGGATCTAGGTAGGAGCAAGTGGGAGCAGATTGAGGGTTTGGAGGCAGAGAGAAAAGGGGAGACTACGAAGGGGAGGGAAGTCATACGCGTTATTCCCGCTACGGGGGAGGAGAACGATCCTTCTTCGGCGGCTACACAGTTCCCTACCCAGGGCAATACACAGAACCAGACGAGCGACAAGTCCTCCAGAGGACCCTTCAAGCTCCTCCTTTCGGATTTTAAAGGTACGACGATTTGGGGGTTTGAATTACGGAAGGTGGAGAAGATAGGACTGCCGCCGCTGATGGGGATTGGGTGTAAGGTATTGGTGAGGAGGGGAGCGAAGGTTGCGAGGGGAGTGGTGCTGCTTGAGCCGGGGACGGTGGTGGTTTTGGGTGGGAAAGTGGATGCTGAGGATAAGGCTTGGAGGGCTGGGAGGGAGGAGAGGTTGAGGAGGGAGGTGAAAGAGGAGGCGGAAAGGGCGAGGGAGGGAGGCGAGGAGTGAGGATATACTTAGGCACTTAGTGTAGGAACCTGGGAAGGAAGAGAAATCTGTGGATGTATCTTTGGAGGGGAGGAGTTCAAGAGCTGTTCTATGATACCCATTTGCAATCGAAAAGTCGAATTTGGCACTTGATTTAAGTTACCTGAAAAAATTACACATGTTAGACACTTCAGAGTACATATCTTCAAGTAAACAGACACCGAAGTCTATGGCAGACCAAGGACGATGAAACTGGCAGAAACAATGCTACATATATTATTATCTGCAAGATCCAATATACCTGAAGAAATGAAAGCATTGATCTTGTTCAGAGGGAAAACTTCCACATGTGTCCTATCTATCAGAGCTCCAGGCACAAAGACGGGAAAAAAATAAAATCAAGCTGGTCTGGCCCCGCCCATCATCTTGTCTAGAACATAGAGCTAAAATCATTGACGGCAAGACGCAGGATTGGAACTCGGAGGGAATATGAAAGCAAATCGGGCCGAAAATTGAACAGAAACATCTTGAATGTCAGAGCTGTAGATCCATACATCTTTCCTTTTCATGCCTTCATAGTTCAATCCTAGTGGAGGATCGATCTTGTTTGCATACGTGAGTGAGCCCAGAACGCCAAGTCAAAATCAAAAAAGAAAAGAGCAACTAGCAGATATACCTATTCCTCCGTGATCTCAACTCATCTGATCTTTGTGTGCATTGATTGACTTTCCATCCGAAAAAAATCGTTCATTCATTCATTCAATTCCTTTCCATAAACTTGCGAGCAATTCCCATCTATCAATCCTCCAAATCCATCCAGGCAGCCAGTCATATTTGCTCTCAAGAAGAACGAGCCTGTTCCCAAATATCCTTTACTCTAGCTTGTCGATCGATCGGCCGATCCAAACCTATGCAATTACGAAAGAAAACGACGAAGGAAGAAAGCCAGAAACGGAAGGAAAATCCACGCCGTCCTCTAGAACACAGTAGAAACAGGGGCAGAGGTACGTCTCATTTCCACATGCCTTAGAAATCTGCAATGCCCCCAACCAATCTTGCAATCCATCGTCTAAATGCCCATGGTACCCGATCTTGGGAAATTTTGACAAAAAGATACCAATGGTAAAGGGGAGTTTATCGTATTTATGAAGTGATGTGTTGATACCATAGTTCGGTCAGCCAGTGGCAAGCAAAGCAATGATTTTCCGCATTCGAGATCGAGATGAACACATGCCGGTCGGTTTCCAATGCGTGAAAGATAACGAGATCGAGCAGGTGGACAAGCATGCAAGTATGTTTTATGACGGGGTGAGCTAGTCGGAAACGGAAAAGCGGGAACACGCGAGGGATGCGGCTGAAGAGCCTATCGCATGATCTCGTTGTAGATCAACTCCTTCAGCTGCTCCTTGCTCAGGTTATCCTTGTTTTTGTCAAAGTCGAAGAACTCCTCTGGGATGGGGCTGGCTGTTGGCTCGTCCTCTGGGTCATGGTATGGCTCGAGGTATGGGTGCTGAAGGGCCTCGTCGACTGTGATTCGCTTGACTGGGTTGAACGCTAGGAGCTTCTCCAAAAGATCGAGAGCGAGGTCTGACGTCTTAGGAAACATCTGCTTAAATGGTACCTTCTTCTTGAAAGGAAGAGAGCGAATGTACTCGCGCGCACGACGGGATTTGATGCCATAGTAATCCTCCATGGTGGGCGTGCCGAGGACATCGAGAATGAGGGTAAGTTGGTGGTGGTCTACATGCGGTTAGTGATGGAACTATCGAGTAATGTGAATCCACATACAATCCTTCCCAGGGAACAATGGCTTGCCACTCAACATCTCAGCCAAGATACATCCAACTGACCACACATCGATAGCTTTCGTGTATTCCTTGAATGTCAACATGATTTCTGGTGCACGGTACCAACGAGTAGCCACATATTCTGTCATGAAACCAGAGTTGTCTTCTTGTGAAGCAGCAGAACGTGCCAGACCGAAATCGCAGACCTTCAGATCGCAATTGGCGTTCAGCAATAAGTTGGAAGGCTTCAAATCTCTATGTAGAACATTGGCGGAGTGCATGGCCTTGAGTGCTCGGAGGGTTTGGTAGATGAAGTATTGGCAGTGGTCGTCGGAGAGGTCTTGCGTACGAATAACACGGTGCATATCAGTCTCCATCAGCTCCTTCATAAAGTGTCAGAAAACATCCCATAAATTGCTTCCCTCATTTCGAAAATGCGACCTACCTGGATAAGATAGACTTCGGTGAATGTTTCATAGCTACGAGGCTTCTGGATATCGAGGATCGAGATGATGTTTTCGTGATTGAAGTACCTCAACAGCTTCATTTCACGGAGTGTTCGCAGACAGAACATAGAGTGGTCGAATGGGGTAATCTTCTTAATAGCAACCTTTTGCCCTGATGGCTTGTGGAGTGCCGAGCTGGAAAAAATCTTGTCAGCAGGCCCCCAAGCAAGTTCAAAAATCGATAATTGGTGACAGGTAACGTAACATGCCATCTCTATCAAGACGTCGCAGACCTTCAGCAAGGCGGTAACCGCGACCGTGTCATGGTCGGGTTGACGTTGGAGGTGCAGAGACAGCAATAGCGGGGTAATTCAACATACCAAACAACACCATAAGCACCCTCACCGACTACATCTTGAATATCATACTGTTCAGAAACGTTGAAGCTGATCTTGCGCGATCCCGTCGAGGGATTCGGCGCACGGGAGGTCATCTTGCTTGTGGGAAGCTACACGAGCAAGAAATACTGGTCTTGAATGCGATCCGTTTGCAATAAGGATTGCAGACGAAAGGAGTGTGATTCTTGGAACAGTTGGTTGTTGGGAGCTGTATCTACTCGCGGAAGCCGAGAAGGAGAAGTAGATGCTCCTTTGTTGGTTATTTGTGGACGTCTTTGTGCAGATCGAAGAGCAGTGATCAATAGGAGACTCGACGTGTTGACTTCTGAATCAGAACCTGAGGTGACGTCCGCTTAATCTGTGCCTGGCAAGCCCTATACTTCCTCTGAATCTGCTGATTCACTTTTGACTCAATTAGCACGACAATTTTAATTATCTCCTGACTTTCGCCTGGAATTGCAAGCGCCTGACAAATGTAATTTCTTGGAGGTATGATCGTGCTTGCCGTTCGGGTACGTACAGTACTTGACGACTTCAACGTCCAAGGATAATCGAACTGCGCTCGGCCCTGCCAGGAAATATGCAAGTGTCGCAGCTTTCAAAATCAAGTCCGGTTGCCCAGGAGGTAGGTGTTTTCGAGTTCGCCAAGGGTCCTTTGAAGCACTTCTAGAACATCAATGGAAAAATCAGCAAGCGGTCCTCTCTTTGTTGTGTCGCCTGTGCTGGCCCTGCTCCGTCCGTTTTGTCTCTTTCTTTCTGACACCAACAGCAGGCTAGGCTTCCAGAAGGTCTCGGTACAATCGCGTCTGCAGACTGTATGTACAGCAGATCTCGGAATAGTTCGTGTCTGATGTGTTCCAAGGGTGTAGTCCGTACCTGCAATCTTCAAACTCTGTGCTGTTCCAGCTGACGTTGAACTGGTGCCCCGCTAAAGAGTTGCCCAAAAGCCGTTCGTTGCGGTGTGGGCGGGAGAGGACGAATCAATATCGACTGCGGATCGAGTACAAGTGGCAGACGGGTATTGGAAAGTAACAGATGGCCAGATATCAACTGCAACACAAATCGTCCTGTGGGAGGTCAAGTTTGAAGGTTGGAAGATTGGAAGGTTTGGGAACGAGGTTGCAGGAACAGCTCTGCGCACAGAGGTCGGAGGTCACGATGTTGCTTTCCGCTGAAAGGCCTCGTCTATCCGACTGCTTCTGCAGGCCTAGTCTGGTCTGCTTGGTTTGCTTTGCTTTGCGGTGGAGAGTGGATGGAGGAGGGAGGAGGGAGGTCTGAGTCGCTGGTTGGGGTCTAGTCAGCGTGGTGGGTGGGCATCGACATGGACAGGAGGAGGGGTCGTTGCGGGCCTGCCCTTCCCTTCCCTTCCCTTCTTCTGCTGTGCAGTGCAGTGCTGTGCTGTGCTGTGCTGTGCTGTGCTTTGGCGTGCCTTTGCTTGTCTTCCCCCTCTCCTCCCCTGTCCTCCGCTCCAGTCCCTGGTCGTCGTCTCGTCCTTTTGCTGTGCTTGAGGACGGGCAGCGCTCTCTTACTGGCTGGACACCTGCTTGGAGGGGCCGACTGGCTTGACGGCGGTGCCGAATCAGCGTACTATGGCGCGGCCAGAGACAGGACTCAGGAGGGGCGAAGGGCGAGCACCGTTAGCGAGGGGAAGGGGGTGCCGCTGCTGCCCGATACTTAATTTGGCCTTCCCTAAGCGCCGGCTGCTATCACACCAGTCCAGAACTAGCCTCTACCTAAGTCAGCACAGCGCCGTCCGGAATAGCTTCTAACTCCCATGGCGCCTGTTTCACGGGTGCAGCCATCGACAGCGGCGTTTCATGACTGGCCGATGTGATGTGATGGCGATGGTGACGGCAGCGGTGCGACCACACTGAACTGTTGCTGGGCTTGGGGGACTGCATTACTCTCAGCGCATCACCCAATTAGTGTTGACTTCTTGAGCGCATATGACTATCCAAACTTCGAATGAAGTATATTTTTGTACTGTTTACTATTTACTATCCAGAACCCGTAGGCAATCATTGCTAAACATCCAACGGTTAGCGAAGCCGCCATTTACAACCACCCGTACCTTGCACCGTGAACCACCAACCAGCCATCCGAATCAAGAACAAGCTCAAGCTCAGATCAACCAGATCACCATCCCAAATGAATGATCTTCACCCCTTCGCGCCCTCCCTATCTTCCGAATCTGCTCCTTGCCAGCTGTATAACAAACCATTTATACCCTCCCCTGCCATCTCCCGTTCACTCCAGGAGCCAGCCCACAGTCCTCCTCAACCACTCGCCCCCTGCCCATCAAGCCTACCGGGATCCTCCTTCGGATGAAAGCCCATAGTCAAACACCTCCCAAACGATGGCTTCAGTTCAGGGACTTGGGAGGCTGGACGAGCATTGTGCTTTGTGATGTGATCGAGAACTGCTTACCTGAATCCGATTGGACGTCTGCGCTTCTTTTTTTCATCTGATCAGTGCGAGGGGGTCAGATACACGTCTACTCGGACACGCTTTCTTTGCGAGATCCAGCCTCTCCATTTTTGATCTCGATCCGTTCCGGTCTGCAGATAGGGCTTGGACTCCATTATTCGATTATCTAAGGGGTAGAATGAACAATGTGGTCTGACGGAATTCTTTGACCAGGTATCTTGAGTGATTTGCAGCTGCCATTATTACGTCTTAGCAAGTACGCCATGGCAAGGGGCGTGAGTCAAAGAACTGATCGGTCGATATAGAAAGTAAGGTTGAGGCGCTGGCTGTGGCGAAAGTCAAAAATTATCAGTGTCTCGATAAGCGACAGCAGAGTGTGAGACGTGCTTGCGATATCAACATGACGAGTATTATGCTTATGGTAAACTGCATCCATGAATCGCTTCACTAAGTAAGATGTTTTTGCTTTCTTTCTATAGTGCTACAGTAACTTTCCCATCTTCCATCATCTGACGAGAGCACTTCCCTGCTTCGCTTCACATGACGAACAATCATTGAACGACCTATCAATCAATCGCGTCAGCTTAAGGCCACGATTCCAGGACTCAAGTGTGTAGCAAGGATTCAAATGATCTAGCCTACCTTCTCTCTTAAGGTCCCCATCCACTGCTGGAAGCTCATTCCCTGGTCCGCCCGATCTTCCACCAACAGCGTCTGCGCCCATAACTTCAAGCTTGGATCACCATCTTCGCGGATAACATAGAGATGCGGCACAACAATGCTGCCGACACCTCGAGATCGGTAGTCCCGACTCTTCATGATGACAGCTCGGACACGCTCATTGAAGTCGTTGTCGAGTTCTGGAAGAGTGCTCTTGCCGACCTTGAGTTTGGTTCTGTCGCCAATGTCGAATACATCAGCTAGGAGTTGCGGTACTGCGTCCCGGCCCACCCAAAGGAATTGAGTTTGCCCATCGTCGATTAAGTAAAGACCATATGGTGCCAAGCGTTCCGAGGAAAGGTTAAGAGGTGGGGGGAGGACAATTTGCGATGTTTCGGGGTCCGGAACACCAGCATTGTCAGGCATGTCGTGTAATGAGTAAAGTCGAGGATAGATGTATTGCATCAGCAGAGGAAGGGGCAGAGTTGATAATTGGCACAGAGCCGCAGACCGAAGATCAGATGGTATTTGAGCCGATTTCCGCAGACCAACGTTCTTGATAAGGCCGAGGAATAGAACAGGCAACCCGCGAAGATTGGCAGGGAATTGAAGCCCGCCACCGCCAGAGTTACCTCCTGCGAGTTCTTTCTTGAATGTCTGCAGAAGCTCAACAAGCTTCGACTGGAGTGCTTCACGTGCTGGTTCGAGACCACTGCTTAATGCTCGCTCAACAGCTTTGTGGCTGAAGAAAGTTGTAATGGCACACTGATCCGCTGATGCATAAACATCCGCAAGATTGGTGGTCGTAGGTAAAGACAGTGTCATAACTCTGATTCGCCGTTCTCCGTTGCTGGTGGTATGGAGCACAGCTGTTTGCATGCAAACAAAGTTCTTCGTCAAGCTCTCGTCAATAGCCACTTCCACAACATAGCTCTGGTCTCGAGGGAAAGCAGGGAAAGCACAAAGATCCGAACTTCGATTGAAGAAGTTGCCATAGAAGGTGCTCATACGAAGGCCAGTCGTAGCACGAACACGTAGGACAGCTTCCAGGCCAATTTCTGCTGACAAGTAATCGCTAAACTCAGTAGCGAACTTGATAGCATCCTCGCTTCTTCCAGCATTCCATCCAGGGTAGAAATAAGTTTGGCCACCAGTATATCTTGGAAGGTTGCTGAGAGATGCCACGTCCTGGTACTGGGACGAGAAGAGGAACATATCGATCGAGACTTGATTCTTTGAGCACTCAACAGCAAAGCTCTTGTAGAAGCTGTTACCAGTTTGCAAGAGAGCACTTTCTTTTGAAGTACCCAGCAATTTCTTGTCTTCACGCATCTCGAGCTTGCCATATCCAACATTGGGGAGAGAAGCAGTGATAACAACAATCTTGCCACCAAGTGGGGATATGAGCTTATGACCAGCTCTCAGAGCAGAACCCATACAAGATCCATTATTCTGGTTGGACTGGAACATTGCTGGTAGGGTAGTGAGGAACTTCTCGACGCTCAGCCGGCTCTCTGAAAGTGGAACCAACAACTCCTGTGGAATTGGCAGGAATGGTTCATCGAGATCGCTCACAACAAGCATTTGAGTCTCTCCATTCTCGTCTGAATCTTTGGGAACGGCGAAGTAGTGCAGGCTGGAATCAACAGCCATAAACCCAACACGAGTTCGTCGATCAGCATTTGGTAGTCTGTTTAGGGAGTCCAAAATTGTCCTTGCGCTTGTAGCCAGGAGACCACAGGAAACCGACGCATAGCTAACATCGAACAAGAAGAGGTATACCAGTGGTTGTGGAGGTCGGACCATGTATTCCTGTGGAGCAACAAATTCTACCACAGCGTGATTCAGCTCCGGTCTCTGCCATCTGTCCACACTCTTCTGCGCCGCAGCGTCCCAATCGAACGCCTGAGGAACATCGTTTGTAAGATTACACATATTACACCTCCATCGGTGTCCATGATCGAGGAAAGTGACGTATGGATTGATGTATGATCGACATCTTCTGCAACGAGAAATGACTTGATCTTGTACAATGGGCACTGGGTCATCAACATCGTGGAGAGAGGTATATGGCTGGATGACCAAAGCGAATGGAAGCTTTGATTTCTTGAGAAGTGAGTGTGTTGTGGGAACCGCATTAAGTGTTGATCGGACGTATTTGGGAGGACAGTTTGCATCTGGCGAAGGGGTGACGCTCGACTATATCAAATTAGCACAACACTTTACATCACTCCGAGCAACGCACATTGGGAGGCAATATTATCGGTGGAGGTGGCAAATCCAATTCTGCAACATTGAACGGTTGGTTGAGCAGATCCGTGGGGTACAAGTGGTTCAGAACTGCTGGTCTGGCGGCTCCTCCAGGCGGTTGAGGCTGTCCTGGTTGGGCTCCTGGAAGAGGTGGCTGTCCTCCCATTCCCATCTGTCCCATCCCCTGAGTAATTCCAGCAACTCCCTGAGCTTGAGGTGCGCCGGGTCCTGGATATCCAGCAGCGGGGTTCTGGTAACCTACACCGCCGCCATATGGTGCTGGGGAAGCATAACCAGGGCCTGCTGCTGCGGGATCGGGTCCTCCAACTGGAGCACCATACTGTTGAGCGCCATATGGCGCAGCTTCTGGTTGAGCTTGATATCCGCCGTATGCTGGTCCTGGAGGTGGTTGGAAGGCAGGTCCGCCGCCTTGAGTCTGACCTCCTAATGCCGAGTTCGCACCAGCTCCAAAGTCGTAGGCTTGCGCCGCATATCCTCTCTTTTTCTTCTTGCCTCCATCATGCTCAGAGTGTCCGGCAGGTGGAGGAGGGGAGGTAGCTGGCGCACCGAAGCCAGGTTGGGAAGGGTTTTGTTCAGCGTAAGGATCTTGAGGAGGATAACCCTGAGGAGGGTATCCGTCTTGCGCCATGCTTGCTTAGAGTTGGATTCGGTGCGGGTAGCTGATCTTTAGCTGCAGTGATAGAACGCGCACAGTGCTCTCGAGGATTTGCTGTCCAAAATTCAATGTTGGCCGGGATGAGGGAAGGTCGAGGTGTGTGTAGTGTCGTATCACTTCGCCTCGTCCAAGCTTAAATAAACGGTGGTCTTAACGTTTAGTCCAAGGACCACGTTGCGGAATCTCCAGGCAGGCAATTGCTTCAATGACAGCTTTAGCTATCTTGTGTGTGACAATTCCAGATGGCCAGGCTGTAGGTTCGTGACACGGGGAGCGGAGAGGTGTGAGTGCATGTAAAGGAAGTGAAGGCAGTGGGTGGAAGTAGATCCTGGCCTTGTCTGCCATCCATTTCCAAGATCCCCACGTCGCCTGGAAATCTGGCTGCACCGACTCGCTTGAGTCACGTGCTACGGGCGATGGCCGGCCCGTGGCTGAGAATCGTTAGCCGCAGTGGCTCCGCCCGCCTTTCACATGGGATCATCGTAATTCGTAACTGACATCTCGAATTCTCTGTGGAACTCAACCTCCACATTATCAGGTCCACGCAAAACTCAATTGCTTATCTTTTCAGGGAGAGGTCTATCTTCAGGAAATATACCACGACTTCAGTTCTTTTTCGCACAGTCGCTATCGCAAACATGGCTTGGGGACGCTCTTCAATTCCCAAACCCCCTCCTCCTCCCAAGTCAGCTTTGAGGTACAGACCTCCCTTGGCTTGACTCAGAGCATGTAACTGACATCTCCTCTAGTAAACTTCTGCCTCTTTTGATCCTATTCATCGTGCTCGGCGGCTTTGCTTTCGTCGGATACCATGTCTACCTTATAGTATGCGACGTGCAGAAGCACACGAACGAGAAGATGGAAAAGAAGAACGTAGTGTTCACCAAAGACGGCATGAAAGTTGGGGTCAAAGAGCTGCGCAATGAGAACTACGTCGACAAGACGCAGAGTTTCATGGTGAAGGCCTGGAATCTGAGCACATGGCCCGAGTATAAGAGCAAGCTGTGGAACAAGGATGCCCCGATCAATCAGGTTGAGTCAAGAAAGCCGTACGTTGTTGCCTGTCTATGGATTCCTTGGCTATGAATATTGCTACGGTTCACAGTATTCGTCTTGTTCTAACTAACATTCTTCTTGACAGATTCTCTCGTCATGCTTCTGCTACCTCAACACAATAAGTACTCCTTACTCGCCACAGCTTCACTTCTACTATACCCCGCCATGTTCATTCCTCATGTTCAGGCAACGCATGTTTGTTTGATTCTTTTGATATGTGGTCGGCGTATCACTTATTTGAGTGTTTTCAATATACCAGGGCTTGGGCTGGGCAGGTCATTTCTGGGTTCTACTGCATAAAAACCCTTCGGCATGTATACTGCTTTATGGTTGCGACTATATGGGCAGCGGGGCAAGCAGAGATCTCATGGTACAGTGCCCAGGAGATTTGGGTGTTCTAGGCGTAGTCCACTGGCAGGACCGAATATTCAGGAAATGTATTCTGTTTCTCGGCTGAAAATATATGAACAGAGAGTCTTAAAGTACTCTACCTTCCCCTGACGCGATCAGTGAAATAATGATTCGGAAGGTCGTCAACTTAGTGTATCTTCGGCTTTTTGACTGCTATTGCAAGAAGCATAGAGACTAGGTCTTAGCTGTGTCTCAATGAAGCTGGTTCTCGACGATCTCAGACCACAATACAACACAAAGGAGGAAGAGTCGGCGAACATCTGTCAAGGGACGACTCCTTCCTCTCCACCTTCCCTTGCAAGAAGTAACAAGTACTCATCATCACCAGTCTCTGGATCCCAATCGCTGATCGATCACTTCCTTCAGTCTGCGTTACTATATTTTCTCTCGACCGCCCAAATATTCGGTATGGACGTTCTCACACAGAAACTCAACAATCGTTTTCTGATCCTTCTCCGAACTCGGCAAATCGTGACCGCCCTCATGCCTCAATATTGTCGGTTGCTTGCAAACCTTCAGCAGAGTTTCGCTTCGCTCAGGGGTAACAGAAGTATCTCTCGAGCCGATTATATGCAGTGTTGGGGGATCAATTCCCGATGCATATGCACTGTCATACTGTGGGAACCTCGCTTTGAAGCCAGAGATGAAAATGCCCGCACTTGGCACAGCCTGGCTGCTAGGAAGGCGACTCCGAAGAGGGTTGTCTCTTTGTTGATTTGAAAGCAATGCCATCAACATCCCTGCGAAACACGCTCCCTGGCTAAATCCCCATATTGCATGTACAGGACCTGTCTTCTGCAGGAGATCTCCGATGTAGTCGAGGCTCTGCTCAAGTCCCTGAAAGCTACCAGGCTGTTTCTTTGCCGGATTTGGATCTTTGGCAAACCACCAGGCTCTGTGTCCTGAATTTGAGTTCTGGGCGACAAACTCACTCCATGATCTCGTCATGGGATCTTCGAGTTTCATCTTTTCTGTGACCTCGACCTCATGAGGGCTGTCCGGAAAGAGAAAATCATAGTCGGCTGATAATGCTTGTGTGATTTTCCGGACTTGGTGTGCATGGATGCTACCATTGGATGTAAAGCCATGCAAACAAAGGATGCGTAATTTGCTCATGGTTTCTCCTCTCTCTTTCGCGAGAAGTACCACAGACCGGAGATGTCTGAAATTAATTGGAATGTTCGCCGTTTCCTTCGAAACTCTTGTTTAGCGGACTTGATTACCAATGCAATGCAACAAATAAAATGGCTTGAAATACGACGACGGTGTTGTACACGATGTCATTGAGCTCAGCCGCTTCTTCTGGATGCGTCAGCATACAGTACTAGTTGTTACGAATGCTTGGCATTCTGAAGCTTGCAAGGCGACTAGGTGACTCGGTAAAGTGCTTCCTATATCAACAAACTTTTCGTGATGAAAATTCTTTTAGCCATGAGCTCTGGATGTGTTAAGAACCAAATCTCTTTCTGTTCTAATTTTTTGATTCAACTTAAAGAAGGTGTGAATTACAACACTCATCTTCCACATTGTATTCCACGTCTCATAAATCGATCAAAACCAACTCAGCGGCCATGTCTCTCCCAAAGTACTTCCCACTTAAAGTAGCAGATAGAAAGTCGATACCAATTCCATCTGTTGGATTTGGTACTTTTGGTGCTCCGACATCAGGTCAGTACACCCCCATAATCAATAGATAAAGACTACGAAAGCTCACATGTTTTAACAGATGGGAAAGGATGGTGCAAAGATGCAACACTTGAAGCTCTCAATGCCGGATACCGCCACCTTGACTGTGCCTGGGCTTACGGCGTCAACTCAGAGATCGGAGAGGCCATCCGAGAGTCTGGCATTCCCCGGTCTGAGATCTTCGTGACGACAAAGTTCTGGATGCAATTCGCGGCTCCTGAGAACGTCGAGTTGTGTCTCGATCTTTGTTTGAAAGAGATGGGGCTAGATTACGTGGACTTGTATTTGGCACATTTTCCGTATGCTCAAACGCCCACTTCTAGAGCTGGGTTAGAGAAGGCAACTGCTGATCTTGCCGGCTCACCTGAAGATTGGGGGAAGCTGGTGTATCCAGAGAGTGGAAAGCCAGTCGTTGATTGGCAACATACCTCTGCACATATCGCTAAGCTTTCAGGTGCGTTCTGCCAACCTGTTCCTAATCTTTACCAATTTTCTATTAGACACTGATATATCTTACAGGGAAGGAGGGTAGTTTCGTCCCGACATGGAAAGCAATGGAGAAGCTCGTACTGAACGGCAAAACTCGTGCCATCGGCGTCTCCAACTTCTCAATCTCAGACTTACGAGACATCATCCCGCATGCCGAAATCCCAATTTCTTGCAATCAAGTCGAAGTTCATCCTTGGCTTCCCAACACCGAGCTTATCAACTTCTCAAAAGAACACGGAATATTGACGACATGTTTCTCGCCTTTCGCAGGTCAAAAGGCGGATGGCTCCACGCTTCTGAAAGATCCAGCTGTCTTGAAACTAGCTACCAGGAATGAGATGGACGTGGGACAGCTATTGCAAAGTTGGGCTGTACAGAGAGGAACTGTGCCATTGGGAAAGAGTAGCACTCCTTGTATGAATTTCCCCAATTCCTGCCAGTCTATTTGGTAGAAGGACTAACACCAGACAGCACGAATTCTAACCAACCTTCAAATTCGGAAGCTTTCTGAAGAAGACATGGAGGCTCTCAATTTTCTTGCTATCCCGGATGGTAAAGGACGGACCATCGATATGAGCAGTGTTTGGGATGTTCCCCTCTTTCAAGGTTAGAAGAGGGAGGGTTTGGCGGTTGGGGAATATGACCGCTTATGGATAAAGGGATTGGCGAATAAGGATTTGACAAAAAGTTCCTTGTTTCTTTAATTTCTTTAATTGATCAGTAAACTCGCAAGCAGTTGTGGAGATCTCAAGCCGAAGCGATTTCGGTGGTTTCACTCAGGCTATGATCGCTAAAATTCCGTATTTCCAGGCGCAACAGCACTAAAGCTCGCTAAAGATTAGGCGTTATTACTTGTTAATCGTATCACTACAAAACACTGAATCGCAAATGTTTTCGCAATGCACTAGATCTTCTACTTTATCTACAGGACTTATCCTTTGTGAATCAGATTTACATCTACCCGTACTAAGAATAAAATTGGAGAAGTCTATCTGTCATTGCAAATTGCCTCGAATTCACAACCTCTTCCCAGATGAATCGGTAGCGTGTAGGAAAATTGTGATACCGTTGATCAGGGTCTGACTTTCCTGACATATACACCAATATCTTCCCCACAGACTTTGAATACGGTGTACTACCTCGCATTATCGGGCCCGGATCTGAATTCGGGTCTTTGTCTTCTGGAAATATCACACTCCTTAACAGTTCATGCCTGCCACGGCGTAGGACGTGGATACCCTGAAACTCGATGCGTGGCGGCATGCCTTGAGGAAACCGAAAGGTGGGGTTCCCCAATTGGAGGAATCGAATTTCGTCGAAACCTGCTATTTCTGCGGGAGCGTTGATGGTTTCTATGTGGCCATAGTACCATAGTAGGAATGTGGAGATTTCATCCATTTCGACGAAGTCTCGTTCTGGATTGAAGAATATTTTGGGTCCACCGGATTGAAGTCTATTGCTCAGCTTTGTTTATTTCTTTTCCGGCTGTGATCTTACACATACAGGGTAAAATACATCCTGGGAAACTTACTGGAGAAATCTAGGTTTGTATCCATGGTAAATTGCCTTAGCAGCTTTATTTACTTGTCGCAAATATCGAGATGGATCAGGATTAGGCATGAACATGCTAAATTCCAAGTCGATGCGTCTTTCTGAGAAGGATCTCTCGAGAACAAAGGGGGGTTGTAGAGGTTGTCGGTTGATGAATACAGGTAAGAATTTGATTCTAACTGATACCAGGTGTGGTGTTGTAGTCACGTATTGGGGATTCGCCGTGTATGAATCTTGTACAAACAATCGAGTGTCGAATGGTTGGAATGTTGTATCTGGCGGTGGCAACATCGGGTCCACGGTCCCGAAGTCTGGAAACGCATCCTTCCCTGTGTGGAAGTGAAAGTCAGCTTTAATGTTCAGCAAAGTCGCAGGTCAGGGAATCAATAGGCTCAATCTAGATTGTTTTCTGAATACAAGCTACTTACAAATTGATAACTTTATCTCTGGAGGGAGCTGTTCGAAATCATGAAAAGTGTCAAATGTGGGCGGAGTGTACGTTGATGATGGCTCGGAAACAATATCTTCTGGCGGTACCGGATTCAGCAATTTCGAAAAATCATTCATGTCACCAAGAAACCTGCGTACAGCATGTATACATTTCGGTGCGGTGACTTTCCCGGAACAATAACGTGATGTACATTCTATATCTTGGGTAGGTAACAAAGAATGACTAGGAAACACAAGCTAGACGAGGAGGAAACAAAGAGGCTACAAACGTTTGTCTAGATAAATTCACTGTATTCTGGATCCGGAATACCATATGATAGATTTCTTTGTAGACCTTTGGGAGATTCGCTCACCCTGTTCCACTCCTGTGGCTCAAGATCAGGACGCGAACCAATCGGACTATGAGCGAAGGTAGAAATTATCTCATCAATTGGTTTAAGAGGAGCTAACAGAGGTTACTGCATATCAGCATTCACGCAATCCTGGGACTGAGAATCAGCTTTAATGTCAATTGCATTGATAGCTTAGTTAGGCAGGGCTTGAACCAGTTGTAACGAACTGTGTACCTTATCAGCTCGAAGTAGCATGGAATTCCTGGGATTTCTTTAAGGCCCCAAATTTGGCCCATAGCGCTATTTTCTGGGCTTCATTCCCGGTTAACTTCATCACAGGAGCTTAGATCTAAGGGCTAATACATGTTCACAAGAATCTTTTGGTTTCATGGAAGTAAGATGGGGTATTGTGGTTTATAGACATTGTTTTGAGTTCCCAATCATGACGAAGCATACTTATTCGGCCAAGACGATTGAAATCATGCCAACTTTGCAGATCAAGAAAGAGCGTCTTTGCAACTAGCCAGAGGTTACTAGAAGACTGAGAGCTAATGGAACATTCGAGCACTGACAATATAATGCACAAAAATATGGAGTTCATTTCCATGATAAAGAAGGGTGAGATAATTTACAATGAATCAGAAGCCTATGGAGCTGTTGGGGTGACAGTTGTGGTAGTGACACCAACACAGTTGGCTCCGGTTGGATCAACTGTCAGTTGAGCCTAGGAAACAATCAGCTAACAGCTCAAAGCAAAGTTCACCAAGAAAGATCTCACCTTGTCGTCGTGTCCACTCTGGCAAGCGCCACTTGTAGATGTCAATTGTCCACCCACGATGCTGACCATCTCATCACTTCCAGCACAATCAACCGCTTTCATGGTCGTCCCGTTGAAACCAATACAGGCTTGAACGTCAACAAGATCAGGTCTGAACCCAGCAGTGAAACTTCTCTGGACAAGGAGAACATCCACACCGGCTGCGTTGGTAGAAGGAGTAACTTGACGATCTGCTGCCTCGTTGACACAAGCGGCATCGACAATCTCGCCTGAAGTTAAGTCTTAGCACATTGTTGCATATAGCTTTTCAGGAAGGAGAAATACCATTGTTCCTGAAGGTAAGACATTCATTGCCTGGGATACCTCCAATTTCTGTCATGACGATTGTGTCTGCACCTCGGGTCACAGATCCTCCCGTGGCGGCATTTCCAGCCCCATTTCCAGCCCCATTTCCAGAGTTACCATTAGTGGCACCAGTTCCAGCAGCTACTCCAGCACCACCAGCTGCTGCTGCGGCGGCGGCTGCCGCCGCAGCCTTGGCCTTCGCTCGGTCACCTCGTGCAGGTGATGAAGCAACGAGAGCAGCCAGAGAACAGACGAGAATGGTAGTGAAGCCCTTCATGATTGCGAATATTGCTAGGTAGAAGAATTACAAAAGAACCGAATGTGTGTTGATAAAAAAGAATGTGAGTGAATAAATGCGAAGAGACCAGTCTGCTTCAAAGAATGAGAAATAGAATAGGAGTGAACTGAAGGGTGTCAATGTGTTACGGAGGGCATGTGCAGGTGTTTATGTACGAAAGATGTGCCATCCCAACTGAGACATGGCCAGCCCTGTCTTGAGTAGAACGCGGGTAAACCTGCTTTGTGTTCCCTGCTAAAACCCGTTCTAATGTTGGGACGAAAATTCCGGGGCTCTCACCATGCCACCCATTCTTCTTGGCCAATGGACTAACTCCAATAGGCTTTCAATGGACAAACTCAACCCAATGAAAAGCCGATATAACCTGGGTTTCCAACAGATCCTTCGAATCGAGTACCAGATTTTGAAACGGGCGCACAGCGAAACAGAAAAAGATGAGACGAAAGCAGGGGAGTTAAGCGAGAAAGGACCCACCTCCCCTGAATTTGGATGGTGAGGCGTCGCAGATCCTCCAAACCAAACATCGCTTAAGTATGAGTCCGTATATGAGTCCGTATTCGCCAATGAGAAGCCTTTGTTCAATATTCGTATTTCGTAAAGCCGGAAAGAACGAGACCAAGCTGGCATAAGCGCGCCAGCCTTCGCATCATCTCGCTTAACACCCGTAGTATTGTTGACTTCCCCCATCGCAGCGACTAGCATACTGCCCATATAAAGATCTCCTGGAGCAAGATCAGAAAACTGGCGACGTAGAATGAATCTTCGCACAAAGATCAAGAGTTCAAATTTCTACAATTCATCATCTTTTGAAGCGGTTGCATCAATTTCTATTCGCGATTCTTTCTTATCTGAGGCGTGTGAGGGGATTAATGTTTCCTATGGAGCAGGCGTCCATGGACAGGATCCTGCGATTCAGGACAAGCTGGTATATCGCTGTCATAATTTTCTTCGCTTTTTTGCTAAAATTTAACAACGCATCTACAATTTAACCAATCCTAATAATGTATTTATGCCATGCTCGGGATTGATCAAACAATTGACCATAAGTTCATGCGGAGCAATCTAGTCCAACAAGCTCATTAAAAACGGACTGGATTTTCGAAAATCAAACCTAGACCATGTCTAAAAGTCTGTAAAGGGCTCGCTTCGATACCAGGGAAAAGGGAATCTTCAATTCGTCAGGCCACTGTGTAGTGGAGAGAAAACATTTGCAGACCGTTCAATGAAACAAGTTTCTGTATATCACAAAAACGTTTGTTGAGCGCTGATGAACTTTATCCAAGTTTATAGCAGCGTTTGTCCCAAGAGGCAAAGAACGGAAGAGTCGGCACTTTATCCTGGTAGGTTGAATGCCCGGTTGACTTAACTTGCAGATTCGCTGCAACGACACACGTTCAAGTATCTTCTCTTAATTTAATAGTGAATCGAAATCAAAATTCGGTGAAGTACGTCGCTGATACAAAGCAAGTGACAAGTCTTGGGCGGATCAGGAACACAAGAGAGCAGACACTGAGGCTGTATTAAAATTTGACTGGTGGATGACAGGGATGAAGACTGGGGTAAAGGGCCTGACTTTGAAGGACCTGAGCCTTTCTTGAGCTCAAGGAAGAACGCAACACAAAGAGTGAGCGATACCTTGCAAATTACTCCAAGCGAGTGTAAAGGAGTCCCGCCTCTGAGCAAGCAGACCAAGGAGAAATTCTTAAGCCACTGCTTCGTCGTTTGACGAAGAGCTTTGATGGAGGCTAGCTGCTGTTTCTGGCACGGATGGCCAATTGAAATGCATCCTCAACATCGTCAGTCGGTGTTTGGACGTGCCTCGGTCGCCTTTTGGAAGTGACGCACAGCTACGAAATTAATTGTGCTCATTTCCTGTGAAGATCTCAAATGCGTCTGAAAGAACAATACAAATGACATCGAGCACGCCTAGGTGGCGAATATATAAGAAATTTTGGTAGCAGGCTCGTACCTTCAGTCAGTGCACTTTGTTGAAAAAGTTTTATTTCGTGCAGAGGATATCACTTTATGATTTGTGTTGAGATCGATAATTGTCGGATCAGAGGCGCAGCTTTGCCGGAGGTCCGTGGTCTCTGATGAGTCTGATCCCCCAATTAGAGGATGTTCTTATGTCTTTCTAAAGTTCAGATGACTTTTGAAAAGGCGTAAGCACTAGCCATGAGAGTGGTATGATGACTATTGAGAATGCAGAGGGCTACAGGAAGGTGAAGGTTTTCGCTAGAACAACTTCTCCTCAAATTCCACTAGCGTAATAACGTGCCATAGCTTCATTCTTTTTGGAAAGCTCGAGAAGCATATCCAGGAGTGCAACTGGGGTCGTATGGAATTTTGAGTACGCCTTACTCTCTTTAAAAATCCAAGAAAAAACACCAAGAGGAGACGTTACACGGTTTGTTCAGGAGTCTGCAGCCACTCTCCACTCAATAGGGAATTTTGACCCATTTAATCCCTTGTACCTGGTACTGCATAGCCCCACTTACAGACGCTGAATAAAAGGAGGAAATGGTCCTATGGTCCTTTTGCCATGTTTCCCATAGGCCAAGTTTGGACTTTTAAGTGGACTTGAAGTCTCGGGACCAAGGCATACCTAGGTACGCGAGAAAGCTTGCATGATACAGGGGTAATGCGGTCGGTTTAAGCTTACTTCTGGCTGTCGCTCCGGCGCGAAGTCTTAGCGCCCGTTTGCCCCTGATGGATACCAAGAATGTACCTCGGACGGATGAATCGCCACCATCTGACGAGGATCAACCATTTACAACAAGGAGCAGCTCATATTTTCTAGCATGCAATTGGCTCTATCGTATCACAATTACCGGTAGCATTGATCTATTGATCTAGTCGTGCACATTTATAGCCGACCCTACATGTCGATGCAGGGACATGACATGAACTACCCTGTCACAACCCGCGTATACCGCACGTGTGCCATTTTCTTTTTGATGCGGGAAAGGTTAAATTCGCTCCTTTGACTGAACACGATAGTTTGACGTCAAATAGTGCCTGGCCAGGCGCGATAATTCCCTCTTTATTCGGTTGCTTCCAGGGAAAGCATATTCACCGGTTTCTCCGACCTTCCTCTCCGACCCCCCTGTGGATAGGGTCCCTAGACAACCCACGGAATGAGGGGGATTAGGGTGAAAGTACCGCCGAAGTGAGTGCGATCACAAATACTTGATGGAAAATGTAGCTATCTCGAATCACAAGACGTGGCCAAGAGAACAGCAGCGGACTCTTTCTTTTATTCACGATCATAACTTGATCGCTGAGGCTTCCTTGTTTGGGGAGCGAAGCGAGCCGCTCCACGAAAACCGTATCTTGCACGTCACCAATTGGCCTGATACCACAAAGCACAATTCCTCGGGGTGGACTATTCGCCAAGATGTGCTTTACAGAGTTATACCATGAGGGAGTTACGAAGGAAGACGAGAGCTAAAGTTTTCAAGCTAAATTTAAGAGCCTTGGCCCTTCTGCATCAGGACAAACGGTGAATTGAAATTGAGTCAATTCAAGCAATAACGTCCACAAGTCTAGACTCGAGGACCCTTGTTATGCAATTGCAGGAAAAGGCTTTGCCGCAATGATGCATGCTTTAGTCTGAGAACAAGCAGGCATGGTGATCAGGATGGGAATCCTTTCCGTAGAAGTAACGTTAAGTCGAAAGTCTCAAGCTTTATAAAGCATACAGAGTGTCCTGACTGTTTTGATCTCGCTAGGCGCAGCTGAAAGCAAGGCACAATGTTCCCAACCAAAGTGTTTCTCGCATTTCTCGTATCGTCTGCCACTCATTGCTCTGCTCTTCCAAAATCTTTCCACAGCGCCAATGCAGCCGTTCAAGCTGATTATAGCCTCATTGAGCGCACAATATTCAATGGCGAAGGCCACCATTATCTTGTAGGCCGAGAGTTGGATGAGAATGGAGCACTGATCTGCGGTGACAACTTGGTGTGCGCAGATGGAAGGTTTGTCCAATGCGTCAATGGTACACATGGCTTACTAACAATGGTCTAGTTGCTGCGGGCCAAACAGTAGGTGCGGTTATGGACCTGAGATCTGTGGAACTGGTTGCAAGAATGGATGTGATGCCACGGCAATGTGTGGAAAGTACAGCGCCGACGGAAAGACAAAGTGCGGTATGAATTTATGTTGTGGTAAGTTTTGCAAGATTCTGTCCTTGAGACTTGATCAACAAGGCCTTCTTATAAATTTGATCTCGCAACGCTAGAAAGTGAAGACGCTAATCTTGTGACATTTGTTTAGGAGGTGCTGGCTGGTGTGGGGTTAGTACCATCTCAAATTCTTGGTCTTAACTCACCTTTGGCCTTTATCTGACACTTTTACGACAGACTGCAGATGCTCATTGCAAAGGCGAAGTTGGAAATGAATGCCAGCAAGGCTTTGGTTCATGCTCCAAAGTTCCACCCCCCTCATGTGGCACAGGCTCCGGTACATCGAGAGGCCGCACGATTGGTTACTACCAGAGCTGGAACGTTCGCGATCGGGCATGCATGAAGATTGCTCCGAAGGACTTGAAGACTGAAGCCTACACGCATATTTATTTCTCATTTGCAAGCATAGATCCCAACAGCTTTAAGATAGCACCGGCAAATCCGGCAGATGTCGCCATGTATACAGAATTCACAGCTCTTAAGAGCTCTAAGCTCCAGACGTGGATCGCAATCGGAGGCTACGACTTTTCTGATCCTGGCCCAACCCACACGACATGGTACAGTGCCCAATCTACTCATCACTTCTCACGCATGGAATAACTGACATTGTTTTAGGAGCGATGTATGTTCAACAGCAGCTAATCGAGCAGCTTTCATCTCGTCCTTGATTCCGTTCATGGATCAATATGGATTTCAAGGAGTGGATATTGACTGGTAAGACTATCTTTCTACCCCTATGCCCCTTATCATGTTCATTTCGAAAGATTGCACCTCAGGGTTTCGAAGTCCTGGAGTGAATTACAATTCAGATAAACTAGCCCGTGGGCGATGTTCTACGCTGACATGTCCTAGGGAATATCCTGGAGATCCTAAGAGAGGCGGCAAGCCAGCAGACACCGCAAACTTTGTTCTCCTTTTGAAAGAGATGCGAGCGGCCTTCGGCACAAAATATGGAATAACAATGGCTATTGCACCAGATTACTGGTATTTGAGGTAAGTCAATCTGTGTCTATCAGCACTGCCGAAGCCTGACATTTCATTCTAAGATGGTTCGATGCCAAAGCCATGGTAAGTCTAAGACAAAACTTCTCGTACCCAGTGGTGACACTTGGCATTACAAGCAAGAAAATCCGAACGGACATTAACATTGCCAATAGGAACCATATGTAGACTGGTTTGGCTTCATGGCTTACGACTTGCACGGTTCGTGGGACTCTGATGTCATGACATTGGGATCCATTGTTCGGGGTCAAGCAGATATCCGAGAGATCAAAAACAACACGATGCCGCTGGTGAGTGATGCTCAATTGCGGCTCCTTTCCAGCCCCCGGAGCTACCTGATACTGACTTTTATTCCCCAGTGGTTCGCCGGTCTCAATCCCCAGAAGCTGAATTTCGGACTAGCCGTAAGCTCCCATCCTGTACTTTTGCCAGATGTGTCATATCTCTTGGATATCTAGCGTTTTGCGGAACTCGATTCCCGAGAGTCCTGATTGTGCATTTACTAACTTTGGGCCACCTAGAACTATGGTCGAGGATATACTCTTGCTGATCCTAACTGTAACAGCGTGGGATGTAAATTCATCGGTGCAAGCAAGAAGTCCCGCTGTACAGGGTCTGATGGTGTTATGTCATTGACAGAGATCAACCAATTCCTCGTGAAAGACCAGGGCATCCAGCCAAGATTGAATCCTGATTCGATGATGATGGAGATAACATGGGATGATCAGTGGATCGGCTATGATGACGAGCAGTCCTTCGAACTGAAAAGGCAATTCGCCGATTCTTTATGCTTTGGAGGCACCATGTACTGGAGTATCGACTTCAATTCTGGCGCAGGAGAAGGCGGTCTGGAACCAGAAGTCACGACAGATGGCACCTGTGGCCCTCAGAATGGCCAGAAAGTGTGCGGAAATGGCTTTGGTGATTGTTGCTCACCGGTCAGTACTACCTGGACTTGATACAATGCAGACATAAAGTCATGCTGACAGTTACAGGGTGGTTGGTGCGGTTCCACCGATGCTCACTGTGGCAGTGGATGCCAATCAGGTAAATGTCTAGTGAGTATCAAGACCCTTTCGTTCAGCGATCTTTCACTGAAAATAACCTTAGACGAACTTTGAAACCTCTGACGGCACTTGCGGAGCAATGCATGGCAACTCTTACTGCGGTAACTGGGAGCAAGGTCCTTGTTGTTCATCATCCGGATTCTGTGGAAATAGCCCCGCTCATTGCAGTATATTGACTGGTAGCGACGGTACCACTAAAGGTGGCTGCCAATCTGGCTGTGATGGCAATGGCTTTCCAATCAAGCAGCCAATCAACAGCAATCCCGGGAAATGGGAAAAGGCACAGTACGTAGAGCAGTCAATTCTCGTTATCTTCTGACTGCCGAGAATGATATCGAAACTTCACCGGAATTTATCTTGATGGCCTGTTTGCTGATATCCGAATCTTTTAGGTGCACTGAGAAGGTCATAACAGACGCCGCCATATGGCCCAAAGACAGGTGGGATGGAGTCGACACCAGTACCGCATTAGAGTATGTACTTATTCAATCTGCCAACAGTGTGCATTGTGTTTGAAGAGATATTAACGCTACTTCAGCGCTGCTTTCAGCTACTGGGGGACTAGAAAGAGCGGGAAATTGACCTTTGCGAAGGAAATCAGCAATTACTTTAACGTACGTATATCTCAAGAGTCCACAATGTTAAACCAGAAGATTGACATTTAGCAGGGCCCAGAACAAATGGGATGCGAAAGCAGTAGGTTATCCTTATCTCACCTATGTCTCTAGCATCTGTCACTCCATCTGTTGTGTTCCCCACGTGGTCTTCTCTTCCAACGCCTCATTCACTCTGCCTGCAATGGCTAGGATTGGACTTTTACTTTCGATTTGGCGGACCTGAGTACTATCACGAGCGTGCTTTCAAGCTTAGCAGATTTTCTTCAGAACACTTCCTTGACACCCAAAGACGTTGCTGACTATTCTCGAAGTAAACACGGCCAATGGCTGCAACTCTTTCCTCGAATGCGATGACACCAATCACCCCGCAGGATACTTGATTCTCAATGCCTTTGTATCAATAAGTAATGTGGGTCAATCGTGCTTAATCCTCTCACTGGAGTTGGAGAAATGCTCAGAGCAGTGCTGACCTATAACTAGTATTACAACAATTTCTACTTCGCCATCGATCAAGCACATGCTTTAGTTGGAAGTACTATCAGCTCCGTACAAGGCACGGTAAGTTCAAAGGAAGAAGTCCCATTCGCTGTTTCCCATCCCTGACACCGTCGATATTTCCGTAGCACACTATTGAGACATTTGTTGACTCACTATGTGTCTAGTTTGCCAATGTCAAGAACTCCGAAAAAGCTTTACAGATAATGTTAGACGTCCTTGGACTCGGATTCGGAGTATTTGCAGCATCTGGATGGGCTCGATGTAAGCTGCTTATTTTATTTTTCTAGCCATATCAAGCAGCGGCTATGTCAGTTACTAACGCCTTTGAATATAGTGAAGCCAGCTCCATACTTTCAACAGCCAGGAAGGGGAATAGATTTCGACACTTATAAGGATACGCTCAATACCTTGGTGTCCAACGGAATCACGATCATAAAAGATACTCAAGTCAAGTAAGAACCGAATTTACTATTCACAGCTTTGCGCTCAGCTTTCGACATGCTAACGTACACAGGGACAAAACGCTGAGTGTCCAGAATGCACTTGCTACAAACGTAGCGCTTATGGCATCGGGCTGGTACAAGGCCGCTGAATCAACACTCAAATCGCTGTTCGATGGCTCTGACGACTCCATGAAGACACTGAAGTCAATGATTGATGGTGGAAAACTTCAAGACTTCATCCCACCAACCGCAGTCGAAATCAAGGATACAGTGATCAGGTCCATGTACTCCTTCCTCATTCCAATGGCGTGGAGCGCTGGTGGTGATGGCCACGCACCTTTCATTCTCGACCCTAGTAAGTTCTTTCGCGCTTGATTTGGAGACACACTCTAATTTCTCGTCTAGACACCGATTGTGATACTGCTGCTAAGTGGGACGACGACGATCATGAGCGCATCCTACGTATGAAGAGAGAAACCGCAGCCAAGTCCGGAATGTGTCTCAACAACAGAGTCTAGTGAGTTATTCGCGGCCCCTTCACGTACAATTACTCGGAGGCGTGAACAATATGGTTTTCGGATAGCCTTCGAGAACAAAATTTACAAGGTTTTACTAACACGCCATCTCAGCTACCTCGTCAGCGCTCAAGGCAAGAGAAATTGTCTCGAAACACACCAGGGGACTGTTTGTAATGGATTCGACCTCTTCTCAATGCTTCCGGGTATTACAACCCTTGACGGCTCAAAATGGAGCGGGATCAACAGAGGCCACATAATTGAGGGGTAAGTAGTCCAACTCCAATCAGTTAATTGACTCTGCTGTTTCTGAGAGCTAACAATTCTTTTCCCTCTCGCAGAAGCATGAATTCATGGACATTCAACGGTAAAAAGAACGGACTGAAGCAAAACGACGAGAAGCTTGTATCTCGCGACAACCTCAACAGCATGGTTGATCTGATGATCACCGCACCGGGAGTCTTTGTTATCCCAGTCTGCAGCCAGACCGAGGCATATGTCAATTGGGCAGGACAGAAGACGGGCCTGGCAAACTACCCTTGCAATTAATTCAAGTTGATATTCCAAGATCAGTGGGTAGGATAGAGTAGATAATGGGATGAGACATTGGCTTTGCTCCCTCCTAAGAGGAGCCAATGTCTTTACACGTTAATAGAACTCTCATGTACGCGGTATGGTTCGCTATTTAGAAACAAATCACCATGAGAATACAAAACTTTGCCTGAAACCCATTCCATATGTGTTGCACAAACCTTTCCTTGGCTTGACTCATTTGTGTAAGAATTTCTGCTTGCAGAGGAATCTTGTACGGGTACGTTGATTTCCGCTCGACATCGCAACCAACAGTACCACATACGAATTGTTGAAGTACCTCAAAATCCAATTTCTGAGCATCGAGTGCTATGTGGCTATATAACCTGCAAAGCCTCACCCGCGAACGCGCCGGCTGACACCTTGTTTTTTCAGAATGTCAGTATTGTATGCTTTCTCTTTTATATCACTTAACTAAAGTGTATCAATTTTTGCAGTAGTCTCTGTGTTTCTCAAAGAAATTGAGTTCTCTATCATCTCTCGAGACCCAGAACTTTGGAAGTGATCCGAAGGTACCTATTTACTTTCGGCCCCTTCGCTAAGCGAACTTCATATCATCAGACATGGTAAGTGAGGACGTCCGCAATTGCATGCGAACGACCAAGAGCTGTTCATCCACGATACCTTGTGGCTGAGAACAAACATCACAAATTGTAACACAACATCTTCGTGGCTTGATTATAATCAGAGAAGGGCTTACGGCATACTAGCACTGACTGGCTGGTTCGTCTAACAGACGCCAAGACTACGCCACGATGCTCGAGACAACTGCATCAACATACTAGGTCCGGAATTTCGGAGTGTAAGTAGGGAGAATGGATTCAAATGGTTTCTCAAAAGTTTAGAAATGTAACGTGAAAACACGGGAATGGTGGTAAAAGCAAGCTGATGTGAATAGTGCCGAGCAGCCACAACAGCCGTTTTATGCACCACGACCAGAACGATATCATGAGATGTGTGATAAAAAGCCATTTGTCACATAGAAGAATGATTTTGAAAGCGCCATGAGACCATTGCGACAACGAGATAGGTTGACAAAGACGCCTGCTGGACTCAGTTACGAACGGCTGGTCATGAGTGTCTGGAAAGCTGGCGATGTTCGACGAACTTCACCCTTTGTTGATCGAGGGAGGGTGATGCGAGTAAGAGCATTCGGAAAGTGGAAGCCAAAAGTGTTACACTACACTTTCTTTTGTTCTTGACCGTTGGTTTCACTCCAGGAGTGGATAGTCTATATCATCAACAGCATGCCTTCCAGGACTCTCAAAATATTGCCCCTTCACATATCTCCGTCAGCATAAGTGCAATCTCAAAATTTCAACTCACTCGACATATATTCAAAAGCGTTGTAGCTACTCAAATCTCGTAACACACTTCCTCCACAGCATTCTCTTCATCCACAATGAAGTTAACCAACCCCCTCTCCATCTCCACCCTCCTCCTCACAGCCGCCATCACCGACCTCACCCTCGCCGCCTGCTACGGGAGCGGCGAAGTCCTCAACAAAGCAAACGCAAACTACCACGCCAAACGAGCTTGCATGGGCTACGACGGCCACGCAGGAGCATTCCAAGGCTTCTTCTCCGCGGGCCAGAACAAGCAAGCCTGCATCAACAACGACGCAGGTGTCGGGGGACATCTCATTCTAGGAGTCCGTAACTTGAATCAGAATGCTGGCTTTGATCTCGATGATGCGGATTGCTTTAAGGAGTTGGGCATCTTGATTGCGCTTTGTAATAGGGGTGGGACAGGGACGGTTGCTGGGTGGTTCTTTCGGTAGGTGGGCTCTGGGAGTTGTGGTTGAAGATAATGCCATTTGCTGACGAGAGTACGAAAATATAGTGTTGACCCGAATGGAGGTGCGTGTCCCTGATCTATGGACTGCGGGCACCTCCGGATATGTTGACATCAAATTGGGAGCGAAATTCTTGGAGAGACAAGTTGATCGGGTTTTGCCAATGTATGTGATCATTTGAACAACCTTTTTGATTCATTTGAACAACCTTTTTGATTCTCTTTGGTATGGAATGGAGTGGGAAAGAGTCATGTTTTAGGATCTGCAATAAAGTCGCCGAAATATAGATACCCAAGGCTTGGGACTATTCCTAGGTGCTGTACCATGAATCCCACCAATCTCGCCTTGTGTAGTGAGTGCCTCATGATTTCCATGTTTGAGTAAACCTCAGATGATGAATCTGCCCATCAGTGCTTTCTTTGAAAACCAAGCCCACATCTTCCCAGACGATACAGTGTTCTCGATTCCCCTAGGTCTGACTTGGATCAACTAGGATCTGTAGAGCTCCAGCTGCTGGGACGCCAAAGCGAGGACGTGCCTTTAAAGTTGCGGCATATTTCGCCAGCCTATCTGCATCTCCATTGAGCTCCCTTGATATGCGCCAGAACGAAACCTTCGCACATTGTTGGGACAAAAGTTCCCTGACTCGCGCAAGCAGCTCTTTCCAGAGGTCTTGATTCTTGACTACGGTTCCATAACTCGATCTCCAACCATTCCTCTCCCAATCTTTGCTCCATTTGGTTGCTCCTCGAACGACATATTCCGAATCCATTGCAACAACCAGCTTTGATTTGTCTTTGGGCACCGAGAAACTGATCCTGGCTTGGTTTTGATCAGAACCAATACATCGGAGAGCTGCTATAGCGGCACGCAATTCTGCGCGATTGCTGGTGGGCTGTTCGCGTTTGTTGGTAGGGCCAACATCTTCAAGTCGGAAGAAGAATGCTCCATGCATGCAGTAAGCACCTCTAGGAATATTCCATGGCCGAGAAACATCATCGCTGCATCGGAATATATAAGAGCAGCCTCCTCGAGCGAAAGCTGTACCGTTGTTGGGACAGGCTCCGTCCGAGTAAACAAGCATCTCGCCAGGATCTCGATGGGCCACAAAAGGTAAACCATCCGAATGCTCAAAAAGCCCTCTAGGAGTTGGATCCACAGAATACTTAGGATCAAATACATCTGCATAGACCAATGGCGCTGGAGATTTCGATTCCGTGAAGCCTAGTAGTTCAAAGGGCCGAATGATTTTAACGACTGGTTCTGGCTGAGCGATGTGCTGTGGTAGTTCCAAAGTTTCCCAGGCTGCACCAACTCTGTCATTGCTCATGATCATTGCCTCGAGAGACTTGATGATATCGGGTGTTGTCCATCCAGGTACACGGTTCTCAGGATTCACAGCCCGCCTAACATATGCGAACAAAGCTGGTGACCACTCCTGCTCGACCTGCAATCTGCTTATTGCGACCCAGCAGTCTGCTTGCTCGTGATCATAAAAATCATCCATCGAATGGAATTCCTCTCTGCAGTGAAGACAGAGTGGGTCACAAGTCTCGTCCTCTTCCTCCAGTCGGTCACAGATAGACTGCTGAACCTCTACACGATGCCACCCCTCCATTCGATACTGGCGACGACTTTGCTTAGCCGCTAGAATGAAGGCGCGATTGGACCCGTTGAATGGACGATGCTGAGACATCTTGACGGCATGTGTCTGATACTTCGACTGGCTTGGTCTGAAGGTCAACGGGGAACGCGTCAAGATGTGAGGTGAGGCCTGTGCTGGATTAAGGTTACATCAGAATGCCGAAGAAAAGGGGGATGAAAACGCCGATGCCGAGGTCCTTGAAAGGTTCTAAAAGATGAAATAAGTGAGAACTGGTCCGCAGACTCGAACTGTCATTCCTGGTGGATGTGATGATAGCACGATATGTGCAGGTTTGTATTGGTTGGGAAACATCTATCCAGCTACTATCCGCCTCATGTTGAAAGGCTGGCCTTGGCGAAGCGACTCCTGGCAAGACCGATCCCGAGTCTAAATAACGCCATTGTAAGCTGATACAATTGTAAAGAATTTTATAAGAATGATAAGTCAGCTGTTGAGGTTCAGAGCAAATGCATTCCATAAACGCCTAGAGCCTTGTATGCAGAGCTCACTTTGGTATCGTAACATCTCATCCATTCGTTCACCCATGCCAGCCATCACTTCATCACTCCACCTTACCCCTAGCTTGATCCAGCCCCTTCTCAATCACTCAGCTCATCCTTCCCCAAGACCATCTCCCTAACGTTTCCCGCCAGTTCCTGCACCTTCCCGGCCGCACCACTAATTCTTTTCTGCTTCTTCTCCGCATGCTCACTAATCCGAACCAACTCACTGACAAACGACTCTCCCCACCAAGCACTTGTGTACTTGAAGACATATCTCTCCAGCTTCTTGAAGTTGATCTCGCGCTGCTCAGGGGACATCGTGACTGCATCGTGGATAGCGCCAGCGAGTTCTTCGGTGTTCCAAGGATTGACAATCAAGGCTCCATTGAGAGATTGCGCGGCGCCTGTGAACTCGGACAGGATCATGACTCCGTGACGCTTTCGCTGTGTGGCGATGTATTCGTAAGAAACCAGGTTCATTCCGTCGCGGGTAGAAGATACGAGACAAGCATCAGAAACGGCGTACAATGCTGTAAGCTCGTCGAAGTTGACAGATTGGTGGAGGAAATGAATGGGCATAAACTCAATGGTGCCGAATCTGCCATTAATTCTTCCAACGAGCTCGTTGACTACAGCGCGTAGGTTCTGGTATTCTTCGACGTCTTGACGACTGGGTACTGCGACTTGTACGAGGACGACCTTTCCGATCCATTCCGGATGTTCAGTTAAGAAGACTTCGAGAGCGTGCAGCTTTTGTGGAACTCCCTTGATGTAATCAAGACGATCGACTCCAACAATCAACTTCACACCTTCGAATTTGCGCTCCAGCACAGCGATGCGGTCTTGGACAGACTTCTTCTGTAGACCTTCGATGAACTTCTCAGGATCGATTCCAATAGGAAATGCTGCGACGGTAACATATTTTCCACGGAATTCAACCCCATTAGGCGTGGTTGGTGTTTCTCTGTCAACAATTAGATGGAATTCCAATAACACGCAAATCAAACTTACAGAATTCGAGAGCAACTGCTTAGGAAATGTCGTGCATAGTCATAAGTATGGAAACCGATCAAATCGCAGTGGAGGACTCCAAGAAGAAGTTGTTCTCTGACTGGCAAGATTCTGTAGATCTCAGAACTGGGAAATGGGGTGTGTAAGAAAAAGCCAATCTTGACGTTCTTCTTCGACGATCCAATTTCCTCTCGAAGCATCTCTGGCAGAAGCATCAGATGGTAATCGTGAACCCAGATCAAATCGCCATCTTGTACATCTTTAGCCATTGTCTTCGCGAAGAGTCGATTGACTTCTTTGTATGCCTCCCATGCTGACTCGTCGAACGTGATCTCTCCGGGATGGTAGTGGAATAGAGGCCAGAGGATAGAGTCTACGCAAGCTGTTAGTAATGTATGCCATGATATCTCGGGGGAAGCTTACTTGAGAATCCATTGTAATGTCTGTCTGCCAGGTCATCATCGATGAAGACGGGTACAGCACCATGTTCGTCCTTGAGTCTCTTCACCATAGGTCCAGCCTCTGCATCTGGGACTTCCAGGCCAGGCCAGCCATACCACTGGAAGGTAGTTGTCTTTGACAGTCCGCTCAAACCTGTAACCAGACCACCGGATGACATGGAAAAGCTGTAGGCGCCATCGTCGGAGCGTTTGATGGTAATGGGCAGTCTGTTGGATACCAGCAGAAGTCTGCCCTGCACGGCTGGCTCTTGTACAACTGAAGGCATGGTATCGGTGTCAAGCAAACAACTGTTCGCAGATTTGTAGTATGCAAGGAGGATTGAAAGCTATTTTTTATGTCGTTTGAAGAGGTCGATGTGGAGGGGTCGCTGAATGTAGGCAATTGAATTCGGCCGGATGATCTCGACGGTTATGAGCGGTGGTGTTACGAGAAAGTTATTGGGGGTTCCAAAGCTTATGCGAAGATGTTGTAGAGTAATTCTGCAAGCTGGAGAGCTTTACTAGCAGTCACATCGACTTTCGGTGTCGTTGAGGTTGGTGTCGCAGCTGGTAAAGCCGTTGCCGTCGAAGTGTTGGTAGAAGGAGGGGCGGGGAAGGAAGGGATGGAGGGGAGTATTTGTTGATTGATTGATTGATTGATTGATTGTTGACTTCTTGAAGACGATTGAATTGTTCGCTCGCTCCTGTTTATCCCGATTCCGATGGTGACACAAAGACAAGGAGAGTCAGTCAGTCAGCAAGCAGGAGATATTCTGTCTTGTGGTTGGCAGGTTCCTTGGTCCTTCGCAAGCGGGCAGAGAATACAGGGCAGTTGCAGATGGAATTCCTGGCGACGTAATTGTTCCAGAGCTGCAGCTGCAAATTTCTGCAGGGGTCAAGAGGATCTGCGACCAGCAGAAGCGGCCCACCGAGCCACCTCACCTCACCTCACCTCACCTCACCTGTCAGCTTTGAACGTCGAATTACACGTCCAGCATCTATCATAATTCGAGCGTCCAAAGTTTCGATCAAAGCTTTTCAGTATTTCACGGAGCAAACTTCCTCTCCTCCGTTACTACAGTTTGGCCGAACCCTTTCCGCGAGAATGCCCAACGCTGCCCAATATCAAAGTCCCTCGCTGTGAACAATGAGAGCTCCAACCACCCTTACACAGCAGAACTGCTAGAATTTGACCGGCTAAGATTCCTCGGTAGCATGCAATGAATGGCAGAATGGGCCCGAACGTCCGAATGCGCAGGGGTGGGAGCATGGCAAACTTGGAGAATGCCTAGATGCTCCAGAGCCAATGGTTCAGTCACGTCGGCAAGCCCCATCACGGCTTCGCCCGTGATGCAGAAAGTGTGATTGGGTAGGTAAGATGGGGATAATACCACTGGCATTATTCAGAGGAAAGCGGTGATAATTCTGGGGGAATTTATAGGTGAAAAGGAAGCTTGAACTGAGCTACGAAATACTTTTTGATAGCAGTCACGTGATCACGAGATGGAGTTTGCAAGTGCTTCCTTTGAATCGGTCGTTAGAGTAGCTCTGGATACCATTCAGCTGCCCTTATCTTGCTTGTATTGTCGATTTGGGTTAGATTTGGACTGGTTTATTCAGCGTTTCAGTATCAAATAAGTAATTCGTCTTACGCTCTTGTGGCAGACAGGTGTATCATGCGAGCTGAAGCAAGAAAGAAAACACAAGGTGCATGGAAGGCTACACCAACGTTACAACAAGCCGCTCTGAGTGTACAGTTCTTGAACGAAAGTCATAGGTACCAAATGTTACAAACTTCGTTGCCTTGCGATTAGACATACATATTTATATGTTCGCTTAGTGAGTGGCTCTCGGGCCCGAACCTCATCTTCCTCCAGCCACCTCCTTTATTCCCCAACACGTCGCCCCTGTCTCAACCAGGGTCGAGGATCGTCTACCGTGTTCTCATTCCAGACGGAGCAGAGAGAAAAAAGGCCAAAAAAATTGGTAGCTTCTCTTTGATTGAGCGTGTCCTATGTAGGAATTAGTATTGCCATTCGAGAAGAGGTATCACCGAGAAGAACTCACATCCTTAGTGCAGGGCTGGAATATATTAGCTGTGATCGCTTGAGCGGCTTCAATTGAGACTTACGCCATGCTAATCTTCTCTGTATCGTTTCAAATTGACCACTGAAAAGACACTGTTAGTCCTTATGTTGAATATTGAAGTAGCAGGGAGATGGGCAGACTTACAATGCCTTGCGGCGAGGGAGAATTGCTTGCTTGGATAGATATAGCGGTGTGGACTGAGTCCTGAAAATCTCCCGAGGCATCGAGATCTTGTTTATGTATCTTCATAAATCTGTCTCACATAGTCTAGATTAGGGTTATGAACAGATAGTGATGTTATCAAGGAACGACCTTGAATGGTCATTCAGATGGCTGACTGTTCTATGACAGTTAAACTGCGTCAGACTGGCAGTCTCGAACTACTTTTGACGGAAGGTGAATCTGGGACGGCCAAGTAGTAAACATGTCTCCTACGACCCCTGACCAAAGTATTCATCTCTCGCTACTCGTTTCAAATGTCATGGTATTTCAGAATGTTTATCTCAAGAAACTCTGCCAATTCAAGTGCAATAGTCTTTGAGGTAGCTGTCAAGTGTATCGGCGATGCCTTTTTTCTCCAACACTCCATCAATTTTCACCCAGCAGCACTTGCCAGCTAATAACCATATCTATTATTGCCTTCTGGGCTTTCATACAGCAATTATTTGCCTTCAAATAAATCAAATTCCGCCAACAGAGAAACAATGCAGTAGCACCTTGGTCTCGAGCCGTTCTTTTGACAGAACCAGGACTCATACCTCCGTCCAGCGCTACGAGAGTATGGGTCCTACGGAAATGGAGAACCGCAGAGGGTTAACAAGCAGTTTTCTCAAGAGGTAAGATATCAATGCCTAATTCGACAGTTGCGGACATCAATTGTTGAAGCGTACCCATATCTCTGGGCTCTGGCGGCCAGTGGCCCAAGAGTCATTGGCCAGATCCAATGCAATACTCAAGAATGTAATCAATACCATCTGACATGCATGAGAAGATGAGCGGGGACTACCTCGTCTCTTCGGGTTCTGTGCTGCTACCCGTAAATGCTTAATTACCGCTCTGGAAGTCAGGGACCGTTCCTCTTGGAGATGGTCGGAGATGGGGCCCTTGGAACATGTTTCGTAAGGTTTGTTGACAAGAAGTTAGGTAATGTTTAGGAGAGGAGATCGAAAACAGCCTTACGCGGCTCTTTATGCTCGGCCCAGAAGGAGTTACGTCTTACTGTGGTCTACGCAATGCGACTATGCTGTAACAGACTAAGAAGCTTAACAGCTAATGGAGCATCTTTAATATGGAGAGCTATACAAACCTTAAGAGTATGTCTTTTTTCGTATACACTGTATCTTTTTTTTTGTATTCAAATGTGACCTCAAGTGGTGATGGTCTCTCGTATTCTCTTGGTGGCGATTGCTTTTCTAAGCCCATTGCCCCAAGCAGCCGATAAACTTGGCTTGAATATCCATTTAATAGCCCTATTATTTGTAGTGGGGAAAGATGCAGAAATGGCCAAGGACAGCCTTTGTCAAGGTGAATCGTTTGTTGTTACCAAATTAAGCGAATGATTACCCGCCGCCCCCTCGGTCTTACGATGCTGCTTATTGTATCATATGAACTTGATCTTTATAAAAGTCCTGCATTGGAGGCTCTGTGAGTTCGGAAGTCGTCACGCGACAGGTGTGAAGAGACCGTTGACAAAAACGCTACACAGCCTGTCCATAGATAGGGACATGTCGATCGAGTTAGTTGGGAATTGGAATGGGTTAAGTGCGCCCCAGAATATTGAAAGAGGTGATAGTAGCGGATCGGAGGTACGGCAATTTTTCAAGCCCGCAAGTATAATTTCTGCATCATTGGAACCTTGCAGTGTCTTAGAACGGCCGGTTACCGTCCCGATGATTTGTTGGTCTACGCTACCTAAGCTAGGGGTGCGGGGAGGAGATCGAACGATGAAACTCCAATAAGGTTCACGCGCTTCAGGATTCTTGGTTTACCGTCCATGAACGGTCCAATTATTGACTACTGATGAACATGTGTGGCGTTTCTCATACTATTTTGTAGGTGAGGCACTAACAGAGGAGAACAGCCTCACGTTGAATTCCCATCCTTGATCAGCGAGTTTGAGACGAACTATAATGAATTCCGCAGGGTACGTTGAACTCTGATCAAGCAGTGCTTGCTTGGATGACATTTGCATAATCCACCCATGGATAGAGTTCATTCTGAACCCGTAGCTATTGGCTGAGTGAGTCTCAACTTGACTCCAAACAACCCAAGCTCCTCCAAGGACACGTTTTGAAATTTTGCCATCTGCTATCCTGCTAGCATCTCGGTATCTCGCCGTTCGGTAGTCTCAAATCCAGACTCCACTTGAAAATCACTGGGAGTTCCGAGCCTGGAGGGCAATTCCGGAGGACGACTCCCAGGTGTCAAGCCAACTGGTGCCCAGTTTAAATAGTGTACGTCAACGGAAACCTAACGCACAATCCTGCGTGCAGATCCTGAGCTAGAAGCTTGCACAGACTTCTTCGTGAACCCGAACCTAGTGATTTGCAGACGGTCTGGCCATTATGTGGTCGAAGTGGAAAGGGTGCTCGGACGAGCAAGCTGGTAGTGCGGGGCCGGAGTGGTTAGCAAAAGGGTCTGTTGTTTCTCTTTCGTTTTGGCGCGGGACTTAGGGTGTACTTAACAACGCCCAACATGCGCCGGTTTTCACACGCATTGACGTGGTTTGTGAAGGCGACCCAACCTCTGAAGCTGTTTGGATCTTGGTGCTACGCCGTCAGCCTGGAAGAACGAAGTCCGAAGTTCTTAAAGATGAGGCACAGTAGTGCAGTCAAACTTATGAACTTTAATGTTAGTTGCTACTTACTCTTGTTTGTCTAGAAGTACCCCTCAATATGCAGTATAAGGTTACGCCGACATGACTTCTACCTCTACCGACAGATTGTGCTGCATCGGATCAGATGAGTGATCAGAAGAGAAAGTTCATTCCACCTCCTTAGGTGCCTCATTGCAATGCAGGCGGTTGAGAACAAAGGGCCACAATTGCAAATTCTGGCCATCGCTCTTATCTCTTTGGCATGGGTTGGAGTTGCCCTGCGGGCATATACTCGTTTCTTCATTGTCAAAAAGATCACCTGGGACGATAGATTTGTTGCTGCAAGCTTGTACGTCAAAAAGTCCATTCTCAAGGTTTGGCTGTATGTGAGAATCCGAGAAACTGACAGCTTGTATCAGAGTATTCTACAGTATCTACTGCTCTTTCGTTCTTGTCGGTGTTCATTATGGCACCGGACGGTTCGATGCGAATCTCGATGTTAGAGACCTGTTGACGGCACATCGGGTGAGTCTTGGACCGGGATTGTACTGTTCATAAATTGACATGTGGTTTAGTATTGGTACTATTGCGAGTGGGCATATGTGATTACCATGTGCATGATCAAAGTCGCTATCACAAGTAAGTATTCTCCAAGCCTTGCTCGTTCCGCCACGAGTACTTGTAACATCCGTGCTCATGACCTTCAGTTCTTTACCTTCGACTGTTTATTGAAAAGTGGCAACGCCGAGTTATCTGGATCACATTGGTAATAGTGATAGCAACCGGAGTTGCTTACCTCCTTGCCGTCGTCCTGCAATGTGTTCCGGTCACATTCATCTGGCACCGATACGAGCCGAACACAACGCACAAGGGTTTCTGCCTCCCACGTGGGATCGTTCTCGGCGGTACATATATACACTCGGCTGTGAGCGCTATCTCAGATTTCACGCTCGCAGGTCTCCCAGTAGTCCTGTTGTGGAATGTACGATTCGCTTTCTGGAAGAAATTTTGGATTGGGGTCATGATGGGATTAGGCGCGATTGCTGTCATTGCGACGTTGATTCGTCTTCGCTTCATTGAAAGCTTGGTGATCAAGAAAGACTTTCTCTGTAAGTGCCAGCCCCACCTCCTTGTTTGAAGTTCTGCTGAACTAATTTACTTTAGATCACACTTTCGGAGTAGCTATCTGGTCTACAGTTGAGCCAGGGATTGCCCTGTTTGCTGTTTGTCTATCTGTTCTCCGGCCTCTCGCCGCCAGGTTCTGGGATATACGCCTCGTCAGAACGATTGCTACACTTCGAATTGATCCTGAGCCAGTTCAAGAGGAGGCGTATGGGACATTGCAAAGCGGATCTGCACGACTAGGAACAGAGGCTACTATGCAAAGTAGGCAGAGGGAAGGAGACGTAGAAGCTGCCATGGCCGAGGTTGCCCCTGGAAATATACTGCGACCTTCTCACACATCAGAGCGGCAGCAGGAGTCTGACAGTCAACAGTTTGAAAGCTCGTTTGACTTTTCCAAAGCTACGGTCAGTAGTAGTGAGGCCCCATTCACGCTGGAATTGGATCGCGAAATGACGAATCCAACAATGCTTCCTTTGCACGTTATATTCGCTGGTTTAGATGTGCCAGAGATGTCTCTGAATCGTTGGTCGCAACAATCATGGGGATTCTCAAAAAGAGATTCGAAGAAATGATCAGCGAGAAGCTGATACAAAATCCTTGTACATATATACATATATAGAGAAGTAATCTAATCACCAACAAGCATTCCATCTTCAGTCGAGTTGCTGTGAGTGCAATTGTCACATATGTTGCGTCTTGTCAGACCACTGCCGCAAATTCCGGACATCTCCTGAAAGCATGTAAACTATAATATTCTCATCATTTGAAAACATATTCAACGATCTATATACTAACACTACGAACATAGGAGATGTAGGATACCCTGATAGGCGAGACAATAAAGCCAGCCCTGACTCCGCGACGAGGCGTGGGTCTATATCACTCTACCAATTGAAGGCAGAACACCAACTACGCAAGAACAAGAAGTTAGAAACTGTAGCCAATAGTACATGCTGCCCTTTACTTACCTTGTACAAGCTGCCTCTCCCCAATAGCCCCACCACGCCGATCCTTGACTGTACCAGCAATACTCTCCTCCTTTCATATCTGCAGACAGTCAATAGACGAAACAGCCAATATTAAGGGTATGGAACAATGCAAACTTACCACGATCCGTAGTTTCTCCTTCAATATGCCCATATGCGGAGTCAATCGCGTACCACTTGTCCCATCCCCAGTTCGCAATACCCCACCATCCTCGATGACCGTTCAGTCTACAAACAATTGTTAATAAATGTCATCTCGACTTTGATGGGTCCGAATATTATGAAATTAGAACCAAGAATAACGTACTGATAGTACTCCCAACTCCCTGGGTTCATATCGAACACAGCAAAATAACGACCAGAATCTTTATTATCCAAGATCCTGAACTCGGTAGTCTCAGAGGAGCAATCCTCACAGTGCTGCCCTCCACAGCACTGCGCAATATTGTGATGATGCATGAAAACCATTCGACATTCTGTTCCATCGTACGGATTGAAGTCCTCACGCTTGGAAAGTGCGTGATCGTTCGCCGGGTTGAGGATTGTTTTGTTGGTAACTGGGTCGAGAACATAGTAGTTCTCCATTCGAGCTTGTTGCTCATCAAGGAGAGCTTGAGACGGTACCCATTTGGTTCGCATGGTACCATCTGGACTGGTAGCGTTTTGGAGTTCGAATCCAAAACTTTCTCCTTCTGCAATGTTCGGTACGGATAGGACTGGTGTTGAAAGAAGTGCGGCTACTGCCAGACGGGACAGGATATGGATCATGATGGCCAGATAGAAAGATCTTGAACTTGCGATGTAGAGATATTGCTGTAAGCAATCTTGCCGAGAAAGAATACAGGGCAAGGCAAGAGACAATTTATAGAGGAAATGGAGCAAGATTCGATCTCAAATCGAACATGATGGCAAAATGCTCTGCTGCGACATCACTGCAAATAACTCAGCATCGAAAGACAAGTGGGATAAGGTTTTGAGATTCGACCACCAGTTTGATCGTGCTGACAGACAGCGTTTACCGTATTTGGCTTCTCGTGAGGCTTGAGGATGGAGATAATAACCAATAAGACCGGTCCAATATCGGCACCGCTGAATGCCAAGGGCAAATCGCAAATGACAAGATTTGCCTGTGATATGGAGAATAAAACGGAACTAATTACTGAGCCTTGACTTGGTTTCCGTTGTCGCTCACGCTGCAATGGTTGATTTTGCTTGACAAAGCATGGCACAGCCTCTCCCTCGCTTGCATAAGCATTATCAGCCACCACTCACATTAATTGTGCGAGTGATCCAAATCGGGTTTATGCTCTCTTAGAAATTTCTGGAGCTGAAGGTGATCTTCTAGTCAGCTGGATTATAATGTAAAAGAAACCATTCCTGACCATCAATTATCGTGCCCGGGTAAATTGATACTGCAGCACAACGCAATGAGGAGCTCGCTTAGCCTGCAAAGATACATTCAAGAATTGTCACACCATGCTGGAACTCTTTCTCTTTGCAAGTGTCCAAGATTTTTCCCATCTGGATCTATGGCACAAAACTCCGAATACAATTTCGTCATGGCCAGGAATAAATAAGATCTACAATGGACGCTTTGACTTTCAGCGACGTCGGCTGGTGGAGGTACTGAATCCGCATTTGAAGCTCCATGGATAGAGAAAAAGAAATAGAACACGGACTGAGTCGAAAGGACCTTTTCAAGTGATCTAGCATAACGTGGTGCACCGAATCTGAGCGAACTAATGCCAACAGAGTATTGTTTTGATTCTCAGGCTGTCTCGGCTATTGTCACATCCCTGCCAAAACCTTCATGGTTGCCGGCCCACCAGCCTCCGCGTTCACGCGACTTGAACGCGCCATCCTCAGCCTTGTCGTCCGCCTCCAACAAACATCTGCACTCTCCACCTACAACAACCCGATTTGCAGACACCAACGCGCAATGGCTCACTCCGAGAAAGCAATCATTGACGGGATCTACGCCGCGATCAAGTCCCTTCACTCCGCAGATCCAGAAACCCTCACGGTACGCAATGTTCGCAATAAAGCCGAAGCAGACTTGGGCATCGAGGCTGGCCTCCTCTCCAACGAATCTTGGAAGGACAAATCCAAGAAAATAATTAAGGATTATGCGGTACGCTTAGGACACCTTGGATTGATGATTACGAGCTAATGCGATGTTGTTACAGAGCGAATTGGCCGATGCGACAGAAGCACCAGAAACTCCCGCACCCAAGCCCAAAGTAGTGAAGAAAGCTGCGCCCGCACCAAAGAAAGTTACTGCTCCGATCAAAAAGGCTACGAAGAGAGCTGCTCCGGAACCGAAGGCACGCGCCACAAAGCGACAGAAGAAGGACGATACGCCGAGCGAGGATGAGACGTCTGAGCTTTCTGAAGTTACACCAACGGAGGAGAGCGAGGTGGAGTCTGAATTCGGTGACTCGGAAGATAGCGACGCGCCAAAGAAGAAGAAGAAGAAGAAGGGACCCAAGGCGAAAGGCAAGGGGAAAGCGGCAGCTCCAGCTAGGAGACAATCGAAGAGCAAGGCAAAGGCTGACTCTGAAAGTGAGGATATTTCAGAGGAGGAGTCGGAAGCCGAGCTTAGCATTGAGGACTCGGATGACAGCGAAGCACCCAAAAAGAAGAGCAAAGTGAAGCCCAAGAGTAGGACGCCAGTCAAGCACCAATCGAAAAGTAAGGCGAAGGTGGTGGACAGTGATGGGTCTGAAGAGGAGGTTGACAGCGATGCCTCTGCACCGAAGAAGAAAGCTACACCAAAGAAGGCAACACCCAGGAAGGTGAATAAAGCCGTAGTAGAGTCAGATGCCGAATCGGAAGATGGGAAAGAACCGGCACCTAAATCTGTACCAACGCCTAAAGACAACCCCAGAGCCGCAGATTCGGACGCAGAGGATAAGGACAAGCCAGCATCCAAGCCAGACGCAGGATCTGATTCAGAAATGTCCATCGTACTCGACCCAACTCCAAAGCCAAAACGCCAACGTCCCCCCAAAGGCGAAAAGAAAGCCAAAGCCTCCAAGGAACCTAAAGCCAAAGCCGCTTCCAAGGCCAAGTCTACCGCAGATCTCTCACCAGACGAAGTACAGATTAAGACCCTACAATCCCAACTCGGAAAGTGCGGCATGAAGAAGATCTGGCAGTTTGAGCTCAAGCAATACGGTGACGACAGTAAAGCCAAAATCCGGCATTTACAAACCATTTTGAAGGATATTGGGATGACGGGACGGTACAGCGACGCACGGGCGAGGGAAATCAAGGAGATGAGAGAATTACAGGCGGATTTGGAGGCTGTAAAGGAGGGTGAGAAAGCTTGGGGATTGGATAGTGGAAGGAGGAGTCGTAGCGCGGCTATGAAGAAGAGTCTGAAGGAGCCTAGTGATGAGGATGACGAGGAGAGTGGTGAGGAAGGCGCTTCAAAGAAAAGGAAGTCAAGGAGTGCAAGTAAAGAGAATGGCAGTGATGCGGATGATCAACCGCCTGTGAGGAAGCGCAGAGTGAACCCAGAGTTGGCGTTTTTGGGGAGCGAGTCTGATAGTGACGACTAAGTGGATCAATGGATATGAAAATGGAGACAGGAGGTCTGGATTCTCAGCATAATATACATGTACGACCAGTTGCGCAGTAGATGAAAGGATTATCATACCATGAAAACAAAAGTTAAGATCATGTTAATGATGTTTATCAAGAATCAAGACTCAATTTGCTACCTTTTCGCCTTCTCAATGCATCCATTGATTTTCAAGCCAAGCCTAGTATTCTTTTGCTTTCCGTCGGTACAGAAAACCTACATTTCCCAAGAGCCCAAGATCTAAAACATGCCCAGTAAATCCTCATTTGTCTTTTTCGACAAGTCACCTTGCATTTGCGTCTGCGGCAGAGGAGGCTGAGATCCACCGAGATCTAAACCTGCAAAGCCATTCATCATGTCATTTTGACCTGATGCTGGAGCGCCAGAGCTGCTTCCGTTCATATCGAAGAGACCCATCATGTCATCCATGTTGCTCGCACCAGGTCGTGGTCCGGCTGCTGGACTGGCAACTCTCTGAGGTGTGCCAGCCAATCCCTCCAGGCCAGATGCTCCACCACTTGGAGGCAAGTCAGCTGATGCTGGGGCTGCACCGTCAAAGTCAATATCGAGGAGATTCTCAGCGTTGTTCTGAGTACCATTCTGAGCGGCGATGGCTGCAGCTGCAATAGGATTGTCGGCGGCCTCTTGGCGCTGTTCTTGAATAGCGGCATGCTGGATGGCGTCAGCACCATAACGGCCATGGCCGACGAAAGTCTCGGGTGGTTTGTGATAGACTGATGCGAGGGTCGAAAGCTCAGTGAGGAGTTGTTCTAGAAGTGCGGGAGGTAGAGAAGACATAGTTGTGGTGATAGGAGGTTTGTCGGAAAGGATGATGTTCTGTCTGATCAGTCTCATGTGGGAAAATAGGTGGTGATTTCGCATACCTTTGCAACTTGTAGGTCACCAGAAAGCAGACGCCAGTACACATATGCCCTGTCTCTAATATCGGGGTTATCATTCTCGGCCGTGGCTGCTTGGAGAACTTTCTGAACCAGGCTTTGGTTATTATCAGGCTTCTTCAGAAATAGCTTGACGACGGCCGTCAAGATCTGTAACTGAGTCTGGGTAAATTCTTCCATGAAGCCCTCAACAAATCCAGCCAAGATGTCATCAGCATTGCTAATCTTCTCCGCATACTCTCCAACGATCCAGATAAGCGCACCTCTGGCGTTTGGCTCATCAAGTTCATCAATGTACTTGCAAAGCGTGGGAATGATACCTTCGTAGCCGGGGTATTTCCGGAAGATGTCCTTGATGACCACAATAGCTTCCTGAACAACGTAATTGACCTTGGTGGCAATGAGATCAAGGAGGGTGTTGACACATTTCTCACTGGCGCTCTCGATTTTGATGGCAACCTGACCGATAGCCTTCACTGCCCTTCGGACGAAGTCCATGTCTACTTCCAAAGCATACTCCTTCAATTCTGCCAAGAGCTGATCGACATTTTTGTCATTGGCTATTCGTACCATGATCTCCAATTTCTGGAGCTTGACATATGGTGGATCGTTGTATTTGCAAAAGAAAACTCGGAGCTCTTTGCTGAGGATATCTGGTTTGGCCTGGAGGAGCAAGTCGATATTTCTTAGGGCAACATATTGAACCTCTGGAGCTGATGCCACAAGGGTAACTGGAGTTTGCTTAGTAACAGAACCAATTATTTCAGATACGTAACATACCTAGTGGGGGAGCCATTTTCTTCAAATATTGCTTGTTTAATTCTTGGCTGACATTTCGCATGTGCAAAAAGACCACTTTCACAGCAGCTAGTACCACACTGGGGTTCACATGCTGGAACTGGGGTGAAACTCTCTCGCAGATATGCTCAGATTCCTTTACATCCTGTGCCTTGTAGTCGGCCAAAGTTGTGAGAATGGTCACTCTTCCCCATTCTGTACACTCATTCAGCGCCATCAGCATCTTCTTGAGTGTAGCAGGAGTTATTCGTAATGCCTTCGTCTCTGGAGCTGCTTCGTTGATCTCCACCAGCGCCGTGACAGAGTTGGCAACCACCATAGGATTTGGATCTCCAATCATTTCTTGCAGAGTCTCCAGAAAGCCATTCTCCAAACACATCGTAGGGTTCAGGTCGAAGAGTTTCGCAACACATATCGCAGCTGTTTTCCGTACGTAGGGAGATTCGTCTCGTAATGTTTTACGTAGTGGCTCCTCCATGTAGTCTACCATTTTATCCACTCTAATACAACCCATTGTCCGGATGGCCAGCGCTCTCACTAGAGGATTTGGATCTTCGGAATCTTGAACGAATGTGTTGACCGCCAGAATACAAAGATCTGGATGCGATTTGGCATAGTTCCTGACAGATAGATGAGCGCTATGGATCCAGTGACAGTACCGCAAGTAGCAGCAGACTTACATCAGGTACAAGTACACCAGTTTCTTCTGATCTAGATCCGCCGTTGCGATATTCTTTAATACATCGGGGAATAGCGCAGACACGTCTTTGCCCAATGTCATGGACATAATGGTCTTCTGAATAGCCTCCTTACGCTCGTAGGCATATTGCGAGACCAGGCCAGCTCTCAACTCGAAGGTTTCGCCTTTCTTGGGTACCGCGAAGGCCCCTTTGATCCTATTTACCGCCATCGCTCACACAGATGGCGATTTGAGGTGCCCCTCATACGCCTCCAACTGTTCTAATTGTTCGGTGAGACGGCAGCTTTGTGCAGATCGCCCGGATACTTCGGAGAATCTCGATGTCGATGACTTAAGATGCGGTTCGAATGTATGCGCTCGATGTGTATTGCAGGGTCGTGGTTGTGGAAAGTGGAGATTGATATTCTGTCGAGTGTTGACAGCTTCAGCCTTCCGTGGTTCAGGTGTCAAAATGACGCTAGTGTCATCGAGAACAAGGGGCAACCACAAGACTTTACTTGCAGCTCCCTGCTACTAAAAGAGACTTGAAACAACGGGTCTTTCGAGTATTTAGAGATAAATGGTAAGGAGATTTCCACCCCCTTTTCACATTCGTCTATCATCATGAGTCTAATCGCATCTTCAAAGGCAAATCTTCCAAACCTCCGCCGGCTCTTCGTCGAAGCTCGTACAGATGCCGAGGAGAGCGCTTATTCGAGAAATGCCGTAAGTAGACCCTTTTCTTGTCTGGAGGTATTGCTTACGATATTTAGTTTTACAATATCGTATTGTTCATGTCTTCGGTGGCAGCATTCAGTCTCGTCGCTCAGCGAATGAGCAAAACGACTTGACTTGAGCTTGGAGAAGTTATAGCACAAATGGGCTCGCTGGTAGTAGTTGGAGTCATTTTGGGCCAGTGGTCTTGAGAGCCTCGTCCGAATAAAGCATGAGACAATATCTTACATGCTGATGGGAGGGCCTCAAATCATTACAAACGCACATCAATGAGGACCGGACTGGGAATCTCTTGTCGATTATGGCATGGATGAGCAGAAACATCTTGGCCACAGGTTATTCACAACCTTGCCAAGCCTAGAGCAGGATAAGGGGATCTGCTGAGAAGCAGCATAGATACTCTCACGCCGCTACTCGATTCGACCCCGTCGTCTAGTCCAAATGATCTTTGGCAATATGGACAGCACTGACCACTTTCTCATGTTCGAGTCCACCTTGACCAGTGTCGTTTCCTCCCATAATATTTGGTCTCCAGACTTAGTAGGCACAGCGCTCTGCAACTCCTGGTAGTTTGTTGCTCTTCCGACAAGGCCGTCGTTCTACCAGGACTCCCATATATTGAGCCCCAGACTCTAGTATCATACCCATCCATGCCGCAACTCCTTCAGCCAGTCAATACTTGACCTCCCATTCTCTTCCAGAATTCTACTACAATTCCATCCGGCTCGTATTATACTGTGGCATCTTTCAATCCTTCCTCAAGCCGTTGTACCATTCACCACCCCGCCTGTTGTCTCCTTGCCCGGCGTAACCTGAGCCTTCTCTTCCGATTTCAATTTCTCCCATTGCTCCGGCGTATAGCACTTCGGGGTCCAAGCATGGATAGCAGCAACCTCGGCTTTCAACGCTGTATTAACAAGCCGGTGTCTGGCGAGCGTTGTCTTCTTCTCGAATTGTGGTGATACTATTATGGCAGAGTAGGCTTGTCCGCAGCCACCTGTTGTTTAGGATTAGCTCTATTCGTGCATGACAGTAGAGCTATGAAATGATAGAAAATATCATTAAATATTGGCGAACTTCTCGAGGACTCATGAAATCCAGAGATTTGGAAACTCGAATGGAGGGGTATCGTAGCGGGGTCAACACTCACCAGACATATCTTCGATGTCGACATGGACTGCCGCTAAGGTCTGCATAATCTTCTCCTTCAGCACTGCTGCTGTGACGCCTGCTGTCTCTGCCATGTTTCCCTGCCGGTTCTGCTTGGACTTGTTGCGAATTGATGTGTAGCACGTCGAGGGAGCACCTTTGAAATCAGGCCGGTCCGAAGCCGCAACTTTTTTGGAACGGGAGCCGCCGCGGGCTTGGCATAGTTTGGGATTAGCGTTCCTTGGAGTAACTTGCCACCATTTACGTACTGTGGAATCTAATGATAGAGGTAACTGAAAGGTTCTGATCTTATTTCAATTAAGGTTCGAAGTACATTAAAGCTGCCTTTACTCTTTTCTAGGTTCCGTCGGAGGTATCTTCCCCTCTCAAGCCAGTAACCCCAAACCTGAACACCATCTTGCTACCCAAGAAGTCCTAGATACTGGTAGAAGGAGCAACTTCAGCTGAAGGAGACTAGAGGTTCAAGCTGGCCGGAATGATTGAATCACGCGTAATCCGGAAGTTCAACTCCGCAGCCAAGATGCGGTGTGCCCCAATCTTCGGGTGAAAGACCGATTTCTGTTGCAAAACATTCGAGATATCGACCTTTAAGCCAGGAGTTTGTTTCGCAACATCTGCAACACCAGGAAATGGCAAAACTGTTCTGAGATCATTGAAAAAGACGTTAGGGTTATTGGCTCCAATGGGATCATCTGCATTCTTCGCCTCGCAAAATCTTCGCCCCTCATACAACTTGTCAAAATCGACAAACACGACACCCGGGCCAGCTTTGGAGACAGACTTATGAATTCCGAGGTTGACTGCGACGGTTATGGCGTTCGCGCGACGACGATTGGCTGCTGTCATGTTAAGAGCTGCCAGTTTAGGGATGGGAAAGAACGAGATAGAGTCGCAAGCGTCGCCTTCAATTGGGGTAGCGAAGAATTTCGTGTAGCCTGTAACGAAGATCCGACCGCCTTTGTTGAGAGCCGAGGATTTGATTAGGGAAAGTTTCTGGTCGAATTTCTTCCAGATGGATTTATCCTTCACCTGAGCTTCACCTGTGGAGAAAGCTGTATCGCAAACTTGTTGCGGGTTCGTAATGTTGGGTGAGAGAGTTTGATAAACACAAGCTTCCTAGGGATTTGAGTTAGTGTTGAATACGTTGTAGCAACTTGGTGACGTACTGCAATATCACCAAATCCGAAGTCATTTCCACTGATCGTCAGTGTAATAAAGTCATATTTGTTCTGAGCGAGCTTTGCAACTTGGGAATCAATATCATCAAGCTCGTCGCCGGAGCAGGCCTGAAAGTTGAAGGTGGACCGGTTGCCACTGAATGGATCCAATTCCAAGAGCTGAAATGGGTAAGAACCGTTTTGACGCTGGCATTGAACTGGAGTGAGTTAGCATTGGTTGTAGAGGACACAGTCTTGCATATCAGACATACCATTGTTGCCAATTGGAAATCCAGACCCGAGACCTGCGGCAAAACTGTCTCCAAGAGCGGCGTAGGATGATGGGAGATTAAATGCGCATGCTTCTGATCTATTCTCGGCAGGAATTGGAGTGGCAGTCACAAAGTTCCAGAGAGTAAGCACTGCCCATAATCGAAGTACTGATGTCATGGTAACAGATATGAGTAGCCAATAATTGAGATGACAAATGCAAGAACAAGAAATCGAGCAAGCAGGATAAATATTGGAAAGAAAAGTCGTTATAAGATAAGAGAACGGTGAGCAAAGCAATTATACCGCACAAAGGAAGACTCAACACCTACTATATACTCAAAGATCATCTCGAGCCACTTGGTGTAAGATCCGAAGTTTAGAGGCAGATCCGCATCTCACATCTTGGCGGTGGCAGATGCTTATGTTTCTTGAGGGCTGAGCAAACGTAGACGCTCCCAAAATAAAGACATCGAGGCCGCGACGACTTACAGCCCTCATTCGCCAATCTGACATTGATATAAGCTGGTATCGCCGATCTGCCGGGACGTCAATCTCGGGGCTCGTACGTCGCCCTCTGAATTGTGCTCTAGTTAAAACAACAGGATGTAAGAATGGCTGAGCCAAATAGTGGAAGGACAAGTAAAAATAGTGATTCGATAAGTATCTGCTTCGAAACTCTGCGCTGCGAATAACGTCATGTTATCAAGGACAACCGTATATCGGTCCTCAACCGCATGATATTTGATGTAGGTTCAATCCTTGGAATTTTGAGCTTACGGCCAAGCAAATGACACGAAGAGGAGGCCGTTGTTTAGTCATCAAAATGGCCAACCCGAAAGTGGCAAATTTGGCGAACTATGGGGAGGTTGAGCTAGCTTGATTAAACAGAACTCCAACAGCTTCACACAACACAATCGTTCTGAAGCTCAACTTCAGATTGTGATGAAGGCTCAAAGATTGATCCGAAGATCCTTCACCACCATCTCCACCATGTCTTCTTCAACCGTGACCTCGTCGCCCTTCTCTAATGCCGTGGTTGGTGCGATGAGGAAGTTGTAGGTTTGTCCACGTGCTCAATGGCTTCAACCACGCTAACGTGATGGTAGGTATCCAGAGGCTTTGGCAGACAAGAGTTTTGATAATACAGGCCGTGTGTATTCTAGATACATTTTTTGTCGTGTTAGAATCTGACAGTAGCAAGTTCTCCTCGAAGCGCCTCAACGGTCAAACGCTAAGCTAGCGAAAAGTGCGCTCCTCACGATCGACCTCACACAAGCCGTAGCAGAAGAAGCTATCAAGGGAGAGCATTCAATTGTTATAAGTTATCGTGAGTCTCCAGGCCTGTCGCTTCGACTTCATACCAGAGCATTATACTTATTAGCACTACCAGATCCAATCATTTTCCGCCCGCTCAAGTCACTCACGCTCGCCAATACTCAGCAAAACTCACTTCTCCGTCTCGCTTCGGAAGGAATCAGCGTCTACAGTCCCCACACAGCTGTCGATGCAGTATCGGGCGGCTTGAATGACTGGCTAGCTGATATAGTCACTCAGACGAAAGACAACGTGAGGTAAGATTGGTCTGTTATCCGATACAAAGAGTAGAGCTAACAATGCACAAGCGATCACACGCGCAAAGTCATCAATGCAGTTCCAGATCTCTCCGTCCTTCCAGAGCATTTTTCGTCTGCAGGTTATGGTCGGATTGTGACGTTCTCTGGTCCGCAGACTTTAGGAGCACTGGTCCAGCGCATCATGACTGGACTCGCTACCTCTTCCAACACCCAAGTTCAAGCCGGTGTCTCCGTCGCTGTTCCACAAAAGTACCTCGACGGGCAGAGATCTGATATTCCCATCAAAACCATTGGGATATGCGCTGGATCAGGCGGCTCAATGCTGAACGGGCTCGACGTCGATCTCTTGTTCACAGGCGAACTGAGCCATCACGAAGCATTAGCTGCTATTGAAGCTGGACGATGCGTAGTCACTGCCTTTCACAGTAATTCCGAAAGAGCGTTCTTGGAGCAGAGAATGATGCCGGCATTGAGGAAGACGGTCGTAGAGGAACTGGGAGGAGATGAGGATTTCAGTATTGACGTTAGCCAGGTTGATAGAGATCCGTATCAAATAATTACGGCCGGGCAGGAAACATGGTGAAAGGTCACTAAGAATTGTATATCCAAGGGCTTTTTGTATTGGAAAAGAAATGAGGACAATGGTGTGCTTGTTGAAAGCCCACACATGCGGTCATAACAAAGACCAGTGTACGGAATCTAGAGGTGGTACCCGAGAACAGACTGTCTTTGACCTGTGTCAAAGACATTGTTTCATTTCATATCTGATATATAACACACCCCATTGAGGTTTATCTCAAAGTCAACTTTATTCCACAAGAGAATTTTCTTATCTTTAACAGCTTCCTCCGAGAGTAGGAAGAACAACCACGTAAGTTTTTGGAAGTTCTTAATCATGCCTGACATCCTCAGACCTATGGCTCAGACTGCCGAGGAACAGGGCTGGAGAGATATCGAACTCGGAGATGTGCAAGCTCGTCGTGAATCAATCGAGCCTGGTGCGCCTAACAACACTCTTCCACCACACGAGCGGACGTCCAGCCAAGCTGACAGGCTGAGAGACTGTTCAAGGAAATGGATGAGTTATTTTTGTTGGGCATTGCTTCTCCTGGCAGCAGTAGGAACGATATGTTTCATAGTGTCCGCGTATGAAAAACTCTTTGGCTCAAATTCTAGAGAGAATGCAGATAATGGAGAATAGATATCCAATTTGTCCCGTTCCATAGCCAAGGCTGGAAACCTGTTAGACTCGGCTCATATTACCTAAAGGCTTTAATGTATCAAAATTAAGAAAACCCCATTCCCGATGGTGACTCTACAAGTCAACAAGTAAGATCGTGTACTTGGAGGAAGTGTTGCGCTGAGGACACAAAATGTACCAGTGGCAACTTAAGAAGCTTTAAATCAAGTTCCCTTTTCAACTGAAACTTTCAGTGCTCGAGACATGTCTTATGATTCCAAAACCATTTTATTTTGAGACACCACTTGAACTCTGGTGAAAGGAACGAGATTGAATAAAGCTGGACGAAAGCGAAAGTGAATCAGCATGTGACAAGCAGACTTTGCCCCCGAAGGTCTCGTGATCTGCACAGCCACAGTGGCTGACAAACTAGTCCTGAAACTCTCTAGACAATGACGGCAACCCCTCCACGGCAAGATTTAGACAGGCAGGAGGATGATGCACCTGGAAGCAAACATCTTTCTAACATCTAACAACTATTTCACAACTCGGTGACATCTTGAGGTACCTCCAGGTGCCTACAAATCTCGTGCATTCCTTACAGCAGTTTCGAATCTACTGAGCCATGTTTGTCCTCAGAAATGGTTAGTCGTCCTTTCTTTGTTTACTACCCCTCCACGCCCATTTGAAAGGGCAACAACGACTGCTTTCAACCCATCCCTGAAAAATTGCTGACTTATGTTATAGTGGGAAAGCTGATATTTGGCGATACTTCGAAAGAATCTCTCGTCGAATTACCCCAAGGACAACTCTATCTTGTCCGCCCACTTTCCCCCAAGGGATACTCCGAGCTCATTTTCAAAGACGCGGCGGCGAGAATTCGTCGGACCAATCAAGAATTTCAATATCAACTCGTCGTACAACGCGCATACGAGGAGGGTGAAGAGGAGCTGTTGGACGACGAGGACGGAGAAGACGCCGAGATTGCTGCCTTGGGCGCTGAACGAGACGAGAAGACATTCCTCCTCGACGAAGGTTTACATTTCAGATCAGAGATTCGAGAGGGCGGAGAGAAAGTGTTGGCCTGGAGAGACTTGAGCGGGGACGTCGGCGATCTCTACGAATTTGTTTGCGACAACTCGATCGGAAACGCCGAAGTAGAAGCTTTTGAGTTGATCGCAGTCCAATGTCAATACGAACGAAAGCATAGGAAGGGCCACCAAACCGCGACTGTTGAGGACCTTGCACAATTTGCTTTTGACAGCGAACAGCCAATTCCAAGCGCGAGTCCGACTCATAGTCCCGAAACCTCGTCACCTGTCAACACGATGCCGCCACCATCGCGAAACACGGCCAATTCGGCACTAAAGAGAGAAAGTACCCCGACGAAGCCTCGCAAAGCTTCTGTGAAAGAAGATGTCCCTACGGAAGCTCCACCTGTTCTCACACATCCAGTGGCACATTCTATTCTTGCCAACGAACTTGCAGAACTCCACCTTTTCGACTTCCAGTCGGGAGCATTCATCTTACAAGACTCCAATGTCACCGCTGTTGTTTCAGAAGTGGGAAAATGGAAGTACTGGCTTCAAATTTCGAGTGACGATAGAGATTGGCTTGGTCAAGAAGTTATCGCCGACATCAATCCAGTATTCAACTTCGAATACTTGTCCTTTATCTTCAACGCATACACTCCAAACGGAGATGCATATTCATGGCTTCTTCGATTCAAGAATCAGGAGACCGAGACACGGTTTCAAGAAGGTTTGATGCAAGCACTTTGGGAGCAGTTGAACGAGATCAAATGGAACAAGAGCAAGGAAGATGAACGCGACTATGTCCTCGAGGCATTCCAGGACCTGGCAATGGATGATGCGCCGGAGGAAGAGGAAGAAGAGGAAGTTGAGGAGGAAGTGATTGAAGATGACGGACAAAAGAGCGAGCACTACGACAGCGATGAAGACGAAGATGATGTGGTTACCAAAGATGACGACGGAAATGTCAACTCGCAATTAGCAGTGGGCTACAAGCACGATCGGTCATTCGTGGTTCGAGGATCCAAAATTGGCGTGTTCAAACACACTCCAAACAACAATCTCGAGTTTTCTACCAATATTTCGAAAGTTGAGACACCCAATGGAAAGCTGTTCAGTCCAAAGAAAGTCATGCTTCATGCCGAGGATACGAACATGATTCTACAGAACGAGGCCGACCCGAATTCGCTTTACCGGATGGACTTGGAGTATGGCAAGATTGTTGATGAATGGAAAGTTCACGATGATATCCCCGTGAACACTTTCGCTCCAGAGAGCAAATTTGCACAAATGTCTGGTGAACAAACATTCCTCGGGTTGTCACGAAATGCACTTTATCGGATCGATCCTCGCCTGGCTGGCAACAAGCTTGTTGATTCGGAGCTCAAGCAGTACGTATCGAAGAACGACTTTTCAGCTGCTGCCACCACCGAGAAGGGCTACATCGCAGTTGCAAGCAATAAAGGTGATATTCGCATGTTCGACCGACTTGGCATCAATGCGAAAACTCACATTCCCGCTCTTGGTGAGCCAATCATTGGTCTCGATGTCAGCGCGGATGGTCGCTGGGTTCTTGCTACTTGCCGCACATATCTCCTGCTTATTGATGCTCTGCAAAAGGACGGCAAGAACGAAGGGAAACTTGGTTTCGAGAAGTCTTTCGGGAAGGACTCGAAGCCACAGCCTCGGCGTCTTGGTCTTACTCCATCTCACGTGGCACAATTCCAGCACGAAACCGGAGCGGCATTATCCTTCACCCCCGCACGATTCAACACTGGAGAAGGCTTGTCCGAGACCTCCATCATTACTGCGACCGGACCATTTATTGTCACATGGAACATGAAGAAGGTTCTTCGTGGCAGCAAGGATCCGTACAGCATCAAGCGCTATGCCGAAGAGGTCAAGGCAGACAACTTCAAATATGGAAGTGACAAGAACGTCATTGTCGCTCTGCCAAATGAAGTCAACATGGTCGCCAAACAGTCTTTCAAGAAGCCTACCAGAGAGAGCATCGCCACACCAGTCCGTATCGGTGGTGGAAGCTTTGGTGGAAGAAGAAGTGATGCTGGTCGTGTTGGCACCAGAGAAAGTGGCAGATACAAGCTGGGCAAGGAGGATGTTGTTAATTCTCCTTACTGATTTTATTGGTCTTTCGATAATGACTCTATCATGGGGGATCGTGGGTCTTTGATGGTGGCGTTCTGGTTTGTGTTACTTCCTGGAGGAAACGGACTGGGTTAGGCAGGGCGACTTTTGTTTACACGCCTGCCTGAGTCGAGCGAAGCGTAACAGTGCAGCTGGACTTGTCAGCTTTTGATTGCACTATCATGTATGTAGCAAAAATACCAATACCCATACTTTTTTTTTTCCTGTCGAAGATGATTCCCTATCATTCCTGTGCAGTCAGAACAGGCAGTAGTAATCAGGAGTTCTCATATTACTTCTAATTATGGCCAATATATATATGTAATGGAATAAGCTTTCCTACTAGTCACGCGACTCGGCATTGTAACAGTAGGTATTATATAGCTAATACCTGCGTAACTGCCTTCTCGAAGAATTGAATTGCTTCATCTCATGAGGAATTGCGAGACTGGAAAAAGTTTCAGGTTACCGACCTTATTATAGGTCAGTCAATTTCCTCTATCATGGGATGATAGGTAGAACTTGGTTAAATCTGTCTCTTGAGGTTTATGAACTCCAAACCACGTTCACAACTACTTCGAATCGTAGAGGATGCGTTCTAGCTATCACTTCTTCCAAAATTATGGTTAAATCAGGGTCTATAAGAACTATGTCCATCCTAGACAAGCATACCTATTTATTGGTCGCTTTAACATTGAGGTTTGGACCTCAGTATCCCGGATAAAGGTAAATTTAAATGAATGTGAATCGAAAATGACGAACAGTCGTGCCCAGACTCACGTCCTGAAATCAGCCATGATTGATGCCCAGCATACCAAGAACACCAAGCCCATCATAAAGAGCTTGATTCTTCCTCCCTGCAGCCACCCCCGGCTCATCATTCCAAAACACCACACTATTTATCCGCCAACCCTATCAAATCAAACCAAGCAAGCTCCCATGCATCAAGTGATCGCATCGCATCGCCGATTCCTCTTGTACGACAAACGTAACGGTTTGATGAAATTCTCCGCAAGGCTTGTCCGTCCTTGGCCAATGTCTTGATTTCCTTGGTTTTGGACCCTTGCACGGAGTACCAGCCGTCCACTCGCTCGCTCGCTTGCTGTGACGTAGCGCGTTGAGGGCGATCAACAAAGGGGATAAGTACATGGCAATCTGCCATCGTGATTGTGAAAGCCATTCTTTTTTGACATCTAGTCTGAATAGTACGGATTCACTGCACGTACAAGACGAAGATTCCGTCATAACTTCGTTAGGCGAAGCGATTCTCGATAAATCTATACCATCGTCTTGCTCCATCTTCTGTTTTATTCTCTTCCCCCTTGCTGATAGGACGTCTGTTCGATCTCGACAAACAGAAATCTGAATCTGAGACCGCAAAATCTCACCACAACTCAAAACACCGAAAAGATGAATTTCTTCAAGCGCAGACAACGCGATCCTGCAGTCGCCGCAGAGACGACCACAACTACACACCACCGCGAGAAGAGAGCGCCTCCTGTCGCCATGAACATGAGCAGACGTCCAACATTTGGTCAGTGGTTGAAAGTTACTTGGCTTGATATCTTCACTATGGCTGCTATGGGTATGATCGGTCTTGGAGTACGTATATGCCGCTCCAGAGCCCCAAATCTTCCGCCTTTGGTGGGAGTGAAAATAAGAAATGATGATGCAGTATACTAACATCCGACACTTCAGGTCTACACCGCACATCCTGCGCCCTCACGATCCTTCCCAGTATTCTTCCAAGACGGTGAAATCGTCTACCCCCAATTCGCATACCCCATGCGCAACGAAATCGTCCCCATCTGGGCCGCCGCCCTCCTCGCCTCCCTGGTCCCCATCGCCATCTTCCTCATCATGCAGATCCGGATCCGCTCCTTCTGGGACGTCAACAACGCGAACATCGGGCTCCTCTACTCTCTCATCACCGCCGCCGTCTTCCAAGTCTTCCTGAAATGGCTGATCGGTGGTCTGCGTCCGCACTTCTTGGCTGTGTGCAAGCCGAATTTGCCGGCTATTACGGCCCAGGAGACGGGGAATGGGTTGAGGCAGATTATGTATGATCGTACGATTTGTACGGGCGATGAGAGTGAGATTGATGATTCGTTGGAGAGCTTTCCGAGTGGGCATTCGACGGCTGCGTTTGCGGGGTTCGTGTTCTTGAGCTTGTATCTGAATGCCAAGTTGAAGGTGTGGTCGAACTATCAGTAAGTATCCGTCACTTCCCAGGTATTTTACACCTATCATTATATAATAACATCTGTCCCTCAGCCCAGCAATGTGGAAACTCATCGCTACATATGCACCCATCCTCGGCGCTACTTTAATCGCAGGCGCTCTCACCATCGACGAGTATCACAACTGGTATGACTGCCTCGCCGGCGCCATCATTGGAACAGTCATGGCTTTCTCGTCTTACCGCATGGTATACGCCTCGATCTGGGACTGGCGTACCAACCACATCCCATTGAACCGCGCTGTTGCGTTCCCTGGATCTGGTGGAGAAGTAGATCTGGAGCATGCGGTTTTCACTCGCAAGGTTGGATGGGGTATTGCTGGTAGTGATATGGGTGGCCATGGTCATATCGGTAGTAGTCATGGTGTTGGTGTTTCAGGTCATCATGGCAACGGGAATGGCGTGGGTAGTGGAGTGGGGAATGGAAGTAGCTATACTTCTCGCAAGCCCGTGGCTGCGAATGGTCACCACCACGCTTCGGAGACCATGGTTTAAGGCTGCTGAGCGTCGGTCTTTGGATCTGAGATGGGTCAGAATGGGTTGGGATCACCAGAAGCGCATTAGTATTGAGAGCGTGTGGAGCTGTCGCTGAGGTTGGTTGACTATAAGTCGGGGCTACTAAAGAATGCAGGAGCAACGAGTGATGGCGCTCAGGGAGTTTTGATACATACCCAGGTAGTAATTTGGACCAATAATACGATACGATGATCTCATATTTTTGCTTCCGATCATTCTGGAGAAACCTGCTCAATATCTTCAAGTTAAAGCAAAGTCAATCATGAGAGGTGTTGATGTTCAAATAGAGTTCTATTAAAGAACCTATATCTACTCAATCAGAGGGTTAAAGAAACCCTCGACCATGCGCCTACAATCGCCCTGGTGTTATATATGGACACCTTGCCCAAATGCCCCAGACGCCCGAACATGCTTAACCCAATCTCAAAGTAAAATACAAGAATCAAATAACGCCCGGCCTTCCGTCGTTCTGCGCCTTCTGAAATTGGTACAATAGCCCTAACACGCCACCTCCAGACGGTTCAACCTCCTCTTCAGGCGCGTCATTAGCTGCGGCTCTTGTAGGCGAAGTCTCCCATCTCGACTCGTCAAGTCCGCCGCCACTATCGTACGCATTACCTGAGCTGCGATTTTCGCGGTTGGTAGCCGCTCCGTCCTCGTCGTCCTCCATGGGCTCTTCGATGATGTTTTGGCGCGCTTGGTACCGAGAACGTGAATTGCCGCGTCGGACACTGCGGCCACCGAAGCCGGAATTGGAGGGTTGGTGGTGTGGATCGAGCAGGATGGATTGCATTGGAGAGCCGTGGGCTGCAGACGGTGTAAAGCGCGGTGTGCGTGCGTTTGGAGGAATGTTGACTGCTCGACTGCCGGGTCGTCTCTCACTACGTCCCATGCGTGATGTTTGCATTTCCGCACCTAACGTGGGGGACATGAGGCCAGGGAAGGACGGTGGTGGGTGGTGATGGCGCTGTCCGGGAGGAACATGGCCTTGGACGGCGGTCTTTGGGTTGAGGAGATAGTTGTCCAAGAATCCGTAGTATGATGCGGCCATTTTGCCATGCTTGGTGGAGTAGTATTCGTCTCTGATATCAGCATTCCCACCTCCGTGCAACGGCTTTCGACCATCACCCTTCTTGAAGTCAAAGACGGCGAATGAGCAAACGTATCCAACACCATCAACATGAATGGTGAACTCCCTGAAGAAATCAATAATTTGGTCGCTGCATTTCGGTAGGCTGAACCAAAGTATGAATGGTGTGACTATGATGCTGAGGACTTCTTCAAGGAAGATGACGATCTTTAGCTGGTAGAGCGTCGCAAATTCTCTTTTCACCTCGTCGCTGTGTAGTCGGCCTTGCCATTGTGTTGGCATGTAATGAGTGTACTCGATAACTTGCCGCAAGGCGTATTCTGGTTCGAATACGAGGTTTTCTTCTGGTATCATCCCGTTCATGGCCGCCCAGATACCACCAAAGACAGTCAAATAGAAGAGAACAGTCCTGTCAGAGGTAATGTCAAAGCTGAGGAAGGACTCAGGGTCCCATAAGGTAGCGACGGCAAGAACCGATACAATTGCGCCAGCAATGAATGACATGAATCTTGCGAACTGGACACTTTTAACTTTCGGGAATTGGTCCAAGTAGCGAGAAGCAAAGGGGTATGACATGTTGACCCGCTTGTGAAATAGATGGTGTAGTTCGTTGAACTCTCGGAACTTCCACTCGGCAAGCGGTGTATATTGACGAGATCCGATCGCCGACGGGTCTTTCTTGTATTCCTGCGAAAATCAGCAAGACAACATTAAAAAAATTTAAGAAAAAAAAAACAGACTTACATTGAAGTATCTCAAGAAGTAAACAATCATGAGATAAATCACAATGACCGGAGCAAAAATAACGTTCATGAAGCCAGCGAAAAGAAAGCGACCGCGAAGGGCCTCGCTTAGCTGTCGTCGATGCGAGTCCTTCAGAATCAATTGTCGGACTTGACCAGAGTCGTTGAAGATCAGCCCCATAACACACCAGTCAAGGTTCCATAACAGTGTGCGGGAGAAGAGCTGGCGGTCTTGCAGGAAGGGAAATGGCAAGGTCAAGTCCAAAATATCCTTGTTGAACATGGCGATCAGGTAATTTTCTTTTCTCATCAGACGGTTTGCGATATCGTGTGCATCCAGTCTCTGCTTTGATTGACTTCCCAAGTACTTCCGAGCTTGCGGAGATATCTTCTCGGCTGTGACTGGGTTTGCATCTCTCAAGGCCATGATTCTGGCTACTACATCTTGCCATGAGATAGTTTGCATGTCCCCATCTGGAACTTCGAGGAGGTGGACGAAGAAATCCCGTACTCGCATTAAGCGAGGAACATCGATCAAAAGCTGGTACACCCTCCAAAATATGTGCAGTGTGAATAGCCAAATCGCTGCGTTCGGCATCCCTGATATATTTTTGGTACACTGCGGAACCACTACCTGTGACAGCTTCTTGCTGTGAGGAATTGCAGAATAGTCGACACAGTGTGTAAGGAATGTCGTAAACACAGCAACGAATATGATTTGCCTGCGATGTCGTTAGAATCTTCCAACAATGGTCGACAGGTAACTTACAAAAGATTAAGAGCCTTATCCAGAACTATGCACCATATTCCAGCACCAATGTAGTACTCGTATGCTTCTTCTATGAAGCCATCAAGATTTACGACATTGATCCACCTCCACATAGCCTTTTCCCGAGCACTGCCAGTGAGCGGTCCAAAATTATGCCGGGCTGGCTGTGGTAAGCCAGGGGAGATATCCTCCTCATTATGTAACCGTTGCTGTGCTTGAGCAGCTTCCCAGTGAGCTCGGGTCTCTCTATTGGATGGCCCTGGTATGGCAGTATGCTTCTTCGGAGCCTTTCCTTGCCTTGGTCGAGCTTTCGTAGGTGTGCTTGGAGCTGGGATCTCGTTGCCTTCGATCAATAATGAAGCTGGAACATCATCATCTCCATCCTCCTCCAATAGTCTCGGTGACTGCGCCATCCATCTATTACGTGACTTGGCTCTCGGAACATTTGCCATCCCAGCTTGTCTATTGTGTTGAGTAGCAGGCAGAAAGGCTGTGGACTCTGTTGTTATACGACTCGCTTCCCCGAAAGCATCTGCAGCTCCCAACTCGTCATCTCGGAATCTCAGATTCTCCTCATCAAGTGCCATCCCCGCTTGTTCTTCCAAGTCCGACTCCTCATCATGGGCTCGCAGATCATCGTAGATGGATCGTCCTTGAGGGTTCGTTGGGAGTAGTCTCGAGATTAAATTCGAGGTCTTCATAATTGTGGCAGAAAGAATGAACACAGATGGCCTCCAGTCTCATAGGATTCCCAGATTTTGGGAGGGCAGATAGAGAATGGGTGAGCCTGGGCTGTGATAGATGTGTAGAGTCATGGGTCGCCACGCGGGTATCAAGCAAGGAGATGAGCATTTGACAGAAAAAATTACGTGCTTTGGTGTCTTTGTTTTGTCTTATGATATTTGAAGAAAGGCAAGTTCAGGCCATGTTGTTGTGATCTCAAGAGTCACCTGGATGCATCCTCGAGGGAGTAATGGGGGGCACGAGTGACTTGATGCTGCCTTGCTCTCGGCGCGCTAAACGCGACATGCCGAGGGGGCTGACATTCAGCCTCGCCGTAGAACAGATTGGGCATAGTCTCCGATACCCCTAGAAGGAGACGGCTGGCGAGACCTTCATATTCGGGAAATATTAACACCAGGATGGCTCGTTGAAGAAATGACATCTGATTACTTTCTGGCCCGAAAACCGTCAGGTTTGTCTGATGGGTTCGACTCACCCACATCTCCTACAGGAACACAACCTCGAAGCAATCCGCTAGCATCAAAAGTCACTTCTGTCCTTTCCGCGTCCTATGCAGACTCGGATATTAGAGATGCTCTCACCCTGCTAGACAAGCGCAATACTCAGAATAACGCAGAAACTCGGCGGCAATTGAGACTCGATGTTCAAAAAGAAGTCCTTGAGAGCAATGGAGACATCATTCGAGAGTTCGGTCAGGTGGCTGAGGTAATGCTTGCTCGAATTTACCTTCAGTGACACAACCTATATTGACACAGTACGTAGCAACTCAAGCGAATTGGGCTCACCATCGCAAGCCTCAACCAGGGATGTGAGGAGATGAAGCGTCACATCATGGCAGCTCATCTGGAGACTGCTCCGGTACTCGAGGAGGCCTCTGAGCTCATGAAGCAGAAGGACCAGGTCGAAAACAAGCAACAATTATTGAAGGCTTTTAACGCCCATTTCATCATGTCAGATGATGACATTGCAACTCTAACTTCTACTGCTGAGCCTGTCAATGACAAGTTCTTCTCGATCTTAGCAAGAGCCAAGAAAATCCAGACTGATTGTGAAATTCTGCTTGGGACAGAGAATCAGCGTCTAGGTCTCGAGATCATGGAACAGGTTTCCAAAAACCTCAATGGAGCTTTCCAAAAGCTGTACAGGTGGATTCAACGAGAGTTCAAATCACTCAACTTGGAGAATCCCCAGATCAGCTCATCCATAAGGAGAGCCTTGAGAGTTTTGGCTGAGCGGCCATCCTTGTTCCAGAATTGTCTCGACTTCTTTGCTGAAGCTCGAGAACACATTCTTTCAGACTCCTTCTACACCGCTTTGACAGGATCATCTGTCAATGGTGAAGAGAATGCATCCACCAAGCCGATAGAGCTAGCAGCCCATGATCCGCTCCGCTACGTAGGCGATATGCTGGCATGGACACATTCCGCAACCGTGAGTGAACGAGAAGCTTTAGAAGTACTCTTCATCTCAGATGGCGACGAGATCGCCAAAGGGATTCAAGCAGGCAGGGATAGTGAGCCCTGGAATCGTGTAGGTGTTGATGAGGACGAAGAAAACAGCTCTTTCGACGGGCTGAAGGCATTGAATGAGCTCGTCGATCGAGATGTCGCTGGCGTCGCACGGGTACTTCGCCAACGAATAGGCCAAGTGATTCAAAGCCATGAAGAGACTATCACAGCTTACAAGATAGCCAACCTGCTCAACTTCTATCGCGTCACATTTTCTAAGCTACTCGGGGATGAATCTGTTCTCCTCGAGTCGCTCTCAACACTTGAAGAGTCTGCTCTTCGCCAATTCCGAATTCTGATGCGTGACCATGTCGCAAGTCTACAAAACGATACACAGCTTCCACCGAACAATCTGCACCCACCGGAGTTCTTGCAAGAGGGACTGAAGCAGTTAACAGCTATCATGAAGACCTACGAGACGTCCTTTACTTCCCCTGATAGTCGAGAGGCGGATTTCCGACCCATCTTGACCGAAGCTTTCGATCCATTCATGACAGGAGCCCAAAATCTCGCTAAGAACCTCCCAGCTCCATCTGACGCCATATTCTCCATCAACTGTCTGCTTTGTGCTCGAAGTACTCTTGCTCCATTTGATTTCACGGTGTCGCGGATCGAAGAAATCGACGAGAGCATCGAAAAATACAGTACAATATTGACCAAGTCGCAATATGCCTTCTTCCTCACCTCCTCTGCGCTTCAACCTTTAATCCAAGCGCTGGACCCGCTCGATACCTCGAAAGACGATCTCAGGTCCATCCGTACACTGGAAGCATTCCAGCCTGCTGCTTTGTCGCAAGCTGGTCAGATTCTAGACGACTTCTTGCCATCAGCACTCATGGACGCAACAGAAAATTTGAAGAAGTTGCAGAGTTCGAAATTGGTGGCGGAGATTACTGAGAAAGCTGCTGAGAAATTCTGTGATGACTTCGAGGAAGTGGAGGAGAAACTTAATGCGGCGGACGAGATATGGGAGGAAGAAGGTGAGGAGGGAGAAGAGCCTTTGAGAGCCCTGTTCCCGAGAACAAGTGGCGAGATTAAGGTCTTGCTGTCTTGAGGTTATGTAACTTACCGAAGTTCTCTTATACAGGGAAATACATCTTCTTGGACAGAAATTTCTAATGCCCAGGAAACGACATAAAGAATTGGTTATGTGTGCCCACTGACACGCCAGGCTTTAAAGTCTCCAGTTCTTCACACACAAAAAGAGGAGCAACATCAACTTTGAATGAGGATGCGAACATGGCTGGCGGTTCCAAACCTACGAAGGTAATGCCAAGCAGACAAATGATCGCTTTCGCACCCAGACTGAGACTTTTCAGTGACTACTTCCTGACTTTGAACAGTATTTCGCTGAGCCCCGGCGTAAGAATTGCCCTATTGAGTGATGATGAAGTTGCGACGCAATAGTAGCAAGACGCAGTCATCACAGCCACCTTTGGTCGGCAAGTGATCCACTAGCAAAGTGAAAATTCCACTGTTGACCCCGCGTGGTGGCCTTCGTGTGTTATCCCTCAGAAGCACGTATAGAAGCTCGTTTCATTTTTCAGACGTAAAAATATACAATTTTGTGAATATCTTCATTTTCGCACACTGGTCTCCTTCTTTGAATTTGAGGTTGAATTTAGCTTATTGGCGGGGCTGGTTTGCCCAAAAACAGCCTGGTTCGAGGGGCCCGCTACGTCACTGCGAGCCTTGTCAACACCACCTGCACACCTTCGCCCAAGGAGGGTCCTCCCAGACACTATCACACGCACGCGATTCAGGAAACACCAAACAGTCAACACGAATCCAATCTTGTCGCAAACGAGAATTACCTCCCGTGTACATTCATTCATGATCCGACGAAGGGAAAGCCCTCAACGGTGCGGCCATGATGCGAAACAAGACCTCCTCGTCCCTGCAAAAGACGTACGATGAATGCTATCTGATCTGCTCCACAGCCGTGTACTTTGAAGGCCAGGTAAGCTATCCTTGTGGCGTACAGTATATGTCGAAGCTTGCAGTCCGCTGGAGCAATCTGCGAATCAATGAAGTAAAAGCTGACGGTGGGGTAAACAGGGTAACGAAGCGGAAGCGTTACGATCATGGCGATCGGCACTGGACCAGATATACTATCATAATGCCTACCGAGTACCTGCAGGGTATATTCCACGGTCGGAGACGGAGAAGGCACTCAAGGACAGTCTGCGAGATATGGAGATGCAGTGTAAGGAGCGCGTGGATCTTCTGGAAGCATTGAAGCAGTCACGCCAGGAAGAGACTGCGGGTGAGGCTGGGCCAGAAGGATCAAATGGAAAGATCCACAAGACCTCCTCAAGGACACCGAGACACAGCTCTGAAACAGAACATGGCGAAAAGGGATTCATTGGAAATGGCACAATTCCAGCTGTGAACTATCCAGAACTGTCGCGGCCAGGTCCACCACTACCACAACGACCTGCCATGATCACAAAGAACAGCTCAGAACGTGCTGTTGTTGGAAGCAAGCCTTCATTTGCGGGGCCATCCTCCTCAAATCTTGCCTCATCTTCGTCGTCGAGGACTATCACTCCAACATCTTCCGCTTCACTGGTCCCACCAATGAAGAAAACGTCGAGAAGTCCAAGTCCGGACAAAGGCAGGACTATGCTTCATACGCTACGATCAGGTGATAGAACTGGGCGAAAGCCCACCCCTCGTGCTCCAAGAACATCATCTTCTAAGAAAGATGTCGTTACAAACCAAGCCGCTTCCCTAGCTTGGCAATCTTTGGGGAAGGGAGGTAAGGAGAGACTCGGGCGGAGCTTGGATGCCGAGAACGACAGGAGCTCGACAGCTCTTCCAGAATCTGGTCGCAAGGATAGTTCTAGTGAGCCAATACCAGGAAGGTCAAGCTCTTCGCAGAATGTTCGGTACGATAGTAGAACTCGTACGTTGGTCCCAGATTCCCACTCCCACCCCCGAGGGCCGAGCCCTCCCGATTTGTTGTCTGGGAAAGCCGAATTGTATGGCTCTTCTGGACGATCAAGTAATTATCCTTTTCCTCCCACGGATCCCGGTCAACCAGGTGCTGTTGCGGGCTCGATGCTTACTCCTTCAGCAATACAAGACTTGATAGATCTCGATCCTCCCTCACCACCTATCGCTGAATCGAGCTTTACTAAAGCAAAGAAAACCCCTCCTCCACCACCACCTCACTCTAGAAATGCAGCAAAACTTGAGCCCCTTTCATATCCAACATATCTTAAGGAATATCCCGAAACTAGTGCCAGGAAGAGCAAGGCTGAGACAGAAATGCCATTACGAAGAAAGCCAGCAGTCAGGGACCAAGGTGATTCTGAAGGATCTAAAACCAAATTGTCCCGGAAGCCAGTTGCCGCAAATATATCTTCGCCTCGGCATAGGGATCGATTCCAGGAGAAGGATGCTGGAAGAAAAGCACAAAGAGTCAAGAAGCCGAGAGACGATGACACATCATCCCAAAGTATCGATGAAGATACGGGGAGCAGTGGTCCAACAGCAAAACCGAAAAGGAAACAGAAGCAGAAGCAAAAGGAGAGTGAAATACTTGCGGATCCAACAACGCCAACTTCTGATGACTCTGAAACACAGGCCGACTTGGTAAAGAGCGCATGGGAGATCAAGGTTCAGCAGCTTATGAAAAATTTGCCGAAGGGTGTCGATGAGGGAGCTGCGAAGCAAATTTTCAACGAAATCGTGGTTCAGGGTGACGAAGTTCACTGGGATGATGTTGCTGGTCTCGACATAGCCAAGAAAGCATTGAAAGAAGCGGTTGTATATCCATTCTTGCGTCCAGATCTATTCATGGGGCTTCGCGAGCCAGCCCGAGGTATGCTCCTCTTTGGACCTCCTGGGACTGGCAAGACGATGTTGGCGAGAGCTGTGGCAACAGAATCGAGATCGACATTTTTCTCAATATCAGCAAGCAGTTTGACAAGCAAATACCTTGGCGAGTCTGAGAAGCTTGTCCGAGCCCTGTTCTCACTTGCCAAAGCATTGGCACCCAGCATCATTTTCGTCGACGAAATCGATTCCCTGCTTTCATCCCGCTCTGGGTCAGGAGAGCATGAGGCAACCAGGCGAATCAAAACAGAATTTCTAATTCAATGGAGCGATCTTCAGCGAGCCGCAGCCGGAAGAGAGCAGAGTGAGAAAGAGAAGGAGCGGGGAGACGCAAGCCGGGTTCTTGTACTTGCTGCCACTAATCTTCCTTGGGCTATTGATGAAGCAGCTAGACGAAGATTTGTCAGGCGGCAATACATTCCATTACCAGAGGACGAAACCAGGGCTACCCAGTTGAGAACCTTGCTGGGACATCAGAAACATAGTTTGGACGAAGACGACATCCAAAGGCTAGTGGAGCTGACTGACGGTACATAATCTCTATTGACAGTCTATTTGCAGTTTTACTGACGTTTCTGCAGGATTTTCTGGTTCAGATATCACAGCGCTAGCCAAAGATGCTGCCATGGGTCCTCTGCGCTCCCTTGGTGAAGCACTACTCCACATGTCAATGGACCAGATCAGACCGATACAATTCGTAGACTTTGAAGCAAGTCTCGTGAACATCCGACCCAGTGTCAGCAAACAGGGCTTGAAAGAATTCGAGGATTGGGCTAAGGAGTTTGGGGAGCGAGGTGGATAGACATATTATTTCATGGGATTGTATCATACTTATACATGCCTAAAATGGGACAAGGAAATGGTGCGGTTGGGTAGGCGAGACTGGCAGGGGAGGAATCGATGGTTTGGGGGGGCTTGGGCAGGATAACTGGCCGGCTGTATGAGCAGTGATACCGTTCAATTGAAGAGAAATGGTGTCTATGGTACACTTTTCCTGACTCTCTCCCGTCTTATACATTTGGACGCCATGCAATGCAATGTCTTCGTCCCACTCGTACCATATACAATATTCTACAATCATCGGATCGAACCATGAACGCCTCACCATATCGAACATTCCGTCACCAGATGTTCGTTCGCTCCCAATCTTCAAACCGTGACGCTTTCACAGCCCTTGTTCTCCAGGTAGTCGTTTCCTTTCCTCCATCAAATCAAGCAAGTATCTTCTCCCCGGCGCCCTGGCCCTTGGCTTCACTCGCGTGCCTCTCTCCTTCTCCAAGCAACTCTTCCACCATCCCATCTTCGCCCACCTCACTTTTTCTTCCCTCAACCTCTGCTTCCCTTGGAGTGTCCCAGGGCGATCCAGGCCTCCCACTCCTCGCCCACCTCCTCTCAACCTTCGCCCTCCACTTCGCCTCCTTACTCTCCACCCTCTCCTCCAGCGTCGGTATCGCTGGCCTGTCCTCAATCGGCTCTCCAAATGGCGCCACGATACTATTAACTACGTGGTGTACGTGTTTGCTGTATCGCCAGCCGGGGGAGATGGAGATGATATCGCCGATGCGGAGGGAAGAGTTGGGGTCGTGAACTAGGACATTGGTGCTTCTGTTGAAATGCTGTTAAGGAAAGAAGTGTCAGCTTAGGAAGTTTTAAGCATTTAGGAGGAGATCCTATCGTAAAGACTTGGAATTGTAATGGTAGAGAAAGAGGACAGAGGACGAAGTACATACCTTCTTAATATGCCCATTCCATTTCTGAACGCCAACTCGTGCTTTCACAGTTTTCTGCATAAGGCCTGCTGATACTACAACAGCATTTATCTGCCGCGTGGCGGAAACTGCAACTTTAGTTGTTGACATTGTTTTATGAGGGCAATTGTGTGGTGGGCTAATTGCGCTGGACTGCTGGAGAGCTTCGGATTTTGGTCTGGTGTTGATGATTTCGAGCATCAGCGGGGATGTTGGTTTTTCCGCTCCGTGCCAGGGGCGGACTGAGCCCTTTGACCTAACGGCACGACACTGGGGGGCTTACGTACAAGTAGGTGATATTACATCTTCATTATTCTCTAAATACCAACAGTACTACCAATGATTTGTCATTAATTAGCCCTTCGGTATGGCTTTCTCTTCGTCCTCTTTCTTGACCGAAGTCTCAACTCCGGCACTCTCTAGATCACTACTTTCCTGTTGCTCTCTAGTGCCCCTTGAGTTGACCTTTCTCCATCCTACAAAGCAACCTGTGAGCAGAGCGCTACATGCCGCAGCAAGTTGCACATACTGATGCTCTAGTATCAGTTTTGTTTTCTACCCAAATAATGTACTTACTTACAAAGACATGATTAATGGACTGATTATAAGCCAAAATTGCTCCCTCCAGGTAATTCTCCGGGACGTTATGGTGCAATTCAGTGACGCCAGAACGTATCAGAAGCGTTGAATCAAGGCCTGGAGCGAACTTCGCTACTGCTGGCTTCATTGAGGATGTGAAGACCGTTTTAGTCGCGGCTGCGAAAATTGCGCCTCCAAAGTATTGAGCGAACAGAACATAAGCTGATCCCAGAGATGCATCTTCAGCTGGAAGATTTGTTTGGATGGCTGTCACCAACTTTGATGGATCAGCATTGTAACCACATCGCTGAAATGGCCGAGGATTGAAGAGAAAGATCCTCACCAACTGCATCACGAAACCTCTTCCAGTTCCGAGCAAGATCTGGTAGCCGATCCACCGACCCACAGATGTATCCGGCTGCATTGTGGACATCAGAGCTGCTCCTGCAATAATTAGACAGTTACCTCCAATCACCTCAGGAAGGTAGTATCCCGTTTTCTGTACAATTGCACCACAAGCCACTCCTGCTATGAGTTGCGAGATGACAGAGGGCAGTATCATAGTCCCACTTGATATGGGTGAGGCACTTTTGACGGCCTGAAACCAAATCGGCAACCAATAAGCTGCTGTAAACACGCCACCTGACTGCACAAATGCAGTGAGGCCGATGGCTATGTTTTTTCTGTCTTTTGACAGTCGTGGTGGAATCAAAGCGGCATCACCTTGGTAGATGAACCAGCCAAGGAGACCAATAAATATAGCTCCTCCTCCACAGAGAAGCCCGACCACTGTGGCTGAACTCCATGGATATTTGTCGCCTCCCCACTCGAGTCCAAGAAGCAACATAACACAACCAGTTGCAAACCCGAAGAATCCAACAATGTCAATAGTTCTTAGTCTTTGGAGGACAGTGAGCTCAGTTGTTGTGAGTCTGCTTACAGGTAGTTTCATGAAGATACCAAGCACGATGACAACCACACCACCCAAAGGTAGATTTCTAGAAATGTTCAGCGTTGAGAGGGTTGAAAGTCATCTTGCCATGGCAGACTCACATATAGAAACACCACCTCCACGACACGGTGGTGAGTACTCCTCCCAGCACAGGGCCGACTGCTTGGCCGGAGGCGAGACACGCCATGCCGACACCCATAACAAAAGCCCGCCTACTCAAAGGCACGGTCGAGGCTATTATTGTCGTAGTTCCGGTGATCAGACCACCACTACCAATACCTGAGATTGCCCTTCCCACAATTATGGCGCTTGATGATTGCGCGGTTCCAGCTACAAGACAGCCAAGTTCGTATATACCGATGAATCCCAAGTATATGACTTTGATATTGAACATCCGATACAATACACCAGTCAGAGGTGTCATCGTGCAGCTTTAAAAAAGTTAGCATTGGATTCAAGTCAATTTTTTGAAGCAGATTGACGTGCCTTGAAATGAAATATGCCGCGGAATACCATCCCACGTCTTGTACAGTATTGAACTCCGAAGTGATGGACGGAATGGCCTATTTTATTATCAGCGTCCACGCAGACGTTGAAATCAGGGTATGAAAGCAACACATGCGGTTCCTAAGATCGTTGCATTCGATGCCACAAGCGATACTGCCATTATCAGACACACCATCATAATTATGTTTGCAATTCCACGAGAGCGAGAATCGTCGGAAACATCAGTCGGACTCTGGAGCCCAACGACCGTGTTACCAGCAGGCGAAATATCCACATTGGTGTTCTTCTGTGTCGCTTTGGACATCTTGGCTACGGTCGTGGACGGTTCTAGTCCCTGGTACGAACAGTGGATAGCCGCTTCTGAAACCAGCAATTGAGAGGGTCAAGCGAGAAGTAAACACTTGATCTAAGCGGGCGAAAAGAAGCCGTGAGATGCTGAAAGTCTGGTCTGAAAATGCTGCCAAGGAAGGAGGCATTCCTTTCTTTTTAGACATTTTGAGCACTCCTTCAATTTTTCCGCACATTGCATGAAGACATAATCGTTATAGGCGCTTCTCGTGACGACGGAGAGTCGCCAGGAGTCCGCGTGGCTCCTGAATTCCCTCTTTTACGCGCTATTGGTCACCACGCCGCATCCCGATCTCGCTTGGAGAAGCGGAGATTTTTATAAAGTCCGGTCGTCCCCTCCTTGAGATATACCTTGGAAAGGCAACTTGGAGACTTTTATACTTTCCATTGCAGGTGCTTTTCCTTCGCCGGCAAATATGAATGCTTCTGTGCCTATTACGGCGAAATGGGGAACGGCTTGTTCAGCTTGCGCAACTGCGAAATCTAGGTGTATTCGATCCAATGAATCATCTGGAAAATGCGACAGGTGAGTGTGATTTGACTTCATCTGGTCAGATCAAAAAGGATTTCGAAGAATTCCGAGTAGTTTGAACAAATCATCCAGACAATCAACTGCTGGTTTCTTGGCTCCTTCTGATCGAAAAGTTTGACTGGGTGGCTTCGGGTGTACTTTTGTCAGCTATCCCATTTCCGCACCACGAAACAGTCAATTCACACCGGACAGGGCCATGATCACAGTTTCAAAATATGGCATGCTGACTTCCGACTAATTACAAGATGTCTGACTTCCCGGAAAGATTGTACGGGTCAGGTACACAAGAAAAGGAAGAAGAGAGAGGCCCAACCAAAGTAAGCCTTCAGAGCTGATTTTCTACAGCTATGAATCTTCACGATCTTCCACATCCCAAGAGAGGTGCCGGACTAATAACGATACTATTTCAATAGCAGAACTTTGATACTCGAAGAAAAGCTCGATAGCCTTGTTGACTTGCTGAAAGCTACACCAGGAGGGGCTTCTGCCGTCCAGTCGATCCTAGCCAAGTCACCTGCAACAAACACTGGCAAGAAAACAGCACGGTCCGATCAACATGAGGGAAAGAGTCGGACATCCAAAACTCCCCAAAAAGGCGACAGTGAGCTTGTTCACGACGATTTCCCGTCCAAGTTCAGCTCCATAGCACCCCCAACATGCATCTGTCGAGCACCAGTCAGCGAAGAAGATTCCCACCCCGTCAACACTGACGAGATTCTGTTATCAATATACAAGAACCAGCTCTGTTCCTGGTTCCCCTTCGTTATCGTGTCGCCCAGTACAACAGCCGCACAACTTCAATCCTGCCGACCATTTCTGCTGAAAGCCATCCGTCTCGTCGCCTCCTTTCGAAACGTCCGTTCAATGTGGGGCCAGCGCCGAGCGATCATGCAATACCTTTCAGAAGCTGTATTCGTGTATTCTGAGCGCTCGTTGGATCTCCTGCAGGGTATTCTTGTAATCTTGGGGTTTTACCATTATCATTGTCTGGCGCATATTCAGTTTAATAATTTGATGCAGTTAGCGATTAGTATTGTTGGGGACATGGATTTGAATCGGGATCCGGGGAGACTTGTGAAGCAGAGGGTTTTGGCCATTGATTATGACCCGCCGAGGGCGAGGACTAATGATGAGAGAAGAGCCGTTGTTGGGGTATGGTATATGAGTTCCAAGTCAGTACAGCATCCTGTCCTGTTGAATAGTCTGAGTTAATAGTTTACAGTGTGGCGTTGACCTTTAATAAAGGGCAATCGGAGAAATACACGAAGTACCATGATCAGTGTCTCCAAGAGCTAGAAGAAGCTTCCGAGTACGAATCTGATATATTGCTCGTACACCTCGTGAGAATACAACACCTGATACAGCGGATCGCGGACTTCAACAACAGAGATCAATTACCTGAGGAGCTGCCCGGCATTGTACAGACTCCCGCATCAGCATATCATGCAGCATTTCAGACCGAAATCGAAAGACACCAGGTTATGCTCCCTCCGAGCTTGAGTAAATGCCGTAAGTACCGAAGTCTTCAGTAGTCTTAGATTCCATCTCAACCCAAAATGTAGATCTCATCATGACCCACTTCAACACCGCCCAACTCCGCCTCTACGAGCCCCTGCTCTACGATGCCAGTCTGCTCGACGGCATCTCCAGATCATGCACAACACTATCATTGTCCGATCCCACAATATTCAACAGATTCAGCTCCTGCCTTTCGGCACTCAAGAAATGGTTTGAACATTGGCTCACCATCCCCGTCTGCTTCTACTTCCACATGTCTCAACCTCTGCCAGCACAGTTGAGATACAGCATGGTGATGCTATCCCAATGGGCACTTATCTTCTCTCCCTCCCGCCTAACCGGCCCGAGCTCATCACCTCGGGCTCACAGCAATCAGCCTTCTGGCCGTAATCCACCCTCTAGGATAGATTTGAATGTCGGAGAGCAGATTGATATTCTGAGTATTCTCGATACAGTAGTAACACGCTTCGAAGCCGCCAAAACGGAAATGAGCGCCGCTCATGGCGGGGTATGGAGGAATGGGATTTGGGATCTGGCGGCGAAGAAGATTAGAATGAAGAGAGCCAGGATTGAGAAGTGTTGGCTGACTGTGGAGAGCGCTGGGGGTGAGGGGAAGTACAAGATTGCTGATGAGGTGGATAGAGGTATGACTGAGGACGCGATTGTTGGACCTGGGTTGAGCGGGAGTGATAGCTATGGTGGGATGTGGTTTGATGTGCCATTTGGTGAGGAGTTGCAGGATGATTGGTTGTGGGCAACGGATTTGCTTGGTGGGATGGATGGGCGGGAGTGCCTTTGAGATGCCTCCTATGACTTCTTGAGGGGTCTCTTACTTTCTGTACGTAATTTAGGATGGAATGACTATTGCATCTAGCAATTAATTAAACCAAATGTCTGTGTTGATGCTGTTGGTTATTTGTTGACAAACCAGCAGGCTCGCCTAGATTCTGCTTCAGTTTGTGATCGCGAAAAAAGCTTGTGTCTCTGGTCTTTGCTGTTGATTTGCATGTAAATTTATTGATCATCATGGATTCCTATGAACACGTAAAGAGACATATGGTCACATACGTGGCGCAATGAATGGTATTTGTTATGCCTACTCGCTAGCTTCAGCCAGCGACAGAAGACTTGCTACATCGTGATCTGCAGACCAGGGCTCTGTTAAAAGCATTAATTCCTTTCAGCCATCAATTCTATCAGAAAGAAAATATGCGTGCTCGTCATCAAGAAGAATCTATCCAGTTGATTGAAATTTTTGGACTGGGATCGGGCAATTTTCGCCTACAAAGCAGTCGAGGGTCACAGGCTCTGTCCACTCGCGGTGAGCAAAACGATTTTGTGAAAATGATCATACAAGGACAACAGACAATAAGAAGTTATTATTTTGAAGATAGATTCTGCATCATAGAAAAGCTCCTGCATATGCAGATGCTGTCGCATATCTGTTACGAAAAAGAAAGTGTTCTTGCGATAAAAAGATGCGTTCAACGAACTGCGGCAGCTGGCAGCTTTCCGACACGGTGACGAAGATTGAAGAATAGAATAGGAAGAGTGAAGAATAGAATAAAGCAAAACAACGGAACCAATTGAAATGTATCACAGGTGTAGAACAACGTTTGGCCACGCTTCGCATCAAATGCCTTCGATGGATGCTCAGGCTCGAGGGTCTAGCGCAACGGATCGTAGCGATGTCGGATGTACCTAGGTATGGATATTTCACGGACCTTCAAAGCACCAGTAGCTATGCCTCCGACTTTATGCAGAATCCACTCCGAATATCTGACATGCGAAGGTGCGTGTGTTCGGAGTAATCTTACTGGCTATCCCTTGGCTATCTTAGCCCAGCAAATTCTTTATCAGATCCTTTTCAAGGTATTCTAGAATACCCTTTTTTGCTCTCCCTTGTTATCAGATCAAATTTGCATCACGCTTAGAGCCGCGAGGGCCACTCCGAGAGCTTTGACTGACCCACGCACCGGCTTGTGCGGCTTTGGGCATCTTCTGACAACAGGCATGAGAAGATTTCTTTGGCAACAGTTGTGAAGGAGGTCTTTAGACGTAGATAACCTCAAAAGAGGCTGGCACCTTCCCCAGAGATCGAATTCCGTCTCCATGGCCATGGGATTCCAGACAAGCAGTGCTGAATGGGCAGAATCGCATGTTGAAAGAGCAGGCGTCGTACGAGAATTCATGCCATTATGACGCAGAATCCAGCGGCTTGCGGTTTTCCCCAGGTCCCTTGTGTCCATTCGGTGCATTCGTGGCTGGGGAAGGGATCTGACAGATCTAGCAAATAGATTGCCCTTGCAGGATTGAATATCTTCGAAGTCTGCATTGCCCTCCTGTAAAGCTCCGAGGAGACCTTGCATCGCCTGGAATGCCACAGCAAAGGATGAAGAGGATGCGAGGCCGCAACTCCGTATCTCCACTCTCCATCGAAGAAGGCAGACCACGATGCATTTTTTGTTGATGTGTTGAAGGAAAGACTTCGTTAGCGATGGTAGTACTAAATAGGGTGGCATCGTCCATCATCCAATGTAGATTTGAAATACATGAACGGTTGCCACGGAACGATACTGCTCTTGATCGGACCAGCGCAAGCACTAAAAAGAGTCCGGTGTTGATCAACAGCTGAAGGCTCTACAGTAGTCGTGGTGATCCAAAGTTTTGGTGTTGTCTTTGCCTCGGCGAAGGCTGTTCTCCTCCCTCGAGTCCGCGGGCATTACTGTACAAGTACAGTACAACCCGCCTGGCTCGCTTCTCCACCGCCCAGCCAGCCAGCCATTCGAGGCTACGCACCCCTGTCAGCTCTGGTTGATTTTCTACAGCCAAAAGACCACAGCATCATCGACAAACATCGAACACCCTCTAGCTGCTCTCAACACTACCAACTCTATCACTCACGCCGCCACTCCTTTCCCCTAACCCGAGATCACCACGACCTTCTAAAGAGGACGCTCATTTCGAGGATTTCTCACTGCACCCGGTGTAATCGGCATCCTGGCTCTGCAATCGACGGCGTACGGAGGAGGATCTGTGGTTGTGGCCGCCCCAATGGCCCAACCAGATGCAGAGCCAGTAGATGAGTATGAGTATGTGCAACCGCAGGAATCGCACTGAGTCTTTCCCATGTCGAATCTACAGATCGCTAACACTGTATCCATAGCTATGAGGGACTGCCACCAAACTTCTCGCTGCTCCAGAACATGGCCGCAGGCGCGTTTGCAGGCATAGCTGTAAGTCTCTACAACACCTCCTCGAGAGGCGCTCAAGACACTACATACTAATATTCGAGTAGGAACACACTGTTATGTACCCGATTGATGCTATCAAGGTGCGCAATATTCACGAGGTGGTTTCATGATGTCAAGATGTTGACTGACAGCTTCGCAGACTCGAATGCAGATCCTCAACCCGACTCCCTCCGCAGTCTACAACGGTATGATTCAAGGAGGATACCGAATAGCCACGGGGGAGGGATTTCTCAGTTTATGGAGAGGAATGTCCAGTGTGGTGGTTGGAGCTGGTATGTACAGCTGGGAGGCTTGGAGGCGACATTCATTGATATCTCGATAGGTCCTGCTCATGCAGTCTACTTTGCGACCTACGAAGCTGTGAAGCATGTCATGGGTGGTAACCAAGCTGGTGTTCATCATCCTCTTGCTGCAGGTATGTTTGCTTTTGATTTCTAGCTTGTTTGGACATCTGCTAACTGTGTACTTCTAGCGACAAGCGGAGCTTGCGCAACCATTGCCAGTGATGCTCTGATGAACCCATTTGATGGTATGGTCATTTCTATCTCTCAATTTACAGTGTACTAACCCCCCGCAGTTATCAAGCAACGCATGCAAATCCACAATTCGAGCAAGATGTACAAATCTATGTTCGATTGCGCCAGATATGTCTACCGAAGCGAGGGTGTCTCGGCGTTCTACGTCTCCTACCCCACCACACTTTCCATGACCGTCCCGTTCACTGCATTACAATTCCTTGCCTACGAATCTATCTCGACTGCGATGAACCCCTCGAAAGTCTACGATCCATTGACACATTGTTCTGCAGGTGCTGTGGCTGGTGGTTTTGCGGCTGCGCTGACAACTCCGATGGATGTGGTGAAGACAATGTTGCAGACGAGAGGAACTGCCAACGATCCGGAGCTAAGAAACGTCAATGGATTTATGGAAGGCGCCCGATTACTGCACCGGAGAGAGGGATTTGGGGGTTTCTTCAAAGGTGTCAGGCCGCGCGTTGTGACTACAATGCCCAGTACGGCCATTTGCTGGTCGGCTTATGAGGCCTGCAAGTGAGTTTCCCCGATATCTCCGCCAGATGGACGCAATGCTAACAAGCGCAGGGCATACTTCATCAAGCAAAATGACATAGTCGTTTGAACAACCAAGCAATGACAAGGAAACGAGGGTCCACAATCGCCATCTCACCTCAGCGCCTACGCCAAAGCTTCCCACATAATACATACCCTATGGTTGCAAGCCCACCTTACCATCCAAGTCGCCTCATGCTGTTGCCGACGACCTCCAGGCCGGGTTTTTCAGGATAGAATGGCATCGTTTGCATACACGATTATAAGTATCGAATCCCACCCGCGCATCACCCCACGATTAAAAGAAGGCACTTTGCGAAAGAAAGACACCACCAAAGCACTTCCCCGGCCTACCTGTACATATTTCCGTCTCTCTATTAGATCTCATTCCCTGTCCGCCTATCTTGGCAGGGAGCTTTGTTGTTAACTATCTCTCTATTTGCGCTTTTCCTCTGGTTCGCGAGCGATGCACTGCACTGCTTGGGCAGTGCAGGGTTTCATGGAGTTGTCTGCTTTTTCTGCTTTTGCGGGCTAGCATTTGGGGGGTTAGCGTGGGCTATGAAGAGAAGTGGTTAGACGAAAAATGCGATGCTGAGGAGAAGAGGGAGAAGAAAGTGGTGAGAGATGGACGGATTAACAGATTTGTACTTATATGATGAGAAGGCAGTGATGATCATATTGTACGTATGATTTCTGCTGACCTTGAATGAAAGACTTGATACATCGAGGGGCACTTTATTTAGTTTGAATTCTGAAGCAACAGTGCTAGGTGACATTCGTTGTAATGATGAATGCACAAGTGAGCCATTGAAGCAAAAGTCGCGAGAAAAGGGGCAAGGGTCGTTCCTGTCAAATCACGGTTTAGAATCTACTGGTACTAGTACTGTGGATTTACAGCGAAATTCGACGTTGAATCTTCTCATCTCCTGCGTGCCTCCCCTCTTATATGTACTAGGGCGCGTGCTAAATCTCATAGCTGAATCCGAAACATTTCCCTTTCGTGTCGTAAACCAAACATTTGGCATTCCAAAGTGAGATTCCCAAGTGCGAATTTTCGATCTTAACCTCCCATATCCCAACATCCCCCTCTCTCATTCGGGAATCATGATAATATGTCAAATATCATGCATTTTGACTTCATTGCCCTTCAATACCGACCTCTTTGATTGCCCAAGCTAATGCCTTTCGCCATTTCGAAGCATCCCCCTGCTCGTCGAGATGAGCGAGCACGGCACTGAGGAGCCGCTGCGCGCGATTGGTGAAGTACCACCTGACAGAGGAATAAGTATTAGCGCTCACGTATTGTAAGTATTTCAAGACAGTCGAGTATGATTTGCAAACAAGCACAGAGAGCGAAGCGAAGAAGAGCAAAAGCTACCACCTACCGACTCTCAACCATCTTCAACAACACACAATAAAACCCCAATAGCACAAGAGCACCCTCATGCTTCCTGGCAAGCATATCCAAATACGCCTCCGAGATAGCCATCGGCCACACACGCAGTGCATCCCAGGTCGTGAATGCCGTACCGAGGACTTCGCGGTACCGGAACGCGAGGTCGAGTTCACGAGCGGAGGAGATATAAGTAGTGATTTCATGCTCGGTCCATATTCGCACAACTGCGTTTGGATCCTTGTCATCTGAGCATGAATCCAAGTCTGAATATTTCGGGCCGCTGGGAATAAGCGAGAGCAAGTGAGCTAACAGGAGAGGAGGTGTCCCATCCGGTACTTCAACGGGTATCTCCCACTGATCAGCAAGCACGGAGACAGGTCCGAGCTCGAGTGTATCCCAGATGTCGCCGAGGATGACACATCCTGCGCGGATGAGGTAGAGCCAGGGCGGGAGGACGCTCTCGCCGTCTTGGAAATTGGAGGAGCCGTTGATGGTGCGGATTGGTATGGGTGGTGCGGAGGGGGACACGATCATTAGTTGCTCGTTTTGGGTTTGCGTCTCGGTTGCGAAGGAGATTGTTATGAGGAGGTGGGCGAAGGCGAGTACGGCGTCGCAGTTCTGGGGTGTGACGTGGAGCATGGTTTCTTGGAAAAGTGGCATGGCGGCGTCTTGGTGTTGGGAGGCGAGGAGGCTGAGGTGGGTGCTTAATGGTGAGTTGGGGTGAGGTAGGCGAGATGGAGAGCGGAGCAGGCAAGAATGCCAACTGTGGACAAGTAACGGTAAGGTCAGTATTTGGTCTTCGATGTACCACTCACAGTGTTAAGCGAGAGAGTTATTAGTGAAGAAGAGGCAGAAATAGAGCTGTTCAATGTCTCGAATCTCGCCGGAGACCTACGATGAAGGAAGAAATTAGTTTTTGCAAGGAGCGGAATGTGGTTCTCCCACAGAGATTGCATCGCTGGGGTGGTCGAGAGGGTGGACGCTGTGTTTGTTATGAAGTGATGTAGAAGTGCTGAGTCGGATGTATCTATTGTTGATGGAGGTGTTGCATAAGGGACGACATTCTCCGGGACTACTATGTCGTACTTTAAGTACCATTAGCAACTTTGTACCTATTGGCAAATGCTCCGAAAGTGTATTGATCCATTGGGTTGTTGGCTCATAATGGCATTAAAGAGACGTACCTCAACATTCATAATATCAACCATACTAGAAGCGATGTTACACTTAGGTTCAACATCACTCACTGCTCCGTTCGTAAAATACTTTAAAAGATTACCCCTAAAGAAGGTCTGCAGCTCCACCGCCTTCCAATCGACCCCGGCTTTCGCAGCAACACCATGAACAGCAAGCCAATGACTCCTCATTCTCTTCCCACTTGCACATAAATGCCCACACCCCTCGTACTTACACATCAGCCCCTCAATAACCGGTAATGCAGGCACAGGAAAGACACTAAATTTACTCTGCGTCTGAATCACCTGTTCAGGAGTAGCGAGGTCAAGAGTGGACACATAGCTCATGAACGGACGGCGCCGAGCTCGGTGGATTGCATGGATATCTTTGAGATGCCGAGAAATGGCTGTGGGCTGGATAGCGTAGAGGCATGTCGTGCATATTAGGGCTTTGTGATCTGGTAGGTAGCGAAGGAGTTGAGAAGGGAGGGGGTCTGGTGGTGGTGGTGGTGAGGAGGTGGTGCTGGAGGGAGACATGTCATTGATGTGGCTTGTGACATAGGGGGAACAGGACCGTCGATTCTGAATGTCTGATCAGAAAAGAAGAAATTGATTTGCGGTGGAGCTTCTGGTCGTGATACAATGTTCTAGACGGTTCGTTGACGTTGTTGAGGATGGTGGACTGGAAGCGAGGGTTTTAGCGGTAATATCGGTGATAAAATGGGTCTTCTACGACACTGGACTCTTTGTGTTACTTGCTCGCAATACGAAAGAAGTACCTTGCATCATGCAGATACTCATCGCATAATCGTGCAAGTATTGTCTTCCTCTTTTGGATTTAGGACTTCTTCGTGATTGGTAGGGGGAATGGAGGGAGCCCTACAGTAGGGAAGAATCGACGGTGCCGTTCTGTTAAAGCTCTCTCGCTTAAAGTACAGTACTGTAACAGTACAGTACTGTAACAGTACAGTACTGTAACAGTACAGTACTGTATGGGTGCCCAGCCGGCCCTGCGCCTGTCATAATTGCAGTTGCATAAGGAGCTACTACAGAGAGAGAGAATCTCCTATATAAAGGGGTAGCGTACTTAGTAGTACAGCCTATAGTACTAAGTCTACGCCTATAATCCCTATATTTCTAATAGCCCCCCTATTCTCTATATCTGTAATAAATAGAGTTTTCTAAAGTAGTACAGCGCTAAATATTCCTAAAGCGACGCTAAAGTATCACTGAAGTATTACTAATAACTTATATTATATAAGGAGCCTCGATTATACCTTATTAACTCCTATAATATACTAGTATATATATAGTGCTTATATCTCCTGTTTTCCTAGGAGTTTAGCAACTTTATAGTATTAAGGTATATAAAACAGTATAAGAGTACACCTAAATCGCTCCCTTATTAATAATCTCCTGCTCCTACTACTCTTATTTACCTTTCTTTATAGCTACCTCGCACTTTCCTTTTATAGCTACTAAGATATTTCTTACTAGCTTTCTCTCTAGCCTCTAGGATATATAAAAGTTATCTTCTTCTAGTTCTGTTTCCTTTCCTTCTTCCTTTAACCGCGGAATAAGATTTATCTTAACTATTAAGTATAGTAGTTATATATCGTGTTTTACTTAATTCGCAGTTATATATTATTATTAAGGAAGATATTTATTAAAGGACTGATTTTCCGCGAAGAATATTCTATTTTTTATAAGTTTCACTACTAGAAATAGCCTTGATTTATATAAGTCTACTATTAATTAGCTAACTATTATTAATCTTAGAGTTATTATTAGAGAATCAGTTATTACTAGGTAACCCTATATATATCTTATATCGTTTAAACGATTTTAAAGGTAAAGCTTTTATAAGAGTATCTGCTATATTATTATTACTTAAAACATGTTTTACTACTAACTTATTATATAAAACTATATTATCTCGAATATAGAACTAGCAGATATTAATATACTTTACCTTTAGATAGAATTTCTGTTCTTTTAAAAGAGATTTAGCTCTAGTATTATTAAGATATAGCGTAGGAATTCGGGATAGCTTTATATTAAGGTCTTTTTATAGCTTAAGTAACTAGGCTACTTCTCTAGAGCTATCACTAGTAGCTATTATCTCAGAATCTAAGCTAGAGAGAGCTATAGACCTTTACTTATTAGTAGCCTAAGAGATTAGACTCCTATAGAACCTTACTATCTATCCTTAGAACGATTTCCTATTATATTCTGTCCCTTATATAGTATTAGTTTAAATATCAAATATATTATTATCTAGCTTTCCCTTGTATTCTATTTCGATTCTAAATATTATTCTATTACCTTCTATATATCGTAGATATCAGAGAAGAGGTTTCGTATCTTAGAGGTGAGATTTAAAGGGATTTAATATATACCGCGCTAGCTAGCTTATTATATAGGTAATATTAGGTCGTGTAAAGTTCAAGAGATATATTAGAGAGCTAATAATCTACTAAAACAGTAAGATCTCTTTAAAAGAAGCTAGTATAATACCTTTATCTTTAGTTAACTCCCTTAGTACTATTCTAGTAGCTATAGGTAAAGTATTACCTCTAGCTATAGCTATTCTAAACCTTTCTAGTAGCTTTTATATATAAGCTATTTAATAAATCCGCAGAGTCTTATTCTTCTTATCCCTCTTAACTTATAGGCTTATAAATATATTAATAGCTCTAAGGTCTTTACTTTTCTAAGTCTTTAAGAGCTATTTCTTAAGATATTCGCAGTCGGTAAGGTTACTTATAATTAGTATATTATTAATAAAGACTAATATATACGCTCTATTCTTAAAGATAAAGAGATTAGGGTTAGCTTCTAACGCTTCTAGACCTAGCTTTTCTATCTTATCTTTAATAAGGAGCTACTATTCCTTAGGTACTTATTTTAAGCTATAGAGAGAGCGTAAGAGCTTTAGATATATATCTTTTCTTCTATTTAGCTCTAAGTAAAGCTTATTCTATATCTCTAGCGTCTTGTTATTCGGAATTATTATATATATATCTTCTTTCAGGTATACGTTTAGGAAAGTAGTATTAATATTAATATACTTAATCTCTAGGTCTCTTTTAGCTATAATAGTAAGTAGTACTTGTAAAGTAAAATAGCATATAATACTCGCGAAAGTATTAAAGTAGTTAAGGCCGTGTTTTTACTTAAAGCTTCTTACTACGAGCCTAGCCTTTTACCGTGCTATAGAGCTATTAGAGTTAATTTTATTACGTAGAACTAGTCTTAAAGATATTAGTTTCAAGCCGGAGAGAGGCTTACTAAAGTATACTCTATAAGTTCTAGCGCTTTATATAGCCTATAATTCCTTAAGAATAGTAGCTTTCTATTCTACTAGATTCTCCCTTAGAGCCTCTACGATAGTTATAACCTTAAGAGGTCGTATAAGTTTACCTTCTAGTATAATTAGCGCTATTTAATAAGTTAGTACTTTATTAAGGATTTACTAAGAGTATAGCTTCGTAGTTATCACCTAAGTAGCTTACTTGAAGTATTATTTTCTACGCTATTTCCTACTATATCTTAATAGTAGAGTATTATTAGATATGTTTACTAGTTAAGTCTATTTAAGGAGGCGTTAATTAGACACTCCCTTAGTATCTCCTATTATATTTTCTATAGCTAACCTTCCCCTTAAAGGATTTTCAGCTTCTATAGCTAGCCTCTCTCCTAGAGGTCTTTTAGCTTCTATAGCTAGCTTCTCTCTTAAAGGTCTTTCTAAGCTTTTAGTACCCTTAGCTAGCCTCTTAGTAAGTACTAGACCGGTAGCTAGTAGCAGAGGTCTTTCTACTGCCTTATTACTACCTTTTAGTATAGTTTCCTTACTACTAGTATATATAAAGTATATTATATACTTATTAAAGCCGTAGTCAGCTATTTCTAGTTCCTTAAAGGTTTCTACGTTCAGGAGCTTATAAGTTAAGGTATTAGCTATACCTACTAATACGAAATACCCCGGAATCGTCCTTTACTTTATTTTACTCTAATATAGCCCTAGTAGATATAAAAAGTACGCTATAGAGCTAAATACTCTTATTTTAGAGAGATTTATAAGCTGTTCTCTATACGCTTCGATTAAAGTAAGTCTAGTAGCTGTTTTATATAGTAAAGCAGTAATTAGTGTAAAGAGGTGGGGTAGTGCTATTAAAGTGTATAGTAAGCAGGGATATAGAGGACTACTAACTAAACAGGTAGTAAGAGTAAGAGAGAGAAGATAATATATTTATTACGCGCTATCGCGCCTATCTATATAACCTTATAGAATAGGCTAATTATCTTCTGACCTAGAACTACACTACCCTACTATATATATCCCTCCTTAACTAAGTAATCGCCCCCTGATTATATCCCCTGATATATTATATAAATAAAAGAAACACATAGATACTCCTTTTAACTATCTACCTCTATTATATCGCTTATACCTGCTACTAAGTATTCCTTAGCCTTCTCTATAAATAATAAGCTCTCTTTTAACACGATCTCTATTACTTCCTTACTTAGCTAGTTAGTATTAGCCTCTACCTCTCTTATTAGAACACTTATAGCCTTTAATACCTCCTTTAGGTAGTAAAAGGACTTCTCTCTAAACGCCTCTTTCTCTACTCTCCTTACTATCTTAAAAGCTTTTATAGCTATAACTAGTGCCTTAGCTCTCTACCTATTAATAAAGCTATAAGCTACTGCTTAATCCCCTTCTAATAGAACGTTTCTCTGAGCTATTACTACTAGTGAACTCTATTATTATCACGTAACTAGAGTATTAAATAAAGTACCTAACCCGGAAAGCTTAACTATAGTAGCGAACTAAAAGGGAATAGCTCTATACCGATTTATAAGGCCTAATAAGGTAGCTAAGGGTATAGTGAAATCTTAATAAGAGTTAGCTAGATCTCTCTAAGTTCCCTTTTCTATAACTTTTAAGGTTTCCTTATTATCCTAAATTATAATAAATTATAGTAAGATAGTCTAATAAACCTTTATTATAGGCTTAGTTAACTTATATAAGATCTTTAGTAGCGTAATCTGTATATCTCTAGGGCTATAAGGAGTCCTAACTTAATTTACTCTTAGGACCTCTATATCCTCTTAAGTAAACGTTTAGTTTATAATTTAGTAAATATAGTAGTTAGTATCCTATCCTCGCTCGCGAATACGCGCTT